GGCTCTTGAATCTGCGGGGCTCAAAGCGCCGCAGTCGGGCAGGCTGAGTACTCATCCGGCGTTTTATGTATGGAGTAAACGGATCGTGACCGAACCAGGGGGGTCCTAGTTTATATGTGGCCCATAAAAAGCATCGCAGTTTGTGATAATACCAAGTCCCCATTCGGTAGTTGGTCAATTAGCTTGACTTTGTCAGCTGGCTTGCTTGCGCGATGTTTCACTTCCCTCACTCGATTGCTTCATACAGATATCACCCGATACAACTTTGGACGGGGTTTGGACGGGGTTTGGACGAGACTTAATTCGGCAGCGGTTCTTGCTGATATGAGTCCTGCGATCCAGTCTCTCCCTTTTCCAACCTCTGACGGGCCATATGGCCAGGTTGGTCACCTGTGGGTGCTACTTTCACACCACTAACTCTCGTGGCAAGTAGACGAAAGACGAACAGTGGTAGCTTACCGGCTAGTGGGTTATTGACAGCCTTGCATAGTTAGATAGGAGTATACTCTGCCTTACAGACATCTCTCCAACGCGCCCTCGCGGAAAGTGTCGTATGTACATGCAGCCAACGGGCATGCCCCTCCAAGCCGCGGAAAACGCTGCGATCGTCAGCCGCCGGACAAGTCGATCTACAATCTCGACGGCATCTTGATCAGCCCACGCGCGGAACGGACATCCAGCTCGACAGGTGATCCGGAGCTTGGCCATGCACGTGTCTCACCGCCGTCACGCTCGACTTTTGTACATACCTAGGCGCTGTTTGACCGGTTGGATCGATCATCGATCAGGGCCAATGATCCTTCTCGTCCCGTGAAACGGGCAGTGGGTTCCTCTCATGCTTTGCTCTGGTAAAGTTAACTACGGGAGCGAAATGTATCAGACTTAATGCTTCCCGCGGAAGGCGAGCGGGCCGGGCACCGGTCACGAGTGAGCACTCAAGGCATAGCGTGGGAGTCTAGGAGAGACGGGAACAGAACTTCGGAGTAGGTGTCGCTGCCGGCTTAGGTATTCTCTGGCTGGTTTGTTCTGGTGGGTGGTAGGAACACGTTTTTCCCTAATGTTAAAGCATCAAACACAAAACACAAAATACACTCGCGTCAAAGCTCCAACTTGCAAGCCCCGCACCCCGTATAAAAACCCCCCTCCTCCCCCCTCTTTTCCTCCTTCTCCTTTTCTCTTCACTTCACTTAAAGGGAGCAGTGCACAACAGCAGTGGCAAGAGGCAGAGCACAACAGCAGTGGCAAGAGGCAGAGCACAACCGCAGTGTCAAGAGCAGAGCAAACTGACAGAATGCGCCCTTCCGTGGACGGGGTTTTTACCTTCAGGTTTCCTCTAAAACAAAAACATCGTCTTCCTGGCTTCACAGCGAGGGGACGAGGTTCTTGATCCACGTATTTGGCTTAGGCATTCCGGCTGAAGCCTCCGATGTCTTTCATATTGGTGGTGTCTTTTTTGGTATGTGATTCGGGATACTAAGCGCAAGTAAAGCTCGCCTACCGATGTAAAGTACCTACCCAGCCGCCTGCCGCGTGTCTACGCCCACAACTTCGACTATATGCCGTAGATCTATAGTAGAGCGCTGAACTTTTAGCCGCTGATGGGCGGACACGTAAATGCCGTTGATGGGAATTGCGAACTGGATCGCAATTCAGGCACTGGCGGACTCCGATTGGTCATGACCATCCGCGGGTATGCACAGTCAGTGAGGACAATCCATGATGGCGCTGGTGACGGCGATGTTGGTGCCGACCGAAGACTGACGCTTCGCCCCAGCCTTCGAGCAAATAATGTTCCTCTGGCACCTCGCTGGCTTAGGATTTTTGTGCAATCCGATGGACGTTTTTGTGCCTGTTCAGTCTTAGTGGGTTAACTAAGCACTCGTATATGTAGTGATGTATGTACTGAATGTGCATACCAAACTTCAACTGATGCCTACGAAAGTGAAGCATTGGAGAATCAATTCTCCAGACACATACCTAGCTTAAGGAACAACCCCTTCCGCTTCCTTAGTCAAAGTTGCAGCCTCTCGGCAAACGCCAATACCAAATAGCGGTAACTATGACGAATAGTAATATTAAGCAGCGATTGTGAAGCGAAGCCGTAGAGTGTGCTACCTAGATGGATTTGGAACCTATCAGAAATCACGAGATCTAACTCGCCAACCTTGCTTCGTGATCCCCCTCCCCAAAATCACATGGGCGTTTTCTTGACTAGCCCGTCCAGCTCTTCTGACACCGGACCACTGACTTTGTATCTCGCTTCTGTAACCCACACACCTAGCACCCCATCCTCGTATGTACATGTGGTTCATCCCGCCTATGTAGCTATCACTTACCCAGCATGTCGGTGCAAGGCAACCCGACATTTCCCACCTTCAGACTCTGGCATCCGCATACAACAAGAGCTACGTGCACGAAATCCCAGCCAGCTCTCTACTAGCAGTCGGGATGTCACGCGTCCCGAGTCCCGATTACCGCTCTCACCGGCAGGTGCCAAAGTCGGACATGACTTCCATCCCACCAAGCAAGCAAATCTTAAATAACGGTTGATCTCATGTGGGGGCCGAAGGAAAGTTGCGCGGATGTGGTAATCGGATGAATAATTGGGTTGATTTGAAATTTGAGTTGGTGCTGGTACATAGTGTGCCATGGTATTCCGTAGTTTCATCGGAATCACTCGCTGATCTACTGACATCACTCGCGAGCCATCCGGAATACACACGAGTGATCATGACGTGTGTCTGCTACGAAGGAAAGACCATGCTAACGAAGGCTTCCGCACATCCCAGCTGCGTCTATGAGTTTTCCTTTCCGCCGCCGCACTTTGACCCCATTAAACATGCTTCCGCACCACCGCTCTCCTGGATCCGCCACTCCAGCGAGCAAGCCGGAGAAGGCAAAGTAAGGCAAAGACAAAAGCAAAGGGAAAGCAACTTCCAAGAGCGCCACGACCTCGGCATCTGCATCCGCATCCGCATAGACCACCACCCCTTTCGACTCTTCTTCTCACTCACCGGAGACCGGACCGGACCGGACTGGACTGAGACATCTCCATCCCAAACTTGTATGTTTGTACCCACATAGCGGAATGTCTCGAGGTCGAAATAAACTTCCCGAGGCACCGCCGGCCACCAAGAACATACATACCTAATAATCAACCGGAGTGCGGGACGGGTCGGCGGCGGGCAACTGAGGTAGTGATATGCGATATTCTCATGTCTCACGATATCCGCCACCCACCGACCCACCCACCCGCCCACCACCCCAACCCCGTCAGCCAGACGAGACGGACGGACAGACGGACGGACTAACCCAGCCGGGCGAGTCCGCGACGTACCTGCTACCGGCGTAAGTAGAGTACGGCACATCCTGTACTCTAGTCCACGGCCCCCGCTTTCTCGGCACTTTTCGACCAGAACTACTTTCGCGCCACATCCGGACACTCGGACACTCGGACCTTGGACCCCGCCCCCCGCCCCCGGTCTCCCGCTATGTAGAGTATCGCCTGCCCGTCTTCCCGACGGTATAGTCTCCACTCACCCCCACACCCCCCACCTCCCAAGCAACCCTCACCCCCCTCATCATCATCCACACCTTGGAAATCCCCATGCACCCTCCCTTTCCACCCTCTCTTTCCATCGTCCAAGGCCCGACCCAAACCAAACCAGACCGGACCAGACCCACCTCCGAGCGCGGAAGGCCGCTTGAGTCTAGCCTCCGCATCCTCCGCATCCTCCGCATCCTCCGCATCCTCCGCATCCTCGGCGTAGGTAGAGTATGCTACATAGCCTTATGTAGCCTTATGCGTTCTCAGTCTCAGCATAAATATCAATCCGCTGTCCCGCTTGCCGATAGAGAGAGAGATCTTTAGTTTATTTTGCATGCAGCCTAGGCATCTAGACCATGGCGAACCCACGAACTCCGTTTCCTGCCCGCCCTGGCCATTCGAGGTGAAAGCCCCGGTACTGACCAGTCCGATGCGGTACACCAATTCTCCTGCCCATCCGCCTCGGGCCGACACAAGTAAAAAGTAGATTGACAGTAAAGACCGGTGTGGGCCTACATTCCCGCTCCTCCTGCTGTCCCCTCGCCTCTCTCCCCCGTCTTCCGCTTCCGCTCCAAGAAACTATCACCGCGTATCCTCATCCCCTACTTCCTCGCATCGGCCGCAGACGCAGTACCCTGCTGGGCACTCTTGCTTTGCCCCCGATGTGAGGCTTGCCTCCTCCTCATCCTCGTCCCGCTTGCCGATCTTCACCAGCTGCTTCACCTCACCTCGCCGGAGTGAGTGAGTGAGGCCGTATGTACTCTATGCATGTATGTACCAAAACAAAACAAAACAAAACAAAACGTACCGTAGTTCCCCGATCGACGTCGGGGTCGGGCTCGAGCTCACAAAGAACTAAAGTTCTCTGGTGCCTGGACTGTCAACGCTCAAGAACCGAGCAGTGAGCACCGATGTACCTAGATATGATACTATCGAGAGGCAAGCCATAGTACCTACTATACATATCCATTCCAGCTTCTGGGAGGATCACCTACCTACCTAGGTACCTAGGTAGGCACATGAAAGTACTCTATCCATGCGACAGCCAGCCACGTACCAGTACCTTTTCTCGGATCTCCTAAATCTCGAATCTCAAACCTCCAGACCTCCGGTTCCGGATCCCCAGGTCCACCAAGTATGTATCAAGCTCAAACCCCACGTAGGATCTGGTGCTTACCTGTGTAGGCACCGCAGCTGGCGCGTCCGTCCGTCCAGTAGCCGTCCAGTATGTACCAGTACACCAGACATCCTCCGCAATCATATATCATGCGTGAAGTAAAAGCAAGTAGCGGTGATCCGTCTCATCTATTCTCATGATTTCACATGAATCCCATGAATCCCATGAATCCCATGAATCCCATGAATCCCATGAATCCCATGAATCCCATGAATCCCATGAATCCCATGAATCCCATGAATCCCATGAATCCCATGAATCCCATGAATCCCATGAATCCCATGAATCCCATGAATCCCAAGTGAATCCTAGCTATCTAAAAAAACCACACAACAGAAAAAGAACAGAAAAAAGAAAGCCGTACTGTACAATACATCAAGCTACCCCGAACAACAATCTAATGCGGCATCCCCCACCCGGGCATCCCGGGATCATCCCATATGCCCACTGGCGGCTGCGGTTGCTGCTGCTGCTGCTGCTGCTGCTGCTGCTGTTGGGGCACCTGGGCGGGAGCACCAGCAGGCGGTACCCCGCGTCTCGCGCGCATTTCGTCCTCGCGTCTCTGGGCCTGCTGCTGCCGCCACTGGCGGTAGTAGACGAGCAGGGCGACGGCGCCGGCGAGTGCCAGGATAATGATGCTTTCGGCCATGTCCTCGTCGAAGGCGTCGTCGTAGCCATACTCATCGCCGGGGAGGTGTTGTTGCTGCTGGCCACCACCACCAGCACCACCGCCACCGCCGCCACCGCCACCAGCAGCGGCGAGCTCATCCTCCTCGTGCAGAACCTGGGCTTCGGCCTCGGCGGCGGCCTCGTACCAGTTCTTGAGGAACTCGCTGAAGCTGACGCGCTTCTTCTTGGGCTCTGGACCGATGCCCTTGACGCCGCCGTGGGTGATGGTGTTCCACAGTGCGCGCAGGCGGAGCTTGAAGAGCGAGAGCGTCACTGGGAGGTAGGCTTCGGGATTGGTCTCGAACGCTTGGTCATAGTAGCGTTTGGCAAGGTGGAAGTCCTGCGATACGCCGATGCCGTTCTCGTGCATCCAGCCAAGGTTCCAGAGCGCCTGGGCAGATGCCTGGTGTTCGGCTGCGGCGCTGTAGCAGGAGGCAGCCTTAACCGGATCGACTTCCGTGCCGATGCCGGAGAGGTAGTAGTCTCCCATCTTTACCAGGGAGTCAACATTGGCCTGCTTCGCCGATCGTGTCCAGTAGATAAGCGCCAGTTCCTGATCTTGTTGAGCCTTCTCGAGCTGTTCGGGGGTTTTTGTGGGAGCAGCCCCGGCCAGTGCGAGCAGCGTTTCCAGCGGGAAGGCGGATCGGTGTTCGTCGAGGATGTAGGCCACATTTGCCTGGCCGGATTCGTAGCCTTGCTCGGCGGCCATCATATACCCGACCAACGCGCTCTCCGTGTCTCCGTTCTCATACGCTTTGTTGGCCCAAGCCATCGGACTCTGCGGTGGTTCCACCTTCTCGGCGACGATCTTGTAGTAGGCGGTAGCAAGGCCGCAAGACCGGTCCTTGGACGCAGCGGCATTGTTGATTTCAGCCAAGTAGTAAAACGCCTCTACATTTCCGTGCCTAGCCGCCAGCTCGAGGTATCGTTTGGCGTGCTCGATTTCGCCGTTCTCGAGCAGCATCTTGGCATAGTTGACCTGAGCGACCGGAAAGTCCTGGCTAGCCGCCGTCTTGAAGAATGCCGATGCCTTTGCGCGATCCTCCTTGATGCCGTAGCCGTACAGGTACATGTACGCAATGCCGTTCTGCGAGTTCGCATCCCCACAATCGATCCCGCGCTTGAACCACTTGAACGCAAGTCCAAAGTCCTGCGGGCCAGCCTCACCCCTCAGCGCCATGATCCCCAGGTAGCCTGCCGCCCTACCAGCAAACTTCCCCAGATACTGCGGCCCACCGGGGCGAACCTTGCTATCGCGGTCCCAGTACTGTCGAGCAACGCGCAGGAAGTATTCCTTCGCCTTAGGAATGTTCCTCGGAAGATTCCGCGACCCTTCGTAGTAGATCTTGCCCAACGAGATTGTTTCCGGCAGCTTCCCGTCCCTGGCGAGCAGTTCCAGGTATTCGACGATGTCTCCCAGTTCCTTTGCCGAATCGAGCGATTGCTTCTGACGCGCGCCGTTTGCTCCTGATGAAATCGCCGACGCACCCTCGCCGTACACACCTCCCTGATCATCCGCCAGCCGGAAAGTATGTTTCTGGAGGTAATGACCACCTGGCGGTCCCGACTCCCACCAGTTCAATGCCTTCTCCGCCACCCGTCGGTAGTAATAAGCCGCCTCCTCGCAATTCCTCGGCGCTCCAATCCCCTGGTAATGTCGGAAAGCCACTGTCATCTCCGAGCGTGTATTTCCCCCCAGAGCAGCAAACGTATGGTGCAGCATCGACTATCCATCACCATCCCATCAGCAAAACCCCATCATCACAACGGAGCATCATCCCCACCTTTCCCTGGTCCTTCGACACCACCCCACCAATCCCGGTCGCATACATGAACCCGATCATATGCTGCGCCGTCGCATTCGCCGAGTGATCCGCCAGCTGCTTATACCACTTGAACGCGGCGCTGTAATCCCTCGGATGCGACCAATTCCCGTACTAGCCCGCACACACCCATTAGACCCCGTCCCCAATCCCCCCCTCCTCCCCATGAGAGAGCACCTACGAAATTCATCTCGGCGAGCAAAAACAGCGCATCGTTATTCCCCGGTTCAGCCGCCATATTAAGCAGCTCGACCGCCTTCCTCAGCTTCCTGCCATGGACACCCGTCCCTCCGACCACCCCCACATCCTTCTTCTTCATCGACGTCGTCGTTGTCGGCTCCTCGAGCGACTCCGCCGCATGCCACAGCAGCACCCGCTTCGTATAGTACCACGCGGCGCCGAGAAGGCCGCTGTCCTCGCCCGTGGATGAGGAAGCGGACCCAGACAGGGAGATGTGCGGTGCCGGATCGAGACCCCGTAGGAGCGCACGCGCTTCGGTGACATATTTTGAGGCTTGTTCTGGTGCGTGTAAGACTGGTGGGTGCGTGTGGGTGGGGAGGGGGAGAGGGGGGAGAGGGGGGACGGGACGTACGAGAAGGGTCTTCGAGCGATTTAGTTGTTGCTGCGGCGGCGGGTTCGGCGGCGGCGGCGGCGGCGGATGCGGAAGTGGAAGCAACGACGACGAGGAGCAGGGCTGCTGCGGAGGAGGAGCGCGTGGTCAGCGGCGAGAAACAACAACAAAAACAACGTGTTTTATGCGTGCGTGAGTGAGGGGGTAGCCACCTGTTAGACCCGGCGTGGAAGGTTTTTTCCACCTCATCGTGTGACGTAGGTGTGTGTGTAGGTGTCGTTATGCGTTATGCGCGGATGAGCGAAGGTACGAAGGTAAAAGCGCCGAGCTCCGTGTGTGTATCTAAGATGGTAAACTCTGGGGCTGGGCTGCACTTAGAAACAAGGCAGATGGTCGAGATCCAGCTTCATTCCAGATGAGAAGAACTGGGTAGACGAGGGAAAGCGAGCGGAGTTCGTGAATGTGAATGCACCACCAGGTGTTGCGTGTACAGTGTCGTGAAGGTGTGCGTGGTGCTTGCTGGTGGCGGCGGCGGCTCCGGACCGAGAGCTATGCATCACGTGTGGACTAGGAAACGTGGCCTTTGGCCTTTTTGGGTGTCGATTGGACATAGTGAGTCACTCGGTGTACAATCCGGATAATCACATTAATTCTCTCTAGTATCTGCATTTGATCATGATCGTGGTAGTCTAGTAAGGCCGTATGTGACAATCAATTAGTGTTGATTGATTGATTGATTGATTGTTCATACAGCATGGAACCCGAAGGTTATGGCCGATAGAGATATCTACAATACAACATTTCGACAAAGAAATTCCACCACCAAATCCATACAGAAATGACAAGCCAAATCCCTTCGCCTCGCAATATTTTGAAAGTGAGCCTCCGAAGAGGCTCGGATTGTCGGTTTTGCGCTGTAGCGGCGCTTCGTAGCCCTCCTCTTCTCCAAAAGATACCTCCACTCGGTACTACCCTCAACATAACCAGTCTAGCGCACACGGCATGGTGCTCGAAAGGAATCGTCGTCTCGGGGTTTGCATAGCTGTCAAGGCCGGGGCCCGATGAATAGCAGCGAAGATATTTGGATCGAAGGCGGGACTGGCAAAACGCCGGTTGTCATGGTCGACGTTGTCCTGGGCCAAGCCCTGAGCTCTCCCCCTGGAGTTCACTCTCCTCCCTGCCGTCGCCGTATCGCCTGCTAAACAGGCTCTCTTAGAGTGATAAAATCGATGATGATGTGCGGGGAAGCGATGGTGAGACTTCTTCAGAGGTTCGGACGTAGCACCCGTGGTGGTGCAGTTCTCCGGCCAGGGACCGAGGCTCGATTGATCTCTATCGCTTCATGCTCATAGTCGTCGAATTCGTCGGTCGGGGCACTCAATCCGCGGTCGGAAAGAGTGGACACACACGCCACATGAATCCTGAAGCCAAAGTGAGCGGGGCATTTGGTGTCCCAACGCATAGTCTTGGCATTTCTGGAAGGTTGGTGTGGATCTCGAAGGTGTGTGTTTAGATCAATTAGTGTTCTCTTTCTCGCCTTCATTTGATCAAACAATCAAACAAAGCATACACCCCACATTTTTTGGCCCAGTACGAGCATGATCAAATAGCCACAAACGACACCATCATTGCACGGGAACAATCCAGTAACCAGACGAGCACATCATATATCCCTCCCTCTAGCCTACAGTCGTGCCGAACCACAATCGCACCGAACCACAATCGCACCGAACCACAATCGCACCGAACCACAATCGCACCGAACCACAATCATGCCTCGCCAATCGCACAGCAACGACATTTATACGGTAGTATCCAAGTGAAATTCCCACAGGCAAGTATGTATGTAAGTACGCTCGGGTATCTCGCCATCTACATAGCCATCTCGCCATCTCGCCATCTAGCCGCCAGACACTAGGTATAACGCTCTAAAACTTAAAGACATCCTCCTTGGTGTAACCCAGATCCTTCAGGTATCCCGCAATCTCGCCCTGGTCCGACGGCGACTTCTTGTTGCCCGAGATCGCCTTGTACATGCCTGCGAGCTGTCAGTTATCGTGGCCAGTATGATAAGTTTGTACGGTTAGGGGATAAGTACCTGGCGGTCCGCAGACGAAGACCTTGATATTCCCCGACTTAGGCTCTGGCAGGACCGTCTTCAGCAGTTCCTTAGTGACATAGCCCTCCGTCGCCCAGCCAGCATCCTTCGGGGCCTTATCAAGGACATAGAACGCCCTGAAGCGCTGGGGGTAAGTATTCTCTAGCTCAGCCATCTCCTTCTTCAGGAGAATATCGGGCTCGGAGACGTTTCCAAACACGAGTGTAACCTTAGTCTTATCCTCAGGGTTACTAAAGATCGCGCGCATGATCTGGTACATGGGGGTGATCCCCGTTCCACCGGCGATCATCGCGACGTGCTCGTGCTTGTTCGGCGTCCACTCGTACTTCACCAGCGGGCCCTTGAACGATAGCATCTGGTCGACGTTCATGTCGTGCATGTGGCTGGACATCGGGCCGCCCTCGTACTTCTTGACGATGAGATCGAGGTACCCCCGCTCCCCCTCGTCGGAGACAGGCGTGTACGGCCGGATCGTCGGCTTCTGGTCGTTGGGGCCCTTGTACTTGGTGAGCAGGCACGACGCGACCTTGAGGCCGGAGACGTGGTCTTCGCTGGGCAGCTCGAAGCGCAGCTTCTTAGTGTTATGCGTAACCTGCTCGATTTTCGCGAGCTTCAGGTCGACCCACGCGCCGTCGCCAGTGAGCGCCGGGATCGCCGGCGGCAAAGGCTTTGCGGCGGAGGGCAGGCTGCCCGCCGCGTAGAAGTAGTAGCCGATACCCGCGCCACCTGCAAGCACCAACGAGTACAAAAGCGCGTGCGACTTCTTCTCTTCGCCGGCGGCGGGAGCGGAGTAGCTGCGCATGCCCTGCGTCCAGAAACGTCAGTGCCCTTCCTCAACCTCCCCCGCCAAACGCGGGGTAAAACTTACCTGCTTGAGCGGCGCCGCACGGGCGATAGAGCGAACGGTGGAGAATGCGGTGCGGGCGAACATGGCGGTCGTGTGGGATCTGGTCTGTGTACGATTGAGGGCGCGGAGCGGAGGGATAAGGTCAAAAATAAACTGGCGGCAGGCGGAGTTAAGATTTGGTTTCTATGACGTAAGGACGCCAAGCATCTCCGGTGAGGCTTCGGCTTCGGATGTATGGTGGAATGTTTACATATCGCGATATTACAAAGTAGAGTGCACACCCTGGCCCCGGTCGAGACGGAGCGATGAGTAACCGAACCGCTGAGCGATCGGAGGATTAACATCATGCTCGAGACTCGGGACTCGGGAGAAAGAAGAGATCATATTCGAGGTCACGACTGTGGCTGGTGCCATTGACCCGCCGGTCCGCATTGTCGCAGTTTCCCGGGCCGACCGGGCACTCTTACATACACGCGCATACCTATATCGAGTACACATCCACCACGGTCCATATCTGGCCTCCCAAGCAATCCGCACCCAATCCCCCGCAATGCCCTTCCCACTACCACGTATCGCACCCCCTACAGCACGTAACCTTCAAACACGTCTCGCGATCGCAAAACCAACAGGGGGAAGAGCAAACATGCCCCCTCCTCGTGGGCGCCGCACAGAAGTAGCAATGCTCACTGGCGTATTCAATATACCGCCTCCTGGCATTCCCCTCCTCCTCCTCCTCCTCCTCCGCTGCCGTTGTCCCAGGAGTGTATAGGCGGAGGAGATGCCGACAATGCCCCTCGACAGCGTCGTGGAGCGCGTGGCTCACGAGCGACAGCGCCAGGAACGGATGCTGGTGCGCAGAGGTCCAGGGGAGGTAGCGACGCGGCGTGGCCGTGTGTCGTGATACGGGAGAGAGGTGCAGCAGGATTTGCAGGAGCAGTTCGGGCGGGAGTGAAAGCGGCATGGGGGAGTTGCGTGGTGGAGGTGGGGTGGAGGGTTGTCGTGGGGGAGGTAGGGTGCGCGGTCATGTGATTGACGCGAGACGAGGGCGTGCTGCTGCTGCGTCATTCCATCCGCCTACACACCCCTCCTACTACTGAACCACAACACCAACACCAATCACCACCACCACCACCACCACCACCACCACCACCACCACCGAAAAGACACCAACGATGTCCGACCACCAACCACCACCACCCAGCACCCCCGCACCGCCGCAAAAGCGCCGCCGCCTCTCCGCCAGCTCAACACTGAAGAAACCATTCCGCTCGCCGCTGCTGAGCCGTCGCCCGGAGGGCGCACCCGCACCCGCTTCGCCGCAATTTACTCTCCCACCTTCAACACCCACTTCCAAACCCGCCTCCACCCCCTCCAAGCCCCCCGCCACCCCCGGCCCCCCAACCAAAAAAACCTCCTTCACAGCGCCCACATCCACCGCCTCCCCCCTCCTTACACCCCGCACGCCCCGCCGCCCCCTCTTCCCCACCCCCCGCCCCAACACCCCCAACACCCTCCGCTCCAACCCTTCCAGCGACCCCCTCTCAGCCGCCCAAAAAGAACATACCGGCCTTCTCACCCGCATCCGCAGCACCAAGCAAGTCCAAGAAACCGTTTCCCAAGCCCTGTCCCTCGAGGCGAACCCAGCAGGGGACGCAGCCCTCACCGCCTCGATCCGCAAATGGCGTGTCATCGCCCGCGCAGCCGCCGAGGCGCTGTTCGCGATTGCTGCGGATAAGGTGCATGCGCTTGGTGGGCCGGGGGGGGAAGCGTGGCGGGGGTTGGTGGGGGGAGGGGGAGGGGGCGGGGGTGGAGGGGGGTATGGAGGGGGCGGGTTTAAAGGCTGGGGGTGGGATGAGGATAAGAGGGGTGGCGGGGGAGGGGGGGAAGAGGAGGAGGGGGATGGGGATGAGGGTATTGGCGGAGAGGATGAGAAGGCTGCTGACGAGGCTAAAAGGAACGATACTGAGGAGTGGGGGATGGGGTTGATGCTGAAGACGCTGGGGATTCCGGAGAAGATGCTGGGGTGGGATAGGCACGCGGATTGTTGGGTGGATCTGGAGGAGATGGATATCTGATTTGATGGGCATGGATGGGCAACGATGGGACAGGGTGAAGGGGCGTTTTGACGGGATGGCTTTTCGGATTTGATTTGATGCATACAACATACAACATACAGCGTTGGGATGAGACAGTGGGCATTTGCGAGGGCGTTGATTTGGTGTTTTTTTCTTTACTCTGTTGCGGCCTACCTATCGATACTTGATACTTGTACTCTGCATTTCGGACTGGTAATGGATAACTTTATGGTTGGATGCTCAGCCTGGCACTCGTATGATATATCATGATTCCCATAGCTTCAATATCAGAGACCCCTCCACCCACTCCCACCCACGAACTTATCGTAGAAGCCCTCTATCACGACTCCACAAACAACCCCACAAACGCCGTCCTATCCACCTCCACTACCCCCTCCTGCAGTGCTTCCCACCTCTCCCTCCCCCCCTCCTCAGACTCAACCACGCACTTCAGCGCCTTTACCACCGCCCTCAACTCATTCCTAACTTCCTGCATCCCGTCCCTCAACTCAGTCTTCACATCCAGCGCCCCATCCCCCAATCTCACCCAACAAACCGCGACCCCCCTTAACGCCTCAGCCACATACCGTCCCATCCTGGGCCAGCCCACTTTCACTACACAGCCCAGCGTCCTCGCAGCAGCGACCAGTAGCGGCGTGTGCGCACCACCAAACGGGCTCGCGAGCAGCTCCGCCAGCGCTGGCACGACAGTGCCAAGATGCCTGACCGCCCAGACCCCCATTGCGGTTACCACCTGTGCCAGTTCCTGCACCATAACCACGACAACGCGGACATGCTCGTCCGCGAACGCCAAGCCGCGGAGGAACCCCTCTCTCACCACGTCGTCGAGCAGCTTGGCGCGCCTGCGCGCGTCCGTTGGCTCGCGGGCGAGGGCGAGCGCGCAGAGACATCTGTAGGCTGCGCGCTGCAGCGGGACGGCCTCGCGCGTGGGCGTGAGGGGCGGGAGGTAGGATAGCACGGGTAACACGCTGGCCCAGAATACGGGGGCCAGGCCGGTGCGCGATAGGAGGGTGCGGGTGCTGGCGGTTTCATCCAGGCGGACCAGGAGCAGCGTGATCATGGAGATTGCGCGCGTCTTGGTTGAGGAGACGGTGGAGTCGAGAAGGGTTAGGATCGGTGGGATCAGAAGGCCCCATGCCGACTCGATCTCCGTGGCCAGGATGGAAGTGAGGACCCACGACAGGATCGCGATGCTCGAGGGGCGCTGGGATTGCCATGCGGGGGTGTCTGTGTTGATCCGCGTGTTGGTCGTCTCGCGGATGGCGAGGCGCCCTGCGGCGGTGACCCGCGCCGAGGAGGTCGTGCGTGTCGTGAACAGCGGCTTTAGCGTGTCGCGGAGGAGCCCGTCGATCAGGATGCTCCGGGAGCGGAGCGCGGGGGTGGAGTCCATCAGCGCTGTGGCGAGCTGGCACGTGTCCGGGGTGGTCCATGCGTCGGCGGTGGAGGTGAATGAGGCGAGGACGGCGGCGAGCTCGGTGGATGGCGCAGGGTGCAGGGCGGTCAGGACTACGAGGAGCTTGCGGGAGAGCGACTGGTACAGCGGGATGGCAGGGGATGTGGAGGGGTCTTCATGCTCGTCGAATCCGAGCTGTTGTGGCAGTAGCTGCGGGTGTGGCCGTAGGAGCTGCAGGAGGCGGGGTTGCAATTGACGCAGTTCGGAGGGGCTCACGGTGTCGTAGTGCTCGAAGGGAAGGATGGTCGAGCGAATCTGCACGCGCAGTAGTTAGCGCGGCTGCCTCTGCGTCGAGATGATGACGGTATCAACCTCGTCGTATCGATCTTCGAGAGGTCGCGAATCGTCTTCCAAGATAGCGAGACATCCATCGAGTGCGGCTGAAGCATTGAAGGCAGCTCCCCGGTCGGCGGCGGCGCCACAAGCGAGAGCGGCATAGTCGCCTGTGCCCGTCGTCGGCAGCTGCGGTGGGGGTTGTGTGTCCTCCATCTTCGATCTCATCGATAATTGGCACGTTGACGTTCCAACGGTTCGGACGGTGATGGCAGTGGTGTTGGAAGTGCGTACAGAGCGATCGATCACTCACAGAAGCACAGCTACCCCGCCATGTCTCTGACTGCCCCATACCACCACTCACTCACTCACTGACCCACCTACCACCATCATCAATCATCATCATCCATTCATCCATTCATCCATCCATCCATCACACCAGTCATAAAAAAAGTAGTGTACATGCATCGTCTGGATGGAAGGGTGTGTCTCCTACCACTCGCAATCAGTGCATGCCTCGGCTGCGAGCAAGCAGCAGCTACTCTACCTGCTGCTTCACATTCTGCCGCACCATATTGCCATCGCCGAAACATGCGGTTGGTTTTATTCGGTTTCCGTCTGCTCTAGTGACTTTCGCTTTATTTATCCGCAGCAATCACCAGTATCGACCCACTTCTCCCGCACATCTGGCATCCAGTCAGACAATCGCAGTGTCATGTTATGGGTGCTGGCTGCGATGATAAGGGCTGAGAATGAACGGGCACGTATGCCCCGGGATTCTGTTGGGTTAGTTTCGGCATTTTGGGCTGGATGCGAAACGTCAGGAGAACGAGACGGAATGAAGACGGGTGGCAGTGGCCGTGGTTGTGGATGTGGTTGCAGTGGGTGGGTGTGGTGTGTGGGGTGGGCGAGGGTGCGAGAGTGGGTTGGTTGTTGCCGTTGATCACCATGCTGTGCCGTCTATCATCATCTTCATTCTTCAGCCTCCCCCGTTTAGTCCGGGATTCGTTGGATCGGGCGAAACAGAGAACGGTGCTTGCGCTACATGCTGCGGAATCGTCTGCTTCGACTCGCCTCCTCATGAAGATCAGTGAGTTTTGCGTGACCGTTGGCCGGTGGTGCATGTATGTCCCCCGAATGGATGGACTCGCCCTGCCTGCCTGCCTCTCTCTCTGTCCCTCCTTCTCTCCCTCCCTGCCCCAGCCCCAACTCCCCACCCCCCCGCCCCTCAGTTGTTATATTTGCTCCGTCTCGGTGTTTCCAGTAATAATCACCTACACACTCCCCAGATGACTCTCGCTGCCGGGTGCACATTGGGCGCTGGTATGAGTCCGTGTGCGTGTGGTGCATGTGTTTGTATTACTCTTGATATTATTGCTGCGTCACAAAGCCAGAACCAACTCACCTCGACTGACACTCGCCCACCTCTCCCACCTCTCCCACCTCGTCCCCCTCCGTCCACCCCCAACCCCAGCCGCTAATGATGAAATGCTCGACACATGTTTTCGCATGACGGGGTGGTGCCAAAAAGTCAATCAGATCAACCCACTCCCACCCCCCAACCCCAACCCAACCTCATCTTTCTTCTTTTCTTCTCTTCTTTTCAAGTCTTCTTCCCACCCCAACAACCAAAACCGACACCCATCCCCCACCCATTTTTCCGCCTCCACTCACCACTTGTCCCCCGGATAACACTTAAATCACTCATAAACCGCCACCTCCCCCCCATCCGAGTCCAAAAGACTTGCACACAAATCCAAACACACCCTCTCCTGCAACAAAAAAGCAGCCATGGCTCCCCGAAGAGCCAAAGATATCGTCATGTCGGCTCCTCCAGTCGACCATGAGGATTTGATGCGCAAACGTGATGCTGTAAGTGCCGCACTCTTCTTTTCATGTCCTCGTTTATTCCCCATTCATTCCTCATTCCTTTCCTCTTTTCCTCTTTTTTTACTTTTCCGTTTTTCCCTTCGATACTCAATGTTGGTTTCTGCACTGTGCGTCTCTGGACGCGTCGCGCAACCGCCCGAACACAACCCAACGACCACCCCTGATGGCCACTTTCAATGAGGATTACCATCCCATGTTTCCCGTTTCCCACTGCTGCACTACATGCCCCACGAAACAAACATGCCTACCCCCACCCTCCGTCACACAACTGACCCACCACCACGCCTACACCCACACCGCATACATACATGCACAACACAACATGACAAGATGCTAATGCGCCGTCCTTCCCTAGTTCGTTACGTCGATGGCGATGCTGCAGAACGCAGCGAACGAAGCGTCGCGCGCAGGGCTTGCCTACTTCGATCTGGTCGCGCACGGCGTCCCGATCGGCATCGGCATGAACGGCGAGAGCATGGGTATGCATTACTCGCGCGGAATGTCTCTTCCTCCCGGCCGGGCTATGACTGAAGAACCAGAGTACGAGGGCCTCAAGAGGAAGCGCAAGAGGCCCGTCAAGCCCAAGGACCCAAATGCCCCCAAGAAACCCGCCACCCCGTTCTTTCTGTTCTGCTCAGAGGGCAGGGCGACCGTCAAGAGCGACATGGGCGAGGGCGTCGAGTTTAGGGATATCCAGGCCGAGCTGAAAAGACGCTGGGAGGAGCTGGCGATCGAGGAGAAGAAGGTATGTTGCGCCGCGAGTGGTGTGCGCTGGAGGCATGTTCGTGACTAACATGGGGCACAGGCGTGGTCAGAGCTCTACCAAACCAAGCTCGCCGAGTGGAAGAAGACCATCGAAGTCTACCAGCATGGCAAGGAAGCTGCCCAGCAGCTGGCCTCGCAAGCTGAAGAGCACGACCACGACGATGATGAAGATGAGGACGAGGCCGAGGATGCTGTTGCGCCGGTCGCTGCCACTCCGGTCGTTGCGGTCGCTGCCTCCACTCCGGTCGCTGCCCCCGCTGCGGCCGTGGCTGCCGGTGGCTTTACGGCCGTGAACCACTCCAAGAAGGCTGCTGCTGCCGATGCTGATTCCGACGATGAGGATGAGCCGGAGCGCGAGGCGGAGCCGGAGACCGAAGCCGAGCCCGAAGCCGAGCCCGAAGCCGAGCCCGAAGCCGAGCCCGAGGAGCCCGCTGAGCAGGAAGACGATGCTCCCAAGGACCAGGTGGTGTCTTCGGATTCATCGCTGACTCCCCCGCCCGCCGAGAAGCCTAAGACGCCTCGAGGCCGCAAGCCGAGAGCAAAACTGGAGAAGGCGGCTGCTGCTGCTGTCGTCGCCGAGACCCCCACTAGTGAGAAGAAGGCGCGCAAGCCGAGGGCGAAGAAGGTCAAGGAGGCTGAGACCGAGCTGGACACCCCCAAGAGGAAGCCCCGCAAGAGGAGAAAGAGCGGAACTGAGTAGACAGATACCGCTTGTCACTACTCTCGCCCACTTCATCACTCAATCGCACACTCGCACACTCGCACACTGTATATCTCGCATCGATCTGTACTGTACAACAAGGATTTTAGGTAGCGTTTGTTAGTTTGTTAGTTGTTTGGTTGGTTGGTTGTTTGGTTGGTTGTTCGTTAGGTATTGGGTGGTGGGTGGTGGTCGTTCATGGATGGCACGGCTGATGAGATTTTGCTTTGCTTTGCTTTCTTGTCCTCTTACCTCTCCTTACCTCTTACCTTGTCTCCTTCTTCTTCTTCTTCTTCTTCTTCTTATCTCTCCTGTCTTCAATCTGTCTGTCTGTCTGTCTGTACAAGGGTGGACCACGTTCTACATACCCACCTAGTTCCTCCGAGTCGAGTCGAGTCGAGTTGTAGTTTCTTTGCGTAATTTTTGGACGCAGGGCACCAGGAACAGGGAACGAAAGGAATGGAATGGGCAAAAAGTTTCTTCTTCTCTTCTCGTCTCGCGTCTCTCGTGTCTGTCGGTGTTAGGTGTTAGGAGGGTAGGTAGTAATGAGTGAGTAGGCGGGTGGGTTGTTGGGTAACGGGGGGTGTGGGCTTAAGTATCTTTTTTTTGACATGAGGATGAGGACGAGTATGAGGATGAGGGTGAGGAATTGAGTCGAGTCGAGTGGCTTTCGAGAATCAAGAGGACCGAGGCTCGAGTGATGAGACGTGGATCTTACTTGTCGGTGCTGGGCTGGTGGGTAGCATACTTGCTGGTATATAGCATGGTATATATCATGGTATGGTATGGCATGTATTGTACGGGTTCACATAGGATGTATGTACGATGGTTCGCGGGCAGGCGGCTGCTTACTTTGCTTTACTTTGCTCTACTTTACTGTGTGGTAGTTGTGGTTTATGTTTGGTCTACATAATCTGCCATGATCTATGCATACCAAGGTCGAATGCAATGATGATTAAACAAAACAAAAAGCACAGTGCACAGTGTATGGTGGAGATGGGGGTGGAAGTGGACACTGGAGGCAGAGCCAAGTGCACCGTGTTGTGGTGACACATGCAACTTGCTTGCTCGATCGCCGTGTGCGCAGTGCGCATAGCCACTGTGGAATTTCCACTCTGGAGTGGGGGGGGGGGGGGGGGGGGGGGTAGAGTAACGGTATTGGTTTTTGGAGGTTACAGCAGCCTATGGTAACGGAGTGGAGGGTAATAATATGATACGATTGGTGTGAAGGCTGCAAGAGGAGCAGGCTGTAGAACGAGCAGAGCGAGGAGGAGAAGGAAGATCGATCATTTGTGCCACTTGCTCAATCCCCGTGTGCGCAGTGCGCATACGGTAGCTATATTCTGGGGTCTCGAGTCTGGAGCCTGGAATCTGGAGTATGGAGTCTCGAGTCTGGAGTCTGGAGTGGAGGGTGGGGGGTAGAATACCGGTTGGACCGTTGGAGGCTATGTGCAGCAGCAGCCTACAGTAACGGCGAGGAGGGTAGAGTAGAGTAATATTATTTACCATTGGTTCGTGGGCTGCAGAAGGAGGAGGAACAGGCCGCAGAAGGAGCAGAAGAAGGAGTAGGCTGCAGAAGTAGGAGGAGTAGGAAGATTCATCATTTATTCCATTCCATCATTTCATACCATTTCGGCACAATCCAGTCCGTTCCAGTCCCGTCCAGTCCAATACAATCCAGTCCCGTCCGATCCGAGTCGGTACCGTACCGATACTACCGCATGGCGAAATTGAACTTCCGAACTTCCGAACTTCGAAGCGGGCCCGCCGACGATCCAACGGTCAACCTTGAACCGGGGATAAATAGCACTGTAGGAGCATACGGTATGTACATTGTGGGTGTGCGGATGAAGGTTTAGGATCGGGAGTTGGTCGGGACGGTATATTTAGAGTGGTGCAGGTGCCACGGCCCGCCGCCCGTCATGGCGGACGCCTGACTCCAGATTCCGGACTCCAGTCGATTAATCCTGGCTGCTGGGTCGGCGAGTGCTGCTTGGGGAGTGCTGCTTGGAGCGGATATCGATTGTAGGACTTCTACAATTGATATACAGTAGGAGTTAGATGGTATATAGTACTAAATACCACTCCGCTACGAAGCCCGATCTCATGCCCGCCGCCCTATATCAAAGCTCAAAGCTCAACCGACCCCATCATCCATCATCCATAGACCGCGCAGTGCGCTCAAATGGGGCCGGAAGCCGGATGGGTCCGGATGGGGCCGACGTGGTGGACGCGGTGGTTGGTTGGCCAAGTAAGCACCTACTCCAGTATGTACCTACTTCAGCACCTCCATAAGCACCTACTCCAGTACTTTCCCATGTATGATGCGTGGCATAGTAAACCCGGTGAAGGTTCGATGAGCTCCAGCACCTGCCCACCTGCCCACCTGCCCACCTGCCCACCTACCCTCCTACCTAGTACTCTACATAGAGTACTATATGTAGGCACCAGCGCGCTGGTAGGTAGGGCTGAGAATGAGATCGCTTCGACGCTTCGAAGCTTCGTCTTCGGGCCTTCGGGTGGAGGGTGGTGTCTTCAATATCCCATCGACACCCAATGAAAGATATGGAGTACCTACCGGTATTCCACTCGGCTAGGATCGATGGGAGGATGGATGATTCCCGGCGAATCGGCGGCACTGGGACTGGGGATGCGCACTATTTGTTCTACGAGGTTGTGAAAAGCTTGAACACCGGTAGATACGTGGGTGTAGAGTATGTGGATACCGGTAGGTGCTATATCCATGAGATACCCAGTAACCCAGTAATCCAGGAGACGGAGATAGGACCACACTGCACAGAACCCAGGTACGACGACGGCATTGGATATCAGTGTGAGCCTTGGGGAATCGAGGATCACGGCTGCGCTATTAATACCGGTACCGGATCGTCCTTACGATGTACTCCTGTATTGTAACAGTAAAGTACATCATCACCAGTGACCACCTCATCATCATCATCATCATCATCATCATCATCATCATCATCATCATCATCATCATCATCATCATCATCATCATCATCATGGCACTATTCTCGCACCTCGCACCTCAATGCAACCGGCTTCTTGCACAGTCGCACCGTTTCGATTCCACGGTTTCGACTCTGTAGATCACCTTTCCAACCCCCCAACCCTCCAACCCTCCAACCCTCCAACCCTCCAACCGTTCAAAGCCCATCGTCCATCGTGCAACTGTAACGGTGCAAGTCATGAACGGTGCAACCTACCCAGTGCCAAGTCAACCTGCGCATGTCATTGTAGATAACTATTATGTAGGACGTCTATTTATAGCCCCTCCCGAAAGCGGTCAGCTTTAGTTGAAAGAGCTAGAATCTTTGCGGCAAGGGGGGCGACAGAGTACTGTGGCAGTGTGGGTGGTGGCAGGCAGGTGGGCGACGAGCGTGCAGGTGGATGCGGTGGGTGCAGGGTATAATGGAGCTGGACCCAAGCATGCTAGTGTTTCAGCCGCAGTCGTGTCGTATCGTATCGCTGCGCAGTGCGGACGGGCAAACACGAAGTTTTTCATGAGGCGGAGCGGAGCGGACTCAGTGGAGGGGAGTGGGTGGAGTGGGGATATGTATGCCACATGGCCGGCTGAAGCGACAGGAAGCGGGCCTGATCGAGGGCGAGAGTCGTAATTCTTCCTATATACTTCGAAGTTCGCGGTGGATATGGCGGATACCTATGGTGGATACATACGAGAGTGGGCTCTGGGCTTCTGGGCTTCTGGCCACGCGTGAATGGAAATGGTCCGAAGTGCCGGCCGCCCGCGCCGGCGCCGGGTGATCATGTGCGTACTCTACTTATATGGTCGTGGTCGTGGAACTCGCAGCGCTCCTCTGCATCGCATCACGTTCCGGTGGAGCGGTCGCGGTCAGGTCTCAGCCGCAGACCGCTAGAGTAGGTACAGTAGAGTTCACTCTACGGAGTCAGTACTCTGGTTACCTCGTCATCCCCGCCCTCACCGTCAAGCTCTCTCTCTCTCTATCGATGAACCTCATGCTTTCCACTCGCCTCGCCGCAGAGGCGGGAACTCTACTGCCCATGTCCACCTACATAGAACATAGTTCCAGCCTTCCACCCCCGTTCCGTCTCCACAGCATTTCCGGCTCCGAAATTTCACCCACGCGTCCGCGTAGATTAAGGAGCGGCTAGGTAGGTAGACATAGTTAGCTGACAGCCAGGCTACTTGTAACCGGGCTTCGCTTCTGGCGGTGGAGGGTGGATGTGGGTGTGGCGTAATTCGGTGGCTGGGTGGGTCGAGCGCACGGACTAGTACCTACACGTCCGTCGATACTTTACCGGTAACTTTGGTTATGCACGCGGTGCAGCTGCTGCCTGGAAGGAGTGGGGAGACGGGATTCGCTGGATGCACGTATCGCGGCGGAGGAGGCGGAGGAGGCATAGGTGTAGGTAGTAGATGAGACCGGCGATGCTTCGGCTCTGTGGAGGTGAGGCGAGGGGCGGGACGAGAAAAGCGAAGAAGAAGAAAAGAAGCGCGGGACACGAAACGGGTTTGAGGATGGGTTTGAGGATGGGTTTGAGGTTGCCGTGTACTCCAGTGACGGCGAGTCAGCCACTGGTGCTGGATTGTCTGGTCCGCGCGTATTTGACTCGACGATTACGCTATTAGGTAGCAGACACCGCTTTAGCCGCGTGGACAGGTTATTTGAATCCTCCTCTTCCTCTTCTTTGTCTTGATGTTCTTCTCTCGAATCGACGTTGTGGGCGGTTCATGATCAACGTTGGCCGGAGACGGCGATTAAAAATACCTGCATACAACACATGCATCCTCCACCGAAGCTGGCTGGATCGCTGTTCGGTTGGAGGGGATCACGACACTCTACTTCGGTGGACCCTGAATGCGCGTGGCGTGCGGAGAAGAAGGGACGATCATGAGCCTAGCCACACCCTATGGATCGTGCTGCATGATTCCGGCTTTGTGGTAGACACCAGACCCTCCAGAATGGATGGCGAACGGCGAACAGCGAACAACGAACGTGCGAACGAATCACAATGGAGACATCGACGTGCTGAAAGGTACGGTCGCGTAGAGTAGCAAACGATACGCACACACGCACGCATCGCGAAATCGCCCGCTCGCGACATCTCCAAGAAACGCCCTCACTGCACACTGCAAAGCAGCAACGCAGAGCCATTTTTATTCTTATTCATTCTGCTGCGGCTGAGTGATTCCTTGACTGACTGCCGCCCCTCTTTGGGACCCTCTAGCGTCCACTTGCACCGATCCAGTAAAGCACGGTAGGCTTCGCTCTGCCCTTCACTGCCACTCTTGCCAGGCCCACCATCAATAACCACACTAGCATGCGAATCCCTTCCCACCCCCCATCCATCTAACCTCACCCACACCTGCCATCCTCCTGCTTGCTGCAAGCCCCCAATTTCTTCTCACCGTCGCTTCACCACCACCCTCCCACATTCCTTCGACCCTTTCCCTCTTTTCCTCTTACATACTCTCTTACCTGTTGCACTACCACTTTCTTTCCTCGCGAGGGGTTTCTCATATCATACTCGTTCTTCCTTCTATTCCGCTCGTTCGCTTCGACATCTAACTTCCATCCTATCGACCGACCGTTCCCTCCCTCCCCTTCTACGCCCGTGTCGTCTACCAACTTACTTTCAACCTCCCTCCCTCCCTCCCACCCATCCCCCCCAATCGCGCCGACACACAGGAAAAGAACGAATCAGAACATCGTATCGCTCGGATAGAATAATCGAAAGAATCGGCCTAGCTAGCTCCTCCTCGACCTCCTCCACGTCGCATCCCCTTGCGATCCTTCCTTTACGCACGAACTCCCTCAACCCTAGCAACACCATCCATCGTCGTCACCACCAACAAACGATTTTCCTCTTCAACATCGCCTCGACGGCGGGAAACGTTCCCGTCTAGACACCGCAACTATTCCATACGGTAGCAGGAATTCCCTGCTTGGAGGCGGAGGCCCGCGTTCAAGAGGGATGGTTTACCGCCCGACGACACCGTGGAGTTGGAGCTTTTTGATTTTGGCGTTTGTGCAGTCGTGCGTAGTGCTGGCATGTGAAGGGTGAGTGGGAGCGATAACCCATCTAGATGTGGGGACATCGGGTCGCGGTCCGATATATGGGTGGAGACAGGGCTGATGGGAGGATCGGTTGCAGATATGTCTTTGCGACTTTCCAGAACAACTTGATCAAGAACAATATCTTGGATCTGAAACCAAAGAATGACACGATCGCGGCGTACTCGGAGGTCGAGTTCCAGAAGGCGCAGACGCGAACCATCCCTACGTAAGTATTCACATGCTTTGGCGCGCCATACCCCGGCCTTTCGACTGCGATACTGACGATGCGATGCGACTTGTAGCTACCTGACGCTGTTCATCTTCGCCCACATCTTCCTGGTTGCTCTTTGCTACGATGCGCTTCGTCTTAAGAACACGATTCAGGTCATCGGTATCTGCATCTTCAACCTAGCGATGCTCATCTATGCTGCCATCCAGATGGATCAGATCAACGATGCGAACGATGCTCTTTCACCGGATAAGATCCAAGATAAGAATCTGAAGCTCATGGAAACCGACATCTGGGGCGCCATTAGGCCGTTCCTGATTACCATTCCTTGCGTGATCGCACTGTCGACTGTTCTCATGGGTGTTGTGTGCTGGAAGTTGTACGATGAGTTTGCATGGCGCATCTACAAGCATATCAGTGCCGACCTTCGCATGAAGAAGCGTTACCTCACCTTCCAGGTTTGTTTGACCCGCGGACCACGCTCGCGAATCGAATCTGTGTGCTGATCTGCTGGACTGTAGATTTTCATCGCCCTCCTGAAATTCGACTTTTTCTTCTTCGTCGGATTCACGGTTCAATTCATTGTCATCGTCGCGTCCACCACCGGGTTCACCAAGAACCAGAGCAACACGATCGGCGGGAAGGATTACGAGTTTTATGTCACCATTGCTGCACTGCCAATCACCATTGCCTTCCTAGCGACGGCTGCATTCTTCACCCGTAGGGAGAAGAGGGGTGTCATGTGGGGTGTCGTGGTCATCCTGTTCGCGGCGTTGGCATACTTCATATTCAAGCTGGTGCGCATGTGGACCCCGACCTACGAGGAGACGTACAAGCCTGCTCGACGAAGTTTGACTACTTTCGGTATGTTGCTTCGGAATGTTGACACCTGATGTGCGGACGGATGACTGATATTTTCTCGTTTACAGCCGTGATCACCATCTTGCTCATAATACTGACGATCATAAATGCGATCGCCTGCATTATGAACTTCGACAAGGGCCTCAAGCCGCACATCACCAAGAGAAAGGTGACGGACGAGGAAGACAAGAACAGCATGACAGAGATGAGTGCGCACATGTCTCAACCTATGCAATCGAGGATGACGATAGATTGAAGGATACAAAAAAATGAGAAAAAAATATTGGCTGGGAATTCGGGTATTCATTGGGAATTATCTTCCGTTTTTTTTTCTTTGTGGATGCACTTGTGTTTTGTTCTTTTTTCTTTTCCGTGTGATCTATTTTCTTGTGTCCCTTGTTTTTTTGTTGTCCGACGATGTATCAAAGTCTGGCCGGCGTTTTATTTGAGATCCATATCCGATATCCAATCTTCCTTCTTCTTCTTTCCCAAGCCTTTTTTTTATCATCAATTCGGGCTGTGTGTGGTTTTCTCCCTTTCATTTTCTTTTGTTTGCGGCGTTTTATTTTTATTTTTTTTTATATTTTTTTTCTTTTATTTTTTTTCTGCTCTTCTCTCCAGCTGCTTCTTTTTTACTCTTTTACTCACTACTGAGAAATTGGTATCAACAAAGGAAAACTTGAACTGAACTGAACTGAACTGCGAACTGCAATCGTGCTTTGCTTGCTTGCTGGCTCTAATAATGTCTCTGTTTGTCTGTCACCTGGAATTGCTGGCTTGTACAATACCTATGCGGTGGTGGCTCTTCATTCTTTCATCTCTTATGGAGTATTTGGGACAGACGGTGGGTGAGGTGGAGGAGCCTGGAGGGGAGCGTACTGTATTTACTATCACGATATTCCAAATTTGTTTCTTTCTCTTATCCTTCTTTTCTTTGTTTTACTTTTTAGCTGTGGTATCTACTCTGGGCGGAGAGATAATGGGGCTCTGGTCTGGGGGAATCGGGGTACAGGTGGTGGGGGGATATCGGGACTCGGGAGTCTGGAGGCGGATTATATGAATAAACGACTGTATACTTTTTATCTACTTTCTACCAGCTGGGTTGCGGCGGCGGGCGTGGGCGTGGGCGTGAAGGGTGGGCAGCGGTGCGGTGTGGTGCGGCGAGTGATCGTATGGACTTAGGAGGGCTGCATTGCCGGTGTGCAGTCCTTCCTCTTTCATGCGAAGTAAGTACCTGGGTAGGAGGGTTGCACTCTCCCCTCCAATCCAGGCATACAGTATAGGTATCCAGGCCATCCGCCAAATGACGATCTGGTTATCACTCGAGCTCGAGCTCAGAGCTCCATGGCTCCCGCCAACGTCCCCAGAGTCCACCTACAGCTACCTGCACGACAGCTCCATACCCAGGACGCGCCTCCACACCCTCCCACTGCTCCCACGCGCCGTTACTGCCCTATGCAGACGGGGGCTTTAGCATCGTGCCCACTGCCCGCGGCGCCCTCCGGCGGGGACCGACAGTCTACTTCCAAACGATAGGTACCCAGGCAGCCCACAAGCGGAAGGTGGGGTGGACCCCGGCGGACCCTGGCGGGACGGGACACACCGATGCCCAACGAACGAACGGGCGTGCAGCATCCCGCCACGAGGGGAGGGGCGGATCGTCGATAACAATCCGCGATTGGTACTTACCTGGTATGTATGTAGGAGAATTGCGGGATGGGATGTGATGGGGATGGGGGGATGGGATGGGATGTATAAAACCCCCCGATCCCAACCAGCCAACCAACCAACCAGCGGCGAACCGCACATCCACCGCACCTCCCCGCCAAAATGCACATCCCCGCCGTCCCCGCCGTCCTCTCGCTCCTCCTCGCCTCTGCCGCCGCCTTCACCACCTCCACCCCCAGCAGCCCCTCCTGCACCCTTCACGACCTCCGTACCCTCTCCTGCCACAACAGCACCTCCATCCCTCCCTGCTGCATCGAGTCCCCCTCAGGCCTGCTGTTACAAACGCAATACTGGTCGTCCCTCGGGCCCCAAAACTCCTGGACGATCCACGGGTTGTGGTCCGACTTCTGCGACGGGACGTACCCGGCCTACTGCGATGCCAGTCGCGCCTACCCGAGCGCAGCGGCGGTCGTCGGCGGGGCACTAGAGAAGTTCATGCGTAAGTACTGGCTGGACGTCGATGGCACGGGCGCGGCGGTGGATCCGGCAGAGCCCGACCAGGGGCTGTGGAAACATGAGTGGGATAAGCACGGGACTTGTATGAGCACGCTTGTGCCCGGCTGCTATGGCGCGGGGTATAGGCCCGCGATGGAGGCGGCGGATTACTTCAAGGCTACGGTGCAGTTGTTTAGGAGGCTGGATACATTCAAGGTCCCCCCCCCCACAGATAAACTGCGGACGGCGGACGGCGGGCTGACCCCCAATAGTTCCTGAAGAAATGCGGCATCACGCCCTCGGCCGCCAGGACGTATACGCGCGCGGAGTTTGTGGGGTGTCTGGGGGCGGCACATGGCGCCACGCCGTTTGTCGGGTGCGATAGCGAGGGGAGGGTTAATGAGCTGTGGTACTACTACCACTTGCGCGGGAAGGTGGTGGACGGGAAGTGGGAGGAGACGGAGACTACACGGACGAGTTCGTGTCCTGAGACGGGGATACGGTATCTGCCCAAGTAGTGAGTGTGTGTATATAAGGTAAATATGGAGGAGAACGGGAGAGGTGGTGGGCACTTGGTATTACTCGCCGGAATATAATAGCCACTCACGGCGATTAATCAAGAAACAAAACGAACCCATTCGTCCTTAGATATCAAACTGTCCATAATATGATTTGCTTCGGCTCAATCATCAGCGTATATCTTCATTATAGTATCACCACCATTATTGTCACCATTATCATCACCATCAACAGCGCAAACACAAAACACAAAACAGTGTAGGTATAACAAGAAGAGAAGCAGACAAACAAGCAAGCAACAACATATTTCATCCTTCCGACAAAAAGCCACCAAGCAAAGCAGCCAACCCCCAAGCAAACAGAGCAGCATGATATATCAATACCCAAACCCAACACGCACATGACCGAAGAAAATAGACCCAGTCGGCATGGATACTACGACCAAAATACCATCACAAAAACCGGTTCAAGAAACGCAACGCACAAACAAAATCAAAAAACATCTAACGCCTCCCAAAACTATCCAACCTCCCCATTCTTCCCGGCCCCTGCTGGACACTCTTTGCAACGATCGCATCCATAGCCGCGATACTCTCGATTCTCTCCTTCTGCTTGGCGCGATCCTTGAGATACCCCGATGCCTCGGGTCGCATCCGTAGAATTCGCAGGATCATGTCGTCGTTCGGTTCGGCCTGGGCTTCTCGCCACTTCTCCTCCTTGGCTTTGCGCATAGTTCCCAGATTGCGTTTATTCAGCACACTCTTTGATCTCGAGACGCCTGGGACGCCGAGTGAGGACGATGAAGAGGAAGAGCCGCCGGTCATGAGTTTCTGTCGTAGAGCCTGTTGCTTGGCCGCCTCGGCGTTGCCGATACGCTCACTGTTGCGGATCAAGTCGATGGTTGGTTCAAAGTAGAAGAAGTTGAGTGATTGCAGCTCGTGGTATTTGGGAGATTTGAGGTCGTTCAGAGGAACACCTGTGGCCTCACCCGTCTGGTCGTCAACGGCGTGGAAGAAGTCGAGCATCAGCTGGTTTCCAAGGTAATGGGTTAGCCGGTGTATGCACAGATCAGTGAAAGGACTACCTGAAGCCATTTGAAAACCACTTCCATCTCTTGGGGCGTCAACTGTCGCTGCAGCGACGGCTTGTCCGAAAGCGTCGGCACGAGTAGCGATTCGAGGGTGACCAGTACTTCTTTCCACAGCTTGGTCATAACCAATTTCATCGCCGATGGGGTGAGCGTCTGGTTCAGGATCGCGAAGTTCTCATTGAAATAGTCCGTCAACGGTGTGAGGGCGGCGGCAATATCAGCTTCGGTGATGGGCTGTGATTGCGTGGATGCCGGCCTTGCTCCGAATCCGGCCCGACTGAACAGACCAGACACTGCCGAGATGTTGTATCCCTTTGAGAGAACATTCTTCAGGGCGTTCCGGGATAGACAGTAGTGGATGTATGCAGACAGCTGCACAGGCGTAAGTGACGGATCAAGACGGTTCGAGCGGTGGGACTACCTTATCGGTGATCTGTCTAGTCATATCTCGCTCGGTTCGCTTCAGATTGCGGAACGCTTTTCCGAAATGAAACTGGATATCATCTCTCTCGCCCTCCATACTTATCCGCAACAAAAGTCGTCCTTGAGTATCCAAGTCCAACCAATATTCCTTCGGCATGTAGTCCATGAAATTCGTCGGGTCCAGCTTGAGGCTTGCACGGCCCAAACAATCATGATCACCCATAGTATCCCAATCCCACAGAGTCGCTACCAAAAGAATCGAACCCTGAGTGGTGATATCGAACGATTCCTCCCACCGCGGGTTCAAATTGTTATAGACGATCCTCGTCTTGGCCAGTCTCTTCTGGTACTCGTCACCCAACACGACGTATGGGTCGCTACCCCCGCCAATATCCATCGCTTTCAGATCCTCTGCCTCCATGATCTTAATAGTAAAAACGTAGGTATCCTTCTTGTCTCGGGCCCGGGGTGTTTCGTTTTGGGCTATAATCTCTGCCAACGCGTCAGCGTTAACCGATTGCTCCAGCTTATCGAACTGGTCGATCGCGAATTCGATGTTGTTGAGTTTTAGACACGACTGCGGCAAAAGTTAGTAAACATGCCCCAAGGATTGTAAATAGCTCGTATATACCTCTGGGGCGAACTGATACGGTTCAATCTTCTCCTTGTTGGCCCAAGCCTCCTTCGCAAGCGATACCCATCTCTGCTGTCTGCTCTGGAGCGCTGCAGCTTCTTCTTCTGGAGTTTTCTTGCCCATCTCAAAGGTAAACACGTATTCCAGTTCGGAACAATAACGGTTGATGCCCTTGCCCAAGATCTTTGCCATGACGGTCATAAACTTGGCATATTGAAAGTCGTCCCCCCATTCCAGTTTCTTGACTGAGTCGATCGACTGGTTGAATGACCGGAAAATGTCCACCGCCGAACTTGTATGTCTTTCATTGCCCATCTCTTGTCCTTCCGGCCAGTGATGCATATTGGTATCTTCTTTGATAGCCGCTTCGACCCAGCCAACGACCTTCGAGTCAACAGTCTGGAGCCATCGCTTGGGGAACGGGATGAAAAGATCCTCAAGATTGACCGGCCACGCTCCTTTCGGGAAGACGGACTTATATATCCGCCGAATTTCGGACAATTCCTTGTACAGTTCGAATCCGTCTTCAATCGACATCTCTTCCCCTTCATCTTGGTACATCTGCATGATCTCTTGGACGACCTGTTCGGCTTCAATGGCAAACTGCGGAAAGACGACCTGTACGAATATGGTGATTGGATCGACCTCGCTAGCGGCACCGTCAGTAACCGACCTCGGAAATTTCAGGTTGGTGCCGGTCATACCCCATAATTGGCTCCTTGAACCTCTTCTGAATCCGCTCACCCAGCTTCGTGACCCGTTGGGCGAAGGTGACTACATGGAGCGGATCCAATCGCTCAGTCTCCCGTTTCACCATAATCTCCTCGTGTACAATTTCCTGCAGCACCGCCGCCGCCCTACTCCTCAAGCCTTCCTTTAGTTGCTCGTAGTAACTGTCCATGTTGGGTGGTGTAAACTGCTCGTTGTTGTATATGTACTGGTCGAGAACCCACATAACCGGTCCGATTGGAATCGCTTTTTTATCATATGCATGCTGCAAGATATCGTACATTTCACGCAGGATAAAGTCGTGTATGGTAGACAACATCTGACTGTAAAGGTTCTGGTCCGTGATTGTCCAGGTTGTCCAATGGCTATCAGCGAGTTCTTTATCAAAGTACATGAACGCGTGCTCCAGCATAGGTAGCCCAACTTCCCCCTCCTGGTATTTCGTACGGAGGGAATCTAAGAATAGTATCATCCTCGAGTATTTGGGCAACCGCCACCGAAGGGCACATTGGCTCAGAAGATCCATAGAGGCTTTTGACATCAATCTCACTGGTTCATCGGATCCGGGGATATCGATTGGCTCAAACTCTGTATCGGGATCATTGAGGTCGGATGTCAAGCATCGGCTGATAACGTGACGGTAGCAGCCGCGCGCATCGTTGGGGATGTAGGCGTAAAGTTCCTGATCCTCGAACCCCGACCCGTTCAAGTCCGGCGCCGATGATCCGTAGCCGGCAGGTGCCTCGTACATGGATGCGCGCGCAGAGATGGGAGTACCGTATGACGACATTCGGTTGTTGGGATTGAGTGGCGAGTGGAGCAACTCTTGGTGTGTCCGCCCCATCAGCAATATGAACTCGGCCACCTCCGACTTCTCCGCTTTCTTCCATGCTTCGTATGCATCGTCCAGATCAAAATCATCGGACCGTAGTGTTCCTCCAGCGCCAGAGCTGAGATTATTCATGTATAACTTCATGTCCTGGAAGGCGGCCTTTTCCGTCCACACCGCTTTGTTCTTGTTGATATCCTCCTGACAAGTAGAGAGTGGGACATTGAACACCCTTGCCACGGTCTTCACCATAGGCATATCATTGACGTCGTAGCTTAAAGGATCCGGGGGCCCTAGAACCGTCGCTGTACTCTGTCGCCGGCTGTTGCTGCCACCATCTTCCACCAAGTTCTCGTCATGTCTCAACAGCTTCTTTTCAAGAGTTGCCAATCGTGTCGTCAACTCGGGATTGCTTGATGCCCAACCATGCTCTCTGATGATGATGCTCATCAACCTGACAAATAGAGCTACGTGCCGATCGACCAATGGCTTCCAATCCTCGGGTCTCAACGTTTGGAGCTCTTTTGTCGCGTGCGTGTAGAAGATAAGGAGCAAGTCCTCCGGTCGTCGGGATTTGGAAGTAGTTTCGTAGTAGCGCGGCTCGACAAAGGCGCTGTAGAAGGAGCCGAAAGTACGTTTCACTGCCACATCTCTGTATTCAACCTGTGTGTCCCGGCCCACCACGACACTCTCGATCCGCTTCCTCAGCAACGGCAAGAAATCTTTTGGCAGTCGGATACTCTTCGTCGCATCACGCTGGGTGAGGCCGCGCGAGAAGTCGGCGACGAGGTCTTGGACATTGATGGTGGACATGCGGTTGACGTTATGCAAGGGCATAGGTGCGGGCGCGGGAACCTGACGTCTAGGGCGCGGTTGGAGCAGGTAGTTCAGATAAGCGGTGCGAAGGGCGAACGAGTAGGCATCGTCGGCCGTCCCCATGATGGAGTGTCTGGAGCGTTGCGAGACGCGAACACTCCTCCGATGGAATCCTGCGGACATCGTAGCGTTCGATACAGAGCTGGCGGTGCTATGCTTTCTCTACCGGTTCGCTCGGCTGCGTATACGTATGCGTTACGGCTTCCCCTTCTTCTCGTTCGATTCTCGTTTAGTATGTTTCCGTCTTCGTTCCGTTCTCGTCGTCGTTCGATGTCGTCAGAGGTATATCGTGGTAGCTGAAGCGATAGTGGGAGGGAACTCTGTTCGGGACAAGCTCTTGCTTCGGGCGCGGGGGGTAGATGGTTTAATGACGGTAACCAGCACGTAGCGAGTCTTGGCGTTTACACGGGAGACCACCAGCATGAGACATGGAACACGACTCTACCTCTTGATCTCACTCGATTGTTATTCTACAATGACAGACGTCCATATAACTGAGGGGTATTCTTCATACCATTTGACGGCCGTTCGTTCTCGCCAATTTGGAGGCTTATGACCTAGAGATGACCGAACTCAAGTACCTGTCCTGAAGCCTGTTGGTGTTTCACCCTGGATGATGCTGTAAATAGCCTTTGTAGCTTGTGCCGTTAAGCGCCAAAACATCATATGGGTTTCCAAGTGCATCATCGGTTGTCATGCGACGGGGGAAGCTCATCAATCGGTCTGCATGAGATATTGGTCTTCATACTCTTTGTAATCCACTAGCTCTTTCCCACTGGTCTAGTAGCGATTAGCCCTTCGCCGTAGGCGAAATCCAACTCTATACCGCTGCGGTTTGGACCACTTTTGCGCTTATTGACGAGGCAATGCGGGTGTTTGCCTAAAAATTCAGGGTAGAAGCTTGCTCGAAGACCTGATAGCGAATTCAGTACCGCAACCTTTCACCTAGCCACCCGAAACCATGTTTTCACACGGCTCTATACCTACTCTATCTCGTATTCTGATTTCGCCAGCGGCAAGCGGCACCACTGCTATTGATCTAGAGTGATATCTATGATTATGCTTATCTAAAACTGCCACCGAGTTCTCATTGTTCCTCCTTCCCACCTTGAATAGCAAAAGCAACCGACCTACATAAAACAGGGCACATTTCCAAGCTTTTCGATCCATCATCTAGTTTGGAGCGATTCTTAAACTTTCATGCTGGTAGTAATGCCATTACCGGTAGTCAGCAGAGGCTACTACCTGCTGGTAGATAAACCACTCCCAATTGAAAAATTACTTCTCGCCAGTGCTTCCGCCTCTGAGTCTGAGCAGTATCCTCGCCTTCAGATCCGTCCTAACACTATCACTCGTCCAAAGCCTGGAAGTATGTAAGCCCGCTATGCGCCCCGATGGACTGCCTACAGAGAATTTCCTATCCGACCCTCTGGCCACAAACCTCAAACGAAGACATACCTGCGGCAGCGGCCAACTCGAGGCTCGAGCTCGGGCCGGCCGCGTGCCATCTCACTGATTGCGCCCATAGAGCCGAGCCAAATCTCGCCCCCGTGCTCTAACAAACTAAAACCTAGCCATCACGACCACCTTGATATCTTACCGCTTGGCTTGAGGGTAAGTACCAACGTGAGATACCTCTCCGTGCGAACGATACCGGCATCATTCCCCGCTGACAGCAATCCCGCTCAGTTCTGGGTACACACAGTTATGCCATATCCGGCACGCTCGGGCGAAGCGCTGGTCCGAGTGAGTGATCGGGGGGAAGTTTGCGTTGAACCGCCCGTTCTACTAGTAAGGTTATAGCTTCTAGCTTAAGCAATCATGAGATGGAGATGCCGTGGAAAACGGTTCAATCTTCCGTGCCGAACAGTGGACTCTCACACGGGCCGGATGTGACCGCCTAAAAAAACCCGAGTGAGGTACCCATCTGGAGGCTAGAGCTTTACAGAGTCGCTGAAAGAAATTTGACCAGAAATCAGTGATGATGGATCCGGTATGCCAGTACCTACAACGCAAAACAACTATCATATGAGAGGTCTCCGTCATTATATCGCACTCGCCCTTGCCGGCCCTCCCGGCCGGCGATGCACACGACCTTCCAACGAACGGCGCCACATCGTGCTGGCTGATAACGGGGTCCTAGCCTCCAGCCGGCCAAAATGGGCTGGAAAGGAGTGTGATGGTTCGCCATAGTCTAGATAGGCTGCATGCGAAATAAAACAGGAAGATCTCTCTCTCTCTCTCGGCCTTCCAACGAACATATACCCGCCAGCTCACCCGTTGGGCCGCCCTGCAGATCATAACCTCCGCCATCTCCCACCATCTCCCGCAGCTGCCCGCTCAGCTGCCCGCCCAGCCGCTCACCCACAGCTCTGACAGCCCCGCCCCAACCGGACCGGACCGGCCGGCGTTCCCCCTCCGCAGCCTGCACTGCAGGCGGACTGTAGACATGAAACACGAGGTACCGTAGATAAGTACATACAGACCTACATACATACAGGGGAGCCACGTTGGTATGTACGTGTGTAGGCATGAAGTATGTACGTCGTCGAAGGATTGAAATTTGTGCAACGCTTCCCCACCATCCCCCCACACCCCACGCCCCACATATCCCACATCCCACACATGCCACATCCCACTTCTGCCCGCCCCCCACACCTACACTCACACGCCAACCCACACACTCACACGCCAACCCACACGCCGATCTCGTATTCGGAGCTTGTTTGAAGTTTGTAAGGAGGTAGGAAGTACTGAGTATATAAGGTTAAGGTTTCAACGAACGAATTGGGGGAGGTAAGGGAAAGCCTCAATCGAGATCTACGATTCTCTTCGATTCGATCTCTTGTGCTCACTCGCCGGCTGCGGCGTGGGAGGAAAGGTCAGCAAGTAAGGAAGGGCGGAAAGCAGGAGGTCCATCTCGTTTCCTCTCCCAGCCCAGCCCAGCCCAGCCAGCCAGTCAGCCAGTCAGCCAGCCAGCCGTTTCCTTGGGGTTCCTCAACTGCGGGGAGAACGTCGTTTCCATCCCCCCCCAAAAAAAAAAAAAAAAAAAAACCTCCGGCCGTCATCCAGCCGTCTGAGCGTGGCATTGCAAGGCATTGCATGGCGCCCATTGCATGGTTTGTTTTTCCATTTCATTTTATTTTTTTATTTCCAACCCACCAGGCATCGGAGCGGCATCGGAGCGGCATGGGAGTGACATGGTGGTGAGTGAGTGACATCGGAGCGGAGTGGTACGACTGGAACGTCATCGAGACGATCATGGCTGCTTCAAGATTGTAAGTTGTGAACGGCCGGTGTCCGGTGTCCGGTGGTCGCGATAGTAGACAGGTATCTAGAGTACCTAGAGTAGATGCGCCGATCGATGAGTGTGTGCACGGCGTTGACTAGTGGAGGCAGAGCGGTTGGTGGGTGTTGGTTACTATGTGTAGCAAGTGGTTGTCGTTTGTGGATGTCGCAAGGGATAGGAATAACCATGCATGCGATATCACTCGTGGAAGGCCAAGACCGACGGGGACTCGGGAACTTGGGAGCGGCGATGGGAGGCCCGCATGCGGACGAGTGCAAGATATCAGGAAGTCTGGTACGGCGTGAGGGCGCGCTCATAGCCCTGACCTTGATCGAATAGGTAATCAGACAGCGCCTCGCCCGCACGTCCACACTGTCGTGGGAAAAATATCCAAAGCATTTGGCTTCATCCTTCACGACGGCAGCATCCAGGTTCCAGAATGTTTACAGCTTCCGTCCGTGGGGATGGATGGTTCCGGCTGCCCGCGCCGCTTACTTACATCACACAAGTTACCCCATCGCCATCGCCGCCGGCGCCGTGGGTACGAGCGAACGGCCAACGATCGGCGAGGATCCAAACGCATTACGGCGGCTAGGTAGTGACATAGATGGTATGTACAGTTGGTTGCGCACAACATGGTGTAGTACCTATCCGATGTATGTAGTATCTGTAGTATCCGATGTTACCGGACGATCCCCCTCGCCCCTCGCCCCTCGCTCACCGCCCCTACCGTCTCTCGCAAACGACCGTCCGTCCCAGATTCATGTAGTTCTCCCCCGTTCCCCGGTCCTGCCGGCCCTTGCCGGCGCACGGATATCCGATCCCCGCACCCTCTCCCCTAGCCGCATCCATCACCGCCGGCCACCGATTGCGAACCCGCCCAGCTAGCTATCCAGAGTACTCTTTGTAAGCCGTGACGTGTCCGTCCACCCGACGCACGCGTACTCTACTCTACACATCCCCAGGCGTGCATTCTATCTACGTCTTCGGAGGGGTCGGAGGGTCGGGGGCGGCGATGGGGATTGGGATGTGTGGACTGTGGGCGGCGACAACAGCGACGACGTCGGTGCACGCACGCGAGCGTGACAGGGGCCGGGCCATGCGCATGCCCATGCGGCCCGTTGTTGTTCGTCCGCCGTTCGCCGCCATCAGCCATCCACTTTAAATCCACATCCATCCACATCCACACCTGCGGCCTGCATGTATGGATGTATGTGCGGACAGACAGCCTACATACACACATCCATCTATCTACTCTACATCGAACATGTGGCACAACGCAACCGAAAAACGGTCCCGTCACGTCGACGCAGGGTCTGCGGCCGAGTGGAGGGGGGAGGGAGGGAGGGAGGGAGGGATGAGGAAAGGGATAGGGGATGGGAGGGGAGGGGAGGGATGCAGCAATGGAGGGATGAGATGGGGCCATGGGGTGGCCATTGGGGGCCGTGGGGCGGCATGTATGTAAGCAAGCATGCGGGTGGAAAAGAAGGAGAGACAACTCTTGCCTTGGTGATGTATCTACTCTAAAGTACCAGTACGGTGGAGTAGAGTAGAGTACCTACGAAAGGATCCACACTTGCTACTACTACAACATATCAAAGTACCTACTCCACCCGCCGTCGCCAGCGGTCGGCATCTGGAGTATGTAGAGGGATTAAAGGTCCACCCGGCGCACAGTATCTTTGTAGTTACATGTGTGATAGTTACACATGCGGGCACGGATGCCAACAAGCAAGCAAGCAAGCACATCACCGCGGCCGCCTCCCTACCTCCACCACCTCCCTACCTCCCCGCTAGCTGGCCACCACCATCAGCCTTGCCGCATTGATACCCGCACCGCGTCCGCGAGTCCGTTCTGAGCAACAGCATCCCGAATAGGAACCGCATCGTGCTGGCAAGACAAGCTGGCAATCGCATCCACCACATCCACCACGCGCGTTCGGTTCCTCAACTGCCCGATGTATCGATCCCTCCCTCCAACCATCCATCCATCCATCCATCCACATCCCAATCTGGGTATCCCCCTACCCCCTACCCACCCTCCCCCCTCCCCGCCTCGTCGAATCAACCAGACATTCCGCATGCGGGACATGGAGGGGGCACTACGTCAAGCGGCAGCACATCGCATCGCAGTTACACGGCACCGCTTTTCGCAAATCGGCTCGCATTCGGCGCAGTGGGTACGGTACGGTACTGTACGTGGGTGCAAACGACGGGGATGGGTGGAGCCAGGTAAGGTAACGTAAGGTACATACGGAATGTACAATATGTACAATGACCTCTGTCCTGTCCTGTCATGTCCGTCTGTAACATCCATCCAGATCAGCGCAATCATTCATGATTAGCCTTGAATCAATCGACAGAGAAGGCAGGCAGGCAGGCAGGCAGATGGGATAGCCAAGTAGGTGTGTGGTCCAATGATATAATTGATCTCCCCCATACACCAGGCATACGGACACACAAGTATAAACACAACCACGGATATCGACATTCAACGTACGAAACAGGACAGGACAGAGCATATAGAAGAAGAAAACATACGCAGGGTGAAGAAATGAAGATTGAATAAAGTGAAGAACTTGAACGCCTACCTTGTCTACCAACCGAACGGAACGATAAACTTGGCAGCAGCACTAAATCAAAAAAAAAAGAGCCAAAGGGAATCCACGGATGATGGGAGAAGGAATCCCTCCTCCCCATCCTAATCGTCCTCCTCCTCCTCCTCCTCCTCCTCCTCCTCCTCCTGATCCATCACTCCTCCTCATATACAAATCCACCATTCTACCTTCCCCTCCACACGGCCTCCGACACACCTTGTTTGTCGTGAGGAAATAGAGCAAAATAAAAGCAAACACAAAAAGGCAGAAATCAGACCCTATTGAACCTTTGCGTGAATGACGGTCAAGAAAAGAAAAAGAAAAAAAGGGAGAAAAAAAGAGTCGATACTCATAAAAAAACAAAAAAAAAACTAAGTACAGCCAAAAAGAGTTCCCCCTTCCATACCTGGCACGCGTAAAAATAAAAGAAGCAAAATGCAGACACTGAACACCCCAATCAAGCAATGGAAACACGTGTGACCAGAAAAACAAGACACCGCAAAATGAGAGAAAGAGGAAAGAAAGAGGAAAAACGCAAAGGAGACATGGGCTCGACGAAGACGAGCCCCCCAAACAAAACGTTCCAATCGAAAAAGGATAGCAAAAGAAAATGTGCTTTATACAAGTATCCCAATGGAAAGTAAAAAGTAGCTTTTCGCTTTCACCTTGCAAGGGGCCGGCACCGCAGCTGGCTAAAGTCCGCATGCAGACCTGGAAGGTGGGGAAAGTTGGGAATATATATGTTGAATGAATCGTGACGATGCTGCTTCGTGACGGGTCGTTATGAAAAGCAAGTACCACGGGCGATTGTGCCGACTTGATGGAAAGACAATCCGAGGGGATACCGTATGCGAAGAATATAACCGGATACGACATGGAAGGTTGGCCGTCTGTTGCGATCGTGGTCGTCGTGTTTGTCGTCGGGAAATTCCCCCCTACACCGTAGCCATCACCTCCCCCCACTCATCTCGTCTTTCCATCCACCCATCCTCTCCCAGATCTCTCCCTCTCCCTCCCTCTCCCAGAACAACCAATCAATCGCAGCAAGTGGCATGCATCGCTCAAAGCAAACCATTGTACAAAAGAATAGCAACCACAACGGAAAAAACAAAAACACCTCCAAAGCCCAACTCTATCTTGTCGTTGTATCTCTTCCACCTGTTTCGAATCGCCAATGGTCACTGTCGGTCCAGTCCGAGGGGAAGGCACCAGCATTTACTTTAGTCTGCCCCCAGAATTCCGCGCCGATCCAGTTATCTTCGATGTCGCCATTAAGGAACCGATATATCTGCAAAGGCCGATGTTAGTAGAGAATCTTGGCATGGCTCGGCTCCCCGACCCCAGAGATTGTTGATAGGTCGTACTCTTGTAGAAAACGGTTCTCGCCCTCCAGCTTGTCATGTTCTTCACGAACTTTGTCTACACGTTCTAGCAGCGCCAAAAGACCCGACTGTAGTGATTGTGCTTGCCTATAGAGAGCAAGGACAATCAGCGCTGCAGGAACCGAGATTGAGGGGACTCCATGGCTGTAGCCGATGGAATAACAACAGGAACATACGCTTCAAGCCTGGCCTTGGTTTCGGCGCCGAGTTGGTGCAGTTCTTCGCTATCTCTTCGGGGGCTCATGTTGCGCGGATCCATCTCGAATCTGGCGGCCTCGACTGTTGCCGATCGCCCTCTCCGCTCATCGTCATCCAATATACCATCGTCCTTTCCTCCCGCATCACTGTTGTGTTGTAGAGGGTCGTGGTCATCTGATATCGAAGGGGTCGACAGTGAACTCGCCGACAACGGGGGAGAGTCGAGCGGCTCGACGACGGACCGTGTAGACATGATTCTGCTGTTGGATGGTCGAGTAGGTGTCACCATAGTCGAGCGAGATGAAGGCTGTTGGTGTGGGGGCGGAGAAGATGTTGGAGGAGGAGGGAGGGAAGAAGATGCGTGGTCGTCGTGGGAAGCCGTGGTGGAAGAGGGCGAGACAGGTTAAGGACTGCTCGGAGACTGTGGCGGGTTTTCGGAAGGTATTTGTTGCGGGTAAAACTGGGGGGGGGGGTGTGGTTGATGATGGCGCGGAAATCCCAGCGGAATGGGTCCTTGAAGTCGAAGGGAGGGGACCGAGCGGTGGAGAAGTAGAGTGAGTTGAGTAGAGTGTGTATGGGGAGAGGATGTAGGTGACTATGGATGTGTGGGTGTATGTACGTGTAATGTAGAGTACCGAATGGGTGGGAATGGAGAAAAAAAAACAATAAAGGGCCGTACAGTGGAATCGGTCTGGGGGGTGGGGGAGGGTGCGAGTGTGTGGGAGGGGTGGATGTAGTCGTGCTGTCTCTGCTTTTGCTGGTGCTGCTGCTAAACCACACGTTCGACGAAGCGGGAGCTAGCCAAGTTGGCGGTGTATGGGTATGGCGCAGGTGTAGAGCACAGCCGATGAGTAAGGAACAAGATCGTGTACGGTTGTGGTTGCTGCTGCGGGCGGAGAGTATTTCGATTGCAAGAGTAGCGCGGTGGCTGGCGCGCGGCGATGAGCGCGACGGACCCGGCGAGAGCGGAGGGTTCTTTTGAACGGGGGGTGGGGCCCAGGTATGGAGGGGATAGATGCTCTGGCAGCGCCGTTCTCGTCGGATAAAGGGTTTTTGAAGCGGATGTGTGGGAGGGCGAGGTGGGTGGAAGGGTGGGGTGTTTTTTTTTTCTTCGGGTTGGGATGGGGTTTCCGAGCGGAGACGGACTTGACGAGATTGAAGTGAAATAGCGAAGCCGACGGAAAGGGACGGGCCGGGCTTGTCCAGGAGAGGAGGGAGCGAGGGGTAGAGGAGGGATGGGGGGGGAGGCAGACGAAAGAGGGAGCGGCGGGTGTCGTCCTTGTTTCGCTAACAGCTAAGCGGGCGAGAGGGGGAGAGGAGTAGGAGAGAGAGAGGCTCCGTCTACAGTGTGGCCGTGTCTATTCAGTGCGGTCTTCGGCAACGACGAAGATGATTGGATTTTGTCGTTGGGAGGGTGGAGAGAGCAAGTATGAAGTACCGTATTCAACGCCGTGGTGTGCGTCGTAGTGGTTGTGGTGGTGGTAGTGGTGGTGGTGTGTGGAGTGAGGTGTGTGTGGAGAGTGGTGGAGGTGTCTCTTGGTAAGAGCTAGAAACGAACAAGAGCATAATAGCCACACCCCCTCCCCCGGAGTCCCTCTTCCTCACCCTTCTCCTACTCCTCCTCTTCCTCCCTTACTCTTCCGAACTCGATTGAGCAAATGACAGTACATATAAAGACGAAGACCACGACGACGACGTACGACGGACAATGATGATGATCAATCCCTCAACGCAATCAATCCATAGTCAAATCAATCAATCAGTCAGTCATTCAATCGATCAGTCAATCGATCCGGTCCCGATTACATAGTAGTCCCATGACATCAAATGGAAGGAAAAATCATCCTTCGTTCCTTCTTTCGAACCTTCCTTCTTCGAACCGTCCTTCTTTTCCGCTTCTTCTTTCCTTCTCTCTGATATAAGTCGGCACAACTGTCTTAAAGTGCTGCGATATAATTTCTATGGCTGAGTAGGCATCGAGGGCTGGTTGGTCGGTGAGCACGAATATAGAAGAGAGGAGGCAAGCCACTCTCCACCGTTACTCGTGATATGTTTCGCGAGCCCAGCCAGCCAGCCAACCGACCATCATGGCCAGCGATATCACCCTCCCCAGACCCCCTTGTTGCATTGCATTGTCCACCACCTCCTCCACCTCCTCATCCACCTCCACCTCCGAGCTCCCTCTTACTGTATCCTCCACCTCCACTTTGCAGCTTTTACCTCCACCGCCTCCTCGTCACTCCATGATCTGGCCCGTCGCCACTTGCACTAAACAAGCGCACATGCTACATGCTACATGCTATATGTATGCTATGGTACATGCCCGAGTTCCAACTGCGTCCAGCTCCTCTTTTCGTGCCGCGAAAGAAAAGGGAGAACGAGAGAGAGAGAGAGAGAGAGAGAGCGACAAATGTTCGTATCGACAGCTGAGCTGGAATATCAGCTCGTTCGCGGCTTGCACATGACGAACGGGCAGAAGTCGGGAGAAAGCGACCCGTAAAGTACTCGACGCAGCACCAACGAATTTAGGAAATAGACACATTGCATAAGATATGCTTTGCTGGCGAGCCCGGGGCCAGAGCATCATCATCAGCATCATCAACATCATCGTCAGCATCATCATCATTCATCCGTGGATGGGAACCTATTTCACTCCTTTTTCTGCCCGCACCTCCCCCTACCACCTCCTCCACCACCTCCACCTCCACCTCCACCTCCACCACACCCATCCACACCCATCCACCCGTCCACCCACCCGCCCATTCAGCTTCCATCTGCCCAAGCCGTCGCTCACTCGTAGCCGACGCTCAAGCCAGCCAGCCAGCCAAATAATTCGCGCCGAATCCGGCAGCTGATACAATGCCTCGCCCATCCTCACCGTCCCGCCCAAACGTAACGACCTCATCAACAGTCCCCGCATGGAGTATCAATGCGCGACCTCAACCGGGTCTCACCCCGTATGTAAAGCGCTCGTAAAAAAAAAAAAGAAGACCCAAACGGAAACGTCTCGAGCCGGCGGCCGATACCTACCGCACTCTACCGTACCTCGTGCCCGTGACCAGCTCGAAAGAAACGGAGAATGACGATCAGGAGAAGGCTATGGAAACCTCGCCATGGCCCTGTCCCTGCGAGTCCTGTCGGCGGCCATACATACAGGCGGTGAGGAAACGACGAAAGGTCTTGTGTTCCCTTCCGAGCCTTAACTAGCCTCAACGTCACCACCACCACCCCCTTCCCTTCCCCCTCCCCTCTCGGCGGTCTTCACAAGCTCGTCACGATCTTCCACACTCGTATGTAACCGCGATTCCCCATTTCCACCCCCAAAAGCAGCGAGTATCTGCCTGCCTGTCCGTCTGCCTGCCTGCCTGCCTGTCTGACTGACGGTCAAACCGCCCATCTACCGTAGGCATCATACTTATCATCCACTCCGCACTTTTAGTTGTGCCCTCCCACCTCCCGGCGCCAATTGGCGCCACAAGGGAGTTTCCGCCAGGGAGTTTTCGTTCCTATTCGTGGGTTTCGTTTCGTTGGCTCGTGCTAGCGTCTCGTTCGGTTAGTGTAGTCGGTCGTAAATTGAGTGCCCCCCAATCCGAATTCAGGGCTCAGGCAGGACATGACGATGGGGGCTTCGCTCGCTTCCTCCACCACGTCCGTGAAAAACAATAATCATAAATAATTAATAAATAAATAATAAAGAATCGAAATATAGGCTGGGAGAAGCCCGATCGACGATGTGACTGACGATGTATGCGACGATGTGACGAGAATTCTTCATGAAGAATTTGATTTCATTTTTTCTTTCTTTCTTTCGCGAAGGGAGCGGAGAAAAAAAAGTTTTTTGTGTGCGATTGATGGTGCATGGCAGGACACACATCCTTCAACAACCTAACTGGCGACGGAAAATAGAAGTGAAGGATGAGGTCGACGTGCAGTGCAGCTCACTTTTTCGCGCCCGTGGAGGAAGGAAGGAAGGAAGGGAAGGTGAGGAAGGATGGAAGGAAGGGTGGAAGGAAGGAACGAAAGAACGAAGGAACGTAAAGAGACACACAAGGTTCCTGGCCGCGTGCTGGGCCGGCCGGTGTGCGTTCATAAAAAAGAAGAAGAAGAAGAAGAAGAAGAAGAAGAAGAAGAAAGGACTCCTCTCCGTCCTGTCCGTCCTGTGTGTCTTGTCTCTCTCCCGCTCTCCCGACTTTTGGGCCGGGACCCGGAAGCGCTGGGAGGAGAAACAGAAACAACGTGTGTGGGGGACGTCCGGGGAGGGGGGGTCGTCGTCTTTCGACCGCCCAGATCGGCCAGACCGGCCAGACCGGCCAGAGGAGGCCGCGGCGACGGCGGCGGCGAGGTGGAGTCTTTATACGGCTAATTTCTCGAACACCGCTTGGCGCGTGATGTCTCGAGGTTTTTCTTTCTCTCTTTCTTTCTCTTTTTTTTTCTTTTTCTTTTTGGTTTTGTGGTTTCTCCTCAATTACTCTCGGAGGAGGCCACTCTCGAGTCGCGATACTCTACGGTACTCTAGGTATCCTGGGTTTCGTTGCTCTTCAGGCTTTCGATGACGCATGCGAGCAACAACCGACCAACCGGACTCGAGCAGCAAGGAGCAGATCCCTGTGCATGCAGCGAAATTGGAAGGCTGAGACGGGGGAGGGGGAGGGGGGGGTAGGCATAAAGAACAGACAGACAGATGACGCTCTGTGTGTATCTACTGGGGACACCCGAGGTGAGTACCGTAGAGGAGAGTAAATAACCCAACTAATAAGGTGAAACAATCCCTGCAGTGCTAGGTGCGAGGTGGACCCTTAGAAAGTGAGAGAGAGGTAACATGTAACATGTATGCCTGTGTGTATCTACAGTTCCTACTCCTCTACCTACTCTACAGGGACTCCCGGTTGCCGTGATGATGCTGACGATGATGATGGTGATGATGACAATTGACAGTGACGGTGAGGCGTTCGTTCGTTTGTGCGTACATAGGAAGGAAGTACATCCTCGCTACCGTAGTGTTGGGTGGAGATAGTGAATATATGTACTTCAATTTCTCCGTGGGGAGGGTATATGTAGTACACTTGTCATTCTCCTGGAGGTTGAAGCTGGCAACTACTAGAGTGGACACTCACGACCGCGAGCGAACGGCGACTACATACGGTACCAGTACTATGGGGAAATCAAGTATCTACTGGGTAGTAGGTATACACAGTTCCTCGGACTCCGAAGTACCATCCGCCTCTCCCTCTCTCTCCCTCATCACATCTCCACAGTACACACACGAAGGTGATGGCAGGCTTCGGGAACAGTCAGCTTCAACCTCGCAGTCCGCAATTCGCGGTCCGCAATTCGGTTTGCCCCTTGCATAAGCACCTACCATACCTACCATCCGCATTGCAGTCTTTGCAGACGGAGAAAAGAAGGAAAAATCCCTCTCCTACATAAGTCCCCACCACCGTACCGTACATCACCACCACGACGAGGGCCGGGGGGTCGGAGGGTCGGGGGTCGGGGTTCGGGGGGAATTCAATTCGCCTAATTTTTTCATGTATGTATGCACGGCGCGTCGGGCGTTCTCACGTTCTCACGGCGGGGCGGTGGGGCGGGGATGTCAGCCTTCAAAGTTCAGGAGAAGCGTGATCATCTACGGTACGTACCGGTACGTAAACGGGCGGAGCCCTCACAGAGTTGCAGACTCTGTGTATACATATAGTCTGCTGCAACGTGCGTGACCTCGTGTACGACCCCGCACCCCCCACCATCGAATCGACGATTGAGCGCGTGCGCGCACGCAGTCCCGCTTTGTTTCTTTGCAGGGTCGTCGATCGCCGCGGCGTGAGGTCATGGAAGGGAGGGGGGGAGGGGGAGAGGAGGGGAGGGAGGAAGGAGGGAAGGAAGGAAAGGGTCGGGCACGGGGACGGGAGTGGAGCCGATGGCTGGGGTGTTGCTGAAGGTGTGGCTGTGGCTGGGGTAGGCTGGGTCGTGGCTGGGCTGTGGTGTGGCTGGGCTGTGGTGAACTGGGCTACCAATAGGTAGAGTACCTACCAGTACTTTATTGTAGGCTCCAGTCGGCGGTCGGTACCTACCTGGAAGGCTGGACTCTTCTTTTATATCCGCCGTCCCCGACCGAGCCAAAACCAAAAACAACTGACCAGTGGCAGGGGCAGTGGCAATGGCGACCAAGCTCGCTTGCAGCCCCAAAATGACGATATATATATCTCTGTCTGGTGGACGGTGGTCTGTGACACGACTCACGCGCACCGTGTCTGCGTGTCTACCTAACTACCTGGCCAAGGTGCCTGGTGCCCTACAGCTGATTCCCCCGCCCCTCCAGGGCCTCCACGGCCGGGTCTGGAACGTTACCACGGGTAGCCGCCGCGAGCCAATATATATATCGACATCAAGATGACGGTGATTCGTGACTGAGTACACGCCTACCCAGTCCCACTACCCACCTGTAGTCGAATTAACAAGTATGTACCCCGTGCCCGCCCACCCGCCCATAAGGAAGCAAGCAGGGTTTCGGAGCGGATGCCTGCGAGCGAGCGAGCGAGACCGGCCGACCGGTGGGCGCACTGCGACTCTGCGAGCGAGTCGGGTGCGTGCATTGGCTGGGATAAGACGCTCTCTCTCTCTCTTGCAATTGGGATGGTACCTATCGATGGTGGAGGGGATAGCTGGGAACTGGCGATCGAGGGCTGACCGTTGCCGTTGGGGAGGGTTTCTAGGCATCGTGTAGGTAGTACTTACATGCCGGTGGAGGACTGGTATTCAGGAATCAGGGAGACACGAGGCGTGGCCAGAAACACACTTCTATGGGGCGCATTAGCGATCACATACTATTGCCCACTCTCTTTGCACTTTACTGTTACTGCTGCCTGGTGGTAGTTGGTGGACATGGAAACCGGCAACACAGCGACATAAGGCGGGCCACTGGCGGGGTTGTTTAATCATCTTAGCATTCGACCTTGGTAGATCATGGCTGTCGTACACACTCGGTTCCTTCCCACTGTCTCTGACCGCTGGCCGTGAGCTCGATGTGGGTTCTCCGTTGCTCTCCGCCCAGCGGGGGGTTGCGCTCTGTGGATTCTGGAACATGGGTTGTGGCCGTGTGACAACCGGTGATGCGTTGGCTGCATGGCGGGCACACAGAGTCTTGCTGGGGATGTGTGGAGGAGGTTGAGGATGGCTGATATGTGGGGGATTTTGGATCTCAAGAGTCTTGGAGTTACGGGACCATGGTTCTGGAGTGAAGTACCATTCCTGGGCCGACCCGACCCGCCAGGAGCCTGTTGCGAGTAACGATAACCGCGAGCCATAAGATTCCAGCACGGCGGGCCGCGCGCAGTGGAAGATTTCCTGTATTCTGCTTTTGGAACTGGGCGGTAACCCCCCGTTGAGATGGAGTGCATGCTTCCGGATTTTTTCTCCGACGGCACGCTGCCCCCTCGCGGTACCTTATAGAGCTTCGGCACAGCAGCCGGAGTGCGTGGGACGAAGCTTCTACTGGCATAGTATCGATTAGTGGTAATAAAAGCTTGACCTAGGTCCTCCGCGCATTTCATTATCTCCCCTTTGCTGCATGAATGTCCACCCAGGAGATGGAACGGATTGGTTCCGTCCTCTGCAGCTGGCTGCCGGCAATGATTGTCTGCAAAAGACTGGCCTAGAGAACTTACGTCTTCTTTCCACCATTCTGGAATCTGAAGCGTTCGTTTAGTCTTATGTGCCGACATATCAGAGTGCTTCGGCAATGTCTGAGGCCGGGCGGCACGGGCCGTCTCGTCTGTACGACTTCCGCCTGTTGAGGATACGAGATGCGCATCTGGCTCCATGGATCGGCCAGAACAACGGCTGGATGCCTTGTTGAACTCCCAGGCAATGTTGAAGACAAAAAGAGGCTGCGGACAGCAATACACCAGGGCTTTTCAAAGACCTGAAAGCAAATTATCCTGAAGGGCTAGGAGCGGGGTCGAGCACGAAGACAGTGGCCGTCGGTAGCAGCGTAGTGCCTTCGCCGCTTCTCTGGCCCAGCATGTCATAATCTTAGCAGATTGCGTGAGTTGCGGGAGGGTGTTTACATACGTGTAGTGGGGAATACAGCACCCCGAATTGATCAGGAAATCAAGATGTTGCTGTAGTGGTTGAGCCCTGGTGGGCACAAGATTAGCCTGGACCGCTATAACTTGAAACTAGGGGGATATGTCTTCTGCAGGATAATGGTTGGGCCTGCGGAAGGCTGCTATCAGTAAATCAATCGTTTGGTTACGAGAGTATTGCGGGAAGGAAAGGAGAGGTACGTACCGTTGGAGCGAGCGTGATCATATGAGATCACCCGTGAAACTGGATCTCGACTTGCGGCCGGCATTGGCGCGGGTGTTGTTGGGAGATGATCGTCTGGAGGAGGCACCTGGCATAGTCAGTCATACGCATAAGGAGTCTCGCAGTAAAGATACAGGCCCGTCTAAATCTACACAGCAGAGAACTAAGGAAGAGAAAAGAAGAAGAAAAAACAGTATTCAGGGATCTCGAGATTTATTTCGGTGTGAGAAAAGTGATAGAATGCCGGAAAGACCTCATAGTATCTCCTACCATCAAACTGCGATACTAGTCATTCTCTTTTTAGTAGTTCTCGTCCTTCTAATCCTACCTGTCCTCGTCCTGTTCTTCGTCTCTGCTCTTGTCGTTACTTGCCTTGGAGATCTAGGGAGAACCCTTGCACGAGTCCTTGAACAGCGTAGAAAGTTCGTTGTTCCGGATCGAAAACCCGCAGTTTTTCAACTGCACGGTCTTGATGTTGGGAAACACCAACTTGTGGCTGGGATGGGTGAAAAGGTTAGGATCCAGACTCCATCCAGACATATTCAGATTCCTCAAGGAATCGCTTCGGACTCCGCGGTAGCCGTTCCAAACCTTGACTGCCTCCAATAGTGCGTACTGCCTAGGCCCGTAGGTCTCGTACTGGAACTTGTACGTGAAGTCTTCAAGCTTCGGCGCGTTGTGAATTATGGACAGAAACATGGCCGAGAGGGCTACAGATTGTTCCTCCGTACCTCTCCCATGTTGGTCGAAACTGACCGAGAGCGTCTTCAGCCTGCGGAACGGATTTTCCACCAACTCGTAATAGTCTTGGGCATCGAAAAATCTGTCGACATAGGGAAGTTGATCGATTCCTGTCACACACTCGAAGATGCACACCTCCAGCTCCGGGAAAAGGGTTCCAAGAAATATGAGTACTTGGGCAGTGACAGACGTAACGCCACCGATTCGCAATTTCTTTAGGTAGTTCTGGGACTTGCTGTGCGGTTGTTAGTCTCTGTTGCAACTTGCGTGGCAGGAGTTGAATGTTGAACTTACCTGGGGGATCGATCTGGATCTGACGAGCTGCGTCCGGCGAGCCTGTAGAAATCCACCATCGACATGGTGGTTTTCGCATGACGTGTCTGTAGAACGACATTGAATGTCTCTAGTTGCGTCCAGCGTTCATAAAGCTGAACCAAACATTGGATGTTCCACGGACGCGGAGTGACAGCTACCGGATTGGCTGTTACTATAAAGTGTTTCAATCTTTGAAACTTGGCATCCTCCTGGAGCTCTTTCAGATGTTCAAGCAGCGTGATGCTGAGACTGCTATCATACTCCCCGAGAGTAAGGCTCTCTAGGTTATGGCTTTTCACCAGCACACGCAAGATTTTGATTAACTCCATTCCATAGTACTGCCGGTCAAAACTCATGATTAGCCCCCAGAGTTGTGCGCCACGCTATGTCGATGATGCAATACATACCTTTTCGAGATAAAGGCTTGCATGGGTAATATTCCCTGGTAGCTTTGCATCTATCATCGGCAGCAGCTTGGAAAGAGTCCCACGAGTCCCCATATTCCTTGAGTCGATTGCCCTCCATAGAGAAGGGATCCAGTGATATTCCTGAAGGTCTTTGCAAACCGCCGTGGTCATCCTGTTGCGGTCCTTTACAGGCAGTAATTCAAAGATGTTCGTCAGGACTGATATTCATGTTAGCGGATTGATCGTCATGAAATGGGTGGAAGTGTGTACATACCTTCGGCGGGGAGCTTTCCCAGAGTACCGAGCGCCTCGTTGGGTGCTGGACGTGCTTCCTTCTTGATGACCCTCGGAGGCAAAATCTTACTACGGACCACCTTTGCGAATTCGCCTCTGAACTCGTCCGTATTGTCGTACGCTTTAGTGATGAGGGCCTCGAGATCCTCTCTCGGCAGCTGATTGGCGAAGTTGCTCACACGGGCGTTGGTGAATCTTTTTTCTATGACAGGCTTGCCCTTCCCCTTGTCAGGCGTCTTCTTCGCGTCCTTCGCACTCTTGCTCATGTCTCCAGCACTCTTGCTCTTGACCCCACGAGGAGGCTTCTTCGCATCCTTCGCCTTCTTCTTCTTGCGCTGGTTCTTGTTGGTAGCCGATTCAGTGCTCTCACTCCAAGAAGAAGAAGAAGAAGCTGGAGAAGCTGGAGAACTTCCGGGAGATGTAGTAGACATGCTGATTTCACCGTGATGTGTTGTGGTGGTGGGGGAACGAAAGGGAAGTGTTGGCGAGGACGAAAAGGGAGGTTTATAACGGGATTCTATGTAGCTAGTGGCACTGTGCACGTCGATGAGAGCCCTAGGGTTCCCCCCGAAAACATAATTGAAAGTTGATGTGTCGATGCTCACTACTAAGTGAGCACGGGTTAGCTACTTAGCTATGTACTCACACATTTTATCGAGGGTTGACCCCATAAAACTGCGGCGGTGCAAGTGCCAAACAAACTTTAGGGATCGTGAAAGACGGATCACACAACGGCGGAGGACCCAGCTTGCTATTGGTGGACACTCGAGATCAGCTATTATCTTCGCCGGAAGATTTCTGCCCACCGGCAATAGCGACATATTCGTCGTTGCGTGGTATCCAGTGAGGCGCACAGTACGAGGCAAAACGAGGACGGCAATGTTTCGATCTATCAGATATCTCGCCTCGTCGGATTTGAATCTTGAAAATTATGTACATACCAAACTCTGATCGCTCGCGCACGGACGTAATTTCGACCCCTCGCCCGCAGCCACACAGACATTTCGGCGGGTACGGCAAGCGTCTCATTCCAGTGCCAGCCTCTCGGGCACATCTCAAAAGAAGATGTGGGACATGTGGCTGGAGGCCAGGTCTTATTGCGAGCGGAGTCAGCTCAACAGCGGGTATCGGCCCCGGAAAAAGGGAAAGCCAGGCCCAGTTCTAGTGAAAGCCGAGAAGCGCACCGCAGCATGCTATTACTGGTTGACTTCTGGACCTTTCCCCGCTGGAGAGCATCTATAGTTGACGAGAAGCCGGCGAGACGGCAGCTGCTGGTGGTGCTCGTACCACGGTTTGTACCCAAGCCCGAGAGTACATACCTCCTCCTCAAGCACTACAGCAGATGGAGAAGATGACGGAAGTCGCCGTGACAAGCGGCGGAACGGCCATAGAAGATGGTCGACAACAGTTCCACCCCCACACCCGGACGGACACCCTCTCCGCCGACCCGATAAGTAGCCTGGCCATTCCGAACCTCCTGCGTAAAAAACGATGTGGGTAGACTAGTTCTAGCGGTGGAGGAGATTGAGGAGGATAGCGAGCCCTCACTGCAAGAGCGGGCGAGGCGCTATTCGACCCGGCATCAGCCAGACAGTGGGGCCGTGCTCGGTAATCGGAGTAGTGGAGATGTGGATGGACCCTCCAACAGTTCAGTCGGTTTTCCGGGTGTTGGAATTACACATGCTGCAGCTTACTCCTGATTTCCAGCCAATCGGTAGTTAAACGGTCAAACTGCTTGCACTTTCACTGGTACGGAGTACACACAAATGAAACCATGCCAGCACCATGCGAAAGTGGTGAATTCCGCAGCTTCGGGATCCCCGCTCCCCGCTCCCCGCTTCGGAACTAAATATCCTTCACCCCGTGAGAACGGGAATTCACCGTCATCTACCAGTAATGCCGTCCGGAAAGTGCGTGTAGAGTAGGCACAGGATTTTTCGCCGCCCAAAAAATGGCGTGGAGCAGCCAAAAAATTAATATCCCATTCCGACGACAACTTCAACCGGGCTGTATCATGCAAGCTTCATCCTACAGATCGGGGCGATACACCTACGGTTGCTAGTTGGGGTTGTAATTCTTTTGCTTTCGGTGGCTGTGGTTCGCGCGGTTAACTGACGCGCGCTACTAGTAGTTCTGTCAGGATGTGTTGATATTGCCGCGTATCGCCGTCGCCGACTGCGGGGTTGGATACCGCCCGTCCGAATCGTCTCTCGCCTGATTCGGCTCGGAGAGGGCGTCAATCCGAGTCCTTTTTCTCCCGACTCGGAGGAGGAGGAGAGCATGTACTTCACCAGGAGTATCGTAGGATGTAAACCCCCCAATGGGATTTTCTCGGCCGGCTGGTGAGGGTGTGCGTCCGGTTAGTTACTGCTGAATACTCATCTCCGCGGATCTCTCGGATCCTCGTTCACCACAGCTGAGCAGGTGATTTTTTCCGGGTCTTCACGGACACAGACACGGACACGGGATGAAAACGATCTCCTGCGGACTCGGGATTGTTGAGGCACCGGTGGTGGTAGGCCACCGAGTGACGAGTGATAAAGCGCCAGCGGCGGTAGGCGGCCGTAGATCGCCGTAGCTAGGTTTATGGCCTCGGCACCAAGAGCTTAGCTAAGGTCATTATCGCAACGTGTCCCTCCGTACTCTCTTTTACTGTCCGTATTATACACTGTCTTTGCATATGTTGAAATATATGGGTGAACAGATGATAATATTCTATTCGATACAGAAAAGAAGAACCTATCGTTCACGGCGAAGGCCTCTATTTATGACTGAGCGCCCAACAAAGTTGGCCGCTCATCAGACTTCGCCGGGCCCGCTCATCAGAGTTTGCCTGGCCGCCGTCGAGACTTCTTCCACCGCCAAACCTTAACTGAGATCTCCGGGCGACCAAACTTTGACAGCATAGCCGATCAATACAATTCACATTCGCATCAACAGGTTACCAGCCCGGCTGCATTTTGGTCTCGTCGGAAACAAGAGCATCAACGACTCGCAACGGTATTACCTCCACTTCGTATCGAACTCGTGTATCGGATCCTAGGAAATAGGGGCATCGTACATGTTGAGGTTCCGGCGGCGCCGTAGCGGCCGAGTGATCGGCAGTGGATAGCAGAACCTAAATGTGGATTCGGCATCAAGAGCTTATATGTGGACTCGGCACCAAGAGCCTAATTTAATCGGTATCAAAGTTTTCACTGTCTATATAACACAGTGTCCTTTCCGGAGTATAAATCTTTTCACATTCGCATTAACAGGCTATGAGCCCGGCTGCACTCTGGTCTCCTCAGAAATAAGAGCATCAACGACTCGCAACGGTACTACCTCCATTTCGCATCGAACTCGTGTGTCTGATCCTCAGAAACAACTAGGGGCATCGTACGGAGCAAACGTCAAGCAAGACATCCGGCTGGAAGAGTTTCGGCCGTCGACCTACCGAACGACAAGATGGCGAGTGACGCAAAACTCCCGCTTCTCACCGGGCCCAACTACGACGAGTGGTAGTGCCGGCGAAAATCAATCTGGGTGTAGTAAGTTATGGGGGGTTCATCACCGGTAATGGGATCCCTCCATTGAAACCCACGCCACCCGAAGGCACAGAATCTAAGGGTGTGGTGGATCCACTCACACCCGAATCGGCGGATCCGGCGGATCCGGCGTACATGGCGCATTTCTACCGCTACCATTCTGAGTACCGACGGTACCTGAACGACATGAGCAAGGCCTGCGCAAACATGCTGTCGTTGCTCGATGACAAGCTGCAGAAGAAGTACTTGGACGACAAGTGGATGACGGATCCCGTGGGCCTATGGAAAGAGCTTGCGAAGGAGCGCTACCGCGGGCTCCCGAGCGACATGCACCTGCTCATGGAGCGGCTGGTAACCATCGAGTTCGTGAATTACCGCACGTCTGGGGCGTACTGCGCCGCCATTCACGAGATCACCAGACGGCTGGCCAGGTGCGGTATGAAGATGGACGAACCCACGATCGCATTCTTCATGGTTTACGGTCTCCCCGAGACGGAGGAGTGGACCGCATTTGGCGGCAAGTTGAACGAGAACGGGCACGATAGGGACTCAGAGACAGTCCTGATACATATGCAGTTGTTCGAGGCCAAGATGCGCAGGCAACATGGCATCCCGGCCGACGCTGTACTGTTCGCGAAGGGTGGAACCTGCTACAACGGTAACGGCAGAGAATGCGGCAATCGACCCTAGCAGCGTAGAGGAAAGTATTCCGGCGGCGGATCGCACGACGAGAAGGGAAACGGCAGACCTGCAATCAGCTGCTACGGATGCGGCAAGGTGGGGCACAAGAAGAACGAGTGCAGGAGCCGCGACAGGTGGGAAGACGGATGTGGCGGGCAGGCATGCTATAGCGAATACGGCACCGAAGCCTGCGACGATTATTGATAGAGTAGGGCTGGTGACATGGAGTGAAAATTGAAGTAAAGCTCCGTCTTTTGTTTCTGTTTTCTTCACACGACCATGTCAGTCGTTTCTCTCACGTGAATCAGTCAGCTGACTCAGAGCAGAAGAGGAATGAGCTTTGCCGGGAACAGAAGAAAAACAGATTGTTTAACTTCAAAACTTCTTATGGAATTAGTAAGTTGTTACTCTGATAAAGGAAGTTTCATGAAAACTCGCTCGTTATCTGAGTGAGAAAACGTGATGCGTCGGGCTTTGGGCGTATAATAGTGACTTCCTCACTCAACTGTACCCGCAGCCGCTACGCAGTTTGACGGATATAAAAGGCGCAATTGCATACAGTTTTATGCAGTCGTAAGATGCTTGTTCTTGTAAAAAATGGAAGTTTTGTAACGTGAGCGGTGCGGTGGGAAATGGTTACCGGTATCTACGCGATCATTCTATTTCACAATCATCCCTGTGATAGGTATCTCACAAGTTGCAACTATTGCGTCTACCTAGTAGGACAACGTGAATCACTCAAAACGAATACAGAAAGACACATATTGCTAGTAGACAGTACAAACCCACCACCACTCTAACACCCGTCTACTCGAGAGTCGAGGAACATTACATTAGCCACCCGCGTGAATCGCCGCTGCATAGAGTTCTTCCGGCGAACACGATTACTTTGCGCAGAGCAAAACTACAAATCCAAGCACAAGCCACCTATCACCTATCAAACAGCTTGCCGTGTTGCGCATCAACCTGACAGACTCAAACCGCGCGAAGCAGTACCTACACCTACTACCAGTAACCGGCGGTGCAGTGCCCTACCCAACAAAAAAACGCAGTCGAAAAACTATGGCATTTCAGACATTTTTCCGAAAAAAATTACGGTATTTTATTTCTGCTTTAAATAATTCTTCTCACGCGTTTTACCTAACCCCGTCGCACCTATCCTCTTGCGCACTACATCCACCGTCCACCGCGCGCCGCCCGCCCGGCGCCCGCATCTTTATCCTTTCGCTTAAAATATTTCCCACCCCAGCAGCGCAAACTTCAAGGACGTTGTCGATTCACGCCCGTTGGTGAGATCTGTAAAAACCTCGATCTGGCGACGTTGGGCGATCCAACGACGTTGGACGAGGCGAGGCGAGGCGAGGACGCTTGTGGGCTTGTGGTTGTGGTTGCTGTTGGACTCTGGAGACGGACAGGGGTTGGTTGGGTATGTAGAGGTGAGGATGTGGGGGAGTGATAAATCGTGCGGGGATGAGTAGTGCAAGGAAGTGCTTGCTTAGTAATAGAACTTCCGGAAGGATGTAACATCGGCGCTCGAAGCACCTCGCCGGTCGGCGGTGATATGAAGTTATGGACTCCGATTACTTTACTTTACTCAGGGTCCTGTCCACTACATACCATATTGAGCCGTGTACTAAAGTCGTTAGCCTTATGTAGGGCTTGGATAGGCCTACGAAATAAAACAGTCCTCGTATAAGCCAGCTATTATAAGCACGTTGAACTCGTGAGGCCTCAGTAAGGGCTACGTTGAAATAAGGCTAATGTCCTCAATTCCCTAGGATTATCGTAACTCCTACATAATGCCTATGCAGCGACAACCACCATCACCTCAATCGGCCTTGTCACTTTGTAAGCCTCATAGCTTTCGTCAGGCGTATATCGTCATTGTTGAAATGCACAGCACTACCATACAATAATGACCGTGAAAATGGCAGGTTATGTGAAGCATTATGGGATATATCAGTTCGAGACAGAAAATCCTTAGAGCTCCACACACTCGATTTCTTCACATGCATTATACAAGCCTTCAATGGGCCTTGGTTAAAACTATGGGTTCTATCACTCTTATAAGTTAGTAGTGTATATGCGAAAATCAGACTGCTTGACACGGAAATTCTTATGTCGGCCCTTATGTTCATCTACCACTGGCACTCCACGCAGGAGATGCCGCACCCAGCGCACTGAGTCTACTCCGAACGTTCTTATGCCGTCGCCGGGCGGGTCGAGAGGAGCTCTAGCATTCGCTGCAGAGAAGATAGCGGAGATTGAGGGTTGATCGTCAATTCTGTAGATTATGAGAGAGAGAGAGAGAGAGAGAGAGAGAGACTGCTCGGACAGCTCCTCCTCTTGCGTACAGGAGTCTAGCGGCTTCAATTAGGCGCAGAATTTTCCGAAGACAGATCTCATGAAGGTTATTTTACAGTTAAAAGTTAAAATCTCTCTCGCTCACCTCTCCTCCTCCTTCTCACGCCGACAACTCCTTCTCATCTTTCTTACAGCTCCTCTTCTCGGCACCCACAGCTCCCCTATCACTTCCTCATCTCACCACAGCTTCTGCGTCACTACCTCCACTACCTCCTCTCGCCGCAACCGCTACTCCCCCCGCAACTGCTACTCCCGCTGATATCTCATCTCTCATATAGCTCTTACTCCCGCTGATATCTCATCTCTCATATAGCCCCTACTCCCGCCGCAGCTCCTCCTTTCGCCGACAGCTTCTCCATTAATCCACCACACTCCCATTGACTCAAATGACAATACTGACCGGCTGTAGGTTGAAGACAACGAGCTGTAACGTGACACGGTATCCACGGCGAGGAGCAGTAGGGGGACACAGTATGGTGGGTGGAGAACGGTATGGGAATTGTGGCGGGGGACTAGGGAGCGGGGAAGGAGAGTACTTTAGGTATATAGGGTTATAGAAGCATTGTATGAGATAAGGCTTGTCGCAGAAGAAGTGATTATGTGCTGCTTAGGATTTCGGGAATCTTTATGAGCGTATAAGCCTTACTAATCCTTATTTTCCAAAATTCCCTTCAGAACCCATATGGAACCTCTATGAGCTTCTAAGGCGGGCTGGCCAGTGGTGGTTGCAGAAGGCTTACGAGTCGGGACTGATTTTCACTGCACTCAGGATTGTGGAAGCCATATTCAACAAAAAGAGCGGGAATTTGAAAACCCTGACTAAACCTTATTTTACGATCAGACTTTTGGGGAAAAAAATACTAATATTAGTATTTTTTCGTCAAGAGTGTTGTGCCAAAATCGCCCTCATATATGGCTGCCATAATGCTATTGACTTTGGTACACTGCTAAATATGGTATTTAGGTAAGTACTTCATATTAACAGCCTTTCACGAGCCCTAGACTTAGTATGCACCGAAAGCCAACGACAGCATTGAGCATTCCGTACTAGACGATTCCCTGGTTCAGCTGCAGCAACTTTTATAATCTCCACCGAAGGACGACAGTGATGTAGAATTTTGTCGTGATTGGTTACCTACTGCGAGTGACGAGTCTTCGAGTTTGATGGCTCAGATTGGTGCAGACGAACGGGACTTGGTGACTCATGTACTCTACTCATGTGAGGAACTGAGTATAGTAGAATTGCTCCGAGCTGTGAGCTACCGGTATGTTATTGTTGAATGCGATACCGTGATCGAATCCGCACTGCCCAGTAGTGCTCACATAGGTACTTCGTCCGAGAACTTGTGGCCTGAGCTCGCTGCCCGCGGGTACGTAAACAGTAAACACACTCTGTAAAGCACCACTCCAGCCGGCGACCACAGTGCACACCCATCCATATGTAAGTATAGTACATACGAAGATCACCACCGTCAGCGTACCTACTCTATGTAGCGTTGTTGCGGTCAGCTGCAATATAAAGATAAGCTTGAATTCAAATCACCGAATGACGACAACGCCGTGGACGGTGGACATGAGTAATTGAGTAATTCGTGTAGAGTAAAAGAGTGCGGAAAGCTTCAGGTTGTACGAAAGACATCAGCGACGCCGAGTCTGATTACAAATGAACATTGGACACGGCGGAGTCGGTACTATCCCTCCGTCCCCCCCCCCCCCCCCCCCCCCCCCCCACCGATCAACTCCGACTCCGACTCCGACTTTGACTCTGACTCTGAAACGAGAGCTCTTTTGTTTTATATCGAACGGGATGGGGTGGGATGCGCACGCACACACGCACAATTGTAGTGCGTGAGATGACGGCGGCTGTGCCTTCGTATACCCAAGTACTCTACCTAGAGGCTAGGTAGCTCTGGTAGCTCTGGCCACTGGCCACTGGCAGAGCTCGATGTTACCTAATAGACGGCTTCTCATATACCTACACAAGTACCGTACCGTAGCCCTGGCTACATGTAGAGTACGTACGAGCATTCTCTGCCGGCCGCTCTTTCGTTTTTCCAACCCATCACTCCCGGCTGGTAGTTCTCCAAAGACTGAATCGAGTACCTAGTCCGGAAGCAAAGCCCACCGCAGTGGCGCGGCTGGTGGTAGCCGCCGGACATGGGGCGCGACGGGAGCTTTGATATTTTCCTATGTACTGTACATACTTTGCTATGGGATGGTTCCGTATCCGTGTCCGTGTCCGTGTCCGTGTCCGTGTCCGTGTCTGTGCTGGAATGGAGTGGACTCGAGAGGTGTCCGATGTACGTTGCGGTCGAATTCTTCCTTGCGTGATGTGATGTCGAGGCGTTTTTCCTTTCTTTTATGTAAAGCCATCCGTTAGAGGTGTCCCGTTCCGTCCGGGGAATGGAGCCGGGACCAGTACCGGCAGCGGGACCGGGCGCCGGGCGCCGGGGTTCCTGTCAAAACCTCGATGCGAAAAAACTCTAGAGCCCGGTGGAAGCCGTGGTATACCGTGGCGGTGGGCTCATTGCCATGTGAAGGGTGCCCCACCAGTACGGTAGGCAGTGCCTAATCGATCGATACATGGCCCTGCCCTGCCCTGCTCGAGCTGGCGCGCTCGGAGTTGTGAGGTGGGCGGTGGGCGGTGGGCGGTGGGCGGTGGGCGCATGCAGTGGAAACCCTACGGGCCTACGGACGGAACTAGGTAGGTTAAGCAGGCAGGCAGGCAGGCAGGCAGGTATGGCGTCTTCGGGCTACCTGTGTATGTACCCTGGGTGTTATTACGTTGTTTCTCGCCGTCGCATATGGCCGACCGACCACCCTAACGGCAGTTCGCCTGAGCTGAGCAGATTCCGCCGTTGGCCGGGCGTGGACTAGGTAGCTGCTGGCCCTGGCCGTCATGAGGCCCGTTCCTTCTTCCTTGAGCTCTGTTCGATTCTAACTTGTGTGTGGACATGCTATAAAGTCATCCTTCCATCCCAGAGATGAACTCAGCCTGGCCTCGGTGGCAGTCGGCTCGCTTAGTTGCTTTAGGCGCGAGATCTAGTCAAGTAGACGGTCAGTTAGTGCTTTTCGCTTCGGGACCTGGCCACACCATGCCAAGTAGGAGTCATCGAGGTCCGGAGTAAGGAAGTGGCATCTGCCGTGGATCCGGCGAGCGATGTGGACTTTGAAATGCGCCGAAGAAGGAGGGACTTTGAGGCCTGGAAGGAAGCATTCTCTCTCTCTCCATGCGTGAGGTTGGATGTGAACAAAGCTCGTTCGTGCCGTTTTCATGAAGTGACGTTGAAGTTGAGTTGGAGACATGGAGCTCAGTGCAGGCATGAGTCACACTTGACATCGGGTTTCCTTCGAGCCCTGGAGGGGTTGAAGTGGGTAACGGAACTGGGTGCGGCAGATCGGTGGGCGGGCTCGGGGAAGAGCGGCCGGACTGCATTAGGTACCAGTACATAGTACGAGGAGGAGGGGAGCGGATGGGCGAATCATAATCAGTCGTCCGTCTCCACGAGGCATTCGTGTGCGTGCTTTTTTATTTTTTTATTTTTTAGTCTTTCGTTTCCCACGCTGGCGTCGATCTCGTATTCAGTTTTCTTGCTTCATCCGGACAGAGCAAGCCAGCGGACCGGGCGAGCCTGTTCGAAACTCATGCATCCTCGCCTCGACGGATGGAAGTGAGTGCGAGGGTGCGTCGTGTTCGTGCGTGGGGTCTCTGATGAACGCCGCTTTCGTCTGTCGCAATAGCAATGGCATATTCCGATTTCTCAGCAGTTTCTCGGCCTTGGGAGGAGGGGGTGGGAGGGGAGGGGGTGTCATCGTGCTTGAAGGCGCTGGGTCATGAGTCGCCAATCTATCCAAAACGGTTGGTCCATCCAAAACGGTTGGTCCATCCACCTCGGGCCCTTCGTCGCACAGGATTCTCGCTCTCGAGACTGGCGGGTATTCTGCCGATTCGATTGCAGTTGCAGGTTGCTTTTCTCGGTGCCATGAGGGCGGGCTGCAGAAGAGTGTGGCCGACGGTTGCAGCCTCCAACAACGCCGATGACTGGCGGATGATTCGGCAGCCAGCTCGCTTGCGCCCACTACCTCCACTACCTGCGCCCACCACGCCGGGCTCTTCTGGGTGCAAAGTAGGTGAGTGACAATGTACCTACTTACATAATCCGTTTCGGCCGGACGCTGATACGACTCCCTTCCAGAGGTTCCGCAGCCTCGAAGCGTTTGGCGCAGGTCTTGCAAGCACATGGAGTATGACGACGACTCCTCTAGTACATATACGACCAGACTATCGTGTCTTCTGGCAGGCCATAGAAGACCAGCTGCGAACCTTCCATGTATACCAAGCGCTTTAAGCGAGAGCTTGCATAAGGCGGGGCGAGCGGCGGGGTCGGGTTGGTGGGCTGGAGAATCGCAGAGTGGCTGCCCACCCACACTCACACCCACCTCTGCATTTACCTCTGCATCCACCTGCCTGAGAACCTACCTATCCAAGTACTTAGCTCCCAAGTAGCCAATTCTGCAGCAGCTCCATGGCCCTTCATGCACGCCAGTGCTGCCCGTCCATTACATGGAGTGAAAGTCCATTTTTACCTCTGTTTTTCTCTAGCACGCGTCATACCAGTTCGTGAGTCAAAGTTGTTCGATTGTTCGATTGAACCATCTCGCCATACGGCCCCGCGGGCTGATGGGCTCGAACGTGGAGAGTATAAAACTGCCAATTCGTCCGCCTTGGGCTTCTCTGTACAAGGCTCCTCACATCATCGGGTTTCTCGGCGAGCAACATTTCTCGTTGTACACACCCCCACATCGTTCGATCTCCTCGTCCTGCATCAGGCTTTCCTGTCGGGCCAAGAGTCTTGTCAGGCTATTATCCAAGAACCGAGTCCGGTATACCAAGGGGCTGAGCTGTTCAAGAATCTCGGCCAGCATACCAAGAGGTAGGGCGTTCTCCAGTCCCACCCCCTCCGGAGCTGTGGGCCTCGAGGATTCCCCGCCGCTGCTTGCATTGTGCAACCGTGAAAAGGTGCCAACCATCCGGTGTTGACAGGTTATCGTCGTAGACTCTGCGAACGGTGATCCACTACGGGTCATCTGCAACGTTCCGTCCACAGTAACCATCTGCATCCAAGCGTTAACTATCGAGGTGGTTCTCGGCCCTGAACCTTCTTATCGGTGGACCGGTTTTATATCACGGCAACCCCACGATTTGCGTCGGGCAGATCAATATCATCCTGTCTAACCGTTACTCCACATACACACACACACCCATAGTCATAATCGATTCCTTCGTCTACGCAGCCACGAGAAGTGGGCAGCCCTTCAAACATCATGTTCAACTACGCAGAATCGATCGCCTCGCGTAACACTTACATGACGTCCATCCGAGAGACCATGGCCGAAGCTCAGAGGTCCAAACCTGCGGTTACCATCTCCATGGATGGAGACGCAGACGGGAAGTCGCACAGGTTCTACACCAACCGGGATCGCCTGGAGGGTGACGTCAAGATCGTTGCGCCGGCAGATACTCGATTCGACGAAATCTATATCACGTTCGAGGGTGAGTGACCCCTCCCTAGCCCTTGGCTTTTCGCACAAAAAAAATCAAAAAAAGTCAAAAAAAAGACAGTATAGTCTGACGGGGACGGCATATTCAGGCACTTCGAGAACTTGGATGGAGCGGCTTGGAGTCTCACCCGCAGCATCCGGACGCACAAGTGTCTCCCAGACCGTGAGTTCCCCCCAAACCACGCCGAGTTGTAGTTGCGGCCGAATTCCTTTCCTGACGACGGTGCAGTTCCTTCGCCTCGTTCAACCGGTCAATGAAGCTTCGCTCCCCATCCCGCGAGTTGCGATCAAAGGGCAGGAGTATACCTTCCCATTCACCTTTGTGATTCCGGAGAGACTCCTTCCGGGAGCGTGCAACCACACCATAGCCGTCGAAAACCAGTCGGTGGAAGAAGCGCACCTGCACCTTCCGCCGTCACTCGGCGACCACACCATCTCCACCTTCGAGGACAAGGACGATCTGGCGCCAGACATGACGCGCATCTCGTATGCCATCCGTGTGCGAGTGCTCCGGAAGAAAGATACCGAGGACCAGCCTGTGGTGCTCGCCGATACGGCCCGCAAGATCGCTGTGTCGCCGTCAATACCCGATGCACCACCGATCCACATCCAAGACAGGTCCACGGAATTCGTGTTGCGCAAGGAGAAGGATCTCCGGAAGGGCCTGCTGGGAAAGAAGATCGGCCGAGTCTGCATCTTCGCCGAGCAGCCGCAGCCATTGCGGCTCGCCCCCAATTCCTCCTGCCCCCCTTCCACGCGAGTTCCCGTGTCGTTAACCTTCGTCCCCGCCAACGCCGAGACCCCCCCGCCGGAGCTGGGCAACATGACGGCAAAGCTGCGAACATCGACCTTCTTCTCGACGCAGCGAACCTCATACACACCCACGGTCTCGCGCTCGACTCCGGACCCCTTCGTCGGCCGATACCAAGAGAGCACGCTCCTCTCCTCGCGGTGCGTCAGCAACGTGAGCTGGGAGAAGCAGGAGCCCCCCCTCTCCTCCTCCTCCTCCAGCAAGCCCGTGTACAAAGCGCAGATCATCGTCCCCATCGCCGAGCCAAAGTGCAAGCACCTAGTCCCCACGTTCTCCACCTGCTTCGTCACACGCTCATACACACTCGAGCTCTCGCTGTCAATCCGAACTAGCAAGCACAGCCAGCCAAACCTCGCGCTAAAGCTCCCCCTGCAAGTCTCGCAGCCCGCAAAGGACAGCCGAGAGCACGACAGTGCGCCGCAAGACACAAGTGTCGAAGAGTTCTTCGTGCCGCGGATCATCTCGCCGAGCACGCTGCAGCAGGAGGTGGCAGTTATGGCCCCCCCACCACCACCACCACCACCACCGTTTGACCGCCGACAGGGACAGCTGCCGCAGAGCATGCTGCTGCACCCGCCGAATGAAATGCCGCCCCCCGAGTACTCCGTCTTTAGAGGGACGGGTGGCCCGCCGGTTAGGATTCCGCCGCCGGTGGGGATTTCGCCGGGGTGCGGGTGATAAGGGGTGCGGGGACGCTGGGCTTGGCTTTTCTTGTCTTTTTATTGACGTTTTTGGTAATTTCTTTTTGCGGGGGCTCTAGACTGAAATTTTCTGTTTTTGTGTTTGCGTCTGCGGATGGTTTATGATTTATGGTTTTTGCATATGGAGTTTCTTTTTGGTTTTGTGTTTTGGGGGAGTTTGATTCCGATGGACGACTGGGACGACCATGCTCTGTATATAATGAAAAATATAATCCTCGGCTTCCGTTTTGATTCTCCTTGAGTCTTCTTTCTTTCGGTAATGAATCCTCGATTGTGTAGTAGTACACGGAGTTGAATGATTCATGAGGTCTACTAGTATAATCAGGATATCCTCCAGCTCGGCAGACTTGCCGGCATTTAGTGTCCAATACACGGAACCAGACGAACGGATGGACGGATGGCGAAAACCAACATCGTCACAAAGCTCATCGCACGGCTGGTGATACCTGTCGGGGAGATGCTCACAATCCCACAATCTCACGATCCTGGAGGCTGGAGCAGTGACTTGTTGCCCGCAGAGTAGAGTAGAGTCCGCTGGATACATGGATCGTCTGTCCGTACACAAGGATGCGAGCCATACGCATTTACTTCTTCGTTTCTGTTTCTGTTTCGTGTGTGAAGGAGAGCGATGGACGCTTCATGAATGAGCACTCGTATTATTCACACACATACACGCGAAGCTCTAACCGCTGTCATAGGCAGTCACTCGCACAGAACCTGTAGCCTGCGCGTCAAGCTTATGGCTCCATCCTCCTCCTCCTCCTCGGACGCAAGGCTATGATGGTCCGTTCTCTTCTACACCCGTTCCTAATATGGTGGGACGGGGGGTTTAAGTAATATCATCACGCTGGTTGCTATGTAGCCACTGGCGAGAGGTCGAAGTTGCAACTGCTCGTACCAGAGTGCACCAAGCCAGCAGGTACCTATTTCCTTTCAGCGGTCTGGGCTGATTCACGCGGATGATGGATGATGAATGCTGGGGGACAGTTGGTTGAGGATTTTGATAGATCAGAGATTTTAAGCAGCGGCTGGAGAAACAAATGGCCAAGAACGACATCCCCGCCTCAATGGAAGAAAAGCATGAGTACTTCATTGAGTAGAGTACAGCGTTCCTCATCTAGTCTTCGTCCATCGCCACATCGGCTTTTTCAAATCCAGATGCATCATGCATCACCTATGGCTGAAAGAAACCCCACATTCCAAGCTTCCACACCAATACATGTATTCTCAATCGTTTGTGTAAGTATGCGTGGCAAGTGGAAGTACTTCGCCAAGTCAAGTCCCGAGTCCCAAGTTCCAAGTTCCAAGTTCTAAGCACCTCCACTCCACTTCATCGAACTAGTCCGGTCCCTCGGAAAGAAAAAAACACAATAGTGAAAAAAAATCTTGATTCAAGAGAAAGAAAAAAAAAAACACCCAGCCAGCCCGCACCAACAGAAAATGATATTCCCCCTCTCTTCTACGCGCTACAGCTACAGCTACAGTAGTGTGCGATCTAACCTCCAAGCAACTGGTTAACAGCTCCCTGGACACTTCCGCCGCTCCTCCTCAGCGCCTCGATGTTCCTGTCAAAGTCGAAGAAACCCATGTCGTTGAGCTGACGGAGCTGGTCGGCATAGCGTTCCTCCGGTGGTGTGTTATCGGGCGGGGCTGCGGCGGCAGGCGGCATCCCACCGAACAGTCCTGCGAAGGGATTGGCTGCCGGGGATCCAGTGCCAGCGGCGGCTCCGCCGGGGTTGGCGCCTCCTCCCATCATCTGCATCATCTGCTCCATAGCTGCCGGGTTCAGGAAGGGATTGGCACCGAATGGCTGTTGCGGCTGCTGTCCAGCGCCGGCAGGAGGGGGGGAACCAGCTTGACCGGCGTTGGCAGCGGGAGAACCGGGGCTGCCGGCGGGAGGAGCACCAAACATCGGCGGCATTCCCTGCAATCCAAAGAGGTTGCTGAGAGGGGGAGGCGCTGCACCTCCGGGACCACCGAAAAGCGACGCGAAGGGATTGGCTGGCTGCTGACCGGCTGGCTGCTGGCCCGCCGGTTGCTGGCCCGCCGGTTGCTGGCCCGCCGGTTGCTGGCCCGTTGGGGTAGGCGTGTCATCGACCGGTCCGGGAGCAGGAAACCCACCAGCTCGTGCGCCAGCACCACCCATGCCCGGCCCGCCACCCATCCGGGCCATATTCCGAATGTTCGCGGGGTCCGTAAGCATATGGCGGAACATCTCGGACTGCATGAGCTCGCGGGCACTGGGGCCCATCGCCCGAAGCATCGGATTGGAGTTGATGATGTAATCGAGAAGCTGCGGGTTCTGGAGCATCTCGTTCATCTGCGCCTGTACCATGGGGTTCGACATCGCCTGTGCGATCGCTTCGGGGTCAGGAGGGCCCATCTGGAGCGCTGTCAGCCACGACGTCACGATGGGACTAATAGGTATTCGGCCGGGAACATACTCCGCCGTCAGGACCAAACAGATCGGCACTCGGCAGCTGTGCATGTCCCGCATACCGCGCACCGGTCAAGCCGGCGAGAGGATTGTTTCCGCTTCCCGCAGCCAGGTTCGGAGGAACACCACTCCCAGCTGGGGCACCTCCGGCGCTTCCAGCCGAACTTGTGGCCGCATTCGACGCAGCACCCTTGACCATATGCACCGTGTTGCCTGATTTAACCTTGTATGTCGCGAGGGTCTCCTCGTTCTTCATGACACGGCCGGAATAGATCAAGCGCTGGCGTTCTACGGGAACCTCAGATAGCTCGACAAGCTTCGCCTTGACATCGGCTATGGTTGTGGTTTCAGGCAGCGACAAGACATATTTGGTGTCATTGTTGGACTTGACGGTGAAGGTTATGGCATCGGGAGCTGGAGATGAAGGACGTTCGCTCGTCTCGGGGGCGGCGGCAGCAGATTGTTCCGACATGTTGGCGTTGTTCCGACGAAGAGTGGTGGGGTGGGGGTGGTTATGGTAGCAGTGGGACTCGATTGGAGAAGGAGCCGCCGAAGAAGCGAGGTAGAAGGGCGGGGTGTGTAGTTTGATATTACGGTTTGGCCTGGGCAGGAGAGTAAGGGCGAGGTTGAGGTTCGGAGCGATGCGATGCAAGAAGTCGGTGTGGCGGGGGGTGAGAGTGTGCTCGGCTGCCCAGTTGCGGTGCTGAGTTGAGGTGGGGGGGCTGAGACAGCAGCCAAGCCAGGAATAGCACTAGTTGAGCTTCCATCCCTTTCGATTTATAGCCGCCATCAGTTGTTACTGCCATACGTTCTATGGATAGGACGTGTATACAACGTTCTATGGATAGGACATATAGACAACATTCTATTCTACACGTTTGAATCGATAATCAGACGAATCCAGGGCGAAGAGACTTTATCAGCGAAGTCGAATACTCAATAATTACCAACATGGGGATCTCGATGCAGTCCGATAACTAACCACATTCCAATCTCCCCTCCTTGATTATGCTTAACCGCGCAAGTTATTTTTAATATCAACCCATGAAGAACGTACCGGTAATGGATAGAATTGTTGCGTGCCTCTCGCCAATGAAGTGAAGATTGAAATTCTGGGCGATTTTCTGTCAGCATAAGCTGGTATCACCAAGCTGTGCCGGCAACACCGGCCGTGGCACGTGGGTTCCACGACACTGAGCTATCGATCTGTGGGGTATCTATGGCGAAGGGGAAGGATACATACAGCGCCGCATGACGACATGTATCTACCAAGCTCGCCGAATCTCTGGAGGAAGACACGCTAAGTACCTAAGCAGCAGGCGCGGACGCAGGCACAAGCGAGCTCGCATCCATCCGGCTCGGCCCTTGTTCTGACCGCTCCATCCGCGGATCTTCCTCGCAGCCTCTACACAGATCGATCAGGTAGGCGTGGTATGTGCTTGATTCCAGTCTCGATGGCGGCAATCACACCCGGTGACCAGCCAGTATTGATCCCCGCCAGCACCCTCAAGGGTAGTACCTACGATACTGGATGGACTTTGTCCCGCGGTGAGTGGGTTCTGGGAAGTGATGAGGCTAGAAGCCTAGAACAGCCGTGAGGATAAGGAAGCTCGTTTATTCCAGCGGATGCGCCTCATCTAGGCGGATATCACAGTGTGTGAAACACATACGTGGAGCTGCCATGTACTACCTACTATTGCTAATAAAAACCTCAATATCCCTCACTCAGATTTTCAACCGAAAAGCCTGAACTTCTTCAATATACTGCCACTTCGGCGCTCCTACCATGCCTTTGGTAACTGCCTTTTCCCATAGAGCAAAGAAAGTCTAAGGAACCGGCCGCGTTCCTTTCCAGTGCCTCCATCTCGAAGAAGAAGAAATCTTCTTGCGCATAGCACTGTCGGTGAGCGGCGCGCTTGACCGCTAAGTAAGGAGCGACCGACTTCGTACATAACCGCCTGAAGAGGAACAAAGTGGTACATTGTGTACGTACACACTTAGCCCATGTACCGTGCACAAGCTGGGCAACTTCCGTTCTCATTGCGAGAGTGGTACTGTACTTTCACGGCCCGCCACGATAGGTACTTGGTTAAAGGAGTTCTATGTACCTATTTCATCATGATTCGCATGTGGCCTACTCATCTGGACTGCGGGCCTGTGGCGAAGCGCACTGTCCGACTATCCTGTCCAATCTACCTTCCTAGATAACCGCTTCGATCTGGTAAGCTAGGTACTCTACCTCCCTACTCAATAAAGACACACGTACTACTTGAGGGGACCTCGCCCGTTCTACCCTATGGACCCGCCCGCCCGCCGCTCCGCCTCCGCCTCCTTCGCCACCTCCTATTCTTCTAGCTGGTCCAAGAACTCCATCTACTTGGTAGAAGGAGAAGGGGAGAGAGACAGAGACAGGCCGAATCGAATTATTCTCGCATATTGCCTTACTAGGTAAACTACTACTTAGCAGAAAGACCGCAGATACCGCCCCTATCACATATCGTGATACCGACATCAAGCGAGTGATCCTGCGATCCAACCCGATCTGGCATAGCGCTTTTGGCGGCAGGCTGAATGATAACTATGATCCCCATCAGCCGCGCAGAGAGTCCACAACCAGATGACGAGCGGTAGTTAATGCTCACCGGTACTCCCACAGTCCGGATGATTCTCGATCTCTCAACCAGGAATTTCAACTATCGCGTCATCCGTCCGGATGCCGTCCGGCGTCCGGTAGGTCCCTCCACACCGTAGGTCCATATCATAGGTAGAGTAGATGCGTCGACATTCCGCGTTGAGGTTGCGGTTTCGCTGAGCCATGCTCGGTGTTTCGCGAGCCCCCACCGGAACGTCAGCCCACCCCCTCCCACCTCTAGGTACCGGACCATCAGCAGCCCCACACCGCTTAGATATGCTTATCGTGAACGTGAACTCGCGCATTGCATCGCATGTGAGCACGGGGGCCGCGGCCGCGGATTCTTCCGCAAGAACCTACCCACCTAAATATTCCCCGTACCTACGTAGCTGCCGTACATACCGTATTCTCCGCGTACTCGTACCGTACCGTGGATCTGGAGCTCCCAGTCTCAGCGAATCACCGAATCACCGGAGCGCGGCTCATGTCGCGAATCACTTCGTACATACCTGGTACTCGTACATACATGTCTACATGTCTACATAAAAGTGCACTTTACGCCACCGCCACTGCATTCGCCGACAGCCGGCCGGCGCCGCACCATGTGCTGTAGGTACCGTATCAGCTCCCAACGATCCAACGATCCAACCAGGTAGACGAGACGTCGCATCGTCGCGTCGCGCGACCCGCGATCGCGGTTTCGCAGTTTCGCGTCGTGTCGGTCGTGTCGGTCGTTTCTGAACTTTGAAGTTTGAAGCAACTACTCGACCTATACTAGTAGTGCTATGACTCGTGGCGTGTCAAGAGAGCTTCAGGATCAGTATCGAGTGCGAGGACGTGAAACCGTATGCACAGCGAGAGAGCCAATGGCCACCACGATACGATACGATGCGATATGATACGAAGATGCGACGATGCGACGCAAGGCTGGAACACAGGACGCTGAGTTTGCTACACATTCGCAGTTTTGAAATTCGAAGTGAAGCTGTAACACCAATTGTTGGAGTCTACTCTAGTTACAGACGGACAGACCGAGCATTTGCTCGCAAAAAATGCACACAGATTATGCGTGACGAAGAAGAAGAAGAAACCGCACCAGGAAAAAAAAAGTTATGCACCATCGTATCGTATCATACCCTTCCCCCGTATACCCCAAAATGAATGAATGAATGACAATGACCCGTAGTTACCCAACCCAACCCAACCCAATCCTCAACACCGCAACCCAATTTCTCCCTATGCGCTAAAATAAAATTGAAGTCGAAGTCGAAACCAAAATAAAAAAAGAACCCCCAAAACCCCAGGACATCCATCCCCCTTGCATGCATGCGTGCGTGGACTAGCAGCTATAGGAAATGCAAAACCGCAAAAACAAAAAAGAGAATACCCAAAGAAATAGCGGAATGAAGCGGACGCGCCTCCTCGTTCGCGAGGATCATATCGAATGACCGACCCGACCTGGTAGATGCCCGCCCGCCCCACTCCAAGGTGGAAAATAGCAATTATGTAGTGGCAAGTAATCGACAAGAAAAAAGGGCGGAAAATTGTTATGAAGGTATTATACAGTCTCGGTGCGGCTGCTGCTGCGAGGGGGGATTCGAAATAAAAATGAAGTCGTACAGTGGTCGTCGTTGCGTCTCGCCTTATGCCTTCGTGGGGCCGCGGGCGCGCTCCGGTACCTTCCAGGGCATGCAGACAATCTGTATTTCCACGTCAGTATGCAGGTAGAAGAAATTTCGGAATGAAGAGTCGCTCTCACCTCTCCCTCGCTGTACGCCCAGAAATACACGGCGATTCCGACCAAGTAGTAAATGGCGGCATTGGTGCCTTGGTAGAGCAGGATGGCCACGAACACGCTCAAGGGGTAGAGCGCAAGCCGCGCGCCGATACTTCGGTGGAAGCTGGAGTTAGGGATTATGATCGGCAGCGGGTATTCCCACGCCAATCCCAGGAGACCGAACAGGATGTTGAATATTTGCAGGATCGGAAAGGGCTTCACTGCGCCATCAAGAGCTCTGTGGTTTGCCGGTCAGTTACTGTGCCCCAGACTCGCGCACACACACCACAAGGTTACGTACTTTGTCCAGATGTCCCAGAAGATCTTGGGCCAGAAGATGCCATGTATGCCGGCCGCGATCTGGTAAGTGGCGGCGGTGAGGATGATCAGACGCGCCAGATGGTTCTTGATGAGTTTCCCCATATCTACGATTCAACGATGTGGTAGGCGACGGAGAGGAAACCAGCAATCGATGTCGATAGGGCGCAGTTGCGGAGGAGCCACAAGATGCAAGAGTCGAGCAAAGACAACACCAGGTGGGCTTTGCTGAGAGGTAATGGGGGACCGATGAAGGATTAATTGGGGTTGTGCAGAATCGGATAGTCCTCGGGAAACCGGGAAGGGCAGGGCGAGGAGGTATCGCGAAATATAAGAGACAAATGAGCCCAAGCCGTCCCGGCCACACAGATCTGATGGAGGACCTGCCTTGACGAAGCGGGGTCATACATGCTGGGGGAGGATTAGCCTCAGAGGAAAGGGTATCTAGCGGCAGGTCGAGAGTTGGTTCCATGAGTATGAGGCGTGCATCTCGATCATGCGTTGAGGACTCTGTTTGGTTGTGGCCCCCAGACAGGCACATCTGCAGAAGGGAGCTACTGCAGCCCGGGCGCTTCAGGAGCGAGCGCTGATTGGGCCGCCAATCTCTAGCCGCTGCGGTGTGATGCTAAAACGGTGGATTCGCCGGGAATCCATGTTCGCTTCGATGCGGGCTGCACTTGGGCGTAGAGTGCTCCAGATGCTCAGGTTGGCCCCCATCGCTTTCAAATTCTTTTCTGCCGTGCATGGCGAGACTTGCTATGTCGACATGGGAAGGCGAGCGAGAGGGAGGTTCACTCGACGGGGGGATGGAGCGAGGTCGGTCTCCGCGAGTCGGGACTGGCTGGAGCCGAACAGTCCAACATGTGCGTGCAGGGGGCATTGCGCAGAGCAGGTGTGATAGGAGGTAAGGACCTACTCTACTCATAGAGTAGGTATGCATGCTCTAGGTAGGTGTCTGCCCTCGCCTTCGCCGAACGTATGTAGGCATCTGTCCGCGATCGTCTTCTGAAGAAAAGAAAGGCGACTTTTTTTTCTTCTGCCGAGCCACAAGGCCGAGAGCTCGCCTGCATCCGATGCACTCAAGCGCCCGTGGCGAACACCACTGCATAACTGCATAACCTGCGATGTCTCTGACGGCCGTGCAGAATAGTACGGTATGATATCTACCCACTCCGCCTACCTACGTACCGGCCTACCGTATGTTATCGCAACCGACTTCCGATCGATAGGTCGGGAGCTTCATCCACCACCCCCATAGGTATGGTGTATTCCATATTCCCTCACCTGTTGGTTTCCGTCGGTGTCGAGCGGGGCCGGCAACAATCCCCAACCCACCCCCACGAACTTATTCCACGAACTTATTCCAACAACTTCCCACTTGTCGTCACTGTCCGTATGCAGCAACTCCAAGACCCACCATGCAAGCATGGATTCATGACGGTCTCTTTCTTCTTCCCCCAGTCAACCAGAGCTGGGTCGGCGGGCTCCCCCGTCAACGACGTGGGATCTGGCCGCTGGAACGCCGATCCAGTTTGACGAATGTTCACTTTGGTATCGGATGTGACATCGAAGACGTCTGGAAGATCGTTTTGGAGTGGGAGTCTACCCCGAGTCGTCAGTTACAGGATCACGGTAAAGAAGTGCAAGGCGCATACTCTATCGCACACTGCACTCCGCAATCCACGCTCCGCGGCAACAGTGCCGTCAGCGCTCTCGTTCCCACCGTCGGCGTGGCGCGGTTTCTCGTGCGTTGAGCGCATTTTAGACGACTGCCGCGCCGTCCTCGTGGGGTGTTGCCTGGGACTGATCCATCAAAGAGTAGGGAGTGTGTAGATACGGACCACGGTGGTTATCGAGCCAGATGGCGGGGGGGTGGCCTAACTGCACAAAAAGAAAGGAAAGCGAATGGCCAAAACAACGGGCGCGTAAGTGCAGCTTTAGCCCCCCTCGCTTAGGTAGCGTGGATCCAGCTCCCAATCAAAAAGAGTGGCCTGCGTGGGGCTATTTTGGTGGTCCCCAGTGGACTCGCAGACTCGCCGTGACCAGTGACCACTCTGGCCACTGGCCAGTCGGAATCACTGAGAAGTGCTGCTCTTGGCTGGGCGAAGCCTGTGGCCACTGCTGGGTGCCATATCCCTGCCCCAAGGTTGGCAGCCCCAACAACACCGCCAGTTTCACGCAAGCCGCAGGCCCAGGAACTCCCAAACCTCCATTGTCTCCAGAAATATCATGTCGACATCCCCTTCCCCTCTACCACCCCCCGTTCCTGCTTTCCTAGATCCGTCTGTCAATCCTCGTCTCCAGACCATTGTCTCGCCGTTGATCTATCCTCCGTGATGCTCTTCTGAAATCCGCGACTGCTATTATACCCCAACTCGCCGCCGCCTCCTGCAATCGCTGTCCCATTGCCGTGTATCAGGATTCACCACTACACACTCGCTTCCGATCATCAGACAGACACGCCTCGAGGCCTGTAAGCTGCCAGAATCAACTAAGCTTCGCAAATTCGTCAAGCCGCTCGCCCCCGCTGATACAATCTCTGCCGCATAACTACAAGACTGGTTGTCTTACCTCGAGTTGAATCCACTGGAGCCTGACAGTGCCCATCGCAAATCATCACATCCATCCCGCCGGCGCCTAATATTCGCCTCTCACCCCACACCCACACCCATACACACACATCCCTCGGGCTCTTTTCTTTTCTTCTTTTCTCTTCTTCTCTCGCATCTTTCCTCCTCTGTTGATACCTGTTCCTTTATTTGACCTTCTCCGCCTCTTTTATTAATCCCTCCATCCTTCTTTTCTGCACTCTGGAAGCTAGCCCTCTGCACTCGACTCTCTTCCCCCCCCCGAGTACTCTCTACGCACTTCGATACAATTCCAATAGTGGTCGCAGGTCGACTTAATCCTACGCGCAGTTAATTTTTACTTCTTGCCTTTCACCATGGCGGCCTTAACCGCTGAATCGTGGTGGAGAAGAGAGCTTACCGGGCGCAAGCTGTTCTTTTGGATATTCTGGTGGGGAGTGCACTGGGGATTGTTCGCCTACGGATGGTTTGTCTTCAATTCCGCTTCACCTGAGCAAGCGCGTGGGTCAGTGACCTCTAACAGCACCACAGGTACTCCCAGTACACGAACGAGCGGTTAGCTGCGTTGAACGGATTGCGATACTCGGTGTGGATTTCCCGCGGTGCCGGCTTGGTGCTGGCGTTTGACGGAGGCCTCATTTTGCTGCCAATGTGCCGGAATGTCGTCAGAGTTCTGCGCCCGAAGATCACATTCCTGCCCCTCGACGAGAGTCAATGGCTTCACAGGCAGACGGCGTACTCCATGCTCTTGTTCACCATCATCCACACCTGCGCACATTACGTCAAGTAAGTTTTTTCCCGTCCTCTACCGGAGCTGGCGGGCAGGGACTGACAGTCGAAACAGCTTCTTCAATGTCGAAAAAACGCAAGTGAGACCTGTGACCGCACTGAATATCCATTATGCGCAGGCTGGTGGAGTGACCGGGCATGTTATGCTGCTATGCATGGTTCTTATGTTCACGACGTAAGCCGCCCCTCTTGCTATGTGTAGTAGGGACGTGTATTGACTGTTGTACAGCGCCCACAAAAACATCCGTCACCAGTGTTTCGAGGCCTTTTGGTACACGCACCACCTCTTCATCATCTTCATGATCGGCCTGTACACTCATGCCACCGGGTGCTTCGTGCGTGACTCTGTCGACCCGTACTCTCCCTTTGCCGGCAAGCCGTTCTGGAACCACTGCATCGGATATCAGGGCTGGCGTTTCACGATTTGGGCCGGTGGGCTCTACATGGCCGAGAGACTGTGGAGAGAGTACCGCTCTAGAAGGCAGACCGAGATCACTAAGGTTGTTAGGCACCCATACAGTACGTCCCAAGCCCTGTTTGGCTCGAAGTTTTATCACTAACTTTGTTTATAGATGCCATGGAGATCCAGTTCAAGAAGCCGTCGATGACATACAAGTCCGGTCAATGGCTTTTCCTCCAGGTTCCTGCGGTCTCGGCATTCCAGTGGCATCCATTCACCATCACCTCTTGTCCCTCGGACCCGTACATTTCCGTGCACATCCGTCAAGTCGGCGATTTCACCAAGCAGCTCGCCGAGATTCTGGGAGTCACCGACGACGGCAAGTACGCCCATCTCGACCCGATGGGAGTGTACGAGGTTGCGGTACAGAACGGCTCGCGGATGCCAGCACTCAAGATCGATGGACCGTACGGAGCGCCTGCCGAGGACGTCTTCAACAATGAAATTGCTGTTCTCGTTGGAACTGGTATCGGTGTCACTCCCTGGGCTTCCATCCTGAAAAACATTTGGCACAAGCGCAACAACCCCGGCAAAACCCCCATGCGACTCCGCCGTGTCGAGTTCATCTGGGTCTGTCGTGACATGTCCTCCTTCGAATGGTTCCAGAATCTCCTCAAGTCCCTCGAAAGACAGCAGAACGGCATCGACGGTGATTTCCTTAGGATACACACTTATCTCACCCAGAAACTCGACATGGACACCGCACAGAACATCGTGCTCAACAGTGTCGGTACCGAGGTGGATCCGCTCACGCAGCTAAGGACCGGAACTCAGTTCGGACGTCCAGACTTCCCCAAAATCTTTACGGCTATCCGGGAAGGTATCAACAACCGGACCTACCTTGGAGGTCTCGACGGTACCCTGCGCACGAACGTCGGTGTCTACTTCTGCGGACCCAGCGTGGCCGCGAGAGATATCAAGAGAGCATGCAAACGGGTCACTACCGCGGAAGTCGAGTTCAGCTTCTGGAAGGAGCACTTCTAGAGGAGTCGCGCCATCCGATCTGTTGTTCGCACAGAGCTTCTTCTTTCCTCTTCTCTTGTGTAAACCGTCCAAATACATTGTGCTCTTATTTATATTGGTTTTTCTTTCCTTATCGATCAATCCTCTAAGATGGGGAGTGGTCATGGTATCTAGGTGTTTTGTGGTTGTGGTTTTGGTTTGGAATTTTTTGGGTTTCTGTTCCTTTTTTCTGACGGTTTATGACGGTTATTTCTTTTTCTCCTCGATAGTTATAACTACGAAGATCTCTACCATTGCAAACAACCATGTGTCGTGATATTCCGAATCACTTGCTGTGGCTAAATACTTCTTCGCGTACTTTCTTACGTGCATACCGTGTGCTCACTCATGAGGCTGTCTTCGGCCTGCCAATTCTGTGATACACGCGCCAGAACGGGACCCTGGCAGGCCTCCGGGAATCAAGCGCGATTTGTATTTTCTACTTATTGCCCAGGAAATAATCTGTGCGATAGCGCAAACGCATTCAACAGAGGCGTGTCTGCCTGATGAGATGACAGCAAATGCTCCAACCTTACAGCAAGTGTGTGTCATTCCTCAGACTGGCCAGCACTTGACTCATATTGTGTGGAGTACTCATGCTTGCCACCCAGTGGTTGGGGTCAAAATTGCCTTCGACAGCAGCTGGATTCGCCTGTAAACAGAGTAGGTATCTCATACAGTCGGATGTCACGCATTCACGCGTCCGAGTTTATTCTCGAGTGATGGAGTATGACGATTACAGAAGCGACGATGTTCAATCCGTTGGGCCCGTTGGGCGTTGGCGCGTCGTCGAAGCCGGTGGAAGTGGTGAGGAACGACGAAAAGCTGCACTACGCCAAAATAGGAGAAGGCTTGGCTTTTTATCAGGGCGCCCGCAACAAAGCAACACAACAGCAAAGCCAACGCCGCCCACCCCCCAAGCCCCACTCGCCCCATTTCCGAATTTTGCTCTGCTTGCTTACTCCTCCTTCTCGTCCCGCCTCCGTCACCTTTTTCTCCCCCCCCCTCTCCCAAACCCAACCCCTCGCAAATCCACACCAACAAACCAACAACACCTACCCCCCAGTAATCCCGTCGTCTCGTCGACCTCTACTACCGCTACCACCACCACTACAACTCTTCACACTTCTCTTCAACTCACAAGGCACCGCCCCGCCTCTAGGTACGCTTCCGCTTCCGTCTATCCCTTCGCCCTCATTTCTTTCTTCCTCTATCCAGAGAAAGAGATAGATATAGGGAGCGAGGGTATACGTCTTCTTCTGTTTGCGGGGTTGTACTAACTATATCACGGTCGCGTTAGATACATTTCACCCCACCTCATCCAAAACACCTACACATCACCTCCGAACCTATACAATGGAAGGCGCTCCTGCTACGAACATCCCCACCTTCAAGTTGGTCCTTGTCGGTGACGGTGGTACGGGAAAGGTATGTTGGCTTCCGCCTGTTGTTTTCGTCGCCGTCGATCAGCCAGTCGTGTGCTGGTGTTGCAGCCCGGGGCGGAGGGAAGAAACGAGGGGTAGATTTTAGATTTGCCTTATCGTTGACGACATCCTTCCGCTCCCCCAACGAACATGACACGAAACGGAAAAAATGAGAAAAAAAAAGAAAAAAAAAACTGACTCCTCGCTCGCGCATCCTAGACCACCTTCGTCAAGCGCCACTTGACTGGAGAGTTCGAGAAGAAGTACATTGCCACCCTCGGTGTTGAGGTTCAGTACGTTTTCCCGCCCCCACACACAGCCTACTACGTGCCCGCTTGGGCTTGTCTTAAGCGGGAGATGAGGAATAGGCAAGCTGACCCGCCTGTTTGATGACAGCCCTCTCGGTTTCTACACCAACTTCGGTGAGCTGAAGTTCGATGTGTGGGATACCGCTGGTCAGGAGAAGTTCGGTGGTCTCCGTGACGGATACTACATCAACGGACAGTGTGGTATCATCATGTTCGATGTCACATCCAGAATCACCTACAAGAACGTTCCCAACTGGCACCGTACGTCTCCTCGCTATCACAACTATCCTCCTTCCCGCCGTTGCTAATCGATATCGCAGGTGACCTTGTCCGCGTCTGCGAGAACATCCCCATCGTCCTTACCGGAAACAAGGTCGACGTGAAGGAGCGCAAGGTCAAGGCCAAGACCATCACCTTCCACCGCAAGAAGAACCTCCAATACTACGACATCTCGGCCAAGTCCAACTACAACTTCGAGAAGCCCTTCCTGTGGCTCGCTCGCAAGCTCGTCGGCAACCCCACCCTGGAGTTCGTCGCTTCCCCTGCCCTGGCTCCCCCGGAGGTCACCGTCGACACCAAGCTGCTCGCGCAGTACGAGGCCGACATGAACGAGGCCGCGCAACAGCCTCTGCCCGATGAGGATGATGCGTACGTCCCCCCCCTCTCCCCCCTCCCCTCCGTCTGAGTGCTGTTCTTTTGGATGGATTATACAGTTGACTAACATTGTTTCTCAGCGACTTGTAAACGGTTTCGTTCTTATCCCCGTTGTTATCGTTGGCCGAAAGGATGAGGATGGGATAATAAAAGAACGTAGTCTAGAATACCGTCATCTTCTTTGTCAAATGGATTGGTTCTGCGATTTCCCGCCCGGTTGACTTGAAGACCGTCGTCACGCTTTTATGTTTACGTTTTTCTTCCTTCCCTTTCATTTTTTTCCGATGTGGTGGTTCGTCCTTCTTTTCGTTCTTGTTTTCTGTTCAGGTTTGCGACAACGGGTGGAAAGAGGAGGAGCAGGAGGAGAGAAGATTGGAATGAAATGGAATGGAGAGTGGCTTTTAAAAATGGAGAGACTCAAAATCAAGGAGGTTGTGGTTCACTGGTTACTACTACTCTTGTTTTCTTCTCTTCACATGGTTGAGGCTTATGGCTGCTTCTATTCACTTATTCCTTTTTTCCCTCTTCGTTTTTTTTCCTTTCCTTTCCGCCTGTGTGTGTGTGTATGTGTGTGTGCGTGAGGGTATGTTTTGTAGCTGTTCCGGATCTGGAGCTGGAGCTGGGAGCTGGAGTTTGTGATGCGATCATGAGGAGTAGAGGAAGAGGAGGAGTGACTCTGGAACTCGGACTGGAAACTCGATTGATTCGGCTTGTGCCTGTATGTTAGCTAGCAAGTTAGGTAGTTTTGCTCGTAGTTTTACATCAAAGAAGTAGTTTAGACCATCTTTTTTTGACTTCGGCTTGGGTTTGGGTTTGGGTGACAGGTTTCAGCTTGGATTTCAGCTTAGGTTTGGGTTTGGGGAATAGTGACGGGCATAAGAATGGTGGCGGGCATGGCATGGTGACGTGCAGCGCAGTGATCTCCTCTGTTGGTCTCTGTTGGTCTCTGTTGGTGCTGGTGTCTGTTGGTGTTGGTCCGTGCGTGCGGTGCACGTGTGCGTGTGTGTTGGCAGTGCCACAGTGGAGATCTGTGGGGAGGGGGAATCTGGGGAAGGGGGATCTGGGGAGGGGGGGCGGTTTCGTCGGAGCCGCTAACTACGTAGATACAAAGTCGAGTGAGTGAGGGGCTGGCGAGTCATCGGCCGTGAACCCCATACGCTTTACGACTGTCCGCTGTCCGCTGGTCGTTCGGGTATCTCCATGGTCAAGTGCTGTGGATACTGGATAGTTAGTTAGTGGGTTCCAGCCAATGGTGGACGGAGTAAGACGTAGGTAATAGGTATGTAGTTAACTCGGCGGTTGGAAATGGCAAGAAGTCGGTGTACGATGTGGTATTCGACAAGACAGTCTCCACACCATCCACGTTAGTTTAGATTTAAAGCTTCCTCCGGCTGCCACCTGCAACCTGCGGCCTGCGGGAGCATCTACGATTGCTATATATGGATATATGGATTTGGTGCTTTCACTCTATGATGTAGGCTGGTTTCAACTTTCTTTTCTTTCACGGTCACGGCAAGTCAAGCATAGCCGATGCCGCGTAACTATCGGACCTGACCTGACCTGACGGTCCGTGCTCTGCTACAAGTTCGTTCGCTCGCCCTCGGATTATTGCAAGCCCCGGCCGCTGGCTGAGATCGATCAATTCCCCCGAAAACATGGTTGATTTGGTTGGTATCTAGAAAAACAAGCAGTGACCTCCCCTCCGTATGCACCAGAACAGAACAGAAATCTAAACGAACTACCAGGCCAGGCGCCAGATGATATTGTATCACACAATCCTCCACCAGTCTACGCCCTCGCCGCCAACGCCTTCCTGATCCCGCTCCCGGCTACCTCAATCGCCAACCTCGCAGCCGGCGTGTTCGCCAAAGCATTGAGCAGGACAAAGTCATGGACCGTTCCGAGCGCGCGCATGGCCGTGGTGCTAACGCCACTCGCGCTGAGGCGGCGAGCAAACGCCTCGCCCTCGTCGCGCAGGGGGTCGACCTCGGCGACGATCACCAGGGTCTCGGGGAACTGGGCCAGCAGCTTCTCGCTCGCAAGGAGCGGACTCGCGAGAATACTCCTTCTATCCTCCCTCCTCGGAACAAAAGCATTGGCCATCCACCTGAGCGTCGCCGCGGCCAGCCCCGGTCCCTGCGCGAACGTGGTGTAAGTACAACTCTCCACCGCCAGGTCCGTCACGGGATAGAACAGCACCTGGAACCTCGGCAGGAGGTGCTTGCGGCCTTTCTGGATGCTCATGAGGTTCACTGCGGCCGCCAGCTGTCCGCCCGCCGAGTCGCCCGCGAACGCTGTGCGCTGGTGGTCGAGCCCTAGCTTTGCCGCGTTGTCGCCGGCGTGCAGCCATGATACCGCGGCGAAAGATTGCTCGTCTTGCACGGGGAACTGAGCCTCCGGCGCCCGCGTGTAGTTCACGAAAAAGACGGCGGCACCTGTCGACTCCATCAGGTCGAGCACCAGGCGCCGGTGCGTATTGGGCGAGCCGAGGATCCAGCCGCCGCCTGTTTCACGCATCAATACATCAGTACGAACTCCTCGGCGGGGATCGATGGCGGGGGAACAAACCGTGGAAGTAGGCGATGATTGGCAACAGCTTTTCACCCGCATTCTTCGGACGGAACAGGTGGATATTGACGTTTCCCGTGGGGCCGACATTGATATTGAATTCCTTGAAGTCCACGGTGTCGAGGCTGGGGGAGCCAGGGGCCTGCACGTTCTCGAGGAACGCCCGGGCCGCGGGAACGGACAGCTTGTAGATGGGTGTCGAGTTGGCTCCCGCGTCAACGAACGCCTGCGTTGCGGGCTCGAGCGCCGGGATCGCCTCCGTGGGACACTTGCTGCTGGTTGCGACGCTGGCGGAGGCGGAGGGGGCAAGCAGCAGGAGCGCGGAGAGAAGGAAGGTGATGCGTGCCATTGTTGCGGGATGGGTGGGTGGGTGGTGGGTGGAACGAAGGTGGTGGGTGGTGGGTGGAACGAAGGTGGTGGGTGGTGGGTGGTGGGGATGATGAGGGTGGGTGATGCAGGTGGGTATCGGTGGGGTTATATGCCGTGCCGTGTCCGTTCCTGTCGCACGGAATTGATGCTCTGAAATCTCACTCCATACGCAGGCAGATGTCAGCATATGTAGAAGCAATCCCCTTGTCACTCTGATCCGTCCCGTCCGCGCTCCCTACCTACCTCCGCCGAAGAAAAGTGCACAGCAAGAGGAACCGCGGCAACACATAATTGTAATCGTCCAACGGCACGTTATATCCACGTCTTCTTGCCTGCAGGAACCAGTCTTCTCTATGAGTGGCTCGGTACCGATAACAGAAGCCCAACCACCCATCTTACCTGATAAGTTATAACCGATCTGTGAATTTGCCATTTTGTAATCACTTTCGTCACCCTGGTTAATTGACAAATATTTGAGTAGCTACGTAGATGCAGTCAGCAGAATACATTTACCATTTATCCACGGAGATGCGGAGTGATCATCGTACATCACAGAGCGGGATGCATTGCATTAGAGAGATCTTGACCGGTTATTTGATATAATCACGAGTGACATATTATGAAAAGAAGGTTTCAAAGGTTCTCGTCAAGCTCAATTCTGCAGGACTACTATAGATAGCTTCGCAGAACAGAAAAAAGACGCTCAGCTATCCGACCGGGGGTATCGTACAAAAAGCAAACAATCGACAAAGAAATTCATCCCACAGATGAGCAGCCATTAGAGCAAGCAAAAAACCACAGAGATCGAGAAAAAAAAACGCTATTATGTCAAAGAATCTATTGGTGTGGTTACGCAACCTATAAAGTAGAGGGACAACTCGGAAGAAGAACTTACCATTGCCTTCTATTTGCTAAAAACGTAAGAAGACTTCAAAGTTCATTACCCAATCGTCGCTCAATCACCACCCTCAACAGCCGGGCAGTTTTCGAACTCAACAATCGAGCTACCAAGACGAGGCATCTTGTTCTCGGGGGTTTCTCCTGATGGACTGGCAGAGCGTTTGTTTCCAAACTCGGGCTTGGAAATCATCGAATGAGGAGAAGGAGCCATAGGCTCAACCTCTCTGTGGCCCACCATGTCCTGGTTAGCTCTCCAGTTGAAGTGTGGAGCAGGAGCCATATTGTAAGCATCTCCCCGGTCCACTATGCCCTGGTGAGATCTACGGTACTCATTGCCCGGGTGAGGTTCCCAGCCCTGAGCTCTCCATTCGTCCATACCCTGGAAAGATGCAGATCCACCAGTCGGCAAACCTTCACTGATATCAGCTGGATAATTCTCAGAAGCACGTGGAGAATATTTGAAGTCCTTACCATTCATCTGAGCAGGATCCACAAACACTGGCGCTGGAACGGGGAACTGAGGCTGCTGTGTCGAGCCTCCGCTCTGGGGATAGTTCCAGCCCTGAGATCTCCATTGGTCCATATCCTGGAAAGATCCACCAGTACGCAGACCTTCACTGATATCAGCTGGATGATTCTCAGAAGAACGTGGAGAATATTTGAAGTCCTTACCATTCATCTGAGCAGGATCCACAAACGCTGGCGCTGGAATGGGGAACTGAGGCTGCTGTGTCGAGGCTCCGCTCTGGGGATAGCTCCAGCCCTGAGATCTCCAGTCCTCGATATCTGACATACGATTTCCCACAACAGACGACGGGCCATTCACCCCCGCATTTCCAGGAAGGGCATAGTTGTAGAATCCTGGGTAAGCCTGACCGGCATTGCCCATGCTCCATTTATGGGCAGGATCGACAGCCGTATGAAATGGAGACGTATTCTGAAGTCCACGCACATTCTCTCGGGGTCGGGCATACGGGTTTGGCGGATGCCGTGCAGAGTTGTCTTGAACGAAGCTACCGTTAGCATGGCGGGCACGATAACTGGTCTGGTGAATTGAACCGGATCCCCCAGCAATGATAGCTTCTATATCCGACAAAGAATTGCGAGGCGTATTCGTGGTCAGCATCGACGTTTTGCCACCGATGCTATTGTCCGCAGTGTCCCAACTAGTAAAGATTTTGGCGCGGTCTTTGGGCTCAAACCCAGTAAAGGATCGGTTCAACAGGGCGTTGGTATGCTCGGTTTTGACCTCATTAGCGTCGTTCATGAAATTCTTCGAGACGGAATCGGGAGGAATTGATTCTCCAGATGGAGCCACAGATCCGCCTGCAGCATCGCCACTCTCTCGCACAGCCGGTTCGGTATTCTTCTCATCTTGCTGATCCTCGGCATCCTGTGGCTCGGACGTCTGGCTTGAAGCCTCCTTTCCCGCCGTTTTGTTTTTTCTCGTCTGGGGAGGAACTGCCAACACAAATTACAGAACATTAGCATTAGGACTACAATTGATAGAACAGATAACAGCGAAAGGAAGTACCCACCGATGAAAAACAGGAACCTCACGAGATGCTGCGCTGCCGTAAACTGAACTTCCTTCACCTGCTTTATCTTCGTCTCAAACGGCGCCAGCCCAATGGGCCTCCACGAAGCAGGGTTTTTGGAGGCATTGAAGATGATATTCTCAGGCCGGTTAGAGTAATCAGCAGGCACCCATTTGCCCTTCTTCTTCTTCTTATGAGATTGAGGGGTGGGACCAGCACCTGGCGCGTCTGGACCAACCGTCGGCTTCCAATGCTTGCCAGAGGGAGACAAGCACGTGGGATCGGGCTGCGGAGGAACGTAGAGTCCCGGTGGCTGTGAAGCTCCGAACATTATGTACTTGTCGACGGTTGCATTGATTTTTCCAACGGTGATCGTTACTTGCACGACGCTGACGTCGGGGGGCAAGCCCGTTGCAAGAGGGTTCGTTGGGTCGCTAGCCATAGGAAGAGGCTGCGCGTTGCCAGTCGCTGCACTGCGTTGGACCCAGCGGAAACCTGAATTCGGAATATCACTATCCTCGTTGCCGTCCTGAACCACTTGACCACGTTCCCCACCACGTTCCCCGACACCTCCCATAACATCGCCGATTCCGTCTGGCAAGGGATTCAAGACGAACCCCCTCTCGTGGCACCTCGCAACCCTAAATCCCGTGAGGTTGTACTTCCAGCCCTTATCGTTCTCTATCTGGGCATCCTTGAGGTAAGTGCATCCCACCTCGGCGCCATCGATCATCACATGGATCCTGTGGTCACCCGTCCAGTCGCTGTAAAGGCGGGAGTATTCCTGAGCGCCCGGAGAGTCGAAATCATATTCGTAGACCTGGTTCATCATCCAACTTGGATCTTCCTTCTCCTTCGCCTCAATGGTCTCTTGGATCCAGCTCGGCAACTCACTGTCGGCCGAAAAGCCCTGGAACTCAGCATAGTCGAGGTCCAGCTTCATCGGAATTTCCGTTTCCTTTGCCGGCGTCTCCACCGTGCTGATGTACACAGGGTACGCCTCGCCTTCGTTGCGATTCAAGATTCGAATGCACACCGACTCAGGAAGTGGAGTGAAGACATCAGGATGCTCCTTGTCGGCAGCAATGTGGATTCCCGCCTTGATCTCGTCTAGTTGGGCGGAAAGCATGATGACTAGCCGGGTTTAGGAAGGGGGATGTTCTGGTGAGCCGCTAGTTGTGGTGGAAAGACCAATCGAATGAGTGAGTGTGAAAACGAGTGAAGAACGATGACGGAGAAGTTCACGTGTTCTTATAGTTGGAGCGGGAAGGGCAGCTAGTGCGAGTAGGCGACGATAGGCACTACTCTACTCGCTAGTCCAATAAAGGTGGGGACAGCAGTCGGACCTCGTGTGGCTGAACTTGGCAAAACTACTACAAAAGCAGTCTCACCCGCCACACGAGGTCCGACCACTGTCCCCACCTTTGTTGGAGAAGCAAGTAGCTCCTACGTCACAGCCGCACTAGCATCACCACTACCACCCCACCATAATGACCTGCATTAACCCCACATTCAATTCGCAACCGCTCAAACGCGATTAAAAAACAAGCAAAACATCCAACACCCACCACACCTCGCATGGCGGCCACCTCGACGACACCCGACTCCGCACTCCCTCCCACCCCCAGCGAGCCCAGCGAGCCTGGCGGCTTCCTTCGCACGCTCTCCCCGCCGCCCTCGAGCCCCACCCCCTTCACCACCGCGCTGCCCACGCCCTCCAGCATACCTCTCACCGCGCATGCCACCAGCAAACTAATCCGACACCTCGACAGCGAGCTACTCTCGATCTCACGCTCGCACCTGAACCGGTACGCGAGCGAATACAGCAGCTTGCCATCAATCCAGCCACTCCTCACCTCCCTCACGCAGCTAGTGGACCTGTTGTGGATCTCATCCACCCCCTCGCTGCAAACGCAGTACCTCCTGCAGATCGCCAACAGCCTCAACGAGTACCTGCCCGGCTACGCACTGGGTAGTCCCGAGGAGTGGCGCGGCGTGTTCGCGCTGCTGGATCGGCTGGACAGGTGCTTTCACGCGCTGATCACGCGCTCGGTGGGCGGCGGCGGCGGCGCAGGACTGAACATGACCGAGAAGGTTCGCCTCAAGAGTCTGGTTGAGCGCACGCGCCTGCATGTGGTAAAGCTGCTGGACACCGGGACGGGCGATGGCGAGTGGGCCGCGCTGGATGTGCCCACCGAGAGTGAGGGACATGTGCAGTTTCGAGGTGGGGATTGGGACGGGGCGCCGCCGACGCCGGCTACGACTACTGCGACGGAAACGGATACGGAGACGGACGACGATATGGATGTTGATGAGGAGAACGAGGAGGAAGATTTGGAGTGGGAGATTCAGGTTTCCAGGGTTTATGATAGGTACGTAGCCCCCTTCGACAGGCCGTGGAATGTGGAAGAGTGCGTTAATGTGGAGCGTTGGTGGCAGGACTCTGCAGGAAATTGGCGACGACTTGATCTCTGCTACTTCGTGAATCTCATACCTCGTCTTTATACCTTTGCCTCTAATCCCAATTCTATAAGTTGATTTCGAATTAAGTATATAACTAGTAGTAGTAGTTGTAGTAGCAGTAGCAGTAGTACGTAGTAGTAATACCGAGATGAGAGATGAGGGATTAAGATACCGCAAACACACACGTATGAGTACTCCATCCGTCCCGGATCATCCCCCCAGAAAAACAAACAACAAACAAACAACAAACACAAATCCCCATGTACTCTCTAGTCTACTCTAGCCATGGAAAAATTCCCGGACGAGGTGTGAATCCCTCAAGCCCCCCTTTCCCCCAAAACAGACCAAACCCAAGTATGTAGTTCCTCCAAAACGCCGTGTAAGAAGTGTCACCCGTGTATACCATCTATTCGCCGCCATCCCGAAGACAAAAAGAAAAGAAAACAAAAGAAATTACCAGTTGAAGCCGATCCCCAACGGTTAAGAAACAAAAAAAGAGAAGAGTTTGCCTGGGTATCATCAGTTCGTAAGAGTCGTTAGATTGAACCGTAAATGGTGTATCCCTAGTCCTTGCCGATTCCCTAGCAACAAATCAGTACATAAAATTCACGGCACAAGTGGGGAAAACTTACGAAAAGGAATCCGAGGTCTCTGGCCGTCAGTCTTCCAAGACCGCGCTGAGCATTCTCATCTAGGGCTCCTTCAATCAACATCTTCTTTTTCTGCTGAAGCTCGAGAACACGATCTTCGACGGTTCCAGCAACAACGAGTCTGTGGACCATGACGGCGCGCTGCTGTCCGATGCGATGAGCGCGATCGATAGCTTGAAGCTCAATGTAGGGGTTGTAGAAAGGATCTAATGATGATTAGAGAGGGAACCAACAAATATAGAAGGAGATGAATACCGAAGATGATCACTTGAGAAGCGGCGACCAGGTTGAGACCGGAGTTTCCGGCCTTCAGACTCACAAGGAGCACCTTGATGTCTGGGTCGTCCTGGAAGTCCATGAGGGACTGATTGCGTTTCGCCGAGGACATTCCTCCATCGTACCTGCGGTAGCTGATGCCCTTCCTAGAAATAGGAATCTCGAGGAGATCGAGAAGCGAGGTAAACTGGCTGAACACAATGGTCTTCTCCTCCGAGCGGTTGACGCGAATATCCTCGATGATTTCCACACACTTCGAGATTTTGGCACTGTCGACCCAGCGCTTCTCCAGGTACTTGTGGTCTATTGACTGTCAGCATAAGTTCGCACACGGTGGGTCCAGATTCGACATACAGATCTTCCTGCTCTTATCGTTCCTCATGGCATCTTTCCGCACCTCCGCCAAAGTTCTTCCCTTCTTGGCTTTTCCCTTGCCCTTGTCGTCCCTGAACTTCTTGGATTTACTCTTAGCCTTGGGCTTCGCTTTCGCTTTCTTCTTCCCCTTTCCCTTGGCCAAAGGCTCGTCTTCGTCGTTAACGATAAACCCACCAAGGCTGGGGTCTTCGTTTTCATCCTCATCCTCCTCAGAGTCGGAGTCATAGATCAACTGATCATCTTCCTTTTTGGCGTCTTCAAACACCTCATCTGTTCCACCCGGAGGATGGACCATCTTGAAAGTGTTGAGGTCGGTCACCTTCTTCATGTCCAACTCTCCACGACATCCCGGGCACCTAAGCTTGGAGCTATCATCCCCTCGCTCCATATTATGTTGTTCATGGGTGCTCTGAACCTGGAGCAAGCATTCTTTGCAGAAGAGATGACCGCACGGAATGACGATGGACGGATTTTCCGAAACATCGAGGCAGACAGGGCACTCCAACGATTCCGACTGCTTTATCCTATCGATCGCATCAATGGAGAGCTCGCCGACCAATGTCATCATATGAGTCAACTCATCGGGTCCTTTGGGCTCCTCGATATCGTTAATCAGATGTGGATGGCAACAGGCCTGTCTCAAGCGAAGGAGGAGAACCAGGAGATTAGAGTAATTCCGTCCAACAGCGTCCTGCCTCAAATACTTGTTGAAGATTATCCTCGACCTGTTCTCCAAAGCATCGTAGAAGGCCTGTTCGTCCGGGGAGAAGACGGAGTGAACCATTTCAATTTCCTTGGGAGGGAGACTGAGAATAGGTTTGCCGTCAATCATCGAAGACTTGGTTCTGCGAAGCAAAACAATTTTTAGGAGAGCCTGCAGCTTCTCCATTGCCTGACTAGCTGCACTGTTCGATTTGGCCTTGAGCGGACGCGAGAAGGTCTGCAAAACGTGTCAGCAATGGCCACACGAACGGGGGGGCTATCGGAGAACCCACTGCAGCGAACTCCGACCACTCGCTGTACGGTTTGATCCTGAGGAACCGGAGCAGAGAGAATAACCTGAAGCCTAATCAGCCATGACATGGACAAAAGCATGGGGGGGCATCTTACTCGTCACACGAGTTTTGCATGGGAGTTCCCGACAAACAGAGTCGGTACGTGGCCTTCAAATCCGAGCACCCTTTCGACGACTGCGTGTCCTTGTTCTTTATCCATTGGGCCTCATCGATGACGATCCGGTAGAAGCGAGACTCATCACCGAGGAGCAAGAGTGCTAGCTCTCTGGGAGCCTGTCCAGATGCTACAAGACGTTTATGGGTCTCCTTGCGCTTGTATTCCGACGCGACCGTTCCGAAGGTTGTCAAGACAACTTTTGCCATCAATCAGCTTCACGTACTCCCCAGCCATGAGATAAAAACGAATGATTCACTTACCATCGTACTTCGTCAGATCGGAGAAGGATTTGACCTTCTTGCCACTTCCATGGTAGATGAAGACAGAGAGCCGATGGTCCTTTTTTAGTTTCTTCTTGATCTCTCGTTCCCACTGCTTCAGCAACGCAACGGGTGCGACAATCAGAGTTGTCTTGCGCTTTGGGTCTTCCGACGGACGAGAAACGAGAAGTGCAAGTGTCTGGATAGTCTTCCCCAAACCCATGTCGTCTGCCAGGATACCACCTTTGGTTCTGCCTTCTTCCATCTTCTTTAACCACGTCAAGCCTACTCTCTGGTGCTCCATCAGAGGATAGTACATCGCATCCGGAGTTCCTTCGCGTTGCTCCTTCGGGATTTCCATGTCTGGACGAACATTCTCCAGCAGGTTTTTGAGCTGCTCCGCGGTTTTGGTCGGATCGTTCGAAACGTAATCAACGTAGTTTCTAACTGCACCGGGCAACATCCTTGGGACTCCCCAGCCATCATTAAGGACACTTCCATAGGGGTCGACAATTAGCTGTGAGCGCATCGTGTCCACGTAGGATGGGTCTGCTTGGTCCTCGAATGACCCCAGATTATCCGGCCATTCGAGGAGTTCTTCATCATCCATGTCTTCATCCGGGCCATACCCTACCATATCGTCCAAGAAGTCTTCCTCGTAGCCGTCCCCGTCCTCGTAGCCGTCCCCGTCCCCGTAGCCGTAGCCGTCCCGATACTCTTCTTTCATAACCACCGGACCACCATCATACATGAAATCGCCACCAGACATCCCGAGCAGTTGATTGGGAGAGTCGAGCGTTAGGTCGACGAAGTTACGAGGTTGTTGAGGATACCGAGAAGGAGTGTGCTCCAATGCTGCACGCCATACATCCGCGGGCGGTCGGTACGGGCTCGAGCCGGCGCCGGTGGGAGAGATGCCTTCATCGTACTGCTTCTGCAGCCGACGGGCCATCTCTTCATCCGAAGATCTAAACATCTTATTAGCATTTGATGAGACCTAAAGCGATTCGTATCATGTCGGCGTGAACATACATTTGCCAGCGGTTCGGCGTCTCAACACCGAATGGATCCGGAAGCCTCCTCAACTCAGCCTCACTAGCACAGAGGTCAGCATGTGATATCAGACAGTCCAGGAAGAAGAGGCTTACTCCTGCCGCATGAATCCGTTCCTCGCGGGGCTCCCCACCAGACCTGGGGAGTACCTGGGCGACTTCGTCTCGTACTGCAGGCCATCATCTTGCTCGAAATCCAGTGCATCCCACTGCCGTTTCCGTCCGTTGACTCCATTCCCATTCCCGTTCACAATTCCAACCTCATTCCCAGTTCCAGTCCTATTCCCATTCATCCCATGTCCGTTTCCCATCCTGTTTCCCTTCCCGCTCCCCATCTCGGTTCCCATCCCGTTTCTGTTTCCATTGAAGAGCAACGAGTCGTCACTAGTACTCGAGCCCGCCCGACTGTGATGGGGAGCGGGAAGCTCGTGGTAGTTACCGCTCACTGGATCGTAGTAGCTGCTACCGTACCCATTCCGAACCTGTGCCTGCTGCTGCTGCTGCTCTTGCTCCTGCTTTCGCATCTGGTATAACGTTTCTAGGTGCTCGATTTCGTCCGGGGTGTCTTCCTCGGATGGGACGGGCAGCTCATTCGATTTTCGCAGGTTTATGTATGCTTCGAGTTCCTCCAATGTAAGTGTGTTGGTCCAACTGACGTTGGCAGTCCACGGAGACACTGCGGCCATTTTATACGTGGCGACTACGGCGGATCGCGGTCGGAGTGTGCTCTATTCGTCAGAAGCTTTGTTGGTGGGAACTATGAGCCGGGTAGGTTCGTGTGGCGTTGGGATTCGCGAGCCGTCGGGTCGGAAGAATACGATTGGACGGTCGAGTTGTTGCTCAGCCGTGCGGATGGATAGCTCTCTAAGAAGCGGTGAGATTTGGGGGGGAAGTGTTTTGTGGTTTCGTGGGCGTCGGGGGGGGGGGGGGGGGGGGGCGGTAATGGGAGGTCGAGAGTGCGAGGTGTATTGTTGAGGAGTAGGCTCCGGAGTGAAGGAGTTAGAGTTCAAGGTGTGTCGGAGGAACAAGAAGTGGTGAGGGAGGAGGCTCGCGCTGTTTGGATCTGGACCTGGTCGGGGGGGGGGGGGGGGGGGGGGGGGGTTAGGTTAGCAGCAGCAGCAGCAGCAGCAGCAGCACAGACGAGGCGAGGCGGCACCTTAATATGACGATGTCAAGCTCCTCTCCCTTTTTTGGAGAATGTCTGTGCTGCGCCGCTGCTGACAGGGATCGAATGGAGATCCGATGCAGAGCACTATCTTTCGTGACTTTACGCACGCACTTGATGATCGCTGCTTGCCTTAGCTGGGTGCTAGGTGTGCACTGGCGGCGTTGGGTCGCGGGCGCGGTGTTGTCCGTTTCCTTTGCCACTCCGGAGATCGCGAAGTGAGGGAGAAACGAGAGAGAAGGCGGTTGAGGATTTCCCCAGCACGAGCCGTGTGTATGGTAATTACACAAGCACCAGCAGCAGCAGCAGCCAGCAGTCCACAGCTGTAGACACCCTCGTACCGAGAGGCAGCAACTAGCGGTTGTCTTACCTCAGGAGTCATCGTTGGGATTCTTCAGCAGTCAAACACCACCAACATCACACCAACATCACCACTACCAGCACCATCGTCATCCCAATTATCACATATTTCGCCATCTAGACGCGAGCGCTCGAGCACCCTCCATCGCTAATGGATTCGTCACTTCGACGACGGCACTTTGTAGATGCGTCTGCGCGCCAGACGCCGCCACACGCATGCACTTTCTCTACCCCTAGCACTCGCATATATGTCCTCTCGACTCCCCCCGCTATGGTGTACGGTATAGCTACGCAAGTAGAGTACTTTACACGCCCGTCCATATCACGACATGCCCCCCCTCCTCCAAAGCCCCACCACCCGCGACGCACTACGCGCCTGAGCTTTCGAATCCGCGCTGCACAATCTGGCTAATGCAAAAGCCTGCAGCCCAGCTCACCTCAAGCTCCCCAACATATATAGCTTAGCAAGAAGTTTGTATGCAGCCCACTCATTCCTCACGCAATCTCCTCGCAAAGTATGTGTGAATCTCCAGCTCCAGCTCTCCAGCTCTCCAGCTGCCACTTACATCCAAGCTCAAGCTTCAACTCCCCCTTCAGCCCCGAGTCGGAGCAAGAGCCTCTCGTATCGACAATCAAAAAAATCTTACGCTATGTACTAGATAGATGTCAACCTTGCTATGGAAAGCCGCATTCCTTGCCTGAACAAAGGCATCCACCGGTGACTCGCCCATCCACCCATCGATCCTCGCCCATCAACCCTCGCCAGAATGTGAGTCATCTTCACCCTCGCGCGCACACGCAGTTACGCAGGGCTCAAACTTCCCTCATTTCAATTTTCCCTCCATTTCCTTCCTTCCCGCCAATAGTTAAGGACACACAAACACAAGGCAAAGGGGACGGGACGAAATCCTTCCCTCCGTGTGTAGAGTACATGTGTGTGTGGGTGGGCTTCGGACTGTCAACCTGTGTAGAGTAGAGTACATTCTACATACTCCACCTATATATTCCTGCAACTGCAACCTGCATCCCTCCAGGCTCCTCATGGCTGCTCATGCTCATGCACGCTCGAGGCGGATTCTGGACAGGCTGTACATAACATCGTTAGGCATCAGCGAGCAAACCCCACAAGTTCACTGCGCGCGCGCGTATGTACTTTACATGCTCTATGTAGCACCAAAACAAACTTCACTTTCACTTTCACTTCGTCTTGCTTGTGGTGTGGCATACAACATCATGACCATGTGACTGCACTTCTGCCACGCGACAATTTTATGTAGCACACAACTCGTGGCCCATGTTGGCGGCCGTACAGTAGAGTAGAGTACAATACATGGTTGGCCGTAGCCGTAGCCGAAGACGAGACGGGAACGAAGACGGGAACGGAACGAGGGAGTCCCGCTGCCGGCCGGAGGAGGTGAAGACTCCGACACGACACATCGACACATGTGCGTGCACTAGAGTAGTGATTAGTTGGTTACTCATCCACCGTTCGACGATCTCATACCGGTTGCAGCGGGAGGAAGTCTGCAAGTTGCAACACCCCGGTGCCCCTGGCTATCACAGGACCTCAGGACCTCAGGACCTCAGGACCTCAGGGCTCGGGTCAGCAGCAGCAGCAGCACAGAGATCCGGGATTAGGGACGGAGGTACCTATCATACAGCGATGAAGTTTATGTTCCGGCCGGTACCTACTCTAACGTACTCTAGGAGCCCCCCGCACTGCAGAATCAAGACAACTGACAACGAACCACATCTCGTTCGGGTCTCGTTCAGGACAGGTAGCCCAGGTACATAGCCAGCCTTTCTCGCAGAAACCCCACCCACATCCTACATATCGTGGCGGCAACAAACGTCTATATACATGCCATATGGTCATGCGGCAGCGCTTCCGTGTCATGTCGCCAGTGTCGCCACTGTCGCCACTGCACTCTTGTGCGCTTAGTACGCTCCCGCTAACTAGAGTAACGACCTAGTGGGCCGGTATACGCCATGTATGACGCGGCGCAGGCGAAAGGAACGAAGGAACGAAGGGTGGAAGGAACGAAGCAAGGGGAGAGGAGGAGGAGGAGGAGGAAGGAGCGTACCTTGCCTTGCCTTGTCTCGTCCCGCCTTGCCTTGCCTCCTGAGTCCTCCTCCACCGCCGTGCTGGCAACTACCGTAGCAACTACACACAAGGTATCAAGCAACAACGCACCGGGTTTCAGACCACGTTTATCATCCTCGGCCAGCCGATCGAGATGTCAGGTCATGGCATACTCTAGCTAGCATGACACGGAATAGCATAGTTAGCATGGCACAGCACGGCACTCACTGGTCGTGTCTGGTCTGGTCGGGTCGGGCTAGGTATCGGTGTATCGGTATATGTATGTGGTCACTGGTTGCGAACCTGAGGCTCGCTGCGGGACGCCGTTGTGCGCTGGCCAGTCGGTTCTGATGGGCAATGTACCTGACTATCTGACTACTGGCGAGCGCAAAGCAAACTGGAGATGGCGGCATGGGGGCTGGTGTTCGATGTTCGGTTTGCTGGCTGGCTGGAGGGGGCGTTGACTGCCGGGTATAAATCTACCATAGGAGTGGATATCTACCCGACCCATCCATCCATCCATCCATCCATCCAGCGAGGTTGTGCGATGTCCTGGGTCCACCTGCTGCTATGTATACCCGAAACCACCACCAAGTCACACCCCCCCAACTGCACTCCCGGTTGGTTGGTTGGCGGACCGAAATCTGACTGACCGAACTGTGCGCACTCAGTCGACGTGGGCAGGAAAAAGCACACAAAGCACGAATCAACATTCGCTAGCCAGCCAGCTAGCCAGCCAGCCTGGTCCGGTTCGGTTGGGTTCATCGAAGGGATCAGGGTCGGTCAGAGAAGTACGCACACCTGTTTGCTGGCTATATATGTAGGAGGTAGGTACTCTGGGGCGGGGGCGGGGGCTGCCTTGAGAGGAATTAGAGGAGAGGACAGGAGTGAGGCTGTCCGTCTGCACCACTCAGGCACATGTTTGCATAATTCGCATTATTCGAGGTTGTACTGTGCGCACTGCCGGTATATGTATATGTGGGGTGCATTCCGCCGCCCGCGTATCCATCTGTATCCACAGCCCACAGCCCATAGCCCATAGCCCATAGCCCACATGTAACCTCGAGTGCTCGTGAGTCGTGACGTTTCGGCAGGCTAGCTATGCAAGGCAGGCTATGCATGTACCGATAGTAGATAGTAGACAGTACCTACTCCCTCCCAGCCACGAATAGTAATCATCCTCGTTGAGGCACACCCTTAGTCCTTAATCCTTCCGTCTGCACTGCGCAGGTTGGACAAGGCTGCACTTGCACATACACATCCACATACACCGCCGCCGCCGTCAACCCAGCCAACCCACCGCCGTCAACTAGCCAGCCAAACTACCAGCCCTATATGTAGGCATCAACCCCCAAGCTCTCGCCAATCACCCCGCTCCCAGCTCCCAAACGATGATAACGACAATCCCATCCCAATCCGGCGTGTGTGCGTGTGTGTGGGTGGGGTGCCAGTGTGCCTTTAGAGCCTGCACCAGCACCAGCACCGGCACCGGCACTTACCATCCTGCCCCCCCCTCCCCTCTCCCCTTCCCCTCCCATGACCGTGGTAGTGGAGTGGCCAATAAACAATGGCCAATGACCACCGCGATTGTGCTATGCTGCTTTCCCAAGTTCCCCGCCGTGCCAGGCTGCTAGCTGCCAGCGCAGGCCCGGTCACGACTGTGGTTCGGACTGGGCAACCTGGGTAGGATGTAGCCATCAGCCGCTATTTACCCCCCTCCATTCCCATCCCCGGCATGCTCTCACTGCCGTCTCACTCACTCCGCTCGCTCACTACTTCGCTCACTCGCCCCCTCACCGCCTCCCTCCCCCGTTACGTGCTCGGGGGGCTCGGGGGCCGGAGCAGAGTCGTGTCGAGTGATCGAGTGATTGGCCACCTCCCAACCCCTCCTCCCCTCCCTCCCCCACTCCGCCCCTCTCCCGCCCACTCCCCACTCCGCACCGGGCACGGAGATATCGCAAGACAAAACGATGATACTACAGGCACTATAGTCTATATCTCGTATCCTGTCCTGACGGGCCATCAATCTCGCTCTTCAATCTTCCCGCCCCAAGCCCCAAAACTCAAATCGTTTCTCGCAAACCCAGGCTCCACTGGAGCAGGCGCGGGTACTATAGTAGGTACCCGCTTTAATGGGGCCGGAGTAGCATAAGTTCATAGTTCATACCGGGCGGTTATATGGGTACTATGAGGTAGGTGGGTAGGACATCGCACCGACGGGCCGGTGAATTCATCCACCTCTATGTCCCACCTCCATGTCTCGCCAACAGCCAACAGCTAACAGCCAACCCAAATTCGCGGTTGAAGGAAGAAATAAGTTCAGTAGCCAAGTACATAAAGTACCAGCTAACTGATCTGATAGCCATGCCCATTTGTGCTTGTGCTCGTGTACAAACATTGCCATTCCAGCAAAGGGAAACCACCCTATGTCATCCATAGTAAATCCAAAAGGTTATCGATATCCACCATCCTCCCACCATCAACCCACCCAGTCAGACGCATAAGATCATATCAAGTCATTGATCCCATCCCATCCCGCCGTTCCGCCCCATCCCATCCCGCGTCATTCCATCACGCACCCCGTACCAGTACCCCGATTCCCGTTCCATCCGCCCACAAGAAGTAAAGTAAAAGAAGACACCAAACCCAAACAGACAACCTCCCCACCCAGCCCAGCCCAGCCCAGCCCAGCTAAAGGAAACGAAAAGCAAGCAAGCGGAAAAGCAAGCGGAAAAGAAAAAAGAAAACAGAAAAAGAAGAAGAAAAAAAGCAAGACGCGCGTAAGAAGGCAAATATTAGGTACTTAAACTAAAGGCATGCGATTGTGTCGAGTCGAGGGTATCAAAGTAAGCAAGAAAGATGGAAAAGAAGAAAAAAAAATGTACAGACGAAATGTAAAAAAAACGATGATGAGAAACCCAGTTCCATGCCGCGAAGAAGGGAAGGAAAGCAAGCAACGATTGAGAAGAAAGGCAAATGACAAAGCCAAAGACAACCCCTAGCTATGAAGATCGATCTATGATCTATCCTACAATCCCAATGGCCTGTACCTGTAGTATGCCGGCGGCGGGCTTTCCGTCCTGCGAGACATTCGGCTGCTCGAACATTGAATGGTCGATCACGGCGTGTTCACTCAGCTCACTCCCTTCGATGACGGAGGTGCTGGTGGTCGAAGTAGTGGCGGTGTCTTCCTTGATCTCCGATTCCGGTTCTTCGGGGATGCTTTTGATGCTCGCTCCACCCGCCTCCTCATCCTCGACATCCGCCTCCTCGCCGATATCCGTAACGGAAATGCCCAACGAGTCCAACGCGATGCCCAATCCCTCCTCCTTACTCGACAGATCCGGGGGTCTAGCTCGCAACGCACGGGCTTTGCTAAGCGAGATCGTCTTGGCGTTGTAGCTGGTGATGACCGGTTTCGTCTCGTCGCGGTCAATAGTAGCCTTCATCATTGCCGCCATCCACTTTTTGCCCTCATCACGCGTGTCGGTGGCGAAGTAGTGGAGGCGGGGCTGCGTAAAGGTGACACCCTTTGCGGCGCCGGGCGCAGGCGGTACAAGTTTGAACGTGAACCAGCCCTGGTCCTTTTCCTTCTTCTTGGCGGGGTTGGGTGAGTCTTCCTTTGCTGGAGTTCCAGGCGAGACCGGAGTACCGGCGCCCGGCGATAACGGCGAGCCACCAGCAGCGCGCGGACTTGCGACAGGACTCGCGACGGCTGCGATGGCTGCGTGAAGACCGACCAAACGATCATCGGTAGCCGACAACACCTTGTGTGAAGTGATGTCGATCAGTCCTTGCTCCACCTTATCATTAAGCGAGTAGAAGTAGGAGAGCCGACGCCCATTGAGCACAAAAAAGCGGGACTTCCACGCTCCTACCCCGCTGGATCCACGCTTCTTCATCCATCCGCTGTAATCACCATTCTTCGCTGCCTCTGCCGGAGTAATCTCCCGCAATCCCTTTTGGAAGGCTGTCGTCTGCTTCTTCGATTTGTTTCGAAGCTCCGAGCCCGAGGAGACTGTGCGGATCTTCTTGTCCTTGACCTTCTTTGAGTTCTGACGCTCCGCCTTCGCGGGTACATCTGGGGCTGCATCGCCGTCCATCGTAACAGTCAGGGAAGGAGTTGATCCGTCGCCTGTGCTTGTACTTGTTCTGCCTGGAGAGACCGGGGGAGTGGTGTTCTCAACGATCGTGGATCTGACTCTGACGGAGTTCGTCAGAGAGCGACTAACATATGGCACAGCAGCGAACGTCGCAGGCGATACCGCTCGGCTAATCGTGCTCGCGTCTTCGAGCTCATAGTCCGAAAGTCCCACGTCACCACTGAACGACCTGCTCTTCCTCTTCCTCTCTTTTCCACTCTTGTGATATGACAGCGCCGACAGTGTCGATGCGGAAGTTCTCCGTATTGCCTCAGCACCGGCACTAGCGATCCTAGAGTGTCGGCGAGTAGACGTATTTCCCTTCGCTGGCTTGGTCTGTCCATCAGCGGAGCTCTGGGAGCTGACGGTATTCTTCTTATGCAATACCTTCCGTTCCTTTGTCGCTTCACCGCTGGAAAAGTAACTCCGCTCCGTCGTCATATGCACAGGCGATTCCGTCAATTCCACGCCACCGTCGCCAGTGATAACACTATCTCTTGTAACCACGCTCGGGGGAGTCTTATGCTTCTTTTGCTCGCGCATGCCGGTAGCTGTGGCCGGCCGCGGCGGTCCGGTTACCAGACTGCCCAACCAGCTCTTGTCGAATGAAGACTCTCGCCGATGGGAGTGGTTGTCGATCCCACCAGCGGTGAGCACGGCTGCGCTTGCTGACATGGCGACGTTCAGTCCTGTAGACGGTGACGTTTGGGCTGAAAGTCGCTTCTGTGAGGGAGAGGGGGAGGGCGCAATGATGCTGATGCTGTTCATCTTGGCTACCTGTGGAGGAGAAAGAGGCGGTGACCGCGGTTTCTCCCAGATGCCTGAGATGGGGGAGGTGGGGGAGGACACCTCGGATGGGATGGTGGCGGACGAGGTAACGGGTGTCTTTAAGGACGAGGCCCCCGATTCGTAAGTGTTGGCTTCCTGGACGTTGATCTGGTACTGCTGCTGGTGTTGCCGAGACAGGGGGCGACTGGGTTGATTGCGGACCTGGGGCAACGCGGTCGTCCCAACCGTACTGCTGCGTTGCCGGTTGTGGCCTGTGAAACCTACTGTAGAAAGCCGAGCTGCAGCATCGCTTCCGCTTCGGGGTTTTGTGGCTGGTTGTCTGAGATTCTTGACCAGATGCTCGATTTCCTTCCACACTTCGAACCGTTTGCCAAAACTGCCCAGCTTCAATTCATCCTTCAGATGAGACATTTCCAATTGCAGCAGAATTGCGCCTGTCACTTCCTCCTCCTCGAATCGCCTGCAGGAAGCCGGAGGAATCTGCCGACTCTGTAGATACTGGGAAACATCGGCAGGTGACCACTTCATGACATCTAACTTTGTATATGGAACTTCGTCCGCATTTGCGAAGGGCAAGTCCAGTGGCTCGTCGTGGTCGTCGTCCGAGCTAAAGACGTCCACTGACGGATCATGATTCGAGTATTCGGACGATGAATCGGCCAGCATCTCGGAAGCGTGAGGAAGGCGGGTGTCGGGGCCTGGGGGAGGCATGCTTGCGCTGTGTCGGCGATTGTGGTCTCGTATCGCCTTGTTGGCACGGTGGCGGCGATTCTGAGTGATTTCAGAAAGCGCCTCCTCGATGTCGCTCAAAGTGTCTTCGACTACAGGACTCCGTAGCCCCTGTGGAAAGTTTGTCGCGTTCTCGTCGGGACTCTTGCCGTTCAGTCCGATTGATGACGCTCTCTTCGGTGATGGTGTGGACCGTCCTTTCTCGACAGTCAATGGCGGGGTAGGAGTTTCGCTAGTCGGCGCACCATCGGCAGAATGCGCTGGAGAGGGGGGGTGCGCGTCGCAGTACGAAGAAGCAGATGGGTGCGACTCTTGGAGGTCGGGAAGGGCAGATTTGGGTGGTTGCAGTGCGGCAGGGGTAACAGTCGGCGGAGAAGTTGGCTGCTCCTCGATCGTGTTGGAGGAGGGTGCCCCCGACGACGACGTGGAAATTGCCGGAGAGGCGTGCATGACGGTGGTATCAGGGTTCGTGGTGTAGACTAAGTACGATCCCCGCTGCAGTTAGCATTAACGACCGATTGCGTAGGAGCTCCCTTTCTCTCCTCTCCTGGCTTGTCTCCTTTGTGTATGCGACTTTCTTGCCTCCCTTCTTCGCCCGAGGAAGCGAGAACGGAGCGCTTATCCGGATGGGATTGAGGAGGGAATGGTAGCGTCGTCGCTCACCTTGGGGAAACAGTCCCGTTTCGTTGGTTGCGAGTGATCGACCCTACACGATGAAACAGCATGTTAACCACAAGCTACACTCTTGGATATACACTCTATTTTCGAGAAAATCGCAGGCAGCAAATCGAGTGGAAAGCATCATCTTTATGAATTGCTGCTCATTCGTAGTGGCGCCGCTGGTGGTCGCCCAAAACAGGGGGGCACAAAGCTCGGGAATGAGCTGCCAACCAACGAGAGGGGGGACAGCTGCCATGTCTTCGGCCCATCACCGCCATCACCCGCATCGCTGCCACGTCAAAGCGAAAAGAGAGAGAAAAAAAGAACAAGAGAAAGAAATTGTTACTGACCATGTACCAGCCGTCATTAAATTCCTCTGTGAAACGTAGTGTTAGAAATAAATCTGTCGTACCGCCTAGGAATGCTGCTGGTGCTGCTGGGTCGCCTACCGTCGCGCTCGATCACTTCTATCTGTTCGCCCTTGTGAAGGGTCAACTCGTCTGGCGAGCGAGCCTCGAAGTCATGCATCGCAACCAAAATTGTCGCGTCCATCACGATGGATGGGCGCGCAGGTCCTTCGTTCGGTGGCGGGGATGTTGCGGACCATGGCGACGGGCTCGGGGAGCGCAGAGATCTCTCGGCCTCGGCGAACAGAGTCGACGTCGCGCCTTTGCCACCGCCATAGACTGTCTCGACCATGTTTTCGCCCTTTCCGTGGTGGTAATTCGGTGGCGTGGGGAGTAGTTAAGGTTACGAAGGCGGCGTTGAGCGGGGCAACTGCGCGGATAATGTCTGCAATTAGCCTGCTGACGGCCACACGTCGCAATGACTCTGTCGTCCCTCGTCTCTCTCTCCTCTCTCCCGCCCGTACTCTTTCTCTTTCTCTCTCTCTTCGCTTCGCCCCTACACGGAACGGAACGGCAACTCGTATGAACTGCTTGTGCGACCTGGACGCGATGTCCTCTCTTTTTATCTCTTTCTCTCTGCTCTTCCTTTCGGGGAGGGGGCGGGGAGGTGGGGGGGATGGTAGTGGATGAGGATGAGGGAAGCGACTGAGTGAAAGCCCCTCCACGTCTGTCGCCCGGCCAACTGCCTTACATTAGGTACTTCTACTTACTTCTTATGTGAAGTTATCGGTATGTAGGTGTGCGTAAACGACAGATCGACAAGGTGGTATGCAAGGCGAGCAGGTACTTTAGGTGGAGTACTTTCACTCCACTCTAGCTGAGCGGCTGTATAATGCGACGCAACGCAAGAAGCAGCTGCCTGCCTGCGAGGCGTAACGAGTGGCAGTGACAACAAACGGCCGACTGCGGAGTTCGCGCGCTCTTCGGCGAGGTCGGCTGGACTGATGGTACGGACCAGGTGCTGCTGCCAGAAGCGAGAGATCTGGTTTGCGACGGCGCGCGCGAGAGAGAGTCTGTGGGACCTCGCAGCGCTTAATAGGTGAAGACAAGGTGAAATCTCACCGGATCGATGACAGATGTTAGTTGTCGTCGTCGAATGGCGACTCCAAGCATCAGAGGTATGATATGTAGAACGGAAGAAGAAGAAGACGCAGCGTTCCAGAAGTATCAAGGAGAGAAAGAAAGTGGAGATCGCAAAGCGAGAGTGAGAACGAGAGGGAGGAGCTTAGAATGAGAAAAGGCCGGAGAGAAGAACGGACGGAGGGACGAACGAAGGGCGCCCGGGTTTTCTTCCTCACCACAATATCTGCGCCTCACTGGCTGCGGCTAGCATCATCGCTGCCTATTTAATGGATGGATGGATTGGATGTGATGTATGGAGGGATGGCCCGTATGATCTTCCACCATCCACGGGCCCTCCATCCTTCCCCATCCTTCCGATCTCAGCGTGCAGCATCATCACCTTGCAGAGATTGGGTGACCACCACCACCCACTGTCCACTGTCCACTGTCCAGAATGGATGTTGCCTGTGGGCTATAATTGGCCGGCCAAACACACCACGGCAATCCGCGGTCGATGTGATAGATAGAGGAAAGCTTAAGACGGGCTGACAGAAAGCAGCCAGACAGCAAGAAGGTCGGGAGGGAGTCGATGGTGCGGGGAGGGGTTCAGTCACTCACGTATGTGTGTACAAGGTACGTACTAGAGCACCAGGTAGTAGAGTGGCAGCCAACAGTGGCACTCTTCATGGCGAATATTGTGGCTTTGCATGATTTTGCTCGCACGATTGCTTGCACGATTTATGTACCCTGCTGCTGCATGCGCAGTACACTCTACGCACCTCTTCCATGTACCAGTAGTATACAGGCCAATCCCCCGCCCCCGACGCCCCTCCACTCAAACGATACGTACAGAGTTACCGGGAGTTACTCAGTTACACGAGGCTCGGTTGAGCGACAGGCGTCCGTTCGAATTCTCACTCGGCAAGCAGAGTCGGCATGTGAGCTGTAAGCTGTAGCTAATGCGCTAGCAGCGACTCGGAGGTCACTGACGATCGGACGAGACAACACACACTCCATGCAACTTGCCTATTTACTCAACATGCCTGGAACCAGACCCCGTAACTTGCTCCGTATATTGTCCAGTCACTCCATGGACTCGTAGGCCCGCAGCAGTTGGGTGACACGCTGTGTTCCGTTGCACTTTGCACTTTGCCCCCCCGTCTCGTCTCATACCCACGCATCCGGAAACGGGGAGCCCGTCAAACTGCCGTCGCCATTCCGCCCCATTCCCAGGCTCATGGCCCCCGGCCCGTGGCCGCCACATACAAGGCTGTCTAGATTTCCGATGCGCAGAGCGTGAGCTTAAAAGACGCTACATTCCACGTATGCATACCTAGATCTCCGATGCGCGGAGCGTGAGCTTAACGATGCGCCGCGCGTGAGCTCTGCAGACACAATTACTAGGTACTAGAATCCCCAAAACCGTGGGCAAAGTCTCAATGAGTGACCGTTCGACTGGTTTCTTGTAGAAAATGTACGTAGCGATCATCTGTTGAGACACTTGAGACGTTTGACGGGGGGGAGAGACAATCCGGCTTGATACTTATAGACCTGTCGGAAGCATGTTCGGTGTTCGGCGATTCCGTCCTTATCGGCCAGGTTGCCGTACACGCAATCGAATGGTGTAAGCCCTCCAAACTCCAGCTGGTTGTCCATCCATGCTAGCTGCATGTCGCGGCTTGCGGTCGTCGTGTTGGCTTCCATTTCCGGCCATCTTCTCTACTTATCGGCCCAACAGAAGCGCTTGGCTTCTTCTTCTTCTACTTCTTCGCCAACCCACCGCCCGAATGGACTGCTTTATCTTGAGGACTCTTCGGCATCGGGCCATGTGATCAGGCTACTCCAAAAAACAGAGCAAGGGGGAAAGAAGAAAAAACTACATAAGAGCCTACACCACCCCCTCTGCACCAGCCTCTGTTTCCATCCAGCCTCTGTTTCCATCTAATCAGAGAGATTGCTTCTCTTCTCCACCTCAACATGTTGTGGTCTGTGCACAAATTCAACCATGAGTACCTTGCCAAACTGGGGTATTTTGTGCAATAGTGCTGGTGGTACATTAACCCCTCATCCCCCTGTGTTGTCCATTTCATCTTCCATAACCTTCGAATTCCATCCCTCTCTACATCATACATACCTCACTCAGTCCACTCCTCTTCTCCTATAAATTCTCCTCTCCTCCCTGTTCCCCATCAGTGACCAGTCCTTGATCCAAACGGATCCCAGACAGAAGAGCCAGCCTATCTAGACGTATCCATGCAGGGTAGATCAATCAAAGATTCATGATAACACCTGCACTACCGAAGTCTTCCAACAAAGAAAGAAAAGAAAGAAAGATCTCCCCCGTCTCCTCTCTCCACACATAGCTCTCAGGATACTTGCCACACTCTAGTTTATGACGAACGCTCGAGAGAAAGAGCCCCCCCCATACAAGAAAGCTACGGCCGGACGGAAGTCCAAGGGCAAAGAGTGAAGACTCGTCCGCCTGGAAGAAACCTTCATCCCGGCACGGCGGTTGATGCTCGACGTCGACGCGGAGGACGAAGCGGCAATCTCAGAGACGACTCTGCCTCCAAATACAACCACTCCGGACCGGCCACACGACACTTAGACCTGCCGTCTTCCACGGGACTTCGAATTCGTCCCCCCCCCACTTATAGACCTGCATATCTACATCATCACGTCGCAAACAACCTGCCGTCCACTCCCCCCGCCCCCCCCCCCAGTAGCATCGGACCGGTATCCCTCCTTCTTGCATGGCAATTCGCCACGTCAATCCATATATTGCCTCCGCGAATCCCGCGTATCGACCTCATTAACGGAAAAGCGATAGGGATCGGCGCATAGCAACCTTGTCTCAGATTTTCTTTATTTCAGCTGCTCGGCTCCTTCGACGTCTGGCTTTGGGATCGCGTTGGACCGTGGACCACGGAGTTTGCGAAAAAAAATTAAAAAAAAAATTTGCCTTAAGATTTTTCCCTCGACCGAGATTGGAGATGACTTCTCAGTGGCAACAAAAGAATTCTGCAACCGGGACCCCACCTGCTCCCGGGGGGCAACCCGGCCGGCCTGCTAGACAAGAAGATAGTGGCGCGGCAACGGTAGCTTCGTAAGTTCTATCCCAACAAACAATCATCGATTGAACAGCAATGGCTAACTCCGAGTTCTACAGACAAGTGCACCTCGAGGTGACGATAGCGAATAATACGTTGAATACATTCATCGGCGGCAAACCAAGATCATGGATGTTGAATGACAACGCAGTGCGGGTTTTCGGCGGAGGTGCTGTACCGCCGACTGTGCGGCAACAGACTGGGCCGCTGCGTCGCCACAAAAAGCCAAAGAACCCGCCGACTCCTGATAAGGGCCCGAGTCCAACAGAGTCGCCAAATACACCCCATCAGATCCTTCCTACCGAGGCCGAGAAAGCGGTCGCCAGTACGACTGGAGGAGCAAATCCAAGGATCATATCAGCCGATACCATTAGGACGTCATCACCGCGACCCACAGCAGCCGATAGGAATAGAAACATCGGGCCGACCGGGCCAGAGGGTACTCAAGAACAACCTGTGGACCTCTGCGGCGAAAGTTTAAGTGCAGTGGAAGTCGAAAACATGTTGCCTTCGCCGGCACCTAGCAAGTCTCCACCGGGACCAGAGCATCGACAACTGCAGGATCAAACCGGCCATAAGAGACCGGGGGACGACCTGGATACTCAAGATCCAAGACCTCTCAAACGAGCAATGTCATCGTCCGAAGCTACTCAGCCACAGTCGCGAAGACCATCGCAAATCGTACACGGAATAATGGGCGATAGCACCAACGGCGGCCACTCTGTCACCAGCGGTGACACTGATCCCGGCAGCAGCAGTGGCGGCGGCTGTGGTGGTAGTAGTTTGGCTGTCGAGACCGCCTTCGGCCCGCGTACAGTCTTCACGCTGGCTTCGTCTCCATTACCATCACCATTACGCCTAACATTTCCTGGCGCAGCAACGTCCAACCAGGTGATGCCCGGCCAAGATCAGGCTCTGGGCGCTAAAAAGAAGAAGGAATCACATGCCTTCATCACTAAGCTCACAACCTTCGCGAGGCAACAAGCGGCCATCGGTACACCCCTCAATAGATCGGAGAAAGTCCGCGCCCTCTTTCTCAGAGAGGCCATCCTGAAAGGCGATTTGATGTATCTTCTCATCCACCAAATCCTCTGTTTTGTGGGAGTCGCATCAGAGGAGGCAAAACGGAATGCCAATATCACGACGATGCATCAAAAGGGTGCGGATTTTATGCGGACTTTCTATCCCGACCATGAGGATCAGCCATTAAGCCAAACTTGTCTTACGTTCTTCTCGAATCTTCCATGGCAACTTGGAGAGGAGCGGAGTTCAAGAATGATGGTAGCTTTGACGGATGCTCGACTTTTCTTCTCGGACGGATACCAGGTATGTTGAATCCTTTTGATTTTCATTTTTACGGTGGAACCGCACCCGCGAGTGGGCGAGAGACGGAAGGGAGGCGAGTGACCGTCTGGGCACCGATTTGCAGTTGAAGTGAATTACCCCTTGAAGCCGCAACTTTGCGTTTGGTGCCAATCATTGCATCTGCTGCCAGTTCACTACTAGAGAGTGTTTGTCTAATTCTCATCGCAGGCCGTAGCAAAATTCCAGAGCATGTGCCGCCAGCGCTTGCACTGCCCTACGGACGAAGATTTGCAGAAGGTTCTGAAATTCAGCTCCCCGATGTTGGTGGCACTCTTTGGCTATTCCATCCGCCAGATGGTTTTGCGAAGGAGGGAGGGGCTACTGGAAGAGGCCGCGCAGAAGGGGATTATCCCCAAAACAGTAGCACCTGCTACAACCGAGACGAGCATTTTTGTCAATGCCGGATACCGAACCCCAGTTCTCGGAAGCAACGCATCTCCGCCGCCCACTCCGTTGTCTGCCACGTTTCCGAATGCGGATGGAACACAGCAGCCCAGGGGGGAATACTTTCAAGGATTAAACGGATCACAACCCCAACCCCGGGTTGCTGCCAACCAAGCCTCGCCGCCACAAACCCCGTTGGTAATTATCCGCTCAATACTTCCTTCCATTCCGTCAACAACACTTCTGACACTAAAACAGCTACACCCACAGCAATCTCCGAATTTCCCCCAACAACAACCGCCGCAAATGGCTCCGAACCGGCAGTTGATCGGGGTTGATGATTTCCGGCAGCAGCTGCAGCAGGAGTTTGCGCTCCGGACGCAACAGCAGCAGCAGCAACTCCGGCAGGAACAGTTGTTGCAGATACAGCAACAGGCTCGGCAACAGCGTGAGCAACAGCTGCAGCAAACCCGGCAGCAGGAGCAGCAGCTCTTGCACGAATACCAGCAACAGCCGGAACAGATCCAACAGCGCCAACAACGCCAACAACAGCAACAGCAGCTGCAGCAGCAACTCTTGGAGGAATACCGGCAGCAGCCGCAGCAGGTCCAACAGCGGGAACAGTTGATGCAGCTACAGCAACAGGCTAGGCAACAGCGTGAGCAAATGCAGCAGCAGCAGGTCCAACAGCGCCAACAACAGCAACAGCAGCAGCAGCAACAGCAGCAGCAGCTACAAGCTCGTGCGCAACCGGCTCACCCTCAACAACATACACAAAATTCCCTTTACCTCTCACAGCTCTCCTACCAGCAGCAGCAGCAGCAACCTCGACAAATACGACCATTGGAATTTTACCATCCAAGTCAGAATTGGCATCCGGCCCACCCTCCGCAATTACAGGCATTTGCCGGGCCGCATGGTCCACATCAACAATACCAACAGGGACCGCAGCAGCAGCAGCAGCAGCAGCAGCAGCAGCAGCAGCGACCCTTGCAAGGGCAAGGGCAGCAATACGCCCAACCACAAGTCCACAATTCGACAGCTGCTTGGACCGCACAGCTGCAAGCACAGCTGCAAGCACCACCGCCGGCCCTGCAACCACCACCTCGTCGTCCCACATTACAGCCGTTGCCGGCACTTCAGGAAAACTTACTACAGCTGCACCTGCAGAGCCCAAAGATGGAGTTGGCTTCAACCGCAACTACTTCGGATCCACTGCATTTCGGCATCATAGATTTCCCGGTCAACCTAATGGAGTTATCTGCGTCGTGTGAAAAGCGGGCCTGGCAGCTACCGGTTGATATTGAGCACCGCCTGGCTAGAACAGTTCCAGCAACAAACCTCATGGACCCGCCACTTCGGAGCAATGTCGACAGTGGTTCCTTGATATACAAGCTGCGTTGTGTAGAGTTTCAGACGAAGTCCGGGGAGTCCAAACCGACGAGTGATACAGAGTGGATGAGCAAGGAATCGATATGGCCGAGGAACATCTTCATCGAGATCAACGGGAAACGGATAGAAATTCGACGAAAAGAAACTTGGGGCAGGGACTACCCCGCCGATATCACAAATTACGTGCAACCGGGCACCAACACTGTCAGCATCGTACATCTCAACGGCAGTTCGACTGGATCCGTATTTTATGCCGGCGTGGAGCTGCACGAATGCACCACCGAGAGCAGGCTGAAGTCCCGGATATTCGAAGAGCGTTACATCGACCCCGATCGATCGAAGTCGGCGATTATACGGCGGCTTTCGTCCGGATACGAGAGCGACAACGACGACATGATCATCAGTTCGAGCACGGTGGCCATCGGCGTCTGCTGTCCGTTGTCGTTCCAGCTCATCGGAACGCCGGTCCGGGGAAGATCGTGTGCGCATCCGGAGTGCTTCGATTTCGACAATTACATGAGCAGCCGATCCCGCGAGAGCCCCGGCCTCCCGCCGAAGGACGATTCGTACAAGTGTCCGCACTGCAACAAGCGCGCGAGGCCCGAGGATCTGCTCGTCGATGGGTTCCTGGACGACGTGTTGAAGGAGTTGCGCGCGGATCCGAAGATGCGCGAGGAGGTGGCGAGCATCATTGTCGATCAGAGCGGAAGCTGGAGAATGAAGTGGAAGTCGGAGGATTTGTCGCTTCCGAGTGTCCGCCAGGGCTCGATTGCAAGTGCCCGCAAGGACTCGGTCGGAAGTGCGCGCCAGGGCTCGATGGTCAGGAGGGATTCCGAGGCGACGGCAGTGAGGAAACAGGTGGAGGTTATCTGCATCGACGATGATTGAATGATTGAATGGGGGCGTGGTGGTGGATAGGACGGGTTGGGGATGGGGATGCATGATGAGTGGGTTGGATAAGTCTCTGGAGTTGGAGACGGTGGCAACGGCGATGGACACTTGGGCTGGGTTGGCTATTCCTTTGACGTTTTCTGGCTACGGCTTTGGGAGGAGTTTGTGTGGTTTTTTTTCTTTCTTTCCCCATCATTGCACTCTTCTACATGGCGCTTTGTTACTTACAGTTGGCTCGGGGTTCTTTGTCTTGATTCTTTTTTTTTCATTGTCTTGTGGTTGCTATTATTACTCCGCATCTTTTTTTGCCTCTACTTACTCTACTCTAGAGGCATGCTGATAGTCTGTAATGGTTTGTCTGGTGCCGGTGCTGGTGAATGATACCCTGATTACTTGTAATTTAGATGTCGCTCCTGGGGGCGTAAATACTTCTTACGTGAGGGCCAGTGGTTTAGTTTACTCTATGGATTGGCAATGATTGAACAAAGAAAAGTCTGTGGATTAAAACTCAGATGAAAATTACATTCAAAGGGTAAAAATACAAGGGGGCTCGTGAAAGACGTTGTTTCCCCGTCGGCCAGCCTATCACACGATATCACACGATGCACCCAATCCTCTTCATTCCGTCTATTCCTTCTCCTTTTCCTCCTCCTGCTCCTCCTGCTCCTCTTCCACCGCGGCACCCAAAATCCACGGCCTCTCCTGCCAAAACGCATCCTTAATAACGTCACAAAACCTGACGACGACCTTCCCCTTCCTGAGAGCCTTTTTCCTCCTCTCCTTTTGACCCTTCGTCATCCTGTCCTCGCCTTCCCCCTGCACCTCCTCCAGCGGGGGAGGAGGTTTCTCATACTCCCTGACCACAACACTGCCCTTCTTGCACATCTCGTTCTCATCGTTATAATTAATCCCAAACCTCTTCCAGAGGATTTCATGTTTATCTTTTGCGAGTGTTCCCACGAGCTCCTTCTCCGCCTCGGCGGCGCTCATCCCGCCCTGCTGGATCAGCGCCCAGAACGTCGTGTTGTACAGGTTGTTGATGTGCGCGTCCACCTGCCGCCACGAAATGTAGTCGCGCAGGTTCCGCACGGAGGGGTACGAGACTGCCCGCCCGTCGAAGCTGGGTAGGGGCGGGGATAAAGCCGTGGGGAAAAAAGACGGCCACAGGTATATGTACCACCCGGTGAATACGCTCGTGATCAGGGTGACGATCTTGCTGTCCCCCTTCCACCATTAGCCCCGCGCTCCTTTCCCCCCTCCCCTAGACGTACCTCTCCCGCCTCTCAAAAATCCCACTCCCCCTGCGCAGCACGAAGCTGAACTCGTCGCTAACGCCGTAGGCGAGCACGACGTCGGGGAGCTCCTTGACGACCTCGACCGCAGCCGCATTCATGAGCTGCAGCGCGCGCGCGTCGTTCGGCTTCGCGAAGCCGTGTCGCGCACTGAATTTGTGGAAGCCCCGCCCGTCCACGCGGATCACTGTCCACGTGTTGGGTAGGAGCGCGCGGTGGTCTTCGAAGAGGCGGACGTATTCGTATCTGCGGCTGGTCAGTGGGGGAGGGAGAGGGAGAGGGTGGGAGCGGGGGAGGGAGGGGGAGGCGGGGACGCACTTGGAGTTCGCCATGGTGGGGTGTGGTGTCGCTGAGCGGACATGGGTGGGGGACGGATATGAGGGTGCTTATGGCGGGGTCGTGAAATAACCTTTCAAGCCGCAGTTTGACTAATGATGATTTCCGGTGACTCAGGTACACAACACACCCCGCAATCGTAACGCCTATCATAACCCCGATTCTCTTCTTCTTCTGCTACATAACCCCACAGCCAGGATTCTAGATGTATGTATAACATATCAAGCAGATGTCCAACGTCCCAACTAACTACCCCCAGCCAGCCAGCTGGCTATATGAAGAACCTGCTAATAAAAAACATTCTACTCTACTCTAGGTACGTAAACGCCCAGTAACGAGATGAGCATCACCGAACTCCAGCTTCATCTGCCAGTCTACAGATCTAGATAGCAACAAATCGCCCACAACATAGCAGAAATCCCGCATAATCAACTTAAACAAATAAGATATCCGCTGACGGAAGATAGGCGTCCAAATGAATGAATAAAAGAGAGAACACAAACATTACTCATTCGATACCGCATCATTATTTCTGAACTCCATAGACAAGGATCTCACCGCGCCCAACGCCGATTTTCCATCCCCCGCGCTGCAGCATCTTGCTGACAGCCGGCGTTAGCTTCGCCTCGCCATTGGCACTGTGCCGGCCCATTCCGGTGACGATACGGAAGGGCTGGAACCCACGACCGTAGGCATCGGGCTGCGCCTCGGCCCACCACCGCGTCGTCCTCTCATTGGCGATTTTAACCGCCTGCGACACCGTAACACCGTGCAAATCGAGCACGCCATCGCCACTGTTCTCAATGACATACTGCTCGGCAGCACGGTTTTCGTACTCCTTCGTGCGCGCGTGGTACTCGTGCCCTTGGTCGGCGTAAACGGCCGCCACTCCCCCCATGAGCCTGTCGGATTTCGACCGACGGTGGGATGCAGCCGCTTTTTGGAACGCCTCGTTGCGGGCGTGGCGGTAGACTCCGGCTAGCTGTGCTGATGTGGCGTAGTTGAGTGGCCGGTGGTAGGTGGGAGAGGTAGCTTGGGTTGCCTGCAGAGATGTGCCAATTACCGTCCAGGTCGAGCCATCATCGTGGGTAAGTCTTGTGGGCCCAGATCTTGCAGGGGCAGGCTTGCGCGGTGACGAGGCGGCCGAGACTTGACGCAGCCCGAGTACTGCGAGCGATCCCCGCCGGAGCTGCTCGCCAAACTGGAAGACGGCAATCTTGTTGTCCTTGCATAGCCGTAACAACCGATCGAGGTACTCGGCCTTGACTTCGCCGCCGAACTCCTGCACCAACTCGTTCAACTCGGCCAGGTGCTCCTCTCCATCAGCCACAGCCTCCCCTCCGTGCGCATCCAACAGCGTCGCTATCGTCCGGGGCACCGAGCCCCCATTCGCATGATGGGTGGAAGCCACTACGGTCTTCGGTATCCCCAGGCATGTGGAGATATATCCGATCTCCTCGTTCTTCTTGTCCCAAACAGACACCCTCTGTGCGACAGGAGTATTCTCCGTACCCTCCGGTGGGAGACTCATCCTTCTCTGCAGACCCGGCGCCGTCGCTCTTCCCTTCCCCTTCCGCTTCTTCCGTTGGAACATCACCTCCTCGCCGAACCCATCGATCCCCTTCCCCGTCTCCCCATCCTCCTCGAGAGACACACGATTCAGCAGTTCATCGGTCGCGCGCTCGAGATCGCCACTAGCCTTTCGAAGCGCATTCTCGAGCGAGAACCTGCTCATGGTCGGAAACATCATTCTCAAATGCCCCACATCCCCCTCTTCCTCTTCCTCCTCTTCCTCTTCGTCGAACCCCAGATTCAAACTCGCTAATGAGCCAGTAGTCGGGTCCGACTCACTCGTCCAATCTCCGCCGCCCTCTCCCCACTCGGGACAGCTATTTGCTGGCGAGATCCCACCACTCCCGCCGCTGCTCGCTTCGTCGTCGATGGTGACATACAAGATCTCTAGCGTCGCGCGCGCGGTAGCAACGCAGCGCGTGTCATAGTAGATGGGTGCAATTAGTGCACCATCAAGTTTTGGAAAGTCCTTCTGTTGTTGCGATGCCACGCGTTAGTGGCGCGCGGATTAAGGGGGGGTGGAGGAGTGTGAGTATGTACTTCGAGCTGTGTGATGGCTTCTTGATCCGACGTCGTCGCAGGGGATAAAGTTCGTGCTGGTGTGCATGCCATACTCGTAATGACTTATTCCGGCGTCGATTTGGTAAGATGACATGGAAGAGAGGGACTATTTGTTGAGGTTCGAGTAGTGTGCAGTGTGTGCAGAGTATGTAGAGTGGGTGTGGTGTGGAGTGTGGGCGGGGTGGGGTTACAGGTTCAGCTGCAGTGGGCGCGGAGGACATGGATGGGATGGATGGATTGTCACTCTGTGCTGCCGTAGCCACAACGTAATGTAAGTTGAGTCACATGGGCTCGGGTCGATTAAGCTTCTCCACTCGCTCGCACGAGGGCCGAGGCGTCATAGTTAGACCCTTTGCTTTCTCTACACAGAAGTCTAGGCGGCACCATACTTTGCGGGAGCGACGCGAGGTGATCGAGACATAATAATCGTCACCGTGCACTTGCGCTTAAAATATCTACAGCTGGCAGGTAAAGTTATGTAGGAAAAGTATCACATTTCATCTGTCATCGCATTACCGTTCTATCGTCGTTGGTCTCCCTCCCTCCCTGCCTCTTTCCGCCAGCAAAAAAAAGATCATTTCAATAGCAAGTAAACGACACGCAGATGCAAGCACATGTACCAATGAAATTTACATCAGCACACAGCAGGAGTTCTGTTTCTTGGCCTGTATTTCGTCAGCCCTCGTACTCCCACGAGAACCCGTACATCCACCCGGACAATACTCACCTGCGTGTAAAACTGCTTACTGCTCCCACTGAGCTGGTTGCTCCTCTCGACGAGGGAATCCAGCTTCTCGCCGCGCTCCAGAACACTCTCGATCGTCTTATGCAGCACAATCTTGGTCTCATCAAGCTCCTGCTGGATCTTCAAGATGCTATCGGCCTGCTTGGGATCCTGATACTTCTGAATGTAACCTCCCAGCTGCGGCATCTCGACCTTCGCCGTCCCAGCAGCCCATTTTGGGCGCGGGTTCGCAGTCAGAAACTCGTCGACGATCTGCGAGAGGAGCTTGTGCGCCACCAGCTTGGGATACTCGTGGTCGCTGATGCACACGCCAGCTAGCCCCTCCGATCGCCCGTATACATGGAACGTGTAGCTTTGCTCCTCGATGTCTTGACGCGCACCGGGGGCGATGCGCTCGGCTACCGTGCCCGCGAACATCGACAGAAACTCGCTGACCGTCGAGCGCTGGAAGAAGCTGAAGGAGCTCAGCTCTGTGACCGAGACGAGCTCGTGCGCGGGCTTGGGGTCGTTGCGGATGATCTGTAGGTGTTAGTTCGGAGGGGCGAAAGGGGAGGGGTGGAGAGGGGGGCGGGGTGAGGGGACGAAGGGAGACGTACGCCGATGTAGTAGAGCTTCATGGTGGGCTGTAGCTGTAGGAGGTGGAAGGTGTGTGCTGGTTTGTGGTCTGGAGAGTGTACAGTTGAAGTGTTCGGAAGAGTTGTAGATGATGTCGATAAGCTTCGTTGTGGGGCGAGGTGAGCGGTTGGCCGTTGCACATGCCGCCGTGTCTATTCTTAATCACTGATTAATCAAGCGCGTACTCCATACATAGAGTAGCTTTCATCGCGTCCTCCGTCACTCATCCATACTCTACACTCACAGCACCATGTCCACCGCGCAAGAAAATCAACGCCAGGGACGAAAGGCATACGCAGATGGCCAGTATTCCATCGCACATGAATATTTCACCAGGGTTCCTTCTCCTCTCTTACATCTAATAGGAAGTAGCTTACTAACACAACACAGGCCCTCAAAGCCGCCACCTCCCCAGACGACCAATGCAGCATCCTTGATAACCGGGCTGCGACGCTCGAAAAACTCGGAGACGAGCACTACCTCTCTGCGCTGAAAGATGCGCGCCGAATGATGCGCGTATCACGTACCTCCGTCCGCGGCTACCTCCGTGCGGGGAAGATCCTCCAACTCATGGAAAACTTCCATGTTGCCGCGGCGACGTATGAGTACGGGCTTGGACTTATTGCAGATGAGGATGTGGAGGGGCGACGGTTGCTTGAGGGAATGTATGAGAAAGTACAGGCGAGGGCGAAAGCTTTTAGGGAGAAGGAGAAGGCGAGGGATCCGCTGAGTGTCCTGCCAGTTGAGATTGTGGATATGGTCTTCAGAGGTCTACCATTTCGGACTTTGATGTGGGTTTTCATTGCGCACTTCCGTCAACGGAGAGAGACGAGGGCTAATGGGAGGATACGTCACAGGCTGCTTCAGTGTGTCAGTCGTGGCTGGCGAAGGTTCCTCAGCGAATATCATCGGAGCTACGCCACGCTCGACTTCACGGGCGTCAAGAAGCCAGTCCCGAAAGTGACGGTCATGGCCTATCTTCAGCGCGCACGAGGCCGCACTACTAAGGTCATGCTGGAAAAGTTCCATCCATCGATGCTCGCGATGATTGTGACAAAATCCAAGAAGCTGTCAGAGCTCTCCGTCATGTCTACAGATTTCCTTCCCGACGGTTACATACGGCTGTTGCAGAGAGATAATTTGGCGGTGCTCAATCTGCACTGCCAGATGAGCTCGGAGAGTGCGCTTGATCTCATTGCGACAGCAAAGAATTTGGAGGTGTTGAAGTGCCACCGATTGGGGAGATTGAGTGCTGCGGATCTCGAGATTGGAGGGGGACTGAAACTCAAGAAGCTGGTTCTCACGTGGGATCAACCCAAAATGTCTGGAGGGAGAATTGTTAGTACATACCCTTCCTCCCGAGGAGTCCCTCCATTGACGGGTGACTGTATAGGTGATAAAGGACTTCCCCGAGCTCCGTGAACTCAACCTTTGTTGCAGGAGGATAGACTCAGGGCACGAACCAGCTGATTTCAGAGAACTGCGCAGGTTGGAAAAGCTGGTTTTACGGGACTTGACCGTGCACTGGTTCCCTAAGGTTCCGGATTCTCTCCTACACTTGGATATCCGGGTGGAAACTCTCAACATGGATCACCCCGATGTGAAGGCCCTCCCATCGCTGGAATCACTTGGTCTTCCTGAATCAAGCAAGATCAACAATGCCATGCTTCTGATGCTACTCTCGGCGACCACCTCGTTGCGTTCTCTTGACCTCAGTATGTGTCCGCGGATCAATGCCGATTCCATGGACTGGCTCCTCGACGCCGGCCACGGCGACTCGCTCGAGTACCTCTCGTTGGCGGGCAATCCCTCGTTTCGTGACGAGGTCACACGCGAACTTGGGAGACTGAAGAAGCTCAAGAGACTGGATATTGCGCACACCATGATTACGGGCATCGGTGTCGCCAATTTGGTGTACCGTGAGGGCAGTCAACTCGAATGGCTGGGGTTGGACTACTGTATCAACGTGGGCCGCGATGCGATCGAAGCTGCCAATGCTGTTGGCGTCAGGGTGTCGCATAGGATGGACCATTACTTTGGTGCTAGGATGCGGTATTCCGTAGTGGTGGGTTGATCGTGGGCATATGTACCGGTACACTCGTTCGATCCATCCGGCCCATTGAAATACCACACGTTCTTTTTCCTCCATCTTACTGGCTCGTCGTATTTCCACCATGCCCGCCTTGCATTCACCCCGCATCCGCTCGCTCCGCTGTTCTGGCGGCGATGCGTTGTTGCTGTGCACCCCGTATTCTGCCTAGTTCATCGTCGTCGTAGCCCTCCCCCGCATCCGGTTAGTGCCGTTCATCCGACCCTTGGCGTGGAGGGCTCGTGCATAGCGGGGTCTCTACGGGAAGGTCTGTGCAGAGTGGGCCGCAGGAGGGCGGCCCTCAATCTTCACCAACAGCACTTAAACTGCTACCCTGAGCTTCCCATCCACTTCCACTTTCCATCACAACAAGTTCTCCTTCTACCCACCACCTACATCAAATCAATCAATCAATCTCATCAACAGCAATCATGTCCACCTTCTTCGACACCTGCAAGCGCAACTTCAAGGACGTCCCCGTCGTTGACGACAAGGTCTCCACTACCGAATTCCTGGAAGCTTCCGAGAGTGTCGTGCAGCTTTTCGGTCCGTCCTCGTGCCAATCTATCACACATCCATCCAGCTAACACAAATGACGGAACGACAGATGTCCTCGGCTCCACTGCGTTCGTGCCCGTGCAGAGGGACATGACTGGCAACATCAAGGTTCGTAGTGTGGATTGTCCGACAGGAGGACAGATGCTCGAATTATCCGCTGACATTGTTGGGACAGAAAATCCGCGACGCACAGCTCGCCCACCCTGCCACCTCCGGAACCCTCCAAGAAATCGCCGACAGCGACCCCACTGCCGCCGAGGGGCTGCTGTGGCTGAACCGGTTCGTCGTCCTCCGTCCCTCTTGTTCCTTCCTACTAATACTAATACTCATCTTTTCCAGAGGCCTTGAGTTCACCTCCCTCGCACTCCGCAAAAACGTCGATTCCAACGAGGAGTTGACGGCGTCATTCACGAGCTCGTACAACGACTCGCTCAAGAAGCACCACAACATGATTGTGCGCGGCATCTTCAGCGTCGCCATGAAGGCGTGCCCCTACCGTGCCGACTTCTACAAGAAGCTGGGTGATGACCAGGCTGCCGTCGAGACCAAGATGAAGGAGTGGCTTGCTGCGCTTGAGAAGATCGTCGGCATCCTTAATGTGTATTTGGCTGCAAAGAAGATCTAGATGATGGAGAAGCTTGAGGATATTCAAGTACCTATCACGATTGCTGGCAAAAGCTACATAGCGGTTTATCATCATCACATCAGACCGATCGGGGGAACCAACCGAATGGAATTGGATTCGAAAGGAATGGCATTCATTGCTCAATTGGTTCCGTGAAGAGTAAAGAACACAAAGTAAACCACAATTCGTCCCATCCATCCAAGCCAACCAAAGACACGAAACGAAACGAAAACGCCGAACCCCCAAACAAGCAAGCAAGCCGTAACTTTTACCATCCGCCTCCTCCTCCCCCGTTGAAAATTACCTAGGTAGAGTACTCAATCCATCATATCATCCACAGCGCCACTCTCGTCGAGCACAACCTTGGCCTTGCTCTTCTCGCGGAGCCTGTGCAACTCCACCATCTCGCTCTGAGCGCCCGCCTTCTTCGTCATGCGCTCGATCTCCTCCTCGGCATCGTTGGCGTCCGTCTGCGCGTAGTCCAGCACCAGCCGGCGGCCCAGCAAATGCGTATCCTTGAGCGCCTCCATTGCATTACCCGCCTCCCGGGCCGTGACGAACTCCGCAAACGCGAAGCCGCGGGTGCGGTTGCCAAGTTTCTTTGGCATGCGCAGGGTGCGGAGGGTGCCATATTTGCTACACGGGATATTGTTAGTAGGTAGTGGTGGGGGTGGTGGAGAGAGAAGGGATAAATACCCGAACAACGAGCGAACGTCCGCCTTGGTAACCTCAAAGGGCAAGTTCTTGATGATGATCTTAGTCTTATTCTCCTCGTCCTTCTTAGTTCCGGCCGCCTTCTTGCCGCCCTCCTTCTCCTGGTCCGCGCCGCGGTGCGCAATCTTCACCGCCAGCCTGTGGCCGTCCAGATTCTTCCCGTCCATGACTTCCAGTGCGGCGCGCGCATGCGCCGGCGTGTCGAAGCCGACAAAGCCAAAGCCCATGGACAGTGTCTGCCCGGGCTTCTTGGGATCGGTCTTGGTCTTAACGCGGGCCCAGAGGAAGCCCGGGAGCGCGGAGAAGGCGGTGGAGAAGGCGGCTGCGGACGTGGTGAAGCTGAGGTTGCGGATGAACAGCGTGGTAACGTCGTCGTCGGTGGCGGCGGCGGTGGATGTCTTGAGGTCGCCAGCAGAGGGCTTCGCGTCGACGCCTGTGTCGGTGGGAACGGCGGTGGAAGTGGCCGTGACAGTACCGGTAAACAATCCGCGCGGTCCTTTCTCGAGAAAGAGGACTCCGTCTTTGAACCTTCTGTAGCTGAGTGCTGAAAATGCAGCTCTGGCCGCAGGCGCAGCCTGGAACTCGGCGATGGCGATGGTGCCGGCAGGGGGCATGAGCAGCTGCCGCAGCTCGCCGAAGTCGCCCAGGAGCTTCCGGAGCTCATCGGCTTTGGTGCCGAAGGGGAAGTTCTTGACCAGGACGATGCGGTCGTCGCGCTCCGTGCGAGAGAAGGCGGCAACGTCGATACCATTATTGGTGAAGTAGGCTTTCGTCTCTTGGATGATGTGTGTTTCGGCGTGGGCTTGCTTCACAGCGGCAGAGGAGGATGTGGGATCAAGAAGGTCTGCCTTGGACACGCCCAGTTTATGGGCCACCGAGGAGATGACGGCGTCGGCCTACGGTGCACCGGTGTATTAGCACTGGAGAGCAGACAGGGCGCACACACGATTGGTTCGCAGCAGCAAAGTAGACAGAAGACGATTTATTACATTCATATATAGAGAGTTCCAACTAAACTGGCTGGTCGCAGCGTTCGCCTTCCGCTTCAACTCGCGTTGTTTTTTTAAGGGTAGTTTGGAGATGGCATATTCATCCAGTTTGGTTTCCCGCTTGGGGGATGCGGCAATGATATGTAGTAGCCGTCCCTGGAGCTCCGTCTGATCCAACTCTTTGAAAGCATCCACCGCGTCCGCGGGCTTCTTGAATAGCACGTATACAAAACCTTTACTGGCTTGCGTCTTGTTATCAATCGGAAGATGAACCTGCAGTGGCACTCGTTAGCATCTTGATCCAAACATGATAACGGTGCAAAAGCGGCAAAAATTCAAAACAGTTGTGTTTGTCAGAGATTCTACTATCTGGATTCCTGAAAGGGTAATCATGTATACGAATATATAAGATGTCCCTATATGTTCTTTCATCACGAAAAACGACTGGATTGCGGGGGAGACGGGGCATGCAGGAGCAAAGAGAATAGGATGTGCATACCTCTTCCAACTCTCCGAAACGAGAGAAATGTTGTCGTAAATCTTCCTCGGTGGTATTGTAGGACAGATTACGGACGAACAATCTCCCGGTGCTGGCGATCTTTTCGATGGCCTCCTCATATTCCGACTTTGACTGTTCTGGTTCCATTTCAGCCATGGTAACATCCTCCTGTGCCTGTGCGGGAATGTTGGTAGCCGACGGACGAGCAACCTGGGGAATGGTGGGGGCGGAAGGCTTGGAGTCAGCCATAGTCAAGCGGGAGGAGACATCATCCGTCAGATCCAACAGACGACTGGTCTTGCTCCTGAGCCAATCAGCATCTGACACCGGACCAGTTGCTTGGTCTTCATCGGTCTGGACAACAGCATCATTCGCATCCTCAATCCTCATTATAGCCACCGGTATTTTTGGTTCCGTTACGGATTCCGCGCCGACTGTCTTCTTGAGCGCTGGAAGCTCGACATATTCATCATCATCCTCACCCGCATCTGCGATGGGGACAGTGGCAGAGTCATGATTGGCGTTGCCCCAGGTGTTAGATTTAGAACCAGGAGCATAGACGTCCAAGTACTCCTGAAGTTTCTTGTTAGGTGGGGAGGCACCATCCGGTTTGCCGTCATGTTTCCGTTTCAGGCCATTGCCATCCTCAGACTGTGTAGTAGTGGTGGCAGTCGATCCAGAAAGTTTTTGTCGTTTTCTTGGATCATGTTGATGTTGTGCCTCACTGGGTCTTGACTCGCGGGTTTCTGCTACCTGAAATTGTAATTAGCCTTTTTAATCTACTAGGCGGGGGGCATGAGCGGGTCTAACAGTCTTTGCGATCTCAACCCCAATCTTCGACGTACGAATGTACGTCTTGTTAAAGTATTTGACAGCAGCCTGCGCATCCTCGGGCGTCTTGAAGCCGATGTAGCCTATCCGGCGGTGTGGGATCAGGCGCGCATCTGTGACTTCATTCTTCTTTGCAAAGTGCGCGCGGAGCTCGGCGTCGGTGAAGGTGGGGGGAAGCCCGCGGACGAATATTCTTGTAGACCTGTGGAGTGTGAGCGACTTGATGGGAGACGGAGGAGGGCAAAAGAAGAAAATGGAATTGCGTACATTCGAACGGTTGTGGTTGTAGAAGAAGAGGGGAAGAGAACGTGGTGAGAAGATTAGGCACTCTTTAAGTAAGAGTAGCTAAACCGAAAAGTTTTCGAGCGGTCAAATTTTTAGCGGCGTAGCGTCTTGCCTTTCTCTGGGTGGCTACCGATCGAAATATGTAAGAGGGGAAGAAAGAGCCGATCACGTGACTCTGCATTCCGACAGTGGTGGCAGGGAAGGGGACCTAAGAACCAGGGGCGGCTGGGAATGGAAGAGTGAGCGAGGCAGAGGCACAGAGCGAGAGAGACCGAGCGTGAGGGAGCGAAAGACCACCACCACCAACAGCCAGCCAACGCACGTAAACAACTCCCACCACCTCCTTCACCCCCATCATCATCCCCTTTCATCACCAACACACAAACAAAGACTCCCACCCATAACACACGGTCGAGCCCGACTCTCCTCCTTTCATCCCATCCGGCGATCCCACCCACTGACTTCGCACAGCTTCATCGCCCAATTCAATCCCCACACAAAACCAACTCCTCCATCGCGTCTTCTTGTCTTCATTGCCAACAATGTCGAGCGACAAGGGAGCTACTGCCGCAGCTGGCAATGACTTCAAGAGTGAGGAATCCCTCATCCGCGAACTAGAAGCGGAAGCAACTCGCTAACTCACCCTCCGCAAAACAGCTACCGTCAAATCGGTAGACATGGTATATACACCTCCCCCCACCTGTAAAGCTCTCCCACCCCAGCTCCTAACTCCGGGGAAATAGTCGGAGGAGATGCAAATGTACGCTCAAGACATTGGTAAGCGCGGCCGCCTTCCTCCCCCTCCAATCCTCCCCTCCATGGACGCGTTAAACTAACGGTGCATGTCAAAAGCCAAGAAAGCCATGAAGGAGAACAACGTGGAGAAGGTTTGAAGCTCTCTATATATCGACGCACTACCGAATCGTCTCGCTAAAGCAAAGTCCAGGATATTGCTCAGATGATAAAGAAGGAGGTGAGCACACAGATCCCCATCCCTACTGTAGGTGGGTAGCTCATCACTAACGAGCGAATCTACAGTTCGACAAACAATACGGCAACACATGTACTTTACCTTCGCATCTCCCCTGCTCCCCTGTGAAAGGTCGACTAAGAAATGTGAATAGGGCACTGCATCGTCGGTCGTAACTTCGGAAGCTTTGTCACTCATGGTATGGACACCCTCTCCCTCTTAGCCAATCCAATCCCAATCCTACTCAAAGATGCTGACACCACTGCAGAGACGAAGCACTTCATCTACTTCTATGTCGGCAACCTCGCTGTTCTCCTTTACAAAACCGCCTAGGTTATTACTTTAGGCCCGCACTTGATCCACTTTTTGTCTGATGGTATTGTGGTTTAGAGGGGAGGTGTTATTGTAGGAGGGAGGAGGAAGGGAGGGCGCATTCGTGAACTCTTTAGGCTACGCAGTTACGTGTAGGAGTATGAATATGTCCCATTGTAATTCGTCAATCCTACTTTGTATCGACAGCTTTCGTGGTGGTGATGCGACTTTTACCTTATTCTTTGTTCTTTGTCGATTTTTTGACTTTCATTTCCCTATCATCACAATGTCTCACTCGAATATAATTGCATGTGTAAAATTGGTGATGGGTGGTAATTAGGTGGGTAAAAGCTATAGATTGATGTTCGGTACACCAGGCGGCGCGGCGTTCTGCCGGAGGTGCGCCCCTGAATTGTGGAACAGACTCTTCCAAAGGAAACTATGAGTAGTCGCGTTAATTCAGCTATCCATGGAAGAGAAGAGGGGGCAAAGCGTACGCCTCACTAAGGAGAATCTCCATCTCCTTCTCGCCCCAATCCTGTGTTGGGGGTGCCTGTAAATACATCATCGTTTCCTGGACCAACGCGTTAGTTAATGCTGGTCTGGTTTGGCAGTGGGGATCTGGCTGGCTGGCTGGTGAACACGTACCTGGAAGTCTCTCTTTTGCAGTGGCTCCGACCAGTGTACCAAGAACGCGGCGCACACATAAAGATGGAACTCCGAAAACCCGGACGGTCCTTCGGCCTACAGCCCACCACACCCGTCAGTCAACGACACCAGAGGTACCTACGGGATGGAGTTGCTTGCCATGTACGTATCCCACATCCGTATCGTGTTCTTAACACTGAGCTCTCTCATGAGCATACAGTTCATCCAACGGAAGCTGAACTGTATGAACTCGACGCCCTTGTCGGCCAGATGTGCTGCGAGCCCCACGTCAATCCTCGATACCAGCTCGCGGAGTGCAGACACCTGTCGTTGGATGCCCGGCTGCGTATGGATGTAGTTGTCCTGGATTCCGTCTAGAAGCTTGGTTAGGCACCAGAACGAGTCGGCTTCGACAACGTCCAAGACGTCTTTTGGGAGGGTGCCCGGATCGAACGTTTCCACGTCGCCGTCTGAAATCGTTAGTATGCAGGGTGAATGGATGGTGGAAAGAGGGACCTACCTATGTAGGACGACAGAAACACCTGGAAGAACGGCGTCACCAAGTCGTTGATACCTTGCACGTACCCACTTGCGGGATGTCTGATGGCCCAAACGTACAGAATCCGTTCCAATGACCTCTGCGTACCCTCAAATCCATATAGCGGGAGCTTGGGATTTGTCCTCGGAACGTCAATCGATATCTGGTGCCATATAGTCTGATCGAGAGACTCCGTTCCTCGGGAGAATGCTTGTTTCACGCCATCCGTGAACTCCTTTCTCTTGCGTTCTAGTGCACTTACACGTCTGTCAGCGTTCGTGGGAAGGTATCCGAGTAGCAGCTGCCATGCCATCGGCCGTAGTTCCTCGGGGATGCCGTTCCATGAGAGTTTGCGGAGCTCCGGTAAGTCGACTGTGCTGGCTTGGAGGATCTTCTTGAACTTGTTGATACGGGATATCCGCGCGTTCAGTCGCTCTATCTCGGCCGGCGTGTGGTCTGCGGAAATCGTAGGGTGGTATATCATGTGCAGCGAGTTTCCCGGGTCTTGAGGCAATGAATATGTACTTCAGCTTGAAAATTCAGAACAAGAAAAAGTAATATTGTCCGGCATTGGGCATAGCAAACACACCTCTAACCAAGCCCTCGAACTGTGGCTTCAATCCCTGACTATCCCTCCTCCTCGGACTCGGGTACGAGGGGGTGCGCGATTCATGGGCGCTGACCGATCTGCCGTTACCGTGCATCCGGCCACCGGCAGCAACTGGAGGACGATACTCGATTGACTTGGGCGGCCGAAACCTGCCAGACAGTATATCATCGGTAGTCTCCTCGGCCAAGTCGGTATCCCAATCATCATCCGTCTGTGACATAAATTCATTGAAGTGCTTCCCGGGCTTCCTCGCGGCACCTGAAACCGGATTGTAAGCTGCGGCGGGCAGTGGAGGTTGAAGGTGGGGCGGCGGAGTGTTTGGTCGGATCGAACTGAAACAATTAGCAAAATCGACGGAACGGCGAAGGGTTTAGCTACAGCGACTCGAGCTTTAGTATGTCGGCATGCGAATAGGATGCACCCACGACCTTATTGGCTGGGGTTTCGCGGTTTCTGGAGCGGATTCCTTCCTGTCAATCACGGCGGCCAGGGTATGTAGGATGCGGGGTAAAGTAGAGCGGGCAGGTTGCGAACCTCGAATCTGGTAGTGACGTCGACGATGCTGTCGCTGGCCTTCTCCAGAAGGGCGAAGCTGAGCTGGAGCCGATCACCACAAAGGTCAGCGACCGACTCCAATAGAAGAAGACACGGGGGTAGGGAGGTGGGTGGACTACTCGGAGCGATCTATAATCCGTGAGAATGACTATTAGACATGGAGACCACAGTTAGGTTTTGTGGAAGACGTGCCAACTTGGACCATTTCCTAGGAACATTGTCGTCAGCAAACTGGAAAGAGCTCTGTTGTAGATTCAGAACCAACCTGTCTGTTGCCGGCCATTCTGGTAGCCCCCAGCTATAGGACGAAGGTCTGGTCCTGTGCTCCTCGAGAGAGCTAGGTGCTTCGGTAGAGTTGCGATACGGCGCAACGGCGATGCGAAGAACAGTGCTGGAGTGGTGGTAGTGGTGATGACAATGAAAAGTGCGTGCAGCCGTTGATGTAGGTAAGGCCGTTAGGTACTCTGCTTGTCGTGTCGTGTAAGCCTGTGTTTGGGGTGGTGGTGGTGGTGGTGGGGTGGGGAACCGCCTGATACAGCGTGCAGGCGTCCGCCTTCCTACGGCATAACCAACGATTCAAGTGCATGCACATACATATCATCATAGAGAGTGGTACTTTCTTGATACATAGAGTGCTCATTCCATTGAGCGTGGTCGTTCGGTGCCCACTGCAGCCAGAGCTGATTCCTCACTCAAAGCAGCTACCATGGCGCTGTGTATGCTCCCATCAGGAGTACATCCACAGATCCCTTCTCGATCCGAGTGAGCTCTACCGGAGAAGGACGAGTTCCACGCGTGTCATGGAAGCACTCCACACTTGCTACTGCTCGGAATCTTGGATTCGACGGTATTCCGTATTTAGACCATAAAAAATAGAACCACTACCAGAGAAAGCATTTGCCAGATGATTTGAGGAGCCATGGTCACCTATCCAGAGATTCGCTATCGAATAGGGAATGTCTTCTGCGGTGCCAGCATATGTGGCCCTGTAGATAAGATGTCTTGTTTGTCTCTTGTTCCGTCTCGTGTCGCTCTCTCAGTTGTTTCCGCCTCGTTTGACGCTCTTTCGCCTCTTCGACCGTCAGTTTGCTTGGCGGCTAAGCTATTACCTGCCATTATTCGTTATTGCGATTTTTTGGATTTTTTATTTCTTTGCCGCGCATTGACAGCCAACCACCCCCCGTCCTGCTGCTGCTCCACTTCAAACTCCATACCTTCAACCCGCCCAACCCCAACCCCAACCCCAACTCTACTTGCTGTTCCCTTTACTTCAAGAACATCCATCTCAAAGAACGACACGATACCACCTCTCTCCCTACTTACATTCACCCCAACTGCACTCTCCCCTATTTCGCTCAGTCGCTACTCCATACCCTCTCTCTCCAAACCGTAACCTCTACTACAGCACGACACGACAAAACATTCTGCAGGCCAGATCTGACTCAAATAACTTTGCTCGTCCAGCAGCCTACTGAACAGCAATCATGGATCCTTCCGACGAGCAGCACGATGACGATCTTTTTGCCGACCTGTATGTTCCCCACCGCGTCGACTTGACCCTGGTCGTCACGCGTAACATCCATTTCGGCGGTGCTGACGAAATTGCAAATTATAGCTACGGTGACGATGAGCCGCCAAAGACGTCGCCTGGACCGTCAAAAGCAGTACCAGCAGTGACACCAACTATTGCCCCTACTACACAAGCCGCTCCCAGCGTCGCCGCTCCGGAATTATTACCATCCGTACCGACCACTGCAACCAACATCGTCCCTGCCGCCGCCGCGCCTCCGAAAGCTGTGGATCCCAGAGCGCCGCAGCCTCCGACGGAAGTGCAGACGGAGGAAAACCTGGAGGAAGACCAACAATACGATCAGTCACAGGCCTACGGCGGCTGGGATGCCTCCAACATGCCTCAACACCAGCAGCAACAACACCAGCAACAACACCAGCAGCAGCACCAGCAGCAGCACCAGCAACAACACCAGCAACAACAGGGACACAGTGGAGGAGAAGGCCCAAGTCAGGGTGGCTACGATCATCAGACAGGAAGCAATAGCTACAGTGATCATGGGAACTCTGGTAGTCCAGCAATCAAAGAGGATGGGTGCGTATTTACAATGAGTTTTCTATCTGGTTAGCGTTGTCATTTTGTTTGTCGTTTTCAAGCGAGGGGAGGGATACATATTCTTCGAATAGCGGAAGACTAGGGCCCAACGCGCGGGCCGTCCACTGCCAGTTGGTTAGGAGCGTAAGAGGATGATGGTATCAGGCGCTGTCTGGAGGATACTTGCGATGATGGGCTGCATGATGGGCGTGCGGTCAATGCCGACTGGGCTGTGGGTTCTTCGCTCCGATATACTATAACCGCGCGCACACGACAGACGTCACAAGGAAAGACGAGATCTAGCAAAGAAGGAATAAGGCTAGGAGGTGTACTCTACTGCTCCGCCTTGTTGGAAAACTACCTAGCTAGCAGTATCTAGCAGCCATTGTTGGCATATACTGATGGTAGTGTTTGTGTACGAAAAAAGACAAATGGGAGAATCAATCAATATATGGATTGGGAGTTACATGGTGTTCCACAACCTCGTCATCTGCAAAAAGAAGAGAAGCCTTTACTTGCTTGACCGGGCGACCGATCGAACGCTGCGGCAAGTTTTTGTCTGCTCACGCATCACCACAACCACCACCACAACCACCACCACCATCATGTCACAGTCACCGTCAGCGCCTGCGCGAACTAGTCTTCGCGATCATCATTCTCCTCCTCTCGCTATGTTATTTGGCCCGGATATTGCTTTTTTCTTTTCTCTCTGTGTTTTACTTCGCTATTTGCTGCTGCTACTGCTACTGCTTTATATGTTGCTCCATTGGGACACTAGTTGACGCAATATGTGTCTGTATTAGGAAAATGTTCATAGGTGGTTTGAATTGGGAAACAACGGATGGTATGACCTATCTCACTTGCTTCTCTCTCTTCGAGGCACCAGATATTGATGTGTGCCACCGACAGATTCTCTAAAGGAATATTTCAGCCAGTTCGGAGAGGTCACGGAATGCACCGTCATGCGTGACGGCCCGACGGGAAGGTCCCGTGGATTCGGATTCCTGACTTTCAAGGACCCCAAGACGGTCAATATTGTGATGGTCAAAGAGCACTATCTGGACGGAAAGATCGTGCGTTTTCTACCTTTCTACGGCGCAGTAACACCAACTGACGTACGATGCTAGATTGATCCCAAGCGTGCGATCCCGAGGGATGAACAGGAGAAGACTTCGAAAATCTTTGTCGGTGGTGTCAGCCAGGAGGCCACGGAGTCGGATTTCAGGGAATACTTTCTCCAGTTCGGCCGCGTCCTGGATGCTACCCTCATGATGGATAAGGATACCGGACGGCCGAGAGGCTTCGGATTCGTCACGTTCGATAGCGAGTCTGCTGTCGAGAATGCTTTGAACTGTCCTACGTTGGCGATTATGGGCAAGCAGATCGAGGTTAAGAAGGCGCAGCCGAGGGGCAATACGAGAGGCGGACACATGGACGAGAGGGATGACCGCGGTGGTGGTGGCGGATTCCGTGATCGTGGAAACCGGGATCGTTTCGACAACCGCGACGGCGGCAGCAACGGGAACTACATGAACGGCTCGCAAGGCAGCAACGGCCCACAAGGCGGACCTCAGCAGCAGCAGCAGAGCGCGGCATACAACGGTATGACCCCGCAGATGATGGCACAGTACTGGCAGCAAATGCAGCGCTACATGGCCGCAATGAGCCAGATGGGTCGTGGCGGTCCCATGCCCGTCGTCAATCCCGCCATGATGCAACAGGCAATGCAGAACATGCCGCAGCAGATGGCCGGTATGAATCCCGCCATGATGCAGCAGATGCAGATGCAGCAGGCGGCGATGATGCGCCAGCAGCACCAGCAGTCCCCGCCCATCCAGTCCCCGCCGCAACAGATGCCCTTGCAGATGGCTCAGCAGCAGCAGCCGTACGGAAATCAGAACCAGGGATACCCGCAACAGCAACAGCAACAGCATCAGCACCAGCAGCAACAGGGCGGTCAGGGTGGCGGTGGATATGATCCCTCCCAGCAGCAGCAGCAGGCAGGCTTCAACAACCCCAATGCGCGCTTCCAGAACCACCCGTCCCAGCGCGACTACCAACCCCCCCAGAACCATCCTTCGTCTTGGGATGGGATGTACGACGACATTCCGCCACAACAGGTAGTCCAGCAGGTTCACCAGCAACAAGCTGCCCAAGCTGCCGCGGCAGCCCAGCAGTCTTCCCGTGGTGGTATGTCCCCCTTACTACTACCTCTCCCCAATTACCCCCCTCGTTGACAAAATGAAATAGGAACCCCCAACAGCCAGCAATTCGGCCGTTTCGAAGGGCCCCCTCCCAACGCACCGACGGGTCCTAGAAATACCAAGCCAGGCAGCAACTACCGCGGTGGCCGCGGCGGTAGCAGCGGCGGCAGCAGCGCAGGCGGCGGCAGCGGCAGTGCCGTCGGTAGTGGTGGTGCTGGTAGGGGCGCGGGCTACAACTCCGGTGTCCGTGGAGGTTTCCACCCCTACGCTAGGAACCAGGAGAGGTTCACTTAGTACCAGGACCTGGACGGCAACGGCGAGATGATCGGCTCGTGGTAGTGGTAGTGGTAGATGAGGGTGCCAAAAAAGCCTCTCTACCCTTTTCTTTTTCTTTCTTTTCTTGTGTGGTGATTTGATAAATGCTTTGTGTTTTGTTTGTGTGAATGTCCGTCGAGGTGGAGGTGGAAATGCCTGCGTTCAATGTGTGTTTTTTTTCTTTCTTCTCCACTTATTTCCTGTTTTCTTTTTTCTTTTCTTTCCTTTGCGCTGGGGCGGATAGTTGGATGGTTCGATGGAAGGATGGAGGGAGGGAAAGAGTGAGGAAGGGAGGAAGGGCTGGGTGGGTGGATGGCCGGAGGAATGGATGAATGGGCTTTTCTAGATGTAAACAGTACTCAACTACAGCACAGCGCAGCGCAGATGACAATAAGCAGAGCGAGAGAGACAGGGCAGAACTATCGTATCGTTGTATTCTACTCTGATACTAGCAGTAGTACTAGTAGTGATGTCTTTTGAAGATGATGGACAGAATTGATGTCTGAATAATGACAATGATATATAGTATGTAGAGTACACTCCCTCCCTCCAACCCACCGTCCCACCCAGTTGCCCTCCCATTTGCCCATCCGATCCGATCTGGTCCGATCTGGTCCGGTCCGACCCGTATAGTAGACCCATACAATCGATCGAGTGCAAGACTATGAGCATCTCCGCCCAGTAAATCGCACACACAATCACAATCAAGCACCTCTAACCCCCCCTCCCCTCTTCCCCTCCCCTCTTACCTTCCTTTCCTCCAGTGTAGATAACCCCCCTCCCCCATACCCCCTCATACCCCATACCCCATACCCCTTCATCCTCCCCCATACCCCCTCATACCCCATACCCCATACCCCTTCATACCCCATACCCCCCTCCTCAATGACGATAGAAGAAAATAAGGAAAAAATAAGTGGAAAATAAGTAAGTTGAAAACTCCATAAACCCCCCACCAGTGACCGGTTCAGACCTCAAACCGAATGCCGCTATAGTAACTATCACAGCACAAGCACAACAACACACAACACAACGTAACAGAACAACAGAAGAGAACAGAACAGCATAAGACAAGATAACACAACACAACATACCATAAGACAACAGCAGCCTACGCTGACAACAACCACAACAGCAACTATCACAACAGCGATAACAAAAAACAATAACAACAACCACAAACAGCAACAACCACAACAACCACGGTCATTCCATCCTGTCGAAATTCCCCTCACCAACCAACCAAACGAAAGGAAAAGGTAAAAAAGGGAAAAGAAATAATGTAATACCTAAAGTGCTTCGAAAAAAAGAAGAAAAAAACCGAAAAGGAAATTAAGGAAAAGAAAAGAGAGCGTCGTCTTGTTTATGTTGCTTCACACACTTGACAAGAATCCAATCCGATCCCCAATCCCCACAATATCAAAAGAAAAAGAAAAAGTTAAAAGAAAAAAGAAAAAAAGAAAAGCAGAGAAAAAGAAAGACCCACGCAGTCAGGCGCGCCACTCACTCGCTACAACCCCCACTCCATCGGGTCCATCCATCCCTCCCTTCCTCCCCCCCTTCCTCGACCATCTATTTATGTATCATGCAATCATTTCGTTTCTCGTGTGTATCGTATCGTGCACTACTCTCGCATCCCCCAATCATTCGGACGGAGTAGTCGGAGTAGTATTCAGTCCGGGATGAATCATGACGGAGCCGGAGATGGGTGCAGTTCTGATGCGGCCGCTCAGTGGGAGCTGATACTTGAGCACGCCCCTGACGATGAGTTCGAAGGGATGCATGAGCACGCGTTCCCAGCGGGCCGTCCCGCCCTCTTCCGTTTTGTTTCCTGGGCGGGCCAGACGGAGTTCGCCCGACGAGATGTACGGCATCCGGCGGAGCGGGGAGCCTTCAAATACTAGCCCGGAATCGAAGCTGAAGATGCGGCCGAGAAGCATTGTTTCCCGGTCTTTGGGGAGGTCGTCTGGCGGGTCGGTGCCCTCGTCGACGTTGTCGGATGTGTGGTATTGCGTGTGTAGGCGTGGTGGCGGGTAGAGTTTCTTCGATAGGAGCGTGATCGTCACTCGTCCCAGGTGGTGTTCAGTGCCAGTGTCTTTCTTCTTCAGGCCCGGAACTGAGCTGCCTTCCCACCAGTCGCCCTCGTGGCTGGGTTCGTGGTCCCCATCGTGATCCCCACCGTGGTCCTCATCGTCTCCATCATCGCCACCATCGCCATCTCGTACATGTGAACTTTTCGCGAACAGATTCACGTCCATATTCCCAACTGTCACCGCAATAGCATTTGGATTTACCGCCTGCACCACGAGATCCAGCATGATTTCTTGTTTGCTGACGAGGACATCCGTGACGTTGAGGACTCTAACGCCTTGTAATGGATTCGTCGTCGACACCAAGAACCCACCGACACCCGTCAGTATCAAGATAATGGCGATGATGGCCACAATGCATCCCGCATAAGTCCTAAAGCAGCCCCTGCGTCGTGCATTATGCTCCATCTGTCGAACGGATCCGTTCATCTGCCTTCGCCTCGGTCGTGTGCGATTGGGCTGTAGAAGCGGCGTGTGCTCATCATCCCCGTTTTCCACATCGGCCTCGTATACACGCGTTCTTGGTGACTTCCTGCCTCCTCCAGTGCCGCCGTTGGCCGCGATGGCCCCATTCCGGAACACGGGATGTCTAGGTGATGGCGGCCGGGATGACCCTCTGGACGACATGATCGAGGTGGCCGCATTCCGCACAGAATGGGCCGATCTGTGGGGTGACCGGTGGAAGGTGTTGTCATCTATAAGTGTTGACTGGTGTCCATTGTGGTGTCGAACACTCCTCTCAGCGTGCATCTGGTGCTCCCTGGCACTTCCAGCACCTGCCCTCTCACTACTCGTCCCATCGTTTGGCACGCCATCGCCTCCAAGACCGGGTTCTTTGAGTGAATTGTTGACGAACTTCATCCCCTTACGTCCAGCGGTGTTGGTGCCCTCCATTGATTGCATCAGGGGCAACCTCTGCCCCCTCAAATCCGGTCCAATGGATGTTGCACTAGGTGTCCGGGAATGGAATCTACTTGCAGGCCTTTGATGGGTGTGGTGGGGTGCATCTGGAGGATTCGACTCATAGACGAATGTCTCATCCGAATCTGATGAAAACGCCTCATCCACGGCTTCGGCGATCTTTGCGGCAAAGATTTCCACTTTGCTGGATGCTGGTTGAGAGTTAGTAACAGTCCGTCGCCGAGGGTAAACAAACGGGAAAGCCTTACGATTGGAAGGCCCTGCAGCCATAGCTCGTTTGATTGCCCGTTTCTTCTCCCTCCTAGAGGCCCTGATGGTGTCCGTGCTCTTCTTACTCCTAATGCTAGCACCTCCGGCAGGTCCCACCGCACCGAGACCTATCTGAGGAACAGAGCTGACCGTCTCCGTCTCCACGGTCATAGCCTTGGAGGAAGGCTCCTTTCCCGTCACCGTGGGCCGTCGTCCGAAAACTCTTGCCGGGGGCGGCACTCTGTATAACGATGATGTTGGTGTCCTGTCACCACTCCTATATCCAGCTTCGGATTCGGATTCCGTCGGGGCAATAGACGAAGATACCGAATCTGCGCGCTTCCGTGTGATGGTGGAGGCGGAATCGGTGGTGTCGTCGACCTCCTCGGATATCCTGCTACCTGCCAACGATGAACTGCTTGGCTGGCGGTGAACGAGCGCTGCCACCGAGTCCTCCAGAGACCTCAATGTTCCGACCGAAGGGGTTCCAGGGAGGCTACTTTCGACGACAGTTTCCAGCGTTGTACCGGAGTTGCTTCGCGGTGTCCTCATTCCCGGGAGGTCGTCTTCCGGCTCCTCGTTATGGATGCTGCCCTCCCGGCGGAGCTGAAATGTCGGAGTAGGGGGGGGATTCTCGCTTCGTTTGCGAGGTGAAGGCAGCGGCTGTCGGGAATCGGGAGGTGGAGTTCGGGAGACCGCCAGGCGGGGGGTATTCGGCAGCGGTTGAGAAGGACGCTGGTGGGAGTCGATGTGTGGGGCTAAGGAGCTGGCAGGAAGCTGCTGTTGTCCCTGCGTTTGTGGCGTTTTTGGTCCAGCCGATCGGGCGGGCGATGACTCTCGCGAAGGCCTTGCCGATCGAATGGCAGTGGGTATTTTCCTTTTGGGTCTACCGATGTTGTTGGTCGAGCTGCTACTTGCAGACGACACACCCTGACGGATCCTCGACGTGTTTTTTTGGAGCTCACCGTTCTTGTCCCTTGCGGTAGGGGACGGGTCCCCCCCTCCATTGTCTGCCGATGCACTCATTTCGACGGTTCGTCAGGCAGCAGTACTGGACGGTCGATGGGTGGCTCTGCTCGGTAGCCAGCGAGTGGATGGAATATGGCCAGGGAAGCTATGCTGGCCAATACGGAACGAAGCTCCTGAATAATGTTTTTCCCCTCGTTTTTTTTCCCCTTGCTCTTCACCTGTGGTTGCGAAGGTGTGGAGGCGGGAGGAGGTGAGAGGCGGAGGAGGAGGAGAGGTTCGTGGTCGGTAGACGTGGTGTCGTTTGGTTGTGTGCGTGCACGGTGATATGACCAAGAGAAGTATGATGGACGGTACTAGTACACAGCGCAGCCGCAGCCAGTCAAGGCGGCACCTTCGCACTTGTGGGGCCCTCACACGCTCACTTTCGATTTCTCTCTCTCTTTCTTTCTCTGCTGCGCTTTTGCAAGTTGCAGCCAGCTACCACTGACCGACCGACCGAGCAGTAGCAGAGTGGGGGTTCTGCAGTGCAGTATTTTTTTCTCCGTTTGGCGTGATGTTTCTGTGGATGCTGCGTCGAAGAATATATTGGTCGAATAGAAGGTGCTGCTTGCTGCTGCCAGATTCTGCTGCGCTGGCAAGTTTGGAGTCGAACAGGTAGGTGTGTGTGGTTGTTGGGGAATCCTGGGGTTCGGCAGCAGCCAATGCTGCTTTGGTGGTGGTTGCCGAACGTTGACTGGCTGGATTATGTAACTGCACCATTATGTCAGCCGTCAAATTCGCGTTATCTAATCCATCAGTTGTCGGCGAGTGGTTGGATCGGGCCCGGCGTCTCGAACTGGAACATTCCGCTGCGGCTCTCTCTGCAAACCTGGAGAAGTCGGTAGGGAAAAACTGCATATCGAACGCTCTAGATCAAGAGGATGCATATATACGTGCGGAAGAAAAGACATACATGACCCCTACACATCGTCACCATCACCACCACCACCGGCATCATCATCATCCCACTGCCTGCATTCAGCTACAGCAGCTCGAATCGATGAAGGTGTACCTGCTGCAAGTCCACATGTCGGCGAAGAATTTGCGGTACGGCCATCAATGCGCCCCTCGGCATCTTACCCTCTACCGCGGGCGGGCGGGACTTTTCTTCGTTAGGCCCGTCAGCGAGAGTCAACATCCATCACTCCATTTCTTTTTGATTCCACCGTATATTAGCTCGCCATTGGCGAAATACGCGCGCGCACAAAGCAGTGATTACCAGATACATGGTCAGCACAGAATTGATATTCAATCTCTCAGCACCGCCTGGCAATCAATAGGTATTATGGGGGGATAGATACTTCTAACTTTTGATCATGGATCTTTGTTAGGTGTCTGCGTGCTTATTATTGAGTTATGAATTCCCGCTCTTCCATAGTCAGCTTTTAGATGGTAATTCGGCGTCAAATCTAAACTTGTGAAAGTTGTCCCCCGAAACAGAGAGGAATACGATAGTTACTACTATATATCTGACCTTTAGACCGGAAGATTTATTCTCGGAGCCGATAACTAATGACGAGCAAAAAGCAATGTCATAGAGAGATAGACTATCAATTTATTGTCGCATATGTATGGCGATCACAACCTAACCTTTCCTACCAGCTCCGCGGGGATGGAGAAAAGCAACGTCAAAATGATGCAGATTTCTCGGCGCTCTCAACCCCTCCGAGTCATATATCATGATGAAGCCCCGCAGAGCAGGATGCGGGACAGTAGCAGCACCAGAGACTGGTACCCTTATGCGGTGTAAGCACATGTAACAACCTCCCCGCTCACTCGCTTATGTGCACGCCTAGGCAGGCACTCGAGACTCAAGTGTCTATCCACCCTTAGCCTGCATCGAGCTGTTGGACATGTTATATCACTCAACTACTTGATGGTCTCCTCTGTATGTCCGAGTGAAAACAGGAGTGTGCCGTGTTTCTCTGGTACTATGTAAAACAAAACTCAAGTCAAGACAGATTTGTACTGCATATGGGATGGCCCTCAGCCGGGGGAGGAGGTAGTCCGGTATTGTGGTGCTGTTTGGGCTTTTTGAGGTACTTCCACCTCACTTGCGTGATGGAGATCCCCCTTACGCTCTTTAGATCATTGCCCAGACGAAGGGCAATGGAGTGGGCCACTGCCTTGAGCCTGTTGTCAGGTCGGTAGGTGGGATACTCGGAATGCGTGGGAGTCTGTACTTGTTTCCTTGATGTTCCTTAGCTCTCAATTGTGGGTTGCAACGTATTGGACACCGTTCATCCCCTGGCGGAAGGCACCTAGACCGATAGATCGCACAGCGTGTTGGAAATCAAAGTTGATGCCAGTGTCGGTATTCCAGACTTGGATTGCGATGTGGTGAATCCACGGTTGGTTGGTCGGTCGGTATCGTGGCTCGCTAGTGTGTGCTAATGTTTTGATTTCGAGTTGTTTGTTTTGATTTTGACACCCGCCATCGTTACCGCCAATCGCCACCCTTGCCGACTGCCATCGGGCACTAAAAATGCTGCACTGCAACCCAGTTTGCAGATTTCACAGCTGCGGGTGCCCCCTCCCTCCCTTTGTGCTCTACATATCGGTTGCCGTTCAGGTTTCACTCGAGTCCAATTCCGTCTATACACAATTGCAACCACGGATTCACGGTCGCGACGAAGACACTGGATACTTGACACCAAATAGCCCTTGCTCCGAGCCTCCGAGCCCTCCCCATCTCATCCTAGATTAGATAGAGCTGGCAGCAGTCCAGTACGGCATCTCGAATCGCACCATCTGACCTGTCCGCCTGTCCGCCTACTCTTCGTTGCGCGCCCGCGCCCGTGCCCCCACCGCCTTCGTCGCGTTACATCCTTCGAATCAGCGCTTTCGCAACTTCTTCCGCGTCCGCTCGATGGACCCCGAGCCTTGCTAGGGGAAGCCCCGAACCTGTCCTCGCGCGCCCGCACATATCAGCCGCTCGCTCGCACGCACCGTGACCGCCATTGCCCTTCCACCACGCGCTCTTCTGAGGGGATTGCGCGCAGTAATCCATCGGAGACCGCAGTGTAGAGCGCGGCGACACGCGCGCCCGCGTCACGACAGCGGCTTCACCTCGGTGCGGACATTTCAGACCTGTTTGCCGGTACAGCGCTTCGCTTGGTTGTCTGCGCGCCCAATCTCGAATAGGCATCTACAAACATTCCCACGAACAACGGCGGTTCGGCAGGCCTACCTAGTCACTCGTTTGCTTCTACATATCTTGAAGCCGTCGGCGGTTGAGTGATTCATTTCTTCAAGTATCTGAGAATCTATCGGGCGCAGCAGCAACAGCAGTAAATACAGTCGCTCGTCTAACAGCGCTGATATCACTCGGTGCATTCATCCCACGCTACTCTATTTCTCTCGCGCATCCTCAGATCGGACCCTTCCATCGAGCGGCACAACACGCACATCAAACAACGCAGCACGCCGATCACACGATCGATTGCCTCTCGTACCAAAAGTCTCCAACACGAAACAAAACTTCTTCTTCACCTCGACAGCAGGCTCCAAGGCGCACTTCGCACTTCGACGACCACTTTGCACTTGAGAAGCCAGCAACCCTAACTTGCCACCAAAGCTACTGCTCGCTCGCTTTGCTTTGTTTCACCGCAAACTCACCCACCATACCCTGCCGACTGGCTTCACGACCCCTCCCCTCCGACTACTCCACACTTAAACACATTACACACACATTACACCCACACACCTGCAACAGCTACACACCCACGCCCGTTTTTTGCGCGACATCGCACAACACCCGCCGCAACCTCCTCGACCAACCACCGTCACTCCGTAAGTCCACCACCACCGTCAACTTCAAATGGTTTCCTCCTTCTCCCCGCACCGCCACCACGGCGATACATCGCTTTTCTCACCATCAACGACAACCTCTCCGACACACCTCCTCCGCCACTCTCCGACTTCCTGCTCGGCCTTCGCCTTAACGATACCCTCCTCGATTAGAACGCGCTCGGCTTCGAAACGGACCACTCCTACAAAACCTCGCGCGGGTTCGAACAGCCCCGCAAAGCTTCCCTTGTCGCTCACATCAAATAACAGTATGAATTCAGGTGGTATGACATTGCGATCGGGGTCGTGCAGCCCTCTCTCTAGCCCACGGGATCAGACAGCTCAAAGGCGCACATCTGCCCTTTGTCCCGACACCACCAGCAACAGCACCATGTTGGGTCGACCGGGAAGCACCAGTCCTTTAAAGAGAAGCGATGGAATGATGAGCGGAGACGATGACGCGAGCCGTGGCTCTCCCGTTGCAAAACGAAGGTCATCCCATATGGGGTATTACCCCTCTCTCAGCAAGCAGAAGCCTCCTGTGTTCGGCTCCCCGTCCTTCGGCACGCGATCACCACCGAAACGCCCCGCCGGTCTTAGAAAGTCAACGGGTCACGTCTTGGAGAAGCCCAGTTACGTGCGATCGCGACCACAGGCACGACAGCAGATCGACTTCTCATCCGCCTCCGACACGACGGCCAGGATGAGACGCGTCACGTCGGTTGAAAACTTTCTCGCTCCCATGCATCGCGACTCGCCGTTCGCGACGCGCACTGCCCCGCTGCCCAACGCATCGATTCACCCCCATGTCCACCCGTTGGCGAGATCGGCCGCTTTCGGTGGTGCTGGAGGCGGAGCCAACCAGCTGAATGATTGGATGACCCCGCAGAACTATAAGTCGGCGAAACCAAACATTATGGCATTCCATTCGACCGGCTTTGTTCCTAAACGGGGCCGCCCGCTCGACACGGACAAGGAACACGGCCCTCAGCCAGATACGCCATGTAAACGAACCACGGCCTTTCCCGGATCAGCATTCCAGACTAAGCGCATCGGCGCTCGGATCCCAATGGGCGACTTGGGTAGTCCTCGCACGCCGGCACCGTTCGGTACTTCCGGTGGCAAGGCTTTGGGCCGCAGGGACAGCTTCACAAGTACCGACGGTGACGACCTCGACGCGTCGACTCAGTCTAGCTGTGACTACGAACTCCCGCCAACGCCGACCAAGAAAACATGGAATGACTTCGACGATGGTAGCGTGTTCACGGTGAACAAGCGGGCCCGCACGTCGCCCGTTCGTGAGAAATCCCGCACCCCCGCCCTTGCCCGCGAGCGCTGGGTTGATACTGTTCAAGCGAGTGGACCAAAAACACGCGCCAACACTCCTCGTTTCGCCAGTCCGAAAACTCCGCGGGACAATATTATTCCTCCGGATCCGAGCAGCCTATCCATATCCGGAAAGGTATACAAATACGATCCTCTACCCAGCAACCGCAGCTCGGTGACTCCTTTGCCAGTGACGCCAGCCCGAGATCATCCCAGCCTCAAATGGGGAACAACTAGCTCTCCAGTTTTCCCTGACATGACGCTTACCGAAGATGGAATGAGTTTGCATTCCAGATTCGCTGAGGTCAAGCACATCGGAACCGGGCAGTTTTCGGAGGTGTATCGGGTTACCGAAAAGAATGGACACTCCCACGGGCTGTTTACGCCTGGCCGATCCTCCGAGAGCGGCTTCTCTTCATCTCCAGTCGAGCGGGAGCCTCGGATACCACAGGTCTATGCTGTCAAAAGGGCTAAAAACAAGTTTCTGGGTCCTAGAGACCGGAGAGAACGGATGCTGGAAGTTCTGATATTGAAGGAACTGGCCCGGCATGCGCATGTGGTGAGCTACGAGAATCACTGGATAGATGAGGGTGGCCGTCTTTGCATTCAGACGGAGTTCTGTGAAGGTGGCAGCTTGGACAAGTTTCTGGAACAACACGGTGAGAAAGGTCGGTTGGACGAGTTTCGTGTATGGAAGATGCTCTTGGAGTTGTGCATGGTACGTTGGGCTGCATCCGCTGCATTGTCTCTTCTGCTAATTTTGAAATTTAGGGCGTCCAGTACATCCACGAAATGGGCTTCATGCACCTTGATCTCAAGCCTGGCAACGTTTTCATCACATCCGAGGGTTCCTTGAAGATTGGAGATTTCGGTATGGCAATGAGGTGCCCTGCCGAGTTCGATGTTGAGAAAGAGGGTGACCGAGCGTACATTGCGCAGGAAGTATTGGATCGGAAGCCGGGTCAACCGGGAGACATCTTCTCTCTGGGCGTCTGTATGATTGAGATTGCGGGCAACGAAGCACTGCCGCCGTACGGCCCGGAGTGGGAAAGTTTGCGCAAGGGTGACATAAGTGTCGCCCCGATTCTGAGCACCAGTTCGTCCGGAGAGTTTGTGCATCGCGACGACAAAGGCAACCCGATCGTAACAGAGCTTGTCGAAGAATTCGCACCGAGCGTGGATGTCTCGTCTTCGATTGACCAGGGGCCTGAGTCTCCCACTCCCAGACGTTTGGGCAACAGGCCAAGGAGGGGAACCCTATTGCACAACCCTAAACCTGGCCATCTGGCGCAGCCGCCCCGGTTCATGGAAGAAAATGGATTGGAACTTCTTGTCAAGTGCATGATTGCTCAGGATCCTGAGGCTAGGCCCACTGCGACGCAACTGCTCCAAACCGAGGAACTTCGTTGGGTGGACGAGAGGAGACGGTCACCTGCGACGATATTTGAAGGTCTCTGGGGTCCAAGAGATATGTTCGACTCGGTGCATGACCACAGCCCGGCACCACGCATGCGTCGACTGGCGGAGGATGATTTCGAGATGGACTTGTGAAGACGGCCACGGATCAACTGGGTGTTTTGGGGGATCGTAGCCTCTCTACTGCCATCCGAGTACATACATGAGTCGAATATGCTTGCGCAAGTTCTATGATTTGCCATTACTGTTGGGTTGCTTCTGGATCGTCTCGAGTTCCTGTTGTGAAGTGTGCAGCACGAACTTTGGGTTTCGTATCAACCAACCCGGCCACCTCGGGGGGGGGGGTTGTTTACGATGGGCCCCGGGACTTGAGATTTCTTTTTTCTTCGGTTTATTCTTGGGCATAAAGGTTTCCGTCATTTGGTCTGCTTTCTGGTTGTTGCTTCTGATTCCCAACATCTGCAGTTGCCTGTTCATCCAGCGCTCTGTTGATCTGATTTCTTTTTTCTTTCATGATGTTATCTTTCTGTTGCCCCGTAAGGTCTTGTCACACCTGCAGTGCAAGACCCTCACACCTTTTTTTTTTGCGCGGGGGGTTTTCTTTTTTTCTTTCTCTTTCTCTTTCTCTTTCGTTTATGTCTTCTTACAACAGGGGCGCAGGTGCATCTTCTGGGAATCTTTGCTGTCTGCTTTGTTTTTTTGTGCTCTCTCTCGTATTGTCACTTGTACTCTGCTTTCCTTTCCCTTTTCCCCTCGATACTCTACGCTTCATGTTCTTACGACTGTCCTATTTTTTTTCCAATTCTGGCGGGGTTTGCTCTATTTTTGCTCTGGCGGGGTTTTTCATTGTTTTCTCTATTTTTATGGGCCGACTTGAGCTTTCGATTGGATTGAATATGGGGGGATGGTGGGTAGGTGGGGTGTGCTTGTAGAAAAATGCTTTCCCTTTTCTTTTTTTCTCTCTTTTTCTCTTTCTTTTCTCTTTTCTTGTTCTTTAAAGTATCATTATTACCACTGGTAGGGCGTGAGCAATTGCTTTGTTTTGTTATGGTGGCGGTCTGAGTTTACTGGATCTGGTGGGACTGGACGGATTGGACGGATTGGATGGGATAATGAACGGCAGCTCAAGGCGTGGTGATGAACTTTTTGTTTCTTTGTTTTTGTGTGGCTTTGCGGAAAGATGGGCGGACGGACGAAGGTGGGCGGACGGACGAAGGTGGGCGGACGGACTGTATTGTATTGTACTCTACTCTACATAGGCTGGCTAGCTATGGCTACCTAGACACTTAGGTCGATACCTAAATTGATGTATCATGTGGCGGCGGGATTGGGATGGAATGGAATGGAATGTCTGTATTGTACTTCATGGATATCGTGAGTCTGATGTTGGTAGTTGACTCGATATACTGCCTAGTACTAGCGCTCGACTGTCGGCACGGGGAACCAACGCCCTGCCAAGCAACTCTACTATAATCCCAGCACCGCGCCTCTGCTCAAAAACTTAACCTCACCTCACCTGGTGCACCTCACCAACCAGCACCCCACCACCGCCGCACCTCACCACCCACCCCACCACCACCACAGCAAAACAACACAATGGTCCGCAAACTCAAGCACCACGAGTCGAAGTGCGTCGTCTTCCCTATCCCCCCATCCCCAGCGGTCCCCAGCAGTCCCAGCAGTTCTAACCCGCTCTAGGCTCCTCCGCAAAGTCGATTTCCTAACCTGGAAATCCGACTCGGGCCACCGCTCGCACGACGTAATGCGGCGGTACCACATCAGCTCTGTGGAGACGTACCACAAATACAACAAGTTATGCGGATCCGTGCGGCACCTCGCGCACCGTCTTGCCCTCCTGCCACCCACGGACGCATTCCGGCAGCGTCACGAGGCCCTTCTCCTCGAGAAGCTGCACGCCATGGGAATTCTCGCGCAGAAGACCAAGATGAGCGACGTCGAGAATAAAGTGACTGTGGCGGCGGTGTGTAGGCGGAGACTGCCGGTCGTGATGACTAGGTTGAGGATGGCGGAAACGGTGCAGGCGGCGAGTAAGCTCGTTGAGCAGGGACATGTCAGGGTGGGGCCGGAAGTGGTTACCGATACGGCCTATATCGTCACCAGGAATATGGAGGACTTTGTTACCTGGGTCGATGGAAGCAAGATCAGGGGCCATATCATGAAGTATCGGAATGAGGTCGATGATTATGATTTGCTGGCTTGAGCGGGGGGTGGTGGGGAGATGGGAACGAGGGGAGATGGGAAAGAGCGGGGGAGGAGTGGAATAATGTACATACCTCTCACATACCTCTGGCGTTATTAGGTTTTTCTGTTTCTTTCAAGGGACTATAAAAGTTATTGATTCTTCCTGGACTGTCTACTAGGTATACTGTGATTGTATGGTTGAGACCGGGCGAGCGAAAAACAAGACTTCAATTCCATGGATTGGTGATTAGGTATCTTCACGTAACGTATGGGGAAAAGGTATATACAGAAACAAACTAATTACACTATTCTACAACCGCCTCCTTAACTGAAGCTCCCTCCTTCTCCTTCTCCTTCTCCTTGCCCTTATCCTTCTCCTTCTCCTTCTCGGCCTTCCTCCTAAAGATGCCCAGTCCCTTCTCCTTTTTCTCGCCCTCGTCCTTATCCTTCACCTTCTCGCCATCCCTCTCCTTCTCATCCTCAGCGATCGACTCGGCCTTCTTCGAGCTCCTCCCAATAGCCCCAAAGAAACCACTCTGGCTTCCCTTGAGCCACGGCGAGCTCTCCTTAGCCAAGGGCGTAAGCCGTCCCTGTCCCAGTCCCTTGCCCTCATCATCTTCACTGTGATCCTCGCCCTCCTTCTTCCAGGCAGTCCACAGGCTGCCCTTTGACGAGGAGGCGGCGCTGACCACTTCCTCGGCGAGCTCGTCGTCCACCGCATCCTTCTTCTTCCCGCGGCCCCACGAGATGTTGAACTTGCTCGTGCTGCCCTTGCGGCTCAGCGACGAGAAGCGCGAGAGGATGCTTTCCTTGGTCGCCACGTGCTCAAGGCTGGCGCCGGATGCGCCCGAGATGTCCGTGTTGACGCTGATCGAGTCGCGGTCGTCCGTGCCCGGGAGGCGGACCGGCGTGTTCATGCGGCTCTGGAAGGTGGGTGCGGCAGGGTTGAGGCGCGGGGTGACGGGACGGCCGTTGTTGGATGAGGCGAAGTACGACTGGCTGGGGAAGAGCGAGAGTGACGAGGTTGAGGCGTTCGCGGCGTTCGCGGCGTTGGGGGTGATGGGCCGAGATACCGGCCGGGATGACGATACACGGCCAGTGTGAAAATCTGCCCAGTAGTTGCCGCCCATGAGTCTGCTGCCATGGGAATGATTGATGAAATCGGCTGAAGGCCAGCCGAATGCGGCGGATGCATCGGATGAGGGTGCTGGGAGGGGGTTGTCGAATGATGCGATGGACGACGGGCGCGGAGATGCAGGCCGATCAAACAGTCGGTTCGGATCTATGGGATCGAACGATGGATTGAACTGGTTGAACGTAGCTGAGCGACGGGAGTGGTCAGAATTCGTTCGTCCAAGGGCCGTGGCCTTCGTTCGTCCGTTGAGAAAGTCGAGGCTATTCGCCCACGACCCGTGAGACCCGCTGCGGCGACGCGTGCCGATAGGATCCAAGCCAGGTGGATCGTTCTTGGGGAAAGAATGCGTTTCAGCCGGCTGTATCTGCCCCAACATGGGGGGTCCACCATCAAACCCGACAGTCTTGCCGCGCTGCCGATTGAACGAATTCGAGAAGAGGTTGACAAAGCGCCGGGAATTGGATTTCGGCGCGGCACTCTCACCATCGCCAACCATACTGAGGCGGTTGCTGCCGCTTCGGGATAAGGACGTGTCCCTGTCCGAGGATTCACGGTGATGATGCGAGTCCCTGGCTCCAGGGGGGAGGTTCGAAAACAAAGGGATGTGATTGAAGCTACTCCTCGGCGACGTCGAAACCGATGTTGAAGTCATTGGCGACTGCGGGACCACAAAGCCCTTGTCGAAACGCAGGCGGCGGGTTTCGTTATCATCCTCAATCGGTGAATCTCTGAGACTTGGAGGAGCATCTTCAAAGGAAAAAAGGTTGGATGGAAGCAGAGAGTTTGCCGTGGGGCTCATTGGGGTACCACCGAGGTAACCGTCCGAATCTGCGTCCATGTACGGATCCATGATCGGACCAGCTTCCGAACCGGGCATCTCAGCAGGACCGGTAACTGTACCGTTGGCAATATTAAAGAACGGGCTCGACGGAATGCTATTCGAGAAGGTGGGACTGATCTGCTGGAATTGCATGTTAAAATGGGTCCCCTCTTGCATGCCGGATTCGTGTATGGGATAAGCATTGGAAGATGAAGAGCCCGCCTGAGCACGTGGTTTACGGTTGCGATTACGGCGCTGCTTGGGCTTCTTCTGTATCGAATCTGCCCCGGAACCACTCTCTCTGCGCTCTTGAAGATTCATCAAAACTTCACGAGATCTGATGAATTCTATCTCGGCCTACAAGCATACACCATCAGTGGAAAGTGGCGAGAAGGGAGATAAAACAAGCGTCACTGACCGCTTGAAAAGCACTGTAAACCGCTACATATCGCATCTCCAGATGTCTCTGCCGGTCCGCCCAGAGCCTGTCTTTTTCATGCTCCTCCCTGTCTCTTTGGGCCTCTTCGTCCTCCTCGACTTTGAGTTGTTCCTTCTGAGTCTCCAAACTCTTCATGGTCGCCACCAGAGACCTGATCTCTTCCTCCATCTCAGAAATCTGCCGTTGAGTTTCTCGAATATCATTGGCCAATTCCTTTCCCGTTGATTCCGCATTCTCCTTGGATTCCCGTGCAGCGGTCGAGATCGCCTCCACCTTCTCCAACGTGGCTATCTTTTCCTCTTCCCACCGAGCCATGTCATCCTGCATCTTCTTGATTTCATATTCCTTCGCTTTCAGCGCTTTCTCCGTGCGGGTCCTCGTCGCCTCCGCTGCCCTCCTGGCCTCCTCCAGCGATTTTGTCTCCGCCCGAATCCTCTGCCTGCCAGCATCTTCCTCGTTCTTCTTATTCTTCAACGTATCGAGCTCGGAACGCAGGATAGCCTCTGCAGATTTATACTCCTCCTCGGTATGAAGCAGCTGCGCTTCCGTCTCTTGAATCTCTCTCCGCACCGCATCCAGATCCCTCGTCAACGACGCGACCGTGTGTTGATCATCCTGGGCCACCGGCGCATTGACACTGTGCGCATTGCTCTGCTCCAACGTGGCGGGGGACCCGCGCCGTTCCCTCACACTCCTCCTCGAATGATTCTGCGCGTGCATATTGTGCACTGTACCCAGGGGCGACGGCGACGGGGGCGGCGGAACGTCCAGCACGGAATGCACGGAAGGCGCATCATCGGAGGAATCGCCCCTGTGCGTCCCGCCACTGTCACTTGCCGCGGCACCCCGCGACTTCGCACACGTCCGCAGCCGGATCAGCTGTCCCGGCGCCTGGAAGTTCTGCGCGTTCGCGGCGATCACCCGCACGTTGTAGCGTTGGTCCGGATTGAGCCCCGTCACTGTCACGCTGGTTTCGCCGCGTTTCTCGCTCTCGCCGACTATGTAGGATATGTCCATCAGCAATGGTCCTCGTCCCTGACGCGGGTAAGGCGCGTACCATTTATCCCGTTGATCTGGATGATGTGCTTCGCCACTGACCCCGCCTTCTCCGGCAGCGACCAGTGCAGCGTGATGGTATCGGCGGACACGCCATGCAGCGAGACCCTCGGGGGCGCGGGCAAATCCAATCCTAGGACCTTCACCAGCGTCGGGATGGGGATGTTCAGAAGTGACGAGACGCGGTAGCACATCCTGCTCTCAATCAGCCCTCCCCTCCTCTCTCTCCCCCCTTCTTCTTCCTAGCCAGCCATTCAGTCGCTCACTCACCACGCCAGGGCGCAGATGGTAGCTACAACGACGACTACCATCGCTCTCTGTCTCTCTTTCCTTCTCTCTTGCTTGCTTGCTTGCGTACTTGCTTGCTTGCTATCGATGGCCGGGTTGCGGGGCGTCGATGAAGGTTTGTAGATGGAAGAGGATTTTTTTTTTTGGCGAGACGACGTGTGGAGTAGTGGAGATGACCGACCGACGAACCGACTGGCGAACAGAAGGGTGGAGCCAGCCAGTCCAGTGCCAGCCAGCCCAGTGCCAAGGAACATATGGTGTTACCCGAGCATTATTGGACCCTGGTTGGTTGGTTTGTTACAGGTCATGCAAAAGCGAAAGGAAAGAAAAAAAAGCCACTCCCGAACGGAGCTGCTGCAGGACCGTGTGTGGATTACATATGCGCGCTGGGGATCGGAGGGGTGGTTACAAAGATTGATTGAGGCAGAAGAATAATGCTGCAACAGAGACTCAACCGATCTTTCGGCTTATGTATGATAGGTACATAGCATTGGCCGTGCGAATTCCTCAACAAACCGTGGCCTTCTCCCCGCTGGCATCAGGGTTGGGTCAGCGGTAGTTAAGGCTGGACACTTTTCCACCTCCGATTGGTCGCGAAGGCTGCGAGCCTTTGCTGTGGAATGCGGTCAGGACTTCGCTGGGGAAATGGAGAATTCACGAGTGATGGTCTGTGCATTCATTGCTGCCTGTGCATACGGCGGAGTTTGGGCCTGGGAAATCACAGTCACTTGGTATGATATGGAGTCTTTCCTGATGGCTTGCTTTTTGCATGTCTGGCCACTGGGAGTTGAACGGATCAGATGAATCTGTCCCTGGACATGGCTATGGTCCGATTACCACTGTAGTCTGTAGTATATCTGGCATAACCGTCCGATCCACCTACATACATGCTCCGTATCACACACCCGCGCAACCTCTTCATGAATCCTGAATACATAGAGGAGTGACCACGCAGCATCCAGAAACCCCGTGTGAAAGCAAAGCAAGCCCTCAGGTAACAAATCCCTGTGCACATCTCCCGCCCATTTCACCTTGAATCTGGATCCCTGTGCCTGTGCCTGTGCATGCACCCCATTCACCCCATCCCCCTCTTCTTTTTGCGTTGCGCAGGAACAAACGCAGGAACACAGCAGCAGCACCACGGCGCCGTTGGCCTGTGAAGTGAGGTAGGCTCGCGTGATCGTTGGGTGTTTGCACTTTGCACTCAGCACTTTGCGAGTACGGAAGCGTAGAATGGAAACGGGCGCGTCTGTAGAAAGACTTGGTGCTCAACCGCTCGGCCTCGCACGGAGAACAGTGTCCTCGTCGGAGACGACGTCTCATTCCATTCCATTCCGTCCCAACAGAGGCAACAATTAGCCCAATCCCAAGGCCTCAGCCCCTGCGCTGAGGTTTGTTGTTGTTGTTGTTGAAGCTTGGGTGTATTGGGCGGCTTAAGTAGGCAGACATGTACCAATGTTGGGAGAATACGTGCGGCCACGTACGAGCCCGTACGACTGGTTCGAGGCCACCTTTCATCTCATCACAATGATCCTATCCCACATGATAACACATGCATGCACCTTCTTCTTCTTCTTCTTCTTCTTCTTCTTCTTCTTCTTCTTCTCCTGCTAGATCTTTCACCGGGCATTTGCTGAGTTGGTGACTCAGGTCCGGCGGCGGTGTTTCAACCGCAGGGCGATGACAATTCGACGGTGAGCGACGGAAGTTTAGGGCTTGCCGCCGGGTTCTGCGGCCATGGAAACGAGGGCGGATTCCTCTGGTCCTGGGGATATCATATATATATATAGTAGCACATACGAGTACTGAAACGGCCATAGCAAGCCGTGAATTTGATTATACTCCACGGCCGAGCTGACGTTCTATGCTACCCTAGTATGGGTTAGTGAGGTAGTTGGCCTCGTGGTCTCTTTCCCCGGAACTTCTCTGCGAACGAACCAGGGCCATCGATTGAGATCATGTAGATATATACCCGTCACAGAGTCCCATGGGACGTTCAATCCCGGCATTTCCCCCCTCGTTCTCTTGTCCGATGACCTCTCTTGAGAGCGGAGATCGCCACGGTAGCCAATTGTACTCCGGTGGAACCTCCAAACGTCGGGTCACGCCTGCCGCAGTTGTGTACCGGTACTTATCGCATACCTGGGTAATCGAAGGAGACCGAACGGTGGAGGGTTGAATTATGGAGTAGATACACACATAGAAGACCGGGTGTTGAGTGCTGCGTTTAAGGAAGCATCGTGCTGCACGGCGACTGTGGGCCGGGCCGCCTAGCCAGACTGGGGGTAAGGTCGGTGCATCGGAAAAGCACGAGCTTGTTTGGTCGGTCACGAGCTACCGAAGATTCCTTCGGTGCTTCTTCTTCGGAAGACTCCGCGAAACAAGTTCCTGCGGCGATTATAATGATGATGATGATGATGATGATGATGCATATGATCATGATGGAGGCCGAGGAAGGACGCGACAGAAGCAGCAGCCAGCACCTGGGCATACGCATGTCAGACTGGACAGGAGCCAGGACCGATCACTGACTGACTGGCTGACTGACTGACCGACCGCGGGGACACAGACCCACAGACCAACCGACCGATAGTGGAGACTGTGCGCCCGCCCGCTCCTCTTGCTCTCGAACTCCTTCTCCCCCTTCTCTCCCTCTTCTCTCGCTATTCAGACTTCTCCCTCTTCTCCCTCCTCTTCATCTTCCTCGTACTCTCCGTCTTGCCTTTATCACCCTTACTTCTTCCCCGTGAGCGAATCGGAGCATCACCAGCTCACTCCGCGGCCATTCTGTCGGGATATTCGTCTCCTCGACCTTCAATAGGGCAGAAACAAGGCAACGGGTGTACTTGGATAGTTACTTTGCTCGATAAACACAAACCTGACAACCATCCCCTTCCAAGCCGGCCCTATTCTTTCTCTTCGCCCTTTCTCCGCCGCTGCCGCATGTTCATCGCCCATCGCCCCTCCCAAAAAGAAAGCTCCGCGTCGTCCCCACTCATCGTCCCAACAAGTTGCTCAAGTTCACCGCGTCAGGGATCCCTTCCCGCTGTGCTCCCACACTCTCCATCCACGCGACAACCCCAACACTTTCCGCCCCTCGAAAGACCTCTCGCCCCCGCATTTTCAGCATCCGTCGTTGAACCCAGAAGTACATAGTCCGCGTCGGAGCCACCTCGTGATTCCCTTATTTCCGTTTCGTCGTCGTCGTTGTTTCGCACCCGCCGTCAGTTCCGGGATCCCATACATCCTCCCAGCTTGATACCCACCCTCTCCCCTCCCACGGCACCTCGTTGCACTTCATCGCACCCCGCCTCATAGCCCCGCCACGATGCAGTATGTCCGGTCTCTCAGTGGTTCTGTGTCAAAAACATGGAATTCAATAAAGTAGGCGCGCTCCGGACTGGACTACTTTCGCGACGGCGGCGACTGACATCTTCTCCGTACAGCCCAGCAACATTGAGCGGTGCCATTGACGTGATAGTCGTGGAACAGGATAATGGTTTGCCATTTCCCCTCCGCGCACATCACGGCTACATTTCCTGACAGTGAGAACCGCAGGCGACCTGGCATGTTCTCCTTTTCACGTCCGGTTCGGAAAGTTCTCGCTCCTGCGACCCTACGAAAAGAAGGTCCGTTATACGCGCTACCGTGGCATCCGTCCATCTCATCGCAGGCGCATCTCTGACTCACTTGGCCTCCGATAGGTGGAGTTCAAAGTCAACGGTGCAAGAACGGATTACTCGATGAAGCTCGGCGAAGCCGGAGAGGCTTTCTTCGTCTTTGAAACTTCGGGGATTGTGCCTAGAGATTTGCAGACGTCGCCATTAGTATCACCAGCATCGAGTCCGCGCTCGGAACCTTCTGTACCCGACGCTACGTCATTGCAAGAACCAGATTTCCTCGACATAGCGGATTTCAGCGGAACAGCGAAACCGACAGTGCGCCCGAATCGCGCGCAATCGGATCTGAGGGCACAGTCGGATTTCGGTAATAATATCCTGATCACTGTCGATGCGACAGAGTCTCATGGTGTGACAGGCAGCACGGCACCCCTCGCAAATGCACCGTCAGATCTTATGCGCCCGGCGAGTGGTGACTGGTCGGGGACGTCGTTGGCGATGGAGCGGAGTCAATCCGACGAGGTGCTCACTGTCAGCAGCAGCAATGGGCGTCGCTACACTACTGCCGGCGATATGAACGGCCCGGTGAGAACACGCTCTCCACCACCACTGGAACGTGCGGCGGCTGTCGAGCGCGCCATGGCGTTATCGCGCAAGCTGTCGATCTCGAACATCCAGACGCACATCACAAATCAGGGTGACCTGATGCTTGACATGCACGGCTACAAGTTGGACCAGGAGGATACCCTTGAAGCTGAGAAGCTGGCTCGGAGAATCCTCGCCGAGGAACTCGACGGTGATTACGATTTCGGCTCCTTGATCGGCGCTGATAGAGACGGGAATCTTTGGATCTATTCCAGCGAAGAGGCAAAGCAGAAGGCCGGACGGCAGGAAGGATTCCTTCACGCCATTGAGACCGCGGTCTCGGATGGAGGCTACTCCTCGGATGACGCAAAGAGTGGGTATTCCTCGGGCGAGGACAAACGCGCCGTGCGGGCTACCTCGACTCCGGCTTCAACCCCGCCCTCGTCACCTCCCCCGGGCGGCCGCGAATCCGGAATCGACTCCAGGAGCTACGCAAAGACATTGCGCCTGACCTCGGACCAGCTCAAGAGCTTGGACCTCAAGCCTGGCAGCAATGAGATTTCCTTCAGCGTCAACCGCGCCACCTGTACTGCCTACATGTACCTATGGCGGCATGACGTCCCCATCGTCATCTCCGACATTGACGGAACGATCACCAAGTCCGACGCCCTCGGGCACATCTTCACCATGGTTGGACGGGACTGGACGCACCTAGGCGTCGCGAAGCTCTACACCGACATCGCCGCCAACGGCTACAACCTCCTCTACCTCACCTCTCGCTCCGTCGGGCAAGCGGACACAACAAGAAACTATCTCAACGGCATTGTCCAAGACAGCTTCAAGCTCCCTAAGGGGCCCGTGATCATGTCTCCGGACCGAACCTTTCATGCGTTACGGCGAGAAGTTTATCTCCGCAAGCCGGAGGTGTTCAAGATGGCGTGTCTACGGGACATTTTTAATCTATTTGGCCCTGGGCACACGCCGTTCTACGCGGGCTTCGGAAACCGTCTCACGGATGCGCTGTCATACCGCAGCGTCAACATCCCCAGCACTCGGATCTTCACGATCAACAGCAATGCCGAGGTGGTGCTGGACCTCCTCTGTCTGACCAAGTACAAGAGCTCGTACGTCAACATGCGGGATCTCGTCGACCACTTCTTTCCGCCCGTACACAAGGTGGTCGAGGAGGAGTACACGGACTTCAACTTCTGGCGCGAGGGAATCATGGATCCGGAAGACTTCAGTGATTCTGACGATGAGGGGCGCGACCATGACGATGATGAGGACGACGACGACGATGAGGACGCTGGGTACATGGGTGATTCGTACATCGAGGACGGCGAGGAACTTGAGGACGAAGAGGGCGACGATGAGGACGAAGACGACGAGGACGAGGAGGACGAGGAGTACGATGAGTCGCAGAGTCAACTCGCAGACAGTATTCTCCTCGAGCAGTCCCAGCACCAGCCTGAACTCCAGCCCCAACAACAACCTCAACAACCCCAACAACAACCACCGCACACACCCCAACCAGAACCCGAAGTCGAGGAGGAGAAAGAGGATAAGAAGGAGAAGGTGGAGAAGGCAGAGAAGGAGCAGGACGAGGAGGAAGACAAACTCCCACCGTCCGATCAAGAAAACATCCGCGCGCAGCAAGAAAAGGGCTCCGCAAAGCGGTTCTACGCTGGCATGAAGAACGACCTGGACGGGAGCCGGTTCGAGCAGGCGAAGGAGTTCGCCGAGCACGAGCTGGGAGCCCTCGGCAACGAGATCGTCAGCGAGTTTGGGAAGCTCACGAGTTTGATGCGGCCTGATGGCGGGAAGATGGAGGAGGCCAGGGAGAAGGAGGAGGAGGATTTGTAGGATTTCTTGGACGCGGGTAAGGGCGGGGGAAGGGGAAAGGGTGGATGGGTGGATGTAGGTTATTACGAGGGAGGGAGGATGGGGATGAGGATGAGGATGAAGTTGGGAGGCGTTGATGATTGGCATTGCATTGCGGCGGTTTTAGTCTGGGTTTTTTTTCTCTGGTTTACATCTTTCTTTCTGTCTGTCTGTCTGTGTTTCTGTTGCTAGAGACAGAGACCCCGCCGGATCGATCGATCGATTGACACTTTGTTTGGCGTATAGTGGGATCTTCCTTTTTTTCTTCCGTTTCTTCCTTTTTTTCTTCACCTTTCTTCTCATCTCTTTCCTGTCTGTTTGTCTGTGGTTCGGTCCGTTGCGTGCGTTGCGTTTTCCGTTTTTGTTTATATATCATCGTCATTTTTTTGTTTTGTATCACTTGTTTCTTGTTTTTCTTTGGCATGGAGTGTGGAGTGGAGTGTATATAGTTTGCGCAAAAGAGCGGTGGTGATAGACCTGTTGAAGGTGGAGGGGAAATTCAACCTTTCCCCGGCCCCTTGGACTCGAATAGATATCTTGACTGACTTGTATCATACTGGTTGACTGGCTGACTGGCCGCTGGCTTGTCGTGATTTGATTCGTTGAATACAACTGTGACTTGTTTCGCCCCCAGATGGCGATGGCAACGAGACATGAACACAACTTTTGGATAGCTGGATATATAGCTGGATCGATGGACACCACCCCCAGAGCCTTAACGTAACTGGACCGCTTGCAAAGCGGATGTGGTGTCGATACAGTACGGCGAACCTCAACGACGGAGGGAAGAGGGAGGAGGGTGAATAACCAGTCACCAGGCACCAGTCACAATCTTGACATTCCACCGTCCATTCCATCTATCCTTCCACCGCCCATTCCACCGAATATTCTATCCATCCATTCCACTGACCATTTAATCCATCTATCTATCCATACACCCATACATCCATACATCCTATCCACCGACTATTCCTTCCATCCATCCATCGGTCAGTCGGTCCGTTTCGGTGGGTTCGGTAGGTTCGGTCGTTTGTGATCCCCACTCGAGCGCGGATGGGATGGGGGGATGTAGCGGCTCCTGGATGATGAACTACAGTTTGGTGGGGCATAAAGGTTCCTGGATGATGATGATGATGAACTGCAGCTTCGGTGGACCATCACCTCCAGGCTCCAGCTTGAGGGGGATCAGTGGACGTAAAGTGGACGTAAAGGGCTGGACAAGTCGGACTCCGTCATCGTCGTCGTCGTCGCCGCCGTGGTGGACTGTATGCATAGGTTGTAGATAGATAGCTGGAAACATCTTCACCGCTGGCAGCCCTCTACTGCCCTCTACATTTACGGATACCGGTACACCAAGGTAGGAAGTATGATATAACCCGTGAAATTGCTAGAATACTTTACATCTTCCCATAGAGCCCCATAGTACAGTTGCTCACCGATCCCAGGAAGGAAGATAAACCTCCCGCAGACAAGAGAGAGCGCACCGAAAAGAGGGGGACAAGACAACACAACACCTGCAAAAAATGTGAAGATACCGTACGAGAAGATACACCAGATACACCGATGTTGGGAGAGAGAGGAAAAGAGATACGCTACGAGATACGAAGAGATGAAGATGAAACAACACATTTCGCCCGAGATCGATGAAAAAGAAAGACACAGCAAAGTTTCAGTAACGAGAAAGGAAAAACGACACCACAAGAAGCCTATCCGAAGAAGCAGTAACAGCCCCCCCAAGTGCAAAAAGCAAAGCAAGCCCCAGAAACCCCATGAAAAACAGGAGACAAGACAAGACAGACAGACCACTTGAGAGACGAAAGACATGAAGGTGCAACAAATGACCGAACGAAGGATCTGAGGACTTCAAAGGAAAGAACAGAAGGGAAAACAAAAAACGAAAAAGAAATCGAGAAACAAACAGCAGAAACCCATTGAGCAAATCAAACCCCGACGAAAACAAATCCCAGAGGCACAAAACCAACGCGGAAAAAAATCGCAAAAGGAAGTTCTTTTTGTTGCTTAACGCCGACTCGAATCAATCAACCCTCAAACACCTTTCGAAGTAGCTTGGACAATAAGGGAGACGCCATGTTTTCCTAAAGATTATGAATGTATGATCCTCGGGCTCGTTGTATGTCATTTCTGTCTTGGAGGAAAAGGGGAAAGGGAAAGAAGAGAAAAATCAAAGGGAAACGAAACGGGAAGGGACTGGTGGTCTAGGCCGCGTAAACCGAGTGGTACGCACGGCCGTCGGCCTCGAGGCGATCCATCTGGCCATCTCTGGCTTGCATGTACATGTTGTTCATCCTCTGCATGTCCATTGGCTCAGTCGGATCATTCGGGCCCTGAAGAGCACCGGGAGGTCCAGGAGGAGGCATCTGGCCAGGCTGAGGCGGCGGGTGCATGTGAGAAGCATGAGGACTACACGAAAGCAAGCGACTATGGATCAGCAAAAGCTCTGGACCGCATTTGAATCGTTTATCATCCAAGGAAATAGATGGAGGCGGGTGATATATGTAGGAGGAAAAAACCCATTGCGGCACAACCAACGTGAAGCCATCGTAAAATAGGTACATAGAATTTGAAAGAAAAAAATCACAGAAAAAGAGAAAGAAAAAAATCAAAAACAGGAAGAAAAAGAAAGGCAAACTACTTTAGAGGCGCAAAGCTCTGGTAATGGTGCTGCGGCGGCATGGCCATCGACGGGAACACGGGAGGAGGGGGAGCCGGGCGGTAGGGAGTGCCAGCCGGACCCGAGTTGTTTTGACTGCGTCCCCACGACAACCTAACCCTAGAGTTACCGATAGGATAGCCCTGCATCTGGTTGATCGCCATCTCGGCGGCGTGCCTCTGCACGAACTGAACGAAACCACAGCCCTTTCCGGGAGGAATCTTGACGTAGGTGATTTCTCCAAAGCCCTGGAAGAATGAACGGAGCTCGTCCTCGGTGACGTAACCGGACAATCCTCCGACGAAGACGGTGGTGTTGTTGGGGTCGGTGAACTGGTTCATGGGCTGGGGAGCACCGTAGTAGCCCATCGGGGGAGCACCCATGGTGTACATGCCCATCGGTCCGGCAGCACCTCCCGGCATAGCGGCGGACGCACCGGTACGACTCTTAGGTGTGGCGGTGGAGATGCGCATGGGACGATTGCCACAGTAGACACCCTGCATCTCGGTCAAGGCGCGGTGCTGGTCCTGCTCGTCCGAGAAGCGAACGAAACCGTACCCACGAGACATTCCACTAACGGGGTCGGTCATGATCTTGGCGGACTTGCACGAAGGGAACCTCGACTGGAAGAGCGACACGAGGACGTATTCGTTAACCTCGGGGCCAAGGTCACCAACGAAGATGGAGAACTCGGGACCACGGTCATCACTGGATTCCCTATAGCATTAGTTGGTTTCCATTGTCACATAGTAAGAAAGTGAGTCGGGCGGAGTTACTGACCGCCTGTCAGTGAGTCCTCCTCCGGAGGCCCAGTTCAACTTGAAGGGACGGGAACTGTTTGGGATCTGAGTGCCGTTAAGGTTCAGAGCCTTGGCAGCAGCCGCAGGGGTCTGGAACTCGACGAAGCAGTAGCCAGCGTTGCTAGATCCGATCAATTAGCATGTGACTCCGGACTCCCAGATGAAAAGGAGCTGACGACAGCGTACCCAGAGAACTTGTCACGAATCATCTTGACATTGACATTCTCGCCGAGCTGGAACCAGACATTGCGAACGAAGTTCTCATCGATCCACGGCTCGAGTTCACCCATCCTAAAACACACAATGACATCAGCACCCGGACGAGTATGGATACCCATCACCGCAAAAGCCAACGAAAGGAGTAACATACCAGAGGGTGGTCTTGCTGCCGTCGCCCGCGCTGCCGTTGCCGGAAGGAGGGGCACCGTTGTAGGGTGCCGGGGAGGCGCTGGGCTGTCCTGGCTGAGGGACAACCTGACCTGCAGGTGCGTTGCCACCGGTCGGGGAAGCAGATCCTCCCTGCTGCTGGAATTCATTGTACTGCTGGAAAGACATGATTGGGATTTTAGGCTTGTCGGTATTGATGTTCGTGTTTGGTGACCGTGACGCCGTCGATTGGAGGATTTTGGTGGTTGGGTTGGTGGGGTTGTGTGCGGATGTTTCCCTCTAACAGAAAATTTTTCGAGAAGGAAGAAAGTGAGACTAGATCAGACCGAAAAAGATGACGCTAGGCCGATGCTAAAAGTTCAACCAAAATGTTAAAAATCAGATGCACCGGGAAATTGAATGAATGACACAACGCGAGACAGGGAATGGAGAACGTAGAATGAGCAATGGATAGTGAGCATACCTGAAAAACAACCAATGCGCCGGCAAAGAGAAAGATGCGAAAAGCGAAACTTTTTTCCGTGCGACGAAAGCGCTATGTCCAGATCGAAACGGGCGGGTAGAAACTCGAAAACCGATTTGCTTGAAGGGGTTCGGAAACCGGTATCAAAGTGATGTAAGGAGCCGTGTCAACAGATAGTCAAACCGTCGGACACAATGAGAGACGAAGAACTGTAGCGGCGAAACGAGCGAACGAGTCAGCAAAGAGTGGGGGGGGTGTGGGGGAGATTCAATGGACGAGCCGAAGAGCAAGAGAGAACACAGACGGGGGGGAGGGGAGCGGCGACGTCAGAGGGGTATAGTATGGGAAAAGCACGCAGTGAATGGTGGGGAGGGTGGGGGGGAGGGGAGATCAACCGAACAGCAAATGTTGTCGTCGTCGTTCGGGGGAGGTGGGGGAGATTGAAAGAGTACAGAAAAAGCAGGCGAATAGAAGCAGACCGGATTGGAGAGGAGGACGAGGAGTGAGAAAGAGAGAGAGAGTGAGTGTGTGGAGGGGGGGAGGGATGAGGAAGCAGAAGCGACAGGGAAAGGGTAGTGGATGTGGCGGTGGATAGAGCTGGTAGTGAGATGGTTATTTGGGTAGTGGGCAGAAGGCTAGTGTGTGGAAGGAGGATTACAGTTGGGTGCTTCTTAGTGCGAAAGTTTGAGGTGAGGTGATGTGAGGTGAGTAAGTGAGATAGCGAAATAGAGTAGCGTACCTGTTGAGATGGAGGAAGAATTCCCGAAGATTGGGAAGTTTTTTTTGGCTTGGAAGAGTTGGGTTGATGGAAGAGTTGTGGAGTTGTGGGAGAAAAGGTGGCTTGGGCTGGGGGTTGTTGGGAAGAATTGACTTGGGCGATGACGACGTGAGACGAGGCAACTGTGCAAGCGTGAAACCCGAATCGACACCGAAACCGAAAGAAGGCCCGCGAGAGCAATGCAAGAGCAGTAAGTAGTACTAAGCAGCAGCAGCAACGGGTGATGGTGATTGCCGAATGGAAATTGCGCAAGGAAACCGACGAGGAACGACGAAGACGAGAGCACAAGCACCGAGAAAGCAACGCCGCAACCGGTAAAACAGAACACAGTATCCGCACAAGGGGGGGGAGCGAGGCGGCGAGGGAAGGACGGGATTCTTGACGACGAAGAAGAAGCAGAAGGGAAGCAGAAGGGAAGCAGAAAGGAAGCAGAAAAGCAGAAGGAAGCGGAAGGAGGAAGCGAGATGAAGAGATGGAGAAGAGGAAGAGGAAGAAGGAGAGAAGAGGAAGAAGAGGAAGAAGAAGAAGAGGAAGAGAGGCCGAGAGTTTCGATGAACCACCGTCAAAAGTTAAGTAGAGTACAGAGTTGCATCTGTTCTGTGTGTGCTACCGCTTCCTCTTCTTCTTCTACATTTTGTTCGCCATCGTCTTCGTGCCTGAACGGAGCGTGCAAGCATGCCAGCTGGGTCCATCCCTTCGTTCATGCTCTGGCTTCACGGCAACGAAGAATGCCAACTCTGAGGGTATCTACGAGAGCTGTGTAGGTAGCACCTACAGCCGGGCACGGTACTGGCCGACAGTTCGTTCTCAATTGGTCCCCAAATAGCACGCGCGCACACAAACAAACAGGCAAGGCAGGTAGCAGACAGGCAAGCAGGAAGGTAGGCAAACAAACAAACTAAAAAAAAATAAAAATAAAAAATAGAAAGACTTTTGAATAAAAGGACTTTTGAATAAAAGGACTTTTGAATAAAAGGACTTTTGAATTAAAATCCCTCCCACCCTGCTTCAGCCTTCACCTCTCCCCAAGAGCCAGAACAATCCACACTTCTCGGCTTCTGTCCTCCCCCCAGGCCCCCAGTCCCAGTCCCTTCCACTCCGATCTAGCGTGGCGGCTATCTAATCCAATCCACCCTTGCGGATACCTAAGTACTCTACGCAATCGATCCGTCGTCGATAGTACAGGGCAGAAGTGACAGAACGAGGGAACGACTGAGCGGACGGACAATGGCCTAAACGTCAACGGTCTGATCTTCGCAGGCACGAGCCAGCCAGCCCGCCCCGCTTCGGAACCAGGAAGACGCAAAAAATCCTCCGCCCATGTTTTGCTGCCGGGCGAACTACATACACGCCTACACACATACAGGCGTGGACTCTTGTATGTATGTCGGTATGTGTGTAGCCTATGTACCATACTGGTACACACATACAAAGCCATTCTCCCGCATGGCCGGGCGTTCACCCGCGCCGCGCCCCGTTTGGTCCGAGGAAAAAAAACTAAGAAGTACATGCCTTAGCACAGCTCGTGCGCAACACTGAACGCAACAGGCGGAAAAGCCGAGCACATGTGTAATCCGCGAAGCAAGGAGAAGAACAGAAGGTGGCCTGGTGGCTTCCTTCTTCCTACATATGGATCCTCGGCGTTTCTGTGGTTACTAGTGGTGTCGGAATAACACCGGAATTGTGGTCAACTGGCTGGGTGAGCCACTGAATTCTGAGCCATCGGGGCAGAAGAAGAAGAATAAGAATAATAAAAGGAAGGAGAAGAAGAAGAAGAAGCCTAAAATAATAATAAAATTGCCGGCAGAATGATTTAAAGATTGAAAAGCTCGCTCCACTGGCCCCGGAACACCAGCTGGCCAAGCGGAAGCTGCCGTCTCGCTCTTTGTCTTGTCTTCTGTGACTGTTGAAGTCTGTTCTGGATGCAACGGGTGCGAAACGCACACCCAATCATCGATGGTGGTGGTGGTTGTGAGGGGGTGGTGGCCTGGGGCATTCCCTCTTCCGGCTGAGAGGTCTGGCTGCCCTTCGTCTTCTCCCTCTTCGCCTCTGCCTCCAAGCCATCATGATTCATGGCTGGACGGAACGAGGTTGCCCTGCCGTCCGCTGTCTGTAATCCGTTTTATGCTTGTGCTTGCGCTGGTGCTTGCTGACTGACCTGCACAGCCCAGCCCTCAAATGCAAAAAGGGCTTCTCGTCCCCGGCCAGATGATTGGTCCGAGACTCCGATCCGGGCTGCAGTAGAGTGCTTTTGAAGAGAGAAAGAAAAAGAAAAAATAAGACTTGTTCTTCTTCGTCAGGTACCACGAGAGTACCGCCTCTTCTCGTGTAAGAATCCTCATGTGGCCACCAATCATCCTTTGTCCCAACGGGTGTCTTGCGAATGGCCGCCCTCCCGCCCGCCCGCGCGGAAGACGGCGGCGGCCTTCGCACGACCAATTGAGTGCTCCACTCTGCTCCGCAAGCAGGCGGCATAGGCAGCTGCATACATACAGTCAGACAGGTACCCGTAAAGTGCATGTATGTATGATATGTATGATATGTATGATATGCATGTGTGTAGGACCACATCCACCACATCCACCACATCCACCACATCCACCACCACCGTATCCTCAGCTCTCTCCGGCAAAACCGCGAGTTGCTGCTGCTGCACGTACCCTGGCGCAACCTACTACCCAACAACACTCCCATCCGGCCTAGTCAGCTGTATGATGTATGTAGACTATCAAAAAAAAAGGACTCACGGATGGGCCGTGGCCGCAGGCCGCTGAGTCGCTGACGGCATGCCTCATGCTCCTCCTCCATGCTCCTCCATGCTTTCCTGTGGATGACATCGTCGTCGTCGCTGCCTGTGTTGTGCTACTACATACGGTACATGTAGCTGCTCTAACGCTCTCGGATGTCGGGAATTTCCTATGTCGCAAGCGTGAGCGCGAGCAACACTCAAGTATCTACCGGCGTCTAACATCTACCTGCCTCGACATACATAAGTTCATACATACACCATCCCCCTCCCGGTCTAGAGTACATTCGATACCACAGTTGAAAGACAGTCACGGGAGCACGTCGCGGCGGGGGAGGGAGGGCGGGCGTCATGATAGGTATCGTTGGTGGTTTCCAGAAGCCCACTTCCCTTCCACCCTTCCTTCCAATCCCTTCCCTTCTCTTCTTCCCCCCTTCTGTTCTTCCCTTCCCTTCCTCTCCCTTCCCCCTCACAGGAAAGGAAAGAAAAAAGTAGGAAAAGGAAAGAAGAAAAAAGGAAAAAGGAAAGGAAAGAAAAAAAGTAGGAAAAGGAAAGAAGAAAAAAGGGAAAAGGAAAGGAAAGGGAAAAGGAAAGGAAAGGGAAAAGGAAAGGAAAGGGAAAAAAGAAAAGTCCCATCTGCATGGAACTCCATTCTACACATTCCAGACGGTCCACGGCTGGCTAAGCAAGTACTGACATACCTTACATGCCTCCTATACCTAACTTACTTCCCACCTATATGTATACCCACTTCCCGTATACCTACACCTACACTGCGAAAGACACGTTTGTTGATCTGATCTGATGAACCAGCAGCTGGCTGGCTGGCGGCGGGGAGGGGAGGTTCCACGCGCGACATCCAGCTAGTTGGAGTAGAGTAGCTTCCCGATCAGCGTCCGCGTCAGAATGTCTCAGTGGGTGCTCTACTCCACTGTTCTACATACTGTACCGGTAGGTGTATGTAATGGGGGAGGTTCACGACACTATTCGTCGGAGTTCCTTTTCGGGTCCGATTGCGTTTGCTACGGTATGTAGAGCACGTACGGTAGTAGGCATGTACCGGTATGTACGGATGAATGTGGGTGGATGTGAGTGGGCTCGGGTATCTTCCATAGGTATGATACATCAAACCTCGGGTATATGTACTACTCTATAGGCAGGCATCCAGCATTGGACAATCCGACAATGGAGAGAGTGCGAATTGTGCGAAACGATGGGCGAGAGCCTAGAGGTGATGTGCGAGGTGATGATCTTCGAGCTCTTCGGGTATTTATACATGATGTATGATGTATGAGGTATGAGGTATGAGGTATGTGCGAGACGCGGCTCTGGGTTTATATTGGATATAGATATTTCCTGGACATCGCGCACTGCACTCTATTCTACGGTAGTCTACTCTGCTTTACTCAACGGTTGCCGATGGCTCTACAACGACAATCGCAACAACTGCAACGACTGCATCCCCCCATCTACTGTTGGTGCTTTATTATATAGGCACACGCATCTGCAGTTCCCCCGTGATCTTGAAAAACTGCTTTCTTCCCAAGTTCCCATCCGTCGACGTCGTCGAAAGCCACATAGCCAAGCTCCTTCCTTTCTTCCTTCCTTCCTACCCTTCACCCATCCTCCTCACCTCAAGCTCGAGCTCGCGATTGAGCACAAGCACAAGCACAAGCACAAGCACAAGCACGAAGTGTAGCATCTCCGCACCGTATTCCTCGCACTCTGTCATGCCGGCGGCGATGTGGCCTTTGACCAATGGCCACAACTTATGAGCCGAGAGCCCTCTGTAGAGTAGTTATCTCAGAGTCCTACTTATCCGAACAAAACCCTCCGTGCCGGACGAGGAGCCAGCACGAAGCCAGCACGACGCAAAGTAGAGTCAACGTATGTAGCCTTGAGCCTGAGCCTGAGCCTGAGCTTGAGCCTAAGATACCCACCTATAAGGTACCTATACGTCCGACGCATGAACAAGTTTCGGATGGATGTTGAGTTGAGCTGAGCTGAGCTGCTGAGTTGCTGAGCTCAGGGTGGAAAGCCGGTACGCCTCGGCGCACCTGGGCTTAGGCTTTTTCAGCGCGCTTGAAGAATCAAAATAGTCAAAATAGTCAATGCTCCCTTTCTTTCTCTCGATTCTCGAAGGCTGAAGCCGCTCCTTTAACATACGACCTACGGTTACCTAGCCCGCCGGCGTGTTTGGCTGGATGCTGGATGCTACGGTAACTCCAGCCTCCAGCCTCCAGCCTCCAACCTCCAGCCTCCAACCTCCAGCCTCCGGCCTCCGGTCGGGTATGATCCATCCATTCATGATTCCATGGAGTTTGCTTCACGATTCACGGAGGAGTGGTGTGGTAGTAGTGGCAGTGGTACACCGGCGAGCACTCGGTTCTTGTCGACTGCGTTGTCAACCCTATCATGGTCACTGATCGAATGCGGAAAACCATAATCTTCTTCTTGTTCTTCTTCTTGTTCTTCCGAACAGACCCCCCACGGCGAGAGCCAGCAACTTGAGTTCCATCATCCACCTCACCAAATCACGTATAGTAAAAGGCCCTCGAGCCTTCGATACAATTCAGCCCATGTTCGACGACTACTTCCTCAAACCCCAATTGAACCCGCTGAATCATTCCCTACGATCATATCATTAACCATACACTCTATGATTCTCTTCTAGTTCATAGGTAATTCATAGTTCATACTCATAGTTCATAGCCCAACAATTGGGTGACCTCCAGATCCAAATCCTCAATCTTAACCCTATTCCGAACAACCAGGCCGCCAAATTCTAATCAGAGTTAGTTCGGTTGCCAGCTGCATTTTAAAAATTCGCGGTTTTGACGAGTCGAAGGTTACCAAAGCTGCAGCTGCAAAATCTCAATTCCCCTAATGACCCGTTCGGCAACCCAGATACCCAATAGCACGGCACACTTTTTTATGTGTATTGTGGCTCAGTTGAAAATATGCAGTTTCTCAAATTGTTAACTTGGGGTGGTGTGCCGAACGGTCACCCATCGCCCGGAAACTAAGGGTTTCAAACTGTATCTCAATTTTGTGTGATAGATTCAAAATGCAGCTGGCACCCGAACAGGCTCTTAAGGTATGTACGGGTTCCGACGGCGAGTCAGGTTCGTTTCTTGGTTAACTATCCTCAGGCCTGAAGAGACTAGGTATAATAACGGCTTTAGTCTTTGGGATTGCTTCACGCACTCATGACTCATGCCCGCCGCCGCCGCCGCCACGGGACTTGCGGCCAGGTAGGGGAGCATATGTAACCCACTGTCTACATGCCAGTCTCCAGCCAGCCTCCAGCCTCCAAGTCGACCGTCGACGCACCCGTAGGTCCGTACATATTCATCAACGCCCTACCTACTACCAGGTACTTAGTATAGTAACTCCTTGCATCGATGACCATCCAGTATCCACAGCCCCACGATCGCTGCAAGCCTCAAGGGTAAAGCCACAAATACAAATACAATCCCCGGCAATGTATATCTACCTTACCTAGAATGTATCATGTCGTTGAGTGGGAGTCTCAAGCTCAACAGATCCACCACACCAAGAAGGGGGAAGCCACAAAAAAAATTCAACGACGTGCGCACTGCGCAGAATACCTGGTTACTCATAGGATGGCACTCGGTATGGTCGCTCGGTATGGTCGGGATATGATCGGGAATCGGGATATGATCGGGAATCGGGATATGATCGGGAATCGGGATAAGGTGCGGCTCTTGGCGGCCACGTGGGGATTCGGCGGTTCAGCGGATGTGTGGTTGTGTGGTTATGTAGCGCCGATTGAAGCAGCGTGCTCGTGGTGGTGGAAGCATATGAATCTGGTGTTCGATATTGGTTGGATCACGGCCCCGGAGGCTGGGAGGTTGATTAGTGGCCGGGCGGGTGTATGATACGATACATTCCCTTCTTCCTCGGGAGACTGGAGCCGTGGTGAATTCCTATACATTCTAGCTTCTAGCTTCTAAACATCGCATTCGAGCTCTCCCCCCGCTTCCAAGTTCCATGCAGATTTGCCGACGAGAATAGGTAGTGGATGAGGCCAGACTCCAGAGTAAATGGCGAGAATTATCGCACTGTTGAGCATGTACTAACTATCACTCGTTTTCCCCCCGGAAATCTAGCACAGCCCAGCCCAGCCTCGGCTGAAACGGTGGATAAGGTACCCGATAGGAGATCGTGGTTTTCTACGCACGATACGTAATGTGATCCGGCCAGTCTCTGACCGGGGGGGTACCATCATTCTTCAAACTCTACTACCTATTTCCCTGAGTCTTTTTCTAATGCAATCACTCACATTCCCACAGGGTCGCGGACGGAGAGGGGAAGGGAACGAAACGAGACGTAGACATGTATCTAGGCATCGGTCGGAACGATTCATCGCCGCCGGTTACCTAGATTGTTCATTCCGAAGCTGTGAAGTTTGAGGGACTGAGTCTGCGGGCGGAGGGTGGAGGGTGAGTGATATCAGGTGCCGGAGCAGAAAGGCTGGGATATAAATAGAGGATCAGTACGGACATTCCCCGTGGAAGGAAGTGTAACTCACAGAGAACGCAGCGTCAATTCTGTTGGCCTTGGATGTAGAGGGTGAGTGATAGCAGTGACGTTCTTGGGAGGGGACCCCTCACAAAGCGGAAACTGTTGACCATGAGGAGTATCTGGAAGGGTGAGGTGGTTCATCTATGCAAGTATCCTACATTCCCGTTCGCTCCAGCCGCCGTATCGGACGTACGACTTCGGGAGCAGAGAGAGCTGCAATTGCAACTACCTGTAGGCAGCCGGCCTCGAGTACTAAGAGGTGCATGCTGTCCCCGACCGGCGATGAGCCCTACGTCCAGTTCGGGAATGTGAGCGCCACAACACACATTCTCCACGCCGTACTCATGTTCTGTGCCCTTCTCTTTGTTTCTTGTGAGTGAGAGTTGATAGCTGCCTGTCTTGGCACAGACTATAACTAACAGCGGGAGGACCCCGCAACCCCACTAGCTAGCGCGCAGTTAGGTACTAACTAGAGCAACCCCTCTATCTATATATCCTATTCCACTCCCGCCCGCCGCTCGAGTAACCTCATTCGCACCACCGCCAACCCCTAAGATGTCGCGCACGACAATGGAGTCGCCGCCATCCGAGATCCCGGTGGTCGAATTCGACTTCGACAAGACGAACCTCGACCTGAACTTCCTCACGATCGACGAGTTCTGTGCTGAGCTAGCAACATTCACGACGCCGCCTTTGACGCCGAACCGGGGGAACACGCCCGCGCCGGCGCCCTCCCTCGAGCCGATCCAGCACTCGACCTCGATCACGACGCAGCACGTCAAGGACCTGTACGAGCTTTTGCAGTCGCGCGAGTACCGGCCGTACCTCCTCACCGTCTCGTTCGCGGAGGAGGACGCGACGCCAGAGTCCGGCGTGCCGGCGTTCGCGTCGGCGATCACGGTCGAGTGCAAGTCTGCCGGCGTCAAGCTGAAGACCCTGCGTCCGCCTGGAGGCTGCTTCCCGAATAAGAGGCTGGCGAAGGAGGCCGCCTGCGGCGTCGCGATAGAATGGCTCAAATCTATGCCCGAGGAATTGGAGCGCCTGCAGTTGGCGAATCCCCCAGAGTCGTCAAGCAATCCCAAAACTGAGCCGGGGGAGTCCGTTAACTGGGTCGGCATGTTAGCAAGTACGCCCCCCCCCCCATCCCCCGCTCCCCCGTCCCCCCACTAACACCTCAAAAACCACCAGGCTACTGTCAAATCGGCCCCAACTCGAACGCGCCGCTATACACATACTACCAGTCAGCAGCGTCCACACCGCTCGTGTTCTCGTGCCAAGTGAGCGGGATCCAGACGGTAGGCAGCGAAAAGGTGTTTGGCAGCAAGACGAAATTCCACTCCAGCAAGAAGAAGGCGCGCATCCACGCCGCCAAGGCCGCCATGACCTTCATCGACGAGAACCAGATCGCGCCTGCTGCCGCGGTTAAGAAGGGTAGCGCGGGGGGTTCTGGGGGTGGTGGTGGTGATGCGAAGAAGACTCCACCCAACGAGCGGAGCACGACGACGCCTGCCGCCGCAATCGTAGCGGGCGCAAATTTCGTAGGCAAGGCGCCGCCGCTGGAGCCCGGGTCAACGATCACGATCCCGTTGGCAGCCACGATCCACGAGACGGTGGCGCTGGTGTGTCCGCAGCTCGGGCTGTCCCTGCCGGAGTACATTCTTGCGTGCGACGAGCACACGCCGGCGCTCTACGACATCACGGCGGTGCTGCGGCGGGCCCCGCCGAAGCGCGGTGTGCGCATCGGCCCAATTAAAGGCGTCTATGGGAAAAAGAATGCTCGCGACCGTATTGCGAACTCGGTCTTTACCTTCCTCAAGAAGGAGGCGGAGAATTGTCGTGTCGTCATGAAGGTCGATGGCTCTTAGAAAGACTGTTGGTAACTTGCTTGGTGTGTAATGGCGCTGGTGCGATGCGATGGGACGGTTGTGTGTGTATGGTGGGTTCCGGAGAGTAGATATTCCTCCTCGTGGATGACGATGTTGATATCTATCGGAGGATAAATAGTCATGTCTTTTAGTATGGGTTTGTTCACGGGTGTTCTCGGGGTTGACTTATTGCGCTTCTTCTTTCTTCTTTTCTTCTTTCTTTCTTTCTTTCTTTCTTTCGATGTGCTTACAATGCCAGCACGAAATGGTTTCTTCTCATTTTTCTTACTGCCGCTATCGTTCCTCCAGCAAAGCAAGCAAGCAAGCATACAGCAAAGTGAAACAGCATTGATTCATTTCTCATTCGTATCCGAGTATGATCCGAGGTTACATTCCGCTGTGGAGAGAGCAGGAGAGAGTAGGAGAGAGCAGGAGAGAGCAGCAATGAATGGTCAGGTCAAGTCAAGAAAGCATTACGACCAAACCCAAACCCAAAGTAGTAGCACGTCATGACACGACACGACAGACTGCAGCACATCTTGCACCTCAACCAACAGTCGCGCCTCAACCAGCAAGCAGTCTCACCTCATCCCCCTTTACCTTTAGAGGGGAAGTATGTGACAGCCCAGTTTTCCGTTCCCCGCCCAGGCCCTGGGAACAATGGATACAGTCCGCTCGACAAGCGATCCGGCTTCCTTGCGCGAGAGAAGAACTGCTATCGGATGCTGTTCCAGACGGCACGAAAGAGCACACGCATCGCCAAACTGTTAACATATCCCCCTTTTTGTGTATGTCGTTTCGAAGAAAAAGAGGTTTCTTTTCTAGAGTGATGAAAAAAGGGGGGTAGGGAGGGAGGGGTGTTACATACCCCATCGTTCGCCGCAACACATTCCGTCAGCTTCTTGAGTTTCTCGTGGTTCAGCGCGTGGACCCAGCCGAACTTCTTGATGTAGTCGCCCGCCTGCATTCCCGCCTCGGCGGCAGGACTGCCCTCGGCCACACTGTTGATCTTTGCAAACGGAGTGTGGATTTCGGCAGTAGAGGCGGCAGTGGTACGGACGGTGGTGGTAGTGGAGGTAGTAGTCGGGAGCGTGGACGTGGCAGCAGCGACCGCGGTTTCCTCCGAAGCAGCAGCGGCGGCGAGGCGCGCGTGGTGCGCGTGAAGCCCGAGTTCGATCCGCTTCATCAGGTCCTTGTAGTCGTTTCGGAGACAGATGATGCGCGTTCGGGTGTGCCGGACTATATGCGGGTGAGACATTTCATCACATCAGCCGTGGTGGTCTCAGGCAGGCGGGGCAGGGCGGGCGGGCGAGCGAACGAGGGGGGGAGGTGGAGGGGTGGGTGTTTCCGATGAAGGGCGGGAGGTATTTTTTTTTATTACTCTGGGGGATATCGATGTCGTCGCGGGGATAGCCGTCGAAGGTGGTTAGAGATGTTTTCATGTTGACTTTGTGCTGGAGGGACGATTCGTCAGTAAAGGGAGTGCGAGTGCGTGCGAACGACTTCATCGTGCAGACAAAAGAGGACGAAGGATTCTACCGACCGAATCGAGAACTGCACCGAGAGCTTTGAGCTCCTCTTCCACGCGGTCCTTCTCCGCCATCAGCTCGAAGAGAGCTTTCGTGGGATCTTCCTCATTACGCGTCGACGGGGCTACGGCGGCGGCGGCGATGGAAGAGCTGCCCGCGACGGACGGAGAGTGGATGTCCTCCATGACTGGCTGGTTCTCGTTCGATGGATTGGGGGTTGGGATGAAGGGTTGGTCGAGTTTGAATTGAGGGGGTTGTGGTGATGAGGGGTGTGTGGAGGGATGGCGGGGTTGGTGGGGCGATCGTGGCAGGATTGAGGTTCGTGGGATGGGGGATATCGATGATCCCGGATGACCCGGGGGGATGTGTGCAGCCCGCTAGCCAGTGGTCGGCCTAGGTACGTATCTGTCTGTTCTCCAAGCAATCGCAATCTCCAGGTTTTGAGCATTCAAATTGTCTAGGAACACGCGTTTGGAGGTCGATGCTTGAGTATATATGGTCCTGCGTAAAGCCGGTCTCAAGTGCCAATCGATCCGGACAATATGGGGGGGGTGGGCAGCCATCGCGCCGCGACGCCTAAGACCCCTCGGAAATCCAGGGTCTCTCCTCTCGTTCACGACGGGGGTGCCCCGCGCTCGGAGATAGTAGAGCTGAGCTGGGCAGATGCGATTAGATAAGATGGGGGCCAAGTCCTTTGGAGAATCCTGGTCGGATAAACACGCGCCCCGGTCGTGCCTCGTCGTCACTCCAAGATAGTCAAACTAAATTCCATGAGATTAGAGTGCCGGCAAGCAAGCGAGAAAGCAGGCAAGTTGCCTGTTGCTTGCTCCTCCTCCCGTTTCTCCATCTCGGGCGTGTGGGCTCTTTCATTCCGTCATAGCCACGCATGCAGAAATTAGTCGACTCTGCCACCACCACCACCACCACCACCACAGTTTTTTTCTCTTCCTTTTTTTCTTCTTCTTCATTTCGAGGAGGATGAATTCGAACGATGGCGCTTTCGATGTCACGATGGATGAACTCTGCACGCCGGAAAAAAAAAGATGGGTGTCTTTTTTTCTTCACTTCAGATTCTCCAATCGCACCTGCACGCCTCCAGACTCCAGAGCAGAGAGCACACTACTCAGTACTCTAAACTAGCATGGTCGAACACTTCCGTCCGCACGCCTCTTTTCGGGCCTTCCTCGGTGCTAACCATCAGTTGCGCTGCGGCCGGATCGTGTCTCTTATCCTTGGCGACGGACCCACGAACCGAGAAACAGAACGAGAGGGAAAGGGAGAGCAGCGCTGGCATCGACTGGGGGAAGGGCGGGGGGGGAGAGGGAAATACTCTGCCTATTATTCGAAACTACCGAAAGAGCGAAAAACGAAATAAAATCAAAAGATGTGGGAGGTGAGATGTGAGAGGTGGGAGATGGGAGGTGGATCCGCAACATCACTTTGAGAAGGTGGAGTAAATATGGAGATACATGATACTTGGTTACTAGTCAATTGCAGTATAGATACTCGACCCATACGTCCAAGCATGTCAAGCACACGGTGGCGATGGAGTGTATAGTACTTATCCACCATGTACTGCTGTGCACGCACTGCGGCGATGGAAAGTATAGTACTTATCCATCATGTACCGCTGTTCACAGTGCACAGTGCACAGTGCACAGAGCACAGAGCACACTGCACCCAATCTGCGTGCTGCGTGGAATCCATGGCCGCCCACTCGACGAGCGTGGGCGCCGGGCAGCCGCCCACTACGTACGCGATCCGACACGCATAGGGAAGTGGTTGGAAACGTCTGACGGATCTCCTCCAGCTGCCTCTCTATCCGCTCTCCTCGAAGCAGACGAGAATACTTTTTGCGGCGATAGACTGCCCTCTTCTCTCGGGGCAATGCTCCTTTCCTGGGGACTTGCGTCGGGCGTTGGCGACTGGTCGGCGACATGAAGCACGGTCCCGACCTCTTGCTCTTCTCGTGCAGCAGCGGGCAGCGGGCAGTGGATATGTGGTGAGCAGCGAGCAGCATCGACCGGCATTCATCAGCGCAGTCGGTTCGGTTTCAGCAGGTTAAGGGTTCGAGCCTGGGTGTCTCTGGGTGTCTCTGGGTGTCTCTGGGTGTCTCCGTGTGTCTGTCAGTCTCTGTCAGTCTCCGTGTGTCTCCGTGTGTCTCCGTCAGCCTCCGTGTGTCTCCGTCAGCTTCCGTGTGTCTCCGTCTGTCTGTCTGTCTGTCTGTTTGTATATGTCAGTCTCTCTCTCTGTCTCTGTCAGTCAGCCTGTCTGTCTGTCTGTCTGTCCGTCTGTCTGTCTGTCTGTCCGTCTGTCCGTCTGTCTGTCTATCTCACTGCCGGCTCCTTGTCCTTGCAGTGCACGCAGCGCACGCAGCGCATCAGTGCGTCAGTCCAGTCGTCATGGGTGGATGGAACCAAGCAAGCCTGCATCTCGCTCCATCCTCTCCTGATGGGGGGGCTGTTTCTTTTTCTTTTTCATGGCAACGTGCAATGCTCTCGAACGGGCGGGAAATGATCGACGCCACTCGCGCCGACCTCAATTGGGTGGAGTGCCTGGTCTTGCACGTTCCGGGCCTCGCCCCGTCCGAGTAGTCGCTGTGTTTCGCTCTCGAAGAAGTAAACCCAACGTCTCTGGCGACTCTTCACCCACCGAGCCACTCCCCCCCCACCTCTGAGACACAGACAACCCACAAACAGCAAGCAAGCACCCAGCACCCAGCAGCTCACAGCTCCTCCAGCTGTTGGCTGGCTGTCCGCCCAGCGCCAGAGAATCTCCACCCCCCCCCCCCCCCAGCCAGCCGTCGCTAACTACTAGTCTACCTGGACTAGAGCACTCAGAGTAGATGGTGCTAAGAATGCCCCGACGACTAGCAAGCGGTGGTGGTGGTGGGCTGTTGATGGTGGTGCTGCTCCTGCTGGTTGTTGTGTTTTTGTTGTTATCTCGATCTGCGGCCGTATTTCCCCAAGAATTAGCAATTCGTACTTACTCGAACTCTCTCCTTCTGCTGCAGCAGCCATCGCTCTTCGCTGCTTTTTTCCGCTCCTTCTTCCTGATCTCAGATCTTGGACTCGTGTACCCGCTACTTCGACATTCCCTCTCCGTCAGTAGCAAATCGTCGTGGTAGCTGCCATACTACTGCGAGCCTATTTGCTTTTCCTCTGCGTTTTCTCGCCCACCACCGCCCACCGCCCACCCCCTACCGCGGTTCCTGTTCGCATACATACTTGGTTGTTGTACCTGGGTACCCATAAGCTCGCTGGCCGTTCCTCCATATCCATTTTCCTCCTCCGGTGCCAGCCCTCTCTCGCACACTCACACTCACACACACATTCCTCCCTTCTCTCTTGAATACCTGCGCAATTCGTCGTTCGTTTCGAAAAAAATAATCAGCCAGCACTTTCCTCCTCCCTCATCACCATCACTACCATCACTACCACCACTTACCACCATCACTACCAGCGAAGCAACAGCAGCATCCCGGCGCTGCCTCGTCTTCCTCCACGTTACACCCCCACTACACCCTCCACCTCCTCCTGTCCAGCGATATGGTTCGTCGGACCCTCGCATAGTGGTCAATTCGATCGCATCATCATTTTGGGAACACATTCCGGTCACTCTTCGTTCGTTCGTTCGTTTTTAGCTCGCAGGACAGCAATTAGGTTGCTTTTCCATTTGCCTCTCGGTCTTCGGCTTCCGCGTGGCTGTTGTGGGGGATTGGGTTTATTGATACCGACATCGAAAGAGGACGAGAGAGTGTGTGTGAGGGACACACAAGGAGAGAAGCTTGGGTGGAGAGAAGAATAACGACAGGATCAGGAAGAAAAGAAGAGGAAGAAAGAAAGAAAGCAAGAAATAAAGAAATCGAGAGAGAGCGTGGATAAAGAGGGAAAAAAAGATCCGCACACCAAACACACGCACGCACGCGTCAGTCAACTTTTATATCAATCCGTTGATTCCAACACGCAGCAATACACCCTCGTCACCTAGCTCTGTCACGAAGTCAGCACCCCCAGAGATCGTGGACCACTTTGTACAGGTACACTTTAGATTCGACGTGTCAACTGATCCCGGCGGCTATATAACGCCCATGGCTCTGTTAACACACAAAGTCTCGTCATGTACCGACAACTACTCCCTTTTCGCGAAAGAAAAAACTTTTTACGGAATCCCATATCTCGATAGGTCGCGATCGTCGATCCCGAGCGATGCCAGCTCGTTCTTCGGCGGCGCACTCTCCCTGCGAGATTCGGCGCAGGACCTGTCATCGATCCCGCAACGAAGCGGCGGCGGCGGCAAGAACAGCTCGGCCAGGATCGTTCACACACCGAACCAGGATGCCGTCCTCCCCGAACCTGCGAGAGCTACAGCTCCACAGATAGTCGAGTCGACCAGCCAATCAAACGACGACGACGATGCTGCGCTACCGGATTTCGAGGAGGAGGAGGAGGAAGAGGAGGTGGTGGTAGTGGAGGAGGTGGGGCAGGATGAAGAGGAAGGGAAGGAGAAAACTCGATGCAACAGCGTTGAATCCTTCGATTCCACTGCTCTGGATTCGAACGCGTCGTTCGTGACGGCTGAATACATGCAGGCCCCCGCGATAGTTGTGAAAGAGGCCAATGGGGAGCAGAAGAATCCATATATTTTCCACAGATGGATGAAGACGATGTTCCGCAAATCTCCGCCGCAGCCGTTTCCGGATATGGTCTTCACTCGTCCCAGCAGCGTGCGACATTCGCTGGAATCCTGCGGAACGGGAGAGAGATCTTCGGCGTTCGTGTCTGGAGTCAGGACTGCATCTGCCACACTGGCGTCTTTCCCCATCTCTGGCCAGACGGCGAGCTGTCGGAGGACCAGCGTGACCGGATTGGATGCGGATACGATAAATCGGATGCTCGATAGGAAGCACGCATTGGAGGAATTGATCTCTACGGAAGAGTACTACATTCGTGATCTGAAGTCGCTGAAAGATGTGAGTTTGGAAACCGAGGTTATCGATTTCGCTCGGAGCTGATATTGTGGCAGAAATATCTCCCGATACTCAGGGATTGTGTTTGGATTTCCTCGGACGTTCGGCAGGCAATGGCACGTAACGTTACGGAGATGCTCGAGCTCCACGGGAGGCTGCTTGCGGATATCTCACGCGCCTTGCCGTGTACGACGCAGACGATCCAGGACCATAGTGTCCACCAAAACGTTGCGGACCTGGCGAACTACCCGATTCTGTCGGATCCAGCAGCGGCGGCCGAGGTGGCTAGGATTTTTGATACAACCGTAAGGCTCACTGCCATATCAGCGATTGATTGTCGGTACAGCTCAATTAACCCCGACGCAGATCATGGCGTTTTTCGTTTATGAGGAATACTCGGCGAAGTACCAGGAAGTGATAAGGGCGCCGAAACGCACAGTGAAACCTTCGGATACATTGCACGGAAAGGGAACCGAGGCGCTTATTGGAGCATCGAATTCGTGGGACAATCGCGGCGACTACGGGAAGCGGGCGATGGAGCTCTACGATCTGCTGTTCAAGGTGCGCGAATCACCCCCCGCGGTAAAGCGCCTGTTGACTGACTGGACCGTATCGTAGCCAATCCAGAGATTATGCAAATATCCGTTGCTCTTCCGCGACATCGAGAAGAACACACCGGCGATTGACTGCCCGGACACGAATCGGTTATTGGAGAGGGTGCGACATCGGTTGGATGAGGCCGTTCACCAGGTCAACGTGGCCAACAGCGATGCGCCCAGGATCCGTGAGCGGATAGAGAAGACTTGGCTGCTGCAAGACAGGCTTGATTTCCAACAGAAGGTACGTGTTTTTGGGCACATCTGTATGAGCAAAAGCTGACGGTGGGGCATCAACACAGTCACTCCCGGTTCGTTTATTGGGTCATGTCATCCTGTGCGGAGCTCTGCACGTCACATGGCAGAGCAACAACCGGGAGAGCCAGCCTCATACCGAGTACATGGCTTGTTTGCTCTTCAAGTCCTACCTCATCTTGGCCTCGGTATCGAAGCACGATCATTACAAGGTCAAATTTGCGGTAACTTTGGCTATCGCGCGCATCGAGGAGCCTAGTCATGGCAAGGGTGAGTGCTTTTCTATAATTCACGAGAGGCTAATCAGCGCTAACCACGTAAACCAGGTTTGTACAGCCCTGGCGCACCTCATACGTGGAAAGTGGTCTTTGAGGCGGACCACCGAATCTACGAAGTCTTGCTGTCAGCATGCTCCGATGACGAGGAATTCGTATGGCGCAACCAGATCCAGGACCGCATCATGGCGGAGAGCAAGGACTACCAGGAATACAGCTCGACCAATATGGATTTCTGTTCGTGCATCTCGTCCGATATTAAGCCGGTCGGTGACGTTTTCGGACGACCTGGCACTTTGGCTCGTCATCAATCTCTTTTGCGCGGCGGGGTTTCTTCGTCTCTGGAGTCTGACGGCCAATACGTGGTGATTAATAACTTTCTCTTCGCCGATGATCCACATGGCTCCACCAACGTCAGGCGAACCTACAGCACTCTCAACTTCAATGGGCTTGTTCCGACCGTCAACCTGAAGCGCACCGAAAGGAATCGGGCGGAGGCTAGACTTGCTGAGGTGTGGACCAAAGATCTTATCCCTTTCAACGCAACACGGACAAAGCCACGGAAGGAACCCAGCGGTGCCCTGCTCATGCGGCGGCTGTCGATGCTCAGCTTGCTTTCAAGCTCGAAGAGGCCGACACTGTCCATCGATTCCGATACATCGGATACTACATGGGAGGAGGATTGCGATTACGACGAGCCGACTGTCAAGCGCTCCTCAACTTTGTCTTTTACCAGGTCAAAGTCGAGCTCTTTCGTCACCGCACCGTCTAGCCCTACCAAACGGAGTTCGAGCTTGAGTAGCAGGTTTTCGTTCAATTCCAGCACCAAGAAGGAAAACACTTCCGGAGGGTCATCGCCTACCAGGAGGCGCGGCATAATGCCCTTGCTCGACGGCAAGTGGAGGTCAACCGATGAGACCATCACCGAGGCTACGCCGGCCGAGCTCGATGCGGCGGGATATCCCGAGCCTTGGTCCAGAGAAGAGGGATACTTTTCGATCGTGAAACCCACCACGCCACCGAATTCAGTCCAGGAAGGAGAGGAGCTCAGCATTTATGCGGCACTCGAAGACCGCTACATGATATCGAGGGCTGGGGCAACTGCCACGCTGAACCGCGCGGGCACCGACATAAAATCACCGAAAGCAAGCTTCAGGCCGGAACCCAAGATATCGAGAAGACACACCATGGTGACACCTCCCGGACCACGGCCGAGATCATGGCGAAGCGGGAGGCGGCCCAAAGCACGTAGCGAGCCATTATGTGGTACAAAGCTGTCTGGCGGCAGCGTCGTGCACCGATGATACCCCACCGAAGAGGGCATTTTACTTTCTTTAATCTCGAGACCACCTCTACTTACTCGTTCTTCTCTCTATATCCACCGCTCTTCTCTTCTTGAAAAAGCTCATTTGTTCATTTTTTCTTGCTCGGTCTTGTCACTCCTAGATTTCATCCCTCAACGGAAGAAGGCCGGTCCGACAGACCACTACCACCACTTGGATATTCTACTTTTTGTTTTTCCTAACGTAGCGTCTTCCATTCATTGCTCTTTCTCTTTGTTTCACTTTTTGGGGATTTGGCTGTACACACTTGCAGGTTTGGGTTGCGTGGGATGTTTTTTGTTCTCTCGTCATTATCACGGGGCGTTTTTTTCTTCTCTATTCTGCTTCTTTTCCCTCTTTTCCCCCTTTCTCTATTCGTTCTCGATGGGGGGCTAGGTTATGGCCGTCGCTTTTTGCTTTCCTTTTCCTTTTCCTTTTCCTTTTAAACTTTAACTTTTGGGTTGTTGAGCGGGTGTTGATTTTGTTTCCAAGTGTTTTGTTTTTTCTCCCTCCCCTCCCACTTTATATAATCCCACCATGGCTTCTACTGCACTTCTCTTCTACTTCTACTTCTCTTCTACTTCTCTTCTTCTTTACGATTCGATTCAAATGTATGATATTCAACTTTTTGGTGCTGTGTTCTAAGGGAGAAGAAAAAAAAAGGGGAAGTGGGAAGTGGGAAGGTGGGAAAGGGGAGAAAGGGTTTCAGTTGGGGGGGTTTTTGCAGCGTCTTCTTTTTTTTTCTTCATCTTTTTGTTTCGTTTTTCGTTTTTCGTTTCTCCTTTTGTTTGTTTTGTTTCTCCTTTCAAAGGCACTGGAACTGGACTGGGGCTTTGGGGTTTGGGATTGGGGCAAATGGGTCCTCGGAGTTTGATTTGATTTTTCCTTTCGCTTATGAAATATGAAGTGGGGTGGTGGAGGGGGGAGGGGATGGGAGGGGGGAGGGGGGCGGAGGGGCTGTGTTGTTGGACTTAGGATTGGGATTGGACTTGGGCTTGGGTCCGTGGGTTGCAACTTGCAAGACATAGTGGATGCTGTGGATGCTGTAGCAGGTACGGTGCTAGTATAACAAGAAGTACTGTGGCTACCTACTGTGGATATGGGGCTTTGGGGCTATGGAGCTATGGGGCTACGGGTGATAATCAAGATGGTATCATACCGGTATCGATCTTTCATCTTTTGAGTGCCGAGTTCCGGTTCTGTGATTGTATGTGTGATAGGGGGTGCCTCCTGTGTAAAAATCTTGGAAAGAAGAGGAAAGAAGAGGTGATGGCTTTTTTCTGTTTTCTTGGATCTTCAGGCGACGAAGGAGTTAAGATTGAGGTCTCAGGTGAGACATCGGCAGTATCGATCACGGCTTATCACTCAAGAGTCAGCGGAAACACACTTGGCCTGGTGCTTCTTCAATCCCGTACCTGCATTTGTTTGGTAGGCAGCGGCGCCACATCGTACTGGCCGGTAGCGGGGTCTCAACCCCCGGCCGGCCACAAGTGGGCAGGAAAGGAGTGCGACGGTTCGCCACAGTCTACTAATAGTAGATAGGCTGCACGCGAAATAAACTGAAGATCTCTTTCTCTCCCCCGGTGATCTCTCTCTCTCCCGTATGTACAATACATAGGTAAATACGATACTCTATTGCCGGTACATATTAGGGCCCGTTTGGATGGCCTCAGTTTTAGCGAAAACTGTCAGTTTTTCGAGAAACTGAGCAAATGGAACTGAGACCCCGTTTGGATGGCACAAAAACTTTTTAAAAAAAACCGAAACTGTGGGGCTCCAGCGACGAAACTGGTACTGACTTCGAGAGGTCATTTCTTTGCCGCCACTCAGTATCGCATTTTAACTTCAACCATGGACTCCCTTTACGGGGAAGAGAAAAAAGCGGGGCCACAATGTGTCCACTATTAGAGTTCTGGTGAAGCCTATTATTCATACTTATGGCTGAGTAATCTGAGAACTGCCAAACACTCTGTTCACCTCACAGTTTTCCGGAAACTGAAACTGGACAGAATTCGGTGTCTCGTCGGGGAACTGAATTTCGCTCTAAAACTGGAACTGAAAACTGAGGCCATCCAAACGGGCCCTTAGACTCGTCGGGGGCGGCAGCAGCAAAGGTAGCAGAAGTGCCAATTCCGGACACTCGGAGCGCCGGACATGATGCATAGGTGGTTATGTATGCTCGCAATTTCACTACCGCCGGGTGTCGTGATGAGGGCGCCTATAGGTATGTACCGACTGGTACCGACCAAGTAGAGTAGATACTCTTATTTGTAGGTAGGGGTACGGATAGGCGAGCGCTTCCAGACTTCAGTCTTTGGGTATGCATGTATGAATCTATATGTCCGCACTTATGTCTATATGTATGGGTGTATGGATGTACACGCACCGAAGCACCGGTTCCTCCGGGCAGTCCGCCGGACACTCCTCCAGGCGCTCCTGGGCGCGTTCCGGGGTGCTTCACCGCTCCCTTGATGCGACGGATCGACCCCCTCCCCCCGTATTGCAAGCCGGAATCTGGCTACTCTATCATACTTGGTACCGACAGGCAACAGCGAGATGAATTGCCCCCCCCGCCCCTCCCTCCCCCCCTTGCTTCAAATTTCCCTACGTCCACCTACATATATCGTGGTGCAGGTGCCATTTCTGTCGTCGCTACTCATGTACTTTAGGCGGTAGCGAGATCAAGCCATGGGCTCGCTTCGCGTCGGTGTGTATGTATGTATGTAACTACGATCGCGATGTACGGTCGTCAATCGTTAATCGGCATTTCGCTTCGGTGGTGTGTAAGGAGTACTGCCGTGGCGGGGCGGGACTTGCTTGACGGGACGTGACTACATAACTACAGAGCCGCATCACCAACCCTCACGTGCCGCAGCATGTCCCCACACTCGCATCAAACCGTAAATAATTCTAGGTATCTACATACATAAAGCACTTGCTTAAGTACCTACTTTAAACTTGCGTCGCCGCCGCCCCCGACGGGCCGACCCTCTGTCCATAGCCGGTAAAGACGGCCTCCTTCGAGAGCACAGTGACCTCCTTAAAGAACCTCCTCCACTGGAGGGGGTCGCCCACATTTTTCGAGAACGTGACCTGCAGCATATCCTGCGCCAGGCGCTCGACGATGATATCGCCGCGCAGCGGACATCGGCGGCGGTCCTCGGTTCGCACCGAGATCCACGTCTCGGTGTTGGCGTCTTCGTAGTCAGAAGGCTTGAACGGCGCGATGATGATCCCCATGCGGTGTAAAGCGCTGGACAGGATCGGCAGGATCTGCCGGAACGAGTACGACGAGAAGAAGCGCGTCAGCCGCTGGGCCGGGCAGATGTCGCGGAAGTGCCGCGCGTTTTGTGTCTGTCACGGGATGCATCAGGAACTAGTTCTGTTGGATACATACTTGGGGCGGTGCGTACCAAAGACACGGATAGATGTGGTTGCAGCGCGAACTGGCTCATGGTGGGGTCTTCAGCAAGACTCGCCCATAGAGTCTGGGAGTCGAATTCCTGCTGTGCCTCTGTGGGCTGCGAGGCAAACATGTGGTGGTGTGGCCTCTCCCATGCAAAATCTACATCTGTCGCTGGCGCACGGGCCGATATGACGGGCTGTGTGGACGCCATACGACTGGAATCATCGAGCTGATGCCGTGAGCGGCTGGAGAACGGCGCCTTGGTGAAATCCACGTGAAGGTTCTCCATCATCTTTGTGGCTAGGTTGACCCCGTTTATGCAAAGACCGTTGCGGGCCAGGTGAGGATTGGGTCTGCGGAGTGGTTAGTCGCCCGCCTACTCATCCAGCGAGGGCAGTGGGGGGGAGTACTTCGTGAACCAGGGATGGTCCCTCACCCGCTCCAACGTAAACCGTGCCTTGGGGTCAAGAGCCATCATGCCTCGTAGTAATGCTGTGCACCCATCAGCCACGCACCGCCTTCGACACCCAGAAGCGATCACGAACACAGAGCCTCAAGAGGAACCGAAGGCCACGGGTCGTAGGTCGGCCTTCCGCCGGACTCGAGGTACATCTCGAACTCCGCCGACCGACTCGTTGGTTCGTCCCATGGGGTATTCCCCACCAGCAACGTGAACAGGACCACTCCGCACGACCAAATGTCGACCGAGTCGGCGCGGTACTTGCCTGCGATCACCTAGAGGACGTTGGTGCCGGTTCGGGAGAGAGAGAGGTAGGAGGGTTACAAACTTCCGGTGCAACATACGGTGGCGACCCGCACACCGACGTCGACTCGCGGTATTTACCCTGATATTGAAACAGCACCGCCAGCCCAAAGTCCGCAATCTTCAGATTCCCATTACCGTCGAGCAATATATTCTCCGGCTTCAAATCTATTACCGTCAGCCCCGTCACCTCACCCCATCCCCCCTCCCCGTCCCCGTCCCCGTCCCACTCCCCCGTCCCGGTACATACCCCTATGCGCGACCCCCTTCCCATGCATCCACGCGAGTCCCGAGACTAGCTGGGCAAAATAAAACTGCGCCACATCCTCACTGACGCCGACGTCCGCCTCAATCTTATCGAAGAGGTCTCCGCCATCCGCAAACTCCATAGCGATCCAGAGCCAGACATCATCCTCGCCCCAGCCGTAAAAGGCGATGAGGTTGCCGTGGCCGGAAGAGAGCTTGTGCAGCTCGACCTCGAACTTCAGCTGGCGCGGCGAGATCCGTCCCCGCTCTAGAGCGTGCTGCTTGTGGATGAACTTGGCCGCGAATACGCCCTGTGCTGAACGCCCTTTTTTCACGCTGGCTGGCAAGGTGGGTTAGAGTGGATGAATGGACTGCGAGGGAGGGGAGCGGAGAGACGCACGCGGCATACGCCCCCCGCCCTATCGTCTTCGAGATTATCTCGAACGGTAGCGATTCGGGCAGCGGGTCGAGTTGCGTGAGCGTCGTCTGCTCTCCTCCTCCGACTGTTAGTTATCTGAAGCATTTCGTTTGCCGTGCGTGCGTGCGTGGCTAACGTACCATAGGTATCGTGTGCGTGTCGTGGAGCTCGAGAGTATCAGAGAGACAATAGGATGTGTGGTGGGATGGCAATGGCAATGGCAATGATAGCCGCAATGGTAGGTAACCGCAATGGTGAATAGCAAAGGTGAATAGCAGTAGTTAGAGTAGCTACAGCTGTGGTATGGAATCGGCTTGGCTAGTGGATGATAGTTACCGCTAACTACCGTAGGACAGAAAAGTAGTCATCGCGGGGCCCGGGCTGTGATGTCACAGCACAGCACATATCTACCTCTCCAACTTCCCTCCACGTCCATTTCACCTCGAGTCCGCGTCGAGTGCGAATGTCTCAGGGTTAGCAGCGATTCAGCTCTAGAACGGCAGTGTTTCCCCCGCACCCTGTTTCCCATGCACCCTGGCGTACCGCAACAGAAGTGCCGACCGAATCCCCTCGCGTTGTGTCCCGTCGCAGGGCAAGGCCTGGCCGAATCACAGACACTCACTCATCCACACCACCCCCGGCCAGTTACATCACCGGATTCCAGACTCCAGTGCAGTCCAGTCCAGACCGGCCAGCTCGAGATCAGCATGACCACGACCCGTCCGTTTCCTTTCTTTTGCCCATTCCATCAAACGCACAGTACAGCACAACACAACACAGCAGAACACGCAGCAGCAGCCAGAATACCAGCCCAGCCCAGCGCTACGAAACGCCCTTCAACTAGATAGGTGCCGTATCTGCAAAGTGATAGGTAGTCATACCCACCTGTTTCTCGGGGTGAAAAAGTATGTATGATATGTACACATGAAATTCTTCAATCTGCAAAAGAAAATATAAAACCCCCCCTCTCGCCCTCGCCCCGACCGAACCCCGCACGAAAGCCTGGGGGAAAAAAATCTGAACGCCAATGAATGAACAACGTAGCAAAAGAAAATACACGGATCACAACTATATGGCTAATGGATGATGGGTAATGGGGAGAAAGAAAGAAAAAGAAAAAGAAAAGTCAACCATTATCCGTTGGGAATATGTTCAAGCCGCACTGCCACCTCCGCCCATACCACCGCCACCGGGCATGACGCTTCCGGAGGAAGATGGAACCGTGACGGAATTCCGCTTTTTCTCTTTCCTATAGACATATCAGTCGAGGCCCTCCACATTATGGGAGGTAATTCGTGGTAGAAGAACATACTTTGCCCATCGCAAACCACAAGCATTGCACAGGGTTTTGGGACCCTTGGGACCCTTGCGCCATTCCGGACTGTCCAGCGTGCCACAATCCGTACACACGTACTCGTCCGCAATCTTCTGTTTCTTTTTCTTGTCCGAGCTCTGGCGGTTCTCCTTGTCGACGGGGATGGGAACACCAACGTCTCCGCGAATCAAGGCCGGTGATGTGTCACCAGTACTGATGCCCTTGGAGCGTTCACCTTCCCGATACCGAAGCCCGGTCAGGATCTCAATAGTATCCATATGGGAGGGGCCGTCGATTCGTGCCATCTTGTCTCGGATGCCCTCGATGTGGATGGAATTGGAGGCCTCCATTCGATCCAAGTTCTGCCGAGTCAGCGCGCTCACGGGTTTGGCGGGAGGCGGCATCGAATCCGCACCCACGCCTGATTGTGATGGGGTCTGGCCCTGTGACATGGAGAGTGGCGTCTCGCCGCCGAAAGACGAGCCGACACTCGTACTGGTCATGCCGTCACTCCTTAAGGAATTCTGCTGTCGCTGCCGCTGTTGCTGCTGGTCCTCGTATTCTTCCTGGCGCAATTCCACGATTCTCTTCATCAATCTCTCGTTCTCAATCTTGTGTTCCAGGAAGGAATCCAACAGCGCCGCGTTCCGCGTGGGATACGGGCGCGCCATCATGAAGAAACCCTTGCATATCGACTGCAGCGACGACGGGTCGATTTGCGGCGCATCAGCAATGTGTGGGTGGCCGTGGGCTTCAAATATCGCATAGGTATCATCGCTTTTCCGGAACCGATAGAACAATCGGAGGGGACGCCCGGTAGCTATCGATTCGTTGAAATCCCGCACAAATCTACAATAGTAACACGCATAAGCCTCACAACTCCGGAGTGAAAAAAAAAGAGAAAAGACATACAGTGCCGAGTCGTCTTCATGGATGAAGTCCGTAATGAACTTTCCGATCAGCTCCTCGACGCCAAACCCGGTCAAGGCTCTACTCGACGGTGAGGCGTAGACCACTTTCCCGGTGGGTGTGAGCACATGCAGGAAGTCCTGCAGCTCCTCGAGTATGCGCTGCGACCAATTCCGCCTCTTCGTGAATTCCGTCAAAGTACTTCCGCCACCAAGGCCTCCGAACTCGTTCGGCATGGCGGTGAGTGGTGACGTCGTGGCGAGCGCGGCGAACTGATCGCCAACGGACGACAACTGGGGGTCGAGGGAACCCATGCCGCCGTTTTCCGTCGCCGCCGCAGCAGCGGCAGCGGCGGCCGCAGCCATCCCCATCGAGATCATGAGAGGTTGGTCCATCATTGTCGAGTCGCTGCCGTTCTGCTGTTGGTCCTGCTGTTGATGTTGCTGTTGCTGTTGCTGTTGCTGGTTCGCGGCGGCGGCGGCGGCCGAAAACGACATGGAAAGGCCGCGGGCGCCATTCCCTAGCGGCATTCCCGAAAGTCCTTGCTGCTGCTGCTGTTGCTGGGCCGTGCGGGTATAGCCCTGCGAGGCCGGGGCGGAAGAGTCGGCCGTGTTCATTATATCGTTATCGTTGCTGCTGCTTCTCTGAATTCGAACCGATGGAAGACGAAGTTATGACGCGCCACCGGCATGGACAGGCGGACCGATGAAGATATCTCGTCGAGCCGACGTATGTGGTTGCGGGTGTGGTTGAGAGGGGGAGTGGGGGGGAGGGCGGGGTGGTGGGGTGAGATAGGTGGTGGTAGTAGTCGCGGGAGGTGACGAGGGAGAGACTCGAGTGTGGTGGTGGTGGTGGTGGTGGCTGCTTGTGTAAGGTACTACAATCAGTCAGGTCAGTTGAGGTCCAGTCGTGTTTTGCCCACTTGGAGCAAAGAAGAACGAGAATCCACCAGGACCATTATCACTAGACACTCGACGGAGCCTACTAGTAGGAAGAGGTATGGATAACTCCGGAGTCGGCATGACTGCGGGGGGGCATGGACTGACAGGGGCTCAGATCTGCTCTAGATGCCATTCGAGCATTCTTCTTCGTCTTCTTCTCGATTCTCTTCCTTTTCCTCACCCCACTCCACTCCGTTCAATCGTTATCGTACCTCCCAGCCCCCAGCTATCACAAATAACAATCTCCTTCATTTCCCCATTTCCCCATATGTGTGTGTGTGGGTGACGGACGAACAGGCAGGCAGGCAGACAGAGAGACAGCTCTGATGTGGTCAAATAGATTGCCCCCGAATCGAAACGCAGGGAGGAACTTCCCACATCCCCCAGTGCTCACTCTCTCCCGACTGTTACTCGTTTTGCCGAAGGACAATGTTTCTCCGGCGGTGGCTGTCTCACGTGGAAGCGACGTGAATGGCTTATAACTACATACACCACGCCCCGGGTTTGTCGTCCGCCCCTAGTTAGACAGCCCTAACAGCAAACGCCGCAGAGCGGACAGAGCAGAAAATGAGTAACAGCATGTAGCATCCCCGCACGCCATGACGCCTCTCCCCTCCCTCCCTCGCTCCCTCCCTCCCACCCACTTGCACTCCTCCCAGATCCAGCCAAGATCCCCTTGCATACGCACGCACGACGGCGGACGGCGGGCGGGTGGGCGGTCGATGTCGATATCGATAAATAACCGTCCGTCAGATCATGATCACAGCGCAGACCGGGGCTAGAGTATCTAGCATAGCATATCCTCTAGTTGCTCCAGTTAGCACGGCGGAGCTACCGTACTCTACTCGTACATGCTAGTGGTTGGCTATGTAGAGTAACGAGCTGCCGCGGATCCGGATGCGATGCCCCTCCACTCAGCTCGAGCTCCCGCCAGCGGCCGGCATACCTATGACATCGTACCGGTATCTGCTTACTAACCCGCTTTGCTTTGCTGCTCGACGGCCCGACGTGAGGCGATAAGAACTTTCCGATAGAATATGTGGGACCCTGAAGCATTTGGATTGTAGATACCGGCACAGTACCGCGCGCTTTCTTCATTCTTCATGGCTTGAATGTGCTTCTAATCGTGATCACTCGACAATTCCCTCATAGCCTAGGTAATCCAACGAACGAACGAAGAGTCGAGTAAGAAGTACCTATCAGTGATAGGCAATAATCCCCCCTCCCCCGCTGCTCAGGTCGGTAGGCACCTACCACCGCCGTGAACGGAGTGCATTCATCCATCCATCCACACGGTGGAACGAGAGAAGGAATGACAGACAAACATTAAACTTGCCCCCCGGACCAGGAGACAGAGACCCAACAAACAATTGTAAAGAGTGAACCTATGAACGCCACCACGCCACCACGCTGCCTACACGCTGTAAAAAAATGACCTCCAAAGAAAACAGACCGATCCTTCACTTGATCTAAATGATCTAAAGTAGAGCACTATGGGGGGCTACATAGAGTACATCATCTAGGGAACCCTGATCACGATCACGATCACGAGTCGGCAAGATGCTGCGATACGATAGATAGATAGATATTAGCCGGCTGTCCACGCTTCGTCCGGAAGGAGGGAGGGAGGGAGGGCAGATAACTTACCGACCACTCGGGAATCTCACGCAACTTTGAGCACATGAATTTCTCCAGCTTGTTGGCGTTCTTCCAGTACGAAGTCGTTTCATTATTGTACTTGCGACAGTTGGTGAAGATCAGCTTCGCATCTTTGACGAAGTCGTCGGGTGTAGCGTAAGCATCTTCTTCCAGACGCTTTTCCATGGTCTCCAGATCCATCGGCTCGGTTATGACGTTATAATAATCGGGCACTTCTTCGGCGTTGACTGGTTTCTGGAATGGCCAGGCAGAATGGTGGTTCTGCATCTCGGAAAGAAGGTGGAGCAGTTGCGCGTAGTGGGGTCCGTGCTTGGGCTGTCGAGCGAGTTCGTCCATCTCTGGTGACCAGCCTGCATCCCCTACACACACACAGGTCAGCACTGAAAGACGTTCCCCCCCAGACGATCGATGAAACCTACGTATCGCGGGGATCGAGGATGGATCGATCTTGCACGGGCCGTTCCTGAACTCCTTTGGCGGCGCATGCACGATATGGGACTTGGAGTTGGCCCGGATCATCGCGTTGACGGCCTCCTTCTGCTTAGCCAGCATGCGACTGACCTCCAGATACCTGATCCTCGGGATCATAGAACACTGCATGATCGTACCACCCTCGTAATCCTTGATGTACCCCATCCACTTTTTCTTTTCCAGCGTAATCTCCTTGGTGAAGCCTTGTTTCTTGAAGTAGCCGATAGCATAATTGTCGGCGTAGGTCAGAAAGTGCATCACGTCGGAGGTCGCCTTCACATAGTCCTTGAAGTCTGTCAGCTCCGTCCGTCCCACGTCGCCCCCACCACTACACACCGGCACAATATCGCTCTACTCTCAAACAGGGTGCCAACCTTGAGATGTGACATGAGATGCGCACCGTAGCCCTTAACCTGCTGGTCCGCCGATATGGCACAGAAGACAATTTCCGCAAACTGCCGTCCCTTAAACGGCCGGTACGTAATGCCTCCGACGACCTCGAGCGGCTTCTTGACGATGGCCATGGACAAGTGGGTGCGATCGTAGACTAGGCGCGCAATATAATCCCGCGGCATCTTGGGCAGCTGTTTCTGGAATATGTTTCTGAGACCTGACAGGATGATTGTGCTCTCCCGCGTGCCGTCGTTGTTCACAACGCGAAACTCTATTTCGCCGTTGCGCTCTTCGATCACCGCTTTGGCTGTGTACCACCGGATTGTCAGTACTGCGAAATAGCTAGCTAACTTCGAAGGAGTCGTGGGAGCAGCAATCGTACATTCTCTGAATAGTGCTTTCGTCTTCACCGGACCGTCTGGAGCCTCCGAGACCCTCGTACCTTCGCTCTTGACGCGCTTCGCCTCTGATCCAGCGTTTTCGTCCAGCTTGCGCTTCGCATCGTGCTCTGCAACACATTATGTGAGTATGTGAATGCGCCATAGTCCATGGCGGAGGGAAGGCCCAACTCTCGTGCTGCTTGACGATCGGCATGATGATTGCGCCGCAGGAATGCGACGTGTAGGGAATGCGGCTAGATAGAGGTATTAAATGCGCCCGTATATGGTGTCTCACTCAAATGTCGTTGAATGATCGAACCTGTCGTTGTCGCGGAGGTTGAGGGGTCAACCCGATGCTTCGATTCCAGGTTCCAGTGTAGGCTTCGCGTGCTCACTACTAATGTACCATAGAGCGCGTTCCTGCCAAGCCCGCACCAAGCCTTAGCTCGCGGCTGGCCCAACCTAACCGAAAGTTGTTCCGTGTCCTGAAGACACGAGAGCTCTCCATTCAAGTTCACAACCCAAACCAGCCCTCGACAAACACAACCCCACAACCCACGCAACACAACAATGGCAAACATGGATTACGACTGGGACAACCTCATCCCCTTTGAGCCGCTGGTCTCGAAGAGCCAGCAGTTCCCCGCCGCTTTCATACTCATGGCTCTTGGTTCGCATTACCAGCCGGAGCTTCTCAAGTCGGGGATTTATGCTGATGACGACGCTATGGAATTGTAGGAATTTGTCTTACCGGCTTCTTCTCGCTGAGTATGTCTGAAATATCACCACTATTTACAGAGACTACCTCTAACCCTCGTTCGCAGACAAATCCATCGCTATCGCTCCGCTACTTGCCATTCCGGCGTCGCTATCGTTCGCGTATGAACCCCACTGCCGGTTGCTACTACTACTACCACCGGACATCCGCTGACCGAGACATAGCTTCGGTGCAGTGTTTCTGATTTGTGCGGTCGGCGTATACGTATAGACAAGCTGTGGAGAAGTGGAAGACAGAGGGATAATGGAGTAACCGGTTGCTTCATCTCGTATTTGTTTCGTTTCGTTGGTCGTTTGTGTCTTATCGTACTGTGTCGTTGGGTGGAAAGAGGGAGATTGAATTGATACCACGTCATCCATCCCATACGCGTCTTCCCAGTTCCCAACCCAAGCTGTACAAACTACCACCGCAATGTCCCACCGCAACAATGTCCACCCAACCCACCCAACGTACCCAACGTACTCAACGTACTCAACCCACACAAGCAATCCCCACCCAAGCTACACCAGCAACCCCCTCCATATCGCCAATCTTCAGCGCAACAACCACTTCCGCCCGCCAACTCTTCAACCTGCTAAAATGCTGCGGCTTCCAACCGCGAGCACAGATGGAGCTTCTCGCGGAAGGGATCAAAGTAACCGTTGAAGACAGCCGTGTAATGCAAGGTCTGGACCTGCCCCCTCTCCTCTGCCCCCCCTTCGCCCTCCCTAACACCCACCACCCAGGGCACATCCTCGTCGACCGCCACCTCTTCAGCAGCTACACCTTCACGCCGCCGCCCAGCGAAACCACCACCTCCACCACCAGCAGCAGCACGAGCACAGTAAGCTTCGGCATCTCGTTCGCCTCGCTGCTAGAGTGCCTACAGATCTTTGGCGCCGAGCGCGAGCGCGAGAAGTGGCACTCTGCCGGCGCCGCGGCGCCGCACAGCTCCGCGTTCGATCAGCAGGTGCTTAGGATCTCGGGGACCTGCAGGATCTCGTACCGTGGGGTTGGGTTTCCGCTCGCTTTGATGTGCGTCCCCCTTTGCCCCTCCCCCCCCCCCCCCCCCCCCCCCCCCCCCCACGCCCCGCCCGGCCCCGACTGACGGCTGGATTTATGGAAAAGGCTGGAAGAAAACGGCACCATAACGACATGCACGCTATCGACATACCCGGCGGAGGAGATCGCGGACATACCGCTATCTTTATCCTCGCTCGCGCTCAAGGTGATAATGAAAGCGAGCTGGCTTCAGGACGCGATCCAGGAGCTAGAGGGGTCGATGCCGGAGCGGCTAACGCTTGCTGCGAGCCCGCAGCGCAGCGGGCTGAGTCTCAGTGCCGCTGGAGCTATGGGAAGTACCGAGGTCGAGTTCTTGAATGATAAGGCCCTGCTGCAGAGCTATAGGTGCGATAAGGAGGTGCTGAATACGTAAGTGCTGATGGTGGCTGGTGGTTGGTGGTGGGTGGTGGGAAGTGGGAAGGGGAGTTTGCTGAGATGTGTGTGGACAGGTACAAGTTTGCGCTGATCAAGAATGCGGCGAGGGCGATGGCTATTGCGTCGAAGGTTAGTATCAGAGGAGATGGGCACGGCGTGCTCAGTATGCAGTTCATGATCGAGCAGGAGGGCGGGGTGGCTAGTTTTGTGGACTTCCGCTTCCTGCCGTACGTTGGCGACGACGAGGCGTACGAGGAAGACTGAAGGGTCATTTCGCAACATACACCATATTCTTCATCTAGCTAGTGTACAAGATACCCGAACATGTAATCACCCCCTGGCCTAGATCACCTCCGCAATAGACTGCATCCCAATGATCGACTTTTGCCTGTCATTCCTGGAGATGCGGTAGTAGTTGTCGCAGTAGTCCTGACAGTTCATCTCCTTGAGGAACTCCTCGTCGTGGGTGATGACGATGAGCTGGAAGTTGGCCTGCGACTGTCTCGTCCTGATGATCTCGTGCAAACTCCGTGCCAGAGATCGGATGTTGTCTTGGTCCAGATTGGTTGTAGGCTCATCCAACGCAATCAGCTGTTATAGATAGGCATCAATCAGCAATTGAAAACTCTTCTCATCGACAGCAGCAGGTAGTACTCACACCGCAGTTGATACCGAAACACTCGGCCAGTGCTAGACGGATGATGATACTGGCAAGAACCTTCTGTCCAGCACTGCATCGCCCACGCATGTCCATTTCGGCATCCTGCTTGACCATGCAAACCTAACCAACCAACCAGTCAGTCGATCCGGTCCAAGTGGCCTGGGCATATTTTAGACAACTTACACGGTAATTGTAGGAGCGATTTCCCTTTCCAGTTTCGTTGTCGGATCTGATAAGGATGGTGTCGACATCCGTTCCCCGATATGTCGATTTCCACAGCTCCTCGATGATGCGATTGATCTCCTCCATCTTCAGACTGTGGTACTTCATGACGGCCCTTGGGTGGGTATGGTCAGCCGAAAGTGTCTTGCTCAAGTCGGAAGTATTGTAAACCTACTTGTCCAGAGCAGCACCATACTTGCCCAGATCGTTGGTGGCGCTGGTCGTGGTGTGTACCTTGGCCAGAGTCTCTTTGTACTTGTCTTTGGCATCTGCGTAATCCGTCGCGTAGTCCGCCACGAGCTGCTCTAGCTGCTTATCCTTGGACCTCATTTCTCCCACGAGTGCGGATCTCTGCACCACCGTCAACCGTGTAATGGAATGGAATGGGGGTGGAAGTTACGAACCTCGCTGGAAAGCCTCGAGTGCTTATTAGCAAGGATTTCCGCATTTTTCTCGAAGCGCTCTCTCTGCTCATCGGCACGCTGGGCTTCCAGCTCCTTGATCTCCTGCTTGATCTTCTTGAGCTCGACCTTGTTCTTGCGGTACCGTAGATTCTCGATGATGGTGCGCTGGGTAGTTTGCGTGGTCACGGCCTCCTTCTCGAGTTTCGCCACCAGATCGCTAGCCTCCGTGACATCGTTACCCAGCTGCTCGACATCCGCTCTCAGACGTTGCACCTGTCCTCTGCATTCCTCCAGGCTATGCAGCCCTCCCTCGTTGATGTAATTGGAGATTCCTCGCTGGATGCTCTTCAGATTCATGTCGCTCTGGGAAAGCTTGGCAGCATCTCGCTGCTGCTTCGTCTCCTTCTCAGAGCACTCGCGGCTGATTTCCTTCAGTCGCGCCTCCGCGGCTAGGATATCGGGCGCAAGATTCTCCAGTTCGCGATCAACCTCGTCGATCACGGCATTCTGTCGACTTCTGGCCACAGAACACTCTTCGATCCGTTCGGTGAGCTGGCGCACATCAACGAGCTGCAGGGTGATGTCGTTCAGTCTCTTGCGCGCATCGTTGACCTGGCGCTCCAAGCCAATGATGCTTTGCCGCCGGTTCTCTCGGTCCTGTTCCATACTCCTAATAAGGTTCTTGACACGAGTGATTTTCTCCTTGAGCCGCTTGCTGTCTTCTTGCAGCTCTTCGATCGTACGGGTTCCGCCCATGTCCGTCATGGAAAACGTCATGCTGTTGATTTCTTCCTCCGTGCCATCGATCTCTCGTTTGTACCTGGCCAACTCGGCCACCGGAGCTCTCAGGGACTGAACTTCGGAACTAGCATTGGACTTGTCATCGACGATTTTGTCGAGCTGCGGAACAAATGTCAGTTTGATGGCATCGCTCGGGGAAGAATTGTTCTCACCTTGGTGTACTGCTCGAGAAGCTTTTCCTTTGCCTTCTGGTACTGTTTGATCTCTGTCTCCAGCGCCGGAATCTCAATCGACGTGAGTCGCACGTACGAGTCGTAGCTTGGCCCCGCCTCGCGAAGGATTTCGATATCCTCTTCATATCCCCGGATAACCTCCTCATCAGCATTTTTCAATACCTTTTCGATCTGCTTCCTGAACTATATTGCGAACGGGCATAAGTGAATTGAACGGGAGCGTGAAATAGCGGGTGATTAGGTACCTCAGTGAGCCGAGAAGATTTCTCGTCCTCATCTTTGAAGCCACGTCTGCAGAGAACGCATGCGTTCTTCCTCTCTGCCACTGCTACCGCGGAGTTGAGATAATTGAGCATGAATTCTCCTTGTTTGAAGGCCCTGAAGAAGTTTAGTTGATGTCACTTGGGGAAATGAGGAGTACTGACGCTCGCTGCGCCTCGAGATCTTTCAAGGCATCTGGATAGTCGTTTACATTGTTCGTAGTGCCGTCTTCTAGTTCCCAGGATTGCACAACCGTCGCTTCGCATTCTGTGGCAGCGCATCAGCAATCCGTCCTATCAAGAGATATCCACAATGATTTACTAGAAGCCTCATCTTGCTTCCGCTTCAACGAATCCTTTGCAATGCCGAGCTTTGTGTCGATTTGGGAAACCTGTTGATTCACGATCTCACGTTGCCGTATGGCTTCTTGCTGTTCTTCCTCACGTTGACTGCCAGACGTGAGTCGGCGAGCTCATAATGGGGGTAAAGATTATTCACTGACTCTAGAACTGCTTGTAGATCTTTCTCGACTGTTGATTCGGACCACCGCTTGCCAACGACACTATCGATCTTGTCCTTTTTCGCAGCGATTCTAGCTATATCAGTCTAGTTCCTCAGACTACCAATGATGTGTTTACACTTACAACGAAGCATAGACCTTTTGTCTGGTCTCCAGGTTCTGCTTGAGAATAGCCAACTGGGCTCTGAGCTCTGCGTTCTTCGATCCCTGGAAGAGTTCCTCCGTTACAGAACCTTCATCCTCTTCCAGTTTCCGTAGTTTAGCGTTCTCGACTTGAAGTGAGCCGTCGTTGTCGGCCACCTGAGCTTTGGCTCTGGCTTCCTCAAGACGGATTTCCCTCTTGCTGAGATCATCCTTGGCCATCGCCTCCTGTCCAGAGTCCACATTCAAGGAATCCAGATTCCGTTTGTATTCAGCGACCTTCCTGTCCAGGTTCTTGATCTCCGATTGTGCGTATTCCTTCTTCTGCCGCAGCGAACTTCTCTTATTCACCAGACCATTGAGGTCGTTTTGGGCCCACGATATGCTACTCTCGTTTTCGCGCTTGATCCTCTCCAAAACCAAGCCCTGATCTCGCGACATGCGAGTGATCTTAGCCATGAACTCCTGAATCTGCTCATCGTCCAATTCTCCACTGAAGCCTTTCATATCGTGCTTGACACTGATCTCTCTGACCAGGTCCTCGCGCTCTCTCAGCTGGCCCTCGTACTGCTTCCTCTGGGCCTGGATGCGGCCCTCCTCGGTAAGCTTATTTCCTAACTGTGTTCTAACCTGCTCCAGCTTGACCTTCAACTGGTTGTACGCAGCCTTCTTGTTCTGCACGTGCTGTTCGTACGATCTCAATCTCCGCTCGTAGTCGTCGTGCATTTCGTGTAGCTTCTCGTCAGAGTCCTCCAGAAAGTCCATGTGCTGCGACAGCTCTTGGAGGTGCGACTGCTTGGAAACTGCTTCCTGCCGCTTCATTTCTAGCGTGGCAAGCGTGTGCTCGAAGCCTCGAGCTGTCTCGAATAGTGTCTTTTGCTCTTGTGCGATCGATTGCAGCTCGGTACTCAGATTCGTGACCCTTACCCGCATCGTTTCGATCTCTTCGTGGAGTTCGTCCGATCGACGTTTGGCCTGCACATAGCCTCGTCAGAACAGTCCAATCAACACTCAGCGGTTGTAAAAAATGAAAAAAACACCTTTTCCGCTCGATCTTTGTCAGTACGATACTGCTCCAGCAGAATCCTGAGCTTGCCTAGCTCCTCGTTCTGCTTTTTGCGCAACACCTTGATATTGTCGATCGCCTTGGTATATTTCAGCGCCTCGAATATCTCATCGAAGCGCTTCTTCAGCGCCGCAGGTTCGCTCAGCGGCCACAGACTCTCGTCCTGATGGCAAAAGATGACATAGTCCAGCACGGCCTTAGACACGCCTAGATACTGCGGCATGACCATATCGAGCTCGGCACATCTCGACGAAATAGTCGATCGCTCGCCGTTTCTCACCACCAGCAACTGCCCCTCCAGCGTCTTCTGCTGTCTTGTGGTCTTTTTAACCGTCAGCTGCAGCGAGCGCGTACACACCATCTTCGCGCCGTTGATGGACTTGAACGACAGCTTGACCTGTGCGAGCACTTCCTTCTCGCCGCACATCTTCGGGTCGTGGATGAACGCGCCGCCCTTGCTGTTCGGCGGAAGGTCCCCCGTCGTCGCGTACTTGAGGCATTCGATGATCGTTGTCTTCCCAGACCCGTTGTAGCCCACGATTAGTGTCAACGGCGTGTGGAACTGGATGCTCTCCGTGCGCGTGTTGTCGAAGGACCGGACACTACATAGGGAGTGGTTTTCAGCAGATATTTCATCGCCGTCCGGATGGTCTAATATATACCCAAGGATGGCGAGCTTGTCGATGCGCGCTGCAATCGTCCGTAACTATCAGCTACCTATTGCTATTGCGTCCCATACCGGCCCAAAAGCGAACTTACACCTGTTCGATCTATTAGCATCGTTCCCATTCTGTTACTGTATGGGGGGCAGCAAACATCGTGGCTGAAGTAGACAGATTACGGTGTGGTGATGATTCGTGAGTGGCGGGCGTGTATAGTATGTAGAGCCGTGACAGTCCGGCGCGTTGTTCGGGTGACGTGAAGCTCACCTAGCGTTGTCCACTAACGTTGCCATCACGTGCGGGGCAACCGCGGCCCCTTGGCATCCACCAGCGACCACAGGCCTGATCCCTAGCCCGCAGACACGCCATGGTCCGCCGTCATCTCGACTCGGAAATATGGTCAGACGCGCAGAGTCCCGCCAAGCCTGGCAGAGAGGGTTCGGATAGACCTCACTCGAATGGGATTAACTACGACTATGTAGTGTACACGATACACAAGGCACGGTAAACCGAACAGCTACTCTAGGTCATAGGAGGTCGGTAGCTGGATGAATGATCAAGCGCGAAAAGGTATGTAAGAATAACACCGTCCTCGTTTGCGGTTACATTATACATAGCATAGACACGCCTGCTCACTCTTCCTTCAGGCCCCGAAGGCCGAAGGCTGAAGGCTGAAACGCCAGACACCTGCCCGATATAAAGATCGGCTCGATCCTTGAATGTCTGATCGATGTCCATCGCGTCTATCAAAGGAAGGCACGCTGGAACAAAGCGAACTCATGGTCCTTCGTATGTACCTATCAATGTCATCTGGAACCACTTAAAGGGTTGCACAACAATGGGCTTTACATACGTCTTCTTTGGCGGAGTTTGAAGGAGTTTGAAGAAGCCTGGTGTTGGTACCTGGGTCGACGGATACTGAGACACATCCAGCGGGCTCGGCATTGAGACAGTTCTATGACAGTAGCCAGAGCACCGACTCTTGGCGGGATAGGGAACAGGCGTCGGTACATACATGAGGGATGGTTCCATTTCCCGCACGCAACGCACGCAATCCCGGCCGTCCGTCAGTGTCAGTGACGACTTCCACACCTAAATGCTCCACGTTTATCTTCTATTTCGGAAACTTGTTTGAAATTGGCGGGGTTGCGGATAAGACATCGTGATTCGTTTCTGGCCAAGTCCGATCGAAACAGACCATGAACGGTGTCCGAGATCATGCAATCTACTGGGTATAGGTATACGGCGGCGGCAGGGACTACCTACGGAGAGGTCGTTTGAGAACAACAGACCGAGCTCCGAGCTCCGAGAGCGCCCGGAGAAGAGAAGTGTCTGTCTGCTGTTTCGCATCTTCGCAGCTTTCGGGAAGAAGCGGAAGATCTTTGAAGGCGGCCGTGTATAGCACTGCATCCAGAGCCAATGGGGACGGACATACTCTTCACATGAGTGATAACATCTTGCATCAAACGACGGAAGCCACCGCGTTGTCCTAGGTACTATACATAGGCGCCGATACCTATATCTTGCGGCGCATCCTCGTCTGTGCCGTATCGGCGTCTATTTCTGTTCCTCTTGCATCCGTGGACCGCGAGAGGAAGTTTGTCGAGTTTACCGTACTAGTCCACGAAACTGTTTCATCCACTCTCGATTGCATCCCACGATCCATCGCCAAACACCGGCTCCTAGTGTGGGGGTGGGGGGCATTATTGCGCCGTCGTTCGTAGGCGATAATGGTGGTGGTGGTGGTGGTGGTACTGGTGGTGGGCTGCGGGGTTCGCATGCACGAAAGATAGGCTAAAAGCAGGCAAGCAAACCCGAGGAAACGAAGAGGGCATCTGCTGTGTCTACATCTGGGTAGGAAGTGTGTAGCATAGTGCACAAATGGGTACGAAACGGACGGCGAGCGACCGCATGTTTCTTACTCTCAAGGGGAGATTCGGAAGTGAGAGGAAACTCCGGTATGTAACTTACTTGGATGCTCCAGAAGAGACGAGTGCCGGCCGACAGGAGTACGAGTACATTGGGTACTATATACGAACATGTAGGTACGACGCCCTTCGGGGTGTGGGTGCGACTCGAGAAAGAGACAGAGAGAAAAAGAGGGTGCTTGCTTCAGCATCGAGCCGGATGGGTGCATGGAGATGTGACTTTGTCGTGCAGACGGGAACTCGCCGAAAAAGCCCTTCCATCCATGGCCATGGCCCCATCCACCCATGGCCCCATCCACCACCCACCCTTCCACCCTTCCACCACCCACCCTCCACCCATCCGTCCATCCATCCGCCAGCAAAGCCATCCAACCTCATCGAGCTACGCGCATATCCGCATTCAGCCACTAAACCGCATTTCGCGCGTGCAGCATGCAGTCGAGGAGCCGAGAAGAGAGAGAGAGAGAGAAAAGACGTTTGTTCGAGGCCATGTGTTTTTTGGAGTGGTTGTTGCGTGTATGTACGGTATGTATGTGTGATATGTGTGTGATGATATGTATGCTGTTATCATTTGTGCTTCGCTTTGCTTTCTTTGCTCTCTGCGCTCCAGCTCTGCGCCCTTGAGCAATTTACGTTCCCACCAAGAGGAGGCAGCCACATCGTCCGCCGTATGTAACTAGAGTAGGTAGACTCGAGTCTACTATGGATAGAGTGCAGTCGTCCAGCTACTTACCGTAGGTACTCTGCGGAAACAGGTCTGCTGTTTGGAATGGCGTGGAAGACTGGAAGTAAGCAGGTACATTCATACCACCACCACCACCACCACCACCACCACCACCACCACCACCACCACCACCACCCACTCCACCGAGTTGGTACGCGCAAGCAACAGCGTTCCGCGGATTGGCATTCCGTCAACTCTGACTTGGCGCCGTCCCTCGACCACCACCGGTTGAGGCTTGACTTGGCGTGTGAGGGAATGAATTGGGACAGGATGAACTTGATCCGAGGAGAACGGGGGACTCTGAGGACTCGACGACGTTGATCACCTGATGCTGGCTGAGTGATTGACCGGACCTACATATACCGTACCTACAGTAGTACTAGTACATGAAGGTGTGTGGAAGAATAGAGTACCAGACCTACTCTACCTGCCTGCCTACCGATGATATCCTGGACGATGCGTGGCGTGTGTGTGCGTCTGGAATAGTTGCGTACATACGACGACAGGCGTATGTGTGTACGGTATGTACGATGTACGATAGGTACGGTAGGATTGGGAAATGTAAAGTTAGAGTGTGGGACGTCTACTCTACGTATACACGCAAAGTCTGCACAGATCAAGATCACATTGACGTCCCCATAAAATGGTTGTCGATGCCGGAAAATAAGGTAGCTTCCAGAGGTGCTTTTGCATTCCGCCTCACGATCAACCGAGCTGGTGCGGGGGGATGGGGTCCGCGCATAACGCGTTTGCTTGGATCGCGCGAATGGAGCCGAGTGATGACGCATGTCCCCCACTCTGGGCATCGACGACTCATTCCTAGCCTTGAGAGCTCTAGAGATGTGGAAAGGTGGAAGGCCTGGCCAAGGAAGAGAGCTGGAGGAAGTCTCGCCGCGGACTTGGCTCCGTCACGCTACATCACTCAGGTCTTGGCATTACCCTATAAAATTAGCGTGATGGGTCACCGTTGGTCGGCTCTACCCAAAAAGAAGAAGAAAAAAAGCTCTACTTTTGCCCGTAATTATGTCTTAACCACACCCCGTGTGAGTAACCGCGCTCCATGTCGTTTCATATCCTATTTACCTTACCGGCCGTAGAGCTCTTTTGTCTTATTTAATCGTTGTGGTGGTGTTGATTGGTTGTCAAGTCGTCGAGGGTTTACTAGGCAGGTCATATGTACCGTGAACGCTCAAGAAGTGGGCTGGTTTTACGTGTCCGCCACCCCAAGCATCAACAGTAGCTGAATATCTGAACCTGTGGGGTGGAGAACACGCCTACTTAGGTACTTCCTTAGGTGGAGCGCAAGTGGAGTTCTCTGTGTAGAACAAGCCAGTACGGTGCGTAGGATACGCAACTTGTGCTCTGCACATAGAAGGGAAGAGTGCCTGATGTGCGTTGCTCAGTTCCGCTTGCGGAACGAGGGGAGTGGGGACCCGGGGACCGGGGGAAACGGAAGGGAATGTAAGGATGTAGTGTGTGCCTGCGCGATGGATGAGGCGGTGTGCAAGAGGGTGTGGTGGAGGAGGAGGAGGAGGTGGTGGTGGTGGTGGTGGTGGTAGGTAGCTGAGTAAGTAGGTGCTGCTGGTGGGTGTTGTTGGGAAGTGTTTTGTTGCCGGGTGCTGGTGCTGGGCGGCAGCGGCTTCGTTGCTGGGTATGTGCTCGCCGTCTCGCCGTCTTTTGTTCCCTCCTCCACACATCCCATCCATTGCTCTCTCTCCTCCTCCCACCCCCCAAAACCTTGCTCCTCCGCCTCCCATCCGCTACCATCTTATCCCATTCACCTCCTCACCTCCTCCGTCCCTCCACACACACTCTCTCTCATTCGCTTGCCCGCTCTCCGCCCATTTACCCCTTCCTTCCTTCTTGCCTGCATTCTTTCCCTTGCTTCTTTCTTGGAAGCTTGTGCTCCCACTCTAAACTTGAACTTTGCAGTTGCTTTTCAAAAGACCGTCTCGTAACTTTATCGGAATTAAACATCTACCTACTCCACCGCGCCCTTCCAAGCTACCCGTTTCTCTCGCTCAACCTACAACCTCACAACCTCCACCCTCCAAGTGCCTTCACCCTCCCCGTACATACCAGTTTCAACCACTCCCAAAAACATCTCCTGTATTCACCCCATCGCCGACCCGGAAACCCTGGCCACCATCGTGTCAACTCCTCTGTTGGTTGCGGGTTCTCGCGGAGGAGTGCGGATACTCCCGAAAGGCGACACACCCTCCCCCTCCCTCCAGTGATATCGATCTCGGTCTCGACCTCACCTGCTTCTACCACCACTTCTGTTAGCACTACCGCCGCAACCCGCCGCAGTCGTTGCCGCCACCGCCCTCGTTGCCGCCGCCTTACGAACGTTCCACGCGATTCGAAATTTTTGCTACAACAACGCTCGAAGTGTGATGGCCGGTCTACAAGTTCCGTCATCCGGGCTCGTTCTAGGCGCTATACCGGCTTCGGGCACCGGAAAGGCGGCCGTTCACGGCTTGCAGGCGATGCGGATCGCATTCGCCGACGGCTTAGTTTTGGAGGAGGTGCTCAAGCATGGATCCGACCTGAAGATATCCTTCGGGAAGTCTATGGTACGGGATACTCCAAAACAAGCTCTGATGCGCTGTCACTGTCCTCGAACACCCCCAGATCGAGGTTTGAAGGCTCAAAAGGTGTAGAAGATCTTTTGCTAACGGGATGGGTTTCTGCGGCTACCAGAGGCTGGATTATGGCGATCAGTCAATAGAAATTGTGTCGCAGGCGGAGTCCCACCGACATGAACTTTACAAGCGATCGGAGGACTTGCCGGAGAACCTCGACTTCGTTGGGGTCTTCAGCCATAGCCTGGAAGTGCGCGAGGCGGATGGCGGTTCGAACTCACCTAACGAGAGCGAACTCAAGCTTCAGAAAGACTACGAGCTCTTGAACGAGGAGAAGGCGGCATCCACGTAAGTGCTATTATCCCGCGAGGCAGCAGACATGCCTGCCGTGTGGCGCCATAAGATGCTCACAGTAATTCAAGAGCCGCGATAGTAGATTACGGGGAGTTGCCGCAAGCTCGGAACGCACGGTGGGGCGGTGCGTTAAAGAAGGCGTCGTACTTGAAACGACAGAACAAAAAATCCCTCAGCGCACCCAGTTCGGGCCCGCCCACGCCGTCAATGAGGTCGGGGCGATCTCCACTCAATCCTACTTCGGCCTCGACATCCACTTCAGCGGAAGCGCGCGCCGAGCTGGACGCATTGCGGATACCTCTCACACATCTCCTCGTATTGGGTCCAGCTTCCGAACACTCATTGGCCTCCAAGACGAGGGCACCGGAGGATCTTGTCTTGAAGGTGTTGCACAAGGTTGCCAACAAGGTGAATGCCGGAAGGCATTGGGCGCTCATGGATGATGTCCACAGAGAATTGGATGTGTGGGACTTTCCTTACATCACGCCGAGTGACAGAGAAAAGGCGATTCGGAACTGCGGTGAAGCATTTAACCGATTGCGACTCCAAAAACAAGCTGCAGAATGGCGGATGTTGCTCTCGCCCGAAGACCGCGAGAGGGCAGACCTCAATCCTGAACCGGAACCGGTCAAGCCTGCATCGGTACGATTGAGTTCGAGACCGGCAAGCGAAAGCGGCAGGTCGCCGTTGCCGCCGTCACTCGAGTCCAAAAAACCAGCGGCGAAGGCGGCAACGGGCAGGGGCGCGGCAAAAGTCACGAAACCTACAAAAACAGATGCCATATCTCGTATCATCGGTGGAAAGGGCAGAAAGAAGGCCACAGTACCGGCCAAACCGAAGGGAACAGTCGGACGGCCACCTAAAAATGCCTCAGCAGCGACTGGGCGGGCGAGCAAGCCAGCTACACAGAGGCAAACCGTGGCAACTACAAATTCGAAGATCAAGTCAGCTGAGGTTGTAGTGGATTCGGACGACGATATTGATATGGAAGACGTCAAACTGTCTACTCCTAAACCGCCGCCAGTGAGCAAGGTAGGATCACCGCAGCCACGCCCTAAAGCATCGGCACCTAAACCTCCTTCACGTGTCGCTTCGGATATCGAAGGGGATGGCGTTTATCTGAATCCCAACCGAAAGAGAACACCGGCGCCGTCTGCTGCGAAGTCGCCGGCGAAGAGGCCCCGCATCGTAGCCACTCCGTCCGCTTCGTCGTCTGCCACGCTAGATCCTCCCGTGCAATTTCAATCCCAATCAAATGGCTACTCGAAAGCTCAATCGTCCGCCACCATCACCGCTAAGTCTATGGCATCGTCTCGGGATACACTTTCCCGGAGTAGTTCCAGCAATTCCCCGCCGAAACCATCCCCACTTGGCTCATCGCCTCCGATAAACGCCTCCGATGATACGGGGTCAACTGCTTCGTCCCCGTTCATGATGTCCAACGCGGGAACATCCACCGCGAGCCAATCGCCGTTGGACTCTTTGTCTGGGCGAAGTCAGAAACCGCGCTATATGCCTCCTGCTGTTTCATCCCTGAAGCGAAAGGCCGGCAGTGCTTCGCAACGGGATGATCCAGTTCGGAGCGGCACCAAAGCAACGTCCAACGGCACCGCGTCAAATAGACGGCAGCTCGCGAACCCTCCCGACGGTCAGACGATGAAGCTGGCGCGCAAATTCAAGGAAGACTACTCCAAGTACGCCCGTCTCTACCACGAAGCGCAATCAGTCACGGATGCCGTGAGAAAGAGGGAAACGATCGAACGTGTCCTCGCTCTGCATCGAGATCTGGAACGATTAAAAGCCAGAATATCTAACCTTCAAATGTCGCATTGATTTAACCACGACTTGCCGCAATTTCATGACTGATTGGTGTCCATTTTTGTTTACTTTCCTTGTTGCATGCATCTCACACCAAACGACGGTGACGGCGCTTAAATTTTCTCAAAGATCTAATGGTTCTTCATTCTGCCCCTCAACGGCGCAGCAGCCAACTGCCAGCTCGGTGGGGGGGTAGGGGATGGGTTCCGTTGCAAACCTGTTTTATATTTTTCTCATTTCCGGATTTGAGAATGTTCCATCACCTTTTTTCCTCTCTGCTGCTCCCCTGGCGCAATTACTGCGCACGAGCAACTTTTGTACAACTCTTCAAGTCTTATTCACATCATTGGAGTTTTACCTTTTTTATTTTTATTTTTTTGGGGGAATTTTTTTTGAAAAAAAGAAATTCTTGTTTTGTTCCGCTTTTTGGAATTTTTGGAATTTTTCGCTTTTGTGTTTTTGTGTTTTCGCAGCGAAATGATTGGAATTTGGACTTGCAACACGGCGTTCCCTTTTTTTCTTTTCGCTTCTTGTAGATATACATATATCCTTTTTTCCCCCCTTCCTTTCGATTCATCTTTCCTTTTTCTACAGACTCAGCTCAGTTCAGCTCGGCTCAAACCAGATCGGATCAGCTCGGATCAGCTCGGCTGGATTAGGTACCTATATCATATCATAACCATAACCATAACACATAACAAAGCATCGATCGATCAATCTACTATGCATAAATACATAGAGTAAGTATGGTACGCAACCAAACGCTTCAGCCTTCAGCTAGATAGAGCAACTATGGTTGCGTATGTAAATCCACACACACACACACACGGGTTTTGTGTGATAGATATGATTGTGGGGGTGATTCGACGCTAGTTAGCGCGGCATGTAGTTATGCGGCTCTGCGGGAACACTATTATAACTAGAGTATGGAACTAGTGGCGACATGTGGTCCAAGGATCAGGAGGGATCGTCGAGTGTCGGTTGGGTTGGGATGTGCTTGGCTGTGGATAGCCTGTGAGCCTGTGGTGTGGGGACAGTGGACGAAGTTCGATGTTCGATGTTCGGACGGGAATGTTTTGGGAGGTTAGTGGGTGAAACACTGAAAGGGCCGGAGAGGACCAGACGGAGGTCTAATGTGGAACATGGGGTGCGAATTGTTTAACTGTTTGACTGTTTGGGTAGTCGAGGTATGGCTGCCTATGGCTACTCTAGGTACTCGTACATAACTACATTGATGTAGATTGAAGTACATAGGTTGATGTGCGAAATTGAAGCAGAAATTGAACTAGAAGTTGAAGCAGAAGTTGGGAGTTGGAAGTTGGAACTGCCAAATCCAATGGATGAGTAATTTAGGTAACGTAGGTAGTGTGCAGAAGACACCGAGTTATAAGCTGTCTGGCTATCTGGCTGACTGACTGGCCGGTTGATGCCTAGCACAAAAGGCTGTTACCTACATACGGCTTGGATACCAGTACTTACGTACAAGTACAAGCACACCGAGATGACGGGATCCAAGCCTCGCCGCGGCTGGGACATGGCACTTCACAACCCATCACTCACTCGCATGTACTATTCAGTGGCCGCCTCGCCGATACAAAAAATGCTCTCTGTGAACACCTCCCCCTCCTCTTCTAGTCACTGGTATTCAATGACTTGTTATTCCATTACATTGTGGAGTAGCCGTGTCCGAGGCCCCGTGTAGACTTCCCTGGTGACTACTCCGGCAGCCACGGTTCACGGAAACTCGAAAGTGAACTCACTCGCCCATTCACTCGCCCGGCACACCCGCCAGATCACTCGCCGGACCACGAAATACCTCTCGAGACGCAAGTCGAACGGGCACCGTCGGAGTGTACCTACCCACTCAGCTTTCGGACGCACGTAGTCGGTAGTCGGTGGGGTAGGCGGTAGTTGGCGTGCGTTGGGCGGTAGTCAGTGGGTGGCAATCGATAGTCGACGGGCGGTAGTCGGCGAGCTGTGGGCGGTGGGCGGGAACAGTGCGCGGATGCGTAAACTTGACGTATGTACCGCGCGGATGCGGACAACGTGGTGGGTGTGTGAGTGGGTGGATCGGTGCAGGAAAGTGAGCGAAGAGCCGCGGTGTCCCCCGTCCCCCGTCCCCCGTCCCATCCCCCCCTGTTTCGGCGGCTGTCATGGTGATCAAGTCGGATTGAGCGCGAAGGAGTCTGCAGTCTGCAGTCTGCGGGCTAGGCTCGCGCATGCCACGGGAGAAAGAAGGGATATCTACCTATGTATGTACCCTTGTAAAAAAAGGGGGGTCTTATAAACGTGAGCGGTGGGTTGGGAAATGGTTGCGCGATCATTAGATTTCACAAGCGGCCCCGCAGCATTGCGCAACTATTCCGCAACTATTGCATCTAGAATAACGTGAGCCACGTAAATCGATGCGGAAATAAAATAGTGATAGATAGTACACCCATTTTAAATTGTAAACTCGGCAAAAAGCCAGACAATGTGTGAATTTGTCATACGTTGATCTAACGCTTAAGTAACAGGAACTGGTGGAAATATAAAAACACAAGTTCGAGATATATCGTTGGTGCTCACTTAAGCGTTTTCTTGGCATTTTTCTACCGTTGTCGTCACGTTTCGACAATTTAAACAATGTCTTGGTATTTTTCTACTGTTTTCCGGTGTGGGGAGAGATGAGCGAGCTGCCACGGGAGGGAGTAATAACAGGAATGACTGAGTCAATCCGGTAAGTGACTCTAACAATGACTTAATCAGTTCGTCAAATGACTCTAGTCATCGAACAGGAATGATTGAGTCAATCCGCGAGATGACTCTAGTAATTACTGAGTCAATTCACAAGATGACACTGGGAATGACTTACAGTAACAAAAATATAGGGTTTTATCTTACTACAGTAAGACGGCTGGTGGGAAATAGCGGTACTGCAGTTGGCTTGGATGTAACCGTGCCACTGGAAAAAACTTAGATTGAAGACAGCCTGATTTGTAGGCAAAGCTAGCTTAACTGCTGAGCCGGAGCATCGCAATTTCATCTCTTTTACATCCTCGCCATCTCATCTCTTCCGCTGCAAATACTCCTTGCGAACCTATACACCTTACATGCAGCTATCGTCACGAGCCGGCTGTTTTGATGAAGTTGAATGCCGATACAGATACTCACACCTTCCTACTCAGCGATCCTATCTCCTGATGGTGCGGAGGAGCTGTGGGAGGAGGTCCCAGCAAGAGGAGGAAGTGAAGGAGGACTCTTGTTGGCGGGAGGAAATGAATGTGGTTAGTAGAGGGCACCAACGTTGGCGGGCATGGCGGGCATGGCGGGTCGTATGCTTTTTTAGCCATCTTCCTCTTCTTTTTCTTCTTCTTCTTCTCCCACCACTCTCCCTCCCGCCGCAATTGCTATTGCCCCCTCGCCGCAATTACTACTCTCACCGCAGCTCCTCATCTCCCTAATAGCTTCTCTCGCTAATAGCTCATGTTTCTTATAGGTAGCTCACCTTGCAGTAGAGTAATGCTTGTCTGGCTGCCGTGGATACTGGACACTGGATATTGGATACTGGATACTGGATACTGGACACTGGCCCGTAAGTAGTACTAGTACATAGAATAGAAATCCATTTAGGTGCTCAATGCTTCAAGACCAATTGAAAAATGCTGCATAAGCGAGAAAACCCGAGCCCAGTTTCACACGTTGCACTCCTGCTCCCATGCTTCAACAGTTCAAAAATGGTTCAAAAATGCCAAGAAAACGATGCTGTAACTTTTTAATGCACTTAAACGCTTTATTTTAACTACATAGGAGAAATTTGCAACATATTGAAAAAAAATTCGAAGTAATTCTTTAAATGTGTCTAATTGCCGGCCATTTAACTCTCTATAATCGGGGTCACTTGTACTACGGCTTCCAATTTTCACGGGAAAAGCCTGTGAACTGTATATCCACTCCCTCCGTTAAAAACTTGCAACACGTCTGTAAATCCAACACGGAATGTACAATGTTTTGAGTGGTGCGATTATCAGTCCAAATCCGATACTATTATAGAAACAAAAACTCTTGAAACCGAACCAACTATCAATAGCGTGCTGGAAGCGCCGATGATACTCTCTAGAATACTTCCGAATGACGTGATATATTGTCCTACCTTTGCCTTCATTCTGCTTGTCCTCGCTGTCAAACGCTATTATCAAGATCGCCGGAGTGGCCGCAAAACCAGAGACCGCCGTAATGCATACAGCTCCATGATCGATTTCAGCACAGGGTCTAGTCAATGATAGAGGGGCAGGGCACTGTTGATCTCGTAATACCTTTCCAGAGGTAATGTTCCGCCTCGGTCGGAAAGTGGAGATCCCAGGCCGACAAGTGAATGCCCCCGTACACCGCGCATAGAAACCCAGGGATGCCAAGGATGGCCGACCCATTGGTATTTAATATGTCTGCTGTGCTGACGTTTATCGCTCGTCTTTTCAAGTAAATCCCACCAACCCAAGAAGTCTCAGAAGACCGCAAACCCACCTTAGAAAACCGATTTAAGGTAGGCTGTGTAGCGTTGAACACAGTGGGGTCTTGGATATCGAGAGGCTTTTTGAACCAAAGCGCGTACATCGCTAAAGCGCAGATGACATGGACCAGCGTGTGAACTTCCAGCAACGTCAAAGCATATCCGTTGGCCTTTCTGGCAATCGATTGACAACATACTATATTAGCAGAATGAACCTGGGAGGTGCTGAGACTCCACCTACTTGGATGACTAGAAACTAAATCTGGAAGCAAACAAGGAATTTGGCAAGTACGTTTGCCTTACTCTTGTCCTCAATCGTTTCTGCGCTGGCGATGGGGAGGGCGTCTCCTTCTAGCCCTACTATATCAATGATCTGATCCGGCGTGAGGGTATATCTCCCAGCCGGATAACTTCCCATGAGCACCGGAGTATCCATGACATAACCTCCCATTACTGCGTAGAAGCCGTCCGCTAAGGTGAGCGACCGGGTCTCTTTCGCGGTAGCCTGCTCCTGTGTGGTAATATGAGCTGTGAGCATACTGCACCTACAGTATTCTCATCTGAAGATACAGCTAAGCGGATTTCCGAATCCTCGTTGCCCGAAACCCGGATAACTGATTTGACCTCTGGTGGCTGGGGGCTGCTTGCGGAGTTGACTTGCTCCTCGACACTCTGCTTGAACCGCCACTCGAGGACCTCATTGAATTCCCGGCAAAAGTGTCTCGCTCCATACCACTGCTCCCAGGCTGCGTATAGTACCACTTCAGGTCCAAAAAGTGCAATCAAGACCCACTTGGCCTTCCGTAGATAAAACGAGGACCGGGACTCCTTCAGCAGCACATTCAGATGGATGACGGTGTAGACGCAGAGGGCGAGCGTGAAACTGCAATTGTACAGTATTTCGAAGGTTCCCCGCGTGCGAGGACTGGAAACCCAAGGCGGTGCTATCACCTCTTGCAGTGCTGAAGAGTTGCCCAGTGGCGGTCGCAAATCTTCGATCGGAGCTCCGAGGGCGCCGCAGGCCAGTCCGATGACATGGGAAACAAAGAGGAGAGTGCTCATATTCGACGATGCGCGGTGTGTCGGTGTGTGTTGTGGAGGGTATTGGAACTCGAAGAATCGCTCGGATCCGCTACTTAGGTAGGTGGAGGTTGAATGCTGGACTTGCAATAGTTGCCATCAACGAAGTACTCATGTACCTACTTATGAGCCCCACGGTGCGGAGACCGTCGATTAAAGCAGATTATGCGTGTTGCGAGCGGAGGATGGAGTCTCACACGTGCATGTAGAGCATCGCTGCACCGCCCGTGGCCACCGCCATTGGTGAAGCAAGACTCCTGTGTGAGACAACTGACCTGCAGCAACTGCGGTGGAGTTACCTAGTTAAAGCACAATGCAAACAGACCGACTCGTGGACTTATCTAATAGGTATATATTTTTGGCAATGTCGCAATTCATAGCTGCTTTCCAAAGCGGTGAAGAACTTGTAGGATTTTTACTACCGATGTAGTTGTGTACACGTAGAGAAGCTTCTCAATTGTGCCAGTTCGATCATCGATGCTCAGCGCTCAATGGCGCGAGTGACATCACATGCACGGAACTTCTGGATCAAGCAGGGTTAGACCAAGCTGCTTGGATTCCCACGTCTACAATCTCCCAGGTAATATATGGTGTGTCAGAATACGCTGAGCACCCACAGCTGCTGATCGTCTGTGTGAGAGGTGTTAAAAGACAGTAGGGGTCCTCAAACCTATTAGGAAAGCGGCCCGCTACGCTTCTCTCCAGAACAGCACCCAGATAGGTTTGAGGACCCCTAGTATGTATGTGCTAGAGTGGCGGCTACTATCTATTCCTATAAAGGGCAGTGGTGTGGCATTAATACTGTTCTTTAGATGGAAGTTCAACGACTGCCACGGCAACGACGAAGAGTCAGAACACTACAAGGCGTGGAAACAGATACTCAGTCTCTATTTCAAGATCGTATTTCGAATGATGCCGCAGAAGTTACGATGCCGCTAGATCTACCGATTGAACTGACTGTACCTGCTCCAACTCACTCTGGGGATGATACCGCGTATTGCAGAACCTGCCGGCAATCACTTTCCGTCATTGCGTTTGCTTTCTGGAGACCTGGAGTACGATACAATGAAGGCAACTGCATCGTGTCTGCCACAAATACGCCCTGACCGCAACGTATATACTTATGACTTTACATTAAGTGGCGCTGTCCTAATGACCACACACCGTGTGGTCGCCACATGGATGTTTACTAGTACCTAACGATTAGTTGGTAGCGACAGATTGGCGAGTCTCGGTTGTTCACGAGTGGAAGTATGGAAGGGCTAGATGTGTTGAAAGTATGCATAGTACAACCAACAAAATGAGAAACCCGTATCCAGACATCCGAGCCTCGAGGTCCTGCTTAGGCGACGGACCAGCATCGCAAAAGGTAAACCGGCTCGTTTGTACCAATGTTGTTTTCAGTTCCAGTTTTAGAGTGAAATTCAGTTTCCCGCCGGGACACCGAATACTGTCCAGTTTCAGTTTCCGGAAAACTGTGAGGTGAACAGAGTGTTTGGCAGTTCTCAGATTACTCAGCCATAAGTCTGAATAATGGGCTTCACCAGAACTCTAATAGTGGACACATTGTGGCCCCGCTTTTTTCTCTTCCCCGTAAAGGGAGTCCATGGTTGAAGTTAAAATGCGATACTGAGTGGCGGCAAAGAAACGACCTCTCGAGGTCAGTACTAGTTTCTTCGCTCGAGCCGCATATTTTTAAAAAGTTTTTGTGCCATTCAAACGGGGTCTCAGTTCCATTTGCTCGGTTTCTCGAAAAACTGAGGCCATCCAAACGGGCCCTAAACAACAAGATTCCGTTCAGAGGAACTTCTTGAACCACTCGACTGCCTGCTTCGCAGCACCCTCATAGTGCTCCTTATCCATGACCTTCCCCAGATCCGCCCTAACGGCAAACCCATGTAGCGCTCCCTCATAAACGTGGACCTCAGTCTGCACCTCCTCCGGCGACGCCGCCTTCCCTTCCAACAGCTTCTGAATCTGTTCAACAGTCTTAATCCCCATCACCTCATCACAGTCTCCAAGCGCGAGACTAGTCGGCCTCGCAATCGCCGTGATATCCGACGGAACTGACAGCAACGTGGGATGCGCGACGAACGCGGCATTGACGAATCCTCCCTCGCGGTATCCCCCGCCATTGCTCATCATCCACTGGTTGCGGTGCGTCAACAGCAGTGCGTAGCGTCCGCCCCACGAGTATCCCGCCACCATCACCGTCCGTGTTCGATCCTCTTTGTACAGGGCCTCGAAAAAAGCAGTGACGATCGGCAAGGAGACCGCATCGCGGTGCCGCACCAACCACGGACCAAACGCCTGCACTCGACGGAAATTCCATTTTGCTTTCTCCATAAACCCGGGCTCGCCCTCGGGCTCACCGACCAGCTCGAGATGCTCCGTCGGCACGGAATCGCCTAGTAGACATCCGCGTCAGCAACCCCGCACTCATGTCATTCCACGCTCCTCACTTGGAACTCACCGGCCAGAAAATCGGGAACATAAACCGTCGCGCCCGTCTCCCGACGTATCCGATCCGCCAGCAACCGTGTGTTCGGCAGCTGCCACCCGAACATGTCCGAGATTATGACGATGATGCCGCGGTTCGGTTCGCCAGCCGTGACATAGGTGGGAAGCGAGTGGATCTCTTCTTCGGTGCCTGCCGCATGCGCTGTGTGGAGGTAGCCTAGGCGCACGATGTTAACAGAGAAGCTTATGGGTCGCGGTGCGCGGTGATACGTGCCTGGAGCCATGGTTATTGTTCTATTGGTGGCGATGTTGAATGTGATGGCAAGATAAAGGTATCTCGGTGGGATTGCTCGGCGGTTATCAGGACGATAGGTATATAACTGGGATAATAGCAAGGGTGCATGCGGTATTCTGTGTAGATAGCCGGCGGCAATATATGGAACGTAAATTAGTGCAACCACCTTGAATGTCATCCATCCTACACAGTCTACATTCGGCTTACTTGAATTTCCTCATCTCCAAATTCCGTCTTGCCTGATCACAAAATCAAGTAATCCCTTTGATTGTTTTCAGGCGCTGTTACGGTCTCAGAAGCGGGGAGTGGGAGGACTGACGAGGCCAGTGTGTAGGGGTGAGGTCAGACTGCTGGCGAGTGCTGTGGCGAGCGCGGCGGAACAGAAGTTTTGCTGAGTGCCGCCACTTCACCTAGGCATCACCGCAACACCCATCTCCGCTGCGCCGCGATCTCCGTATCACAAGCCAGCCTTCTTCAGCTTGATGGTGAATTAATTCTGGCGAGTGCTCTGTTAGTTGCTCTGTTGGTGACTCCCCCTCTCCCCCACTCGCGCCCAGGTGGGCTGAATTCTAGACGATGTAAAGGATGTAGAATGTGATGATCAGTAACATCATCATTAACATATCAATTCCTCAGCGCAGGGTAGAACCCAGCCGCTAACCAAAGTCTTCAGAAGTTATACTACAAAGAATTCCAAGAACGAACAAAAAGCACAATAAAGAACACCAGCAATGCAGCACAACCCATCTGATCCCATCAATATCAAACTCATCTCACTCTTCCACATGCATTAACCACACAAGCCATTCAGGTCTAGAGATCCGCAATCGCCAACACCGTCCCTCCGCCAAGTCCTTTGCCCTTGTGTTCCGACAAGATTCCGAACCGAATCGTCACCTCGAAGAGCGTAACCAAAATACTCAGCAAAATCAGCCAGATGATGATCCACGTGATACGGCTCATATTGGTGTCGGCAATGGAATCGGTCAAGATATCCGCGAGGTCCAAGAACACCCGGCAGCGGCTATTGAGCACCATGACACGTGGTTGGATCTCAAGGTACTCTCTAACCGCAATATACAGTGGATGAAGCGTAGGCTCCGCCCAAAAGAATTCCGGCACGTCGAGGACATTCGAAGAAAGATTGACTTCGACACGTAGACGGAAGAGGCGACCGGTCATCTTGATAACTTCTTCGCGCTTCATGCCTAGTGTTCCGGTGAGGGCGAGTTTCTTAGGAATGTGCTCAACGCCTGCCATGGTGGTGTTCATGCTTTCTTCAAAGCGACACAGCTTGGTGGACTGCGCTATTGCATGTGAGATCGCGAGCTTGATCATTATATCGCCGGATCGGAGGGTGATCATGTCGTTGTATATCTGTGCAGTGTTATCAACTTTGTCACTCGTCTCAGACTAGAATGGGTTTGCTTACCCGAGGAGACCTGGTTTTCGAGGAGTACTCAAAGTGAAACTCCTCGGTCTCGAAATCCTCCTCTCGCATCGGTCCGGAAATAAGAGGAGAATCATGTCCCGGCGCAAATGTCAGGTCGGCGAGGATGTCCTTCTCCTGCCTTTCGGTGAAATTCCAGAAGACGACAACGCCATAGCTGAAGATGAACATTTCGGCGATACCATTCATATCCATAGCATTATGCGAGTCCTTCGGGCTTCGTGGTCTTTCGTGCAGTTCGGGGTCCGTACTTTCTCCCTGAATATTGACATTTTCATCCCTGGGCGTACTGCCAGGTTCTCTATCGTCCTCCTCCACGGAATCCCTGCGCCCTCTGTATTCCTCATCGAAGTAGCCCTCATGGTAGTTCCGTTGCTCCGAACGCTCAATCTCAACGTCCAACACTGGTTTCCCGCCAGGATTCTTCAGCGCCGGAGAGCTGCGAAGGCGACACCCTTCGCCACCAGCCAATAGCGGTAGATGATACGCGACGTAAAGGCACTCATCATACAGCTTTGTCCTAGCATGATGCGCCTCCCTCAAAAACGTCGACGCACTCTTAAGCCGATAAGCATCCGCTGTGCAATATGCCGTAACCCTTGAGAATTTCTCGGCACGTCGACTCTTAGGTAACCGCTCAGCATAACTCTTCCGGGGCGGCAGTCGTCCGACCGTCTCATCGCCCTCCTCAGGACTATGTCTCGAATCATCTTCATCATCCCTCAACGGCCCATCTTCATCCTCCTCCTGATAATCCCATCTACCGAGCTCATCCTCCTCAGTCTCCGGAATCAACACCAGCTTCTCAGAGACCTTCGACGATCTCGACGGCAGCGTCTGTCCCTGATTCACCACACGGCGCGGATTAACCGGGCCTGGCGGAGCCCCACGATATGACGATGCTGAGGAAACGGGCGTTCGAGAGCGATGCAGATACGAGAGGGCGTTTCCACCGCGCACCTGGCCGGACGGGATCTCCGAGGTCCCGCGGAGGACAGAATCGACCGAGACGAAGCGAACCATTCCAGGGGCGTTTCCGTGTGCGCCAGCATTGGAGGAGAGGGCCGACGATGATGCTCGGCGCGAGTTGGGGCGACCCGAAGAGTTGGTGGGCAGGTCGCGAGAATCGGTGACCTGGAGACGACGGCCGCGGGTAAGCATGGTGCGTCCGCGAAAAAAGGAGGTGGAGAGTATAGCTGTACTTACTAGAACTGTGGCTCGCCTCTTCGGTGCCATTGAAGGAGGTGGTGGAGGCATTGTTCAGTCTGTAGTTCGTGATTGCTGGATTGTTGGCCAATATAGGTATTTGTATGTTGGGGGCTGAATGCCGAAGGGCGATGGAGGTTGCTTGGGTAGCGAGAGCCGTTAGTGACGTCTGCGGCTAGAATAACCAAACTTGGGGCTTGAGTCTTGGGAAGAAGTCGATAACTAGAGTACTTCATGCCCTCCTCTCTGGTCTTCAGTTTATGGTCTGATTGTTTATAAGACACACTTTGGCTGTTTGCTTTGGCTGCCACAACTAAGTTTGTTCAAGAGCACTCCAAGTACATGCCACATCGTGATATTCTCAGAACTAGGTAGTCTTTAAAGATCTACATGACGAGAATCTGCGTGATATCTACCGCCGCTTTGTTCAAGGAGCCTTCCCTGCGTGGCAGTCTGTATGCGCTTGCTGCGTGTGTGTGAAGGATTTCCCATCGATGGCGCCCGTCCGTGCATTGAACTTCGGATGATGCAGCCAATCTCACCACCGCCGCTTCCGTCATCAACATTCCCCCCACCTCACCTCACCTCACTCAATTCACCCCTCCACAACTCCCCACCACAACCACAGCCCACCATCACCACAAGCCACGAACGGACGAACGAACACACGGAATGACCATGGCAGCCGAGAAAGCATCCCCAGCAGCAGCAGCGGCAGCAGCAGCTTCGCCCCTGCAACCCCGAAACCCAATGCCCCTCTCAGCATCGCAGGAAGGTCAGGTCCGCGACCTTTACTACGCCCGCGTCCGTGGGTTCTGCGCGGAAGAAATCCGACGTTTGGCCCATCCACTCCGGCGATGTCCCGCAAAGACTAACGCTGGGGGAAAACAGTCTTTGCCGAATGCGCGCGCGGGCGAACCGTCACAGCGACATGGGCGTGCCGTACCGAGCGCGGGAACATGAACAAGTGCATGGTCTCGCACGCAACACAAGAGAACAATGACGCTGCCCGCGAGGAGTGGTTTCGACAGAGGATGGAGAGGAAGAAGTTACGGCAGGAACAGGATAAAGCGAAGATTGCTGTAGAGGTTGTCAAGGGTCGTCCGAGGGAGGAGCCGATTTCGGCTGAGAAGCGCGCTCTGTGAGGAGGTGTTGTTTCGTTGGATTATACGCTGTCCATGGGATCCGAGTTCCAATCTCAAGGAAACTTCCTTTCCCCACATCCGGATAAGGGACAGAAACGGACGACGGCCTTGCGAAGAGAGGTGTATGGTAGAAATGGCGTTTGATTCTGGAATTCATGCGCTTTGTTGTCTTCAACGTGTTTAATAGGTATGAGGAACTGTACATTAAAACTGTATATAAAGCTGGGGACGCCAAGCAACATCAGAGTAAGACTTGAAGCAATTCTCTACACACGTAGCAAGTAGAGATCGATACACACAACCAATACCATAGCGCCCAATAACTCCATGAACTTGATGAGATAGGTGCCCCGTACAACCCAAGAAAGAAACCCAGAAAACATAACTCGCGCTGAAACAAAAAATACGAACACTATAATGAGATATACCCACGACACCGAACTGCGCGGACAAGAAGCCATGCACTTTTAGTTCTACAGCTCATGCATCGACCATATTGCTATCCCCTCCGTCGCCAAACAAGTCCTCCACATCCATCTGATCATCACCCTCCTCCGTCCTGGTGTCAACACTCCCTCCACCCATTCCAATAGGTGGTCCTCCCAAGCTCTGTCCCAGTTCGTCCTCATCCTCATCGTCCTCGACATCCATCCACTCGTCGCCGCCCGCCTTCAAGTCCCAGTTAACGCCGGTCAAACAGTACTTCTCCGGCGGCAGCCGCACGCCGAATTCCGGGCCAACAGTCGGCAACGCCACGCGATTCCGCTCCTGCGCAATCTCCAGCAGAAACTCCTTAGGTAACGCCGTGTTGAACTGATGATTGATTCTGCTGCCGATCGACATCCTAAGATCGTCGTTGCTGATCATCGAAGGCGGGTTCTGAGAGCCGGTATTGGCCGTGCCGTTGATTGCATCTGAGAAGAGGAGCGCGTCCTGTAGTACGCCGGACGTGTAGCGGTACGCGAAGTCCATCAGCATCAGCGGGACGCGCTCTTGGTAGGCGGTGACGTTCATGCTCGCTAGCACGAGGTGGATCAGGCGTGCATCGCGTGGTTTCGGAGGCGACGACGGGTTCTGTTTCGATGTGTCGGCGGGAGCTGCGGCGGCTGCTATCGTGGGGTCTGCTGGCGCTGGCGCGGGAGGAGCGGGAGCGTCCGGGGTGCCGTTTCCATTAGTCATGGCGGGCGAGGTTTGGTGGTGGGGTGACGATGGTGAGTGACAGTGGTGGGTTTGAAAGTTGGAGGTTGGATGTTTGGGCTGGACTGTTGCGCGATTCGCGAGTTCGTTTTGGTGAAGGTTGCACGACTCGAAGAGCTCCAAGCCTTCCCAATTGGTGGGGAAGATTTAGGAGGCTGAAATCGACGCTAAGCCGTTTCCAGTCACTTCCATCCCCACCCCACATACATCTCCCGAACCCCGGCATTCGCATCGTGTTTATGGAGGACCAATGATTATCAGCATGCCGAAAATTCTGCTGTCACATGCGGATATCCCGCCTTCAAACTCGATGGTCAATTCTGGAGGCTCGACCTACATACAGCTTGACTAGCATCGAAATGTAATTTTGGCTTTGGCTTGCTTAGTGCTGGTACCCCCACTAAAGCAAAGTAGAACCCCGCCATCATCAAGCAAACCTATCCTTGGAAGCGTTTTTGCAGTGACTCGGCCGACTCTTCCATTCTCTCTCGACATATTTCCCTCCTCCTCCTCGGTCATTGACCACTAGAGCAACTTCTTCCTGACACCACATTCACCATGGCACTCCCACTTCTAGCCGGCATTGACATCTCGCAGCAGCCCTCTACTGGCCTCTCAGCCAACGACCTTTCGCGACTAGGCAATGTATACCTCGATGCCACTCCCGAGAACGTCGACGATACCATATCCTACATCTTCTCGCACTTCCGTTCATACTCGATATCCGTCAACGTCACCACTCTTCCCGACAATGCGCAGGTCACCTCGTTGTTGGATGCCGGTGCCGCGAGAGTTTTCGTTTCCCACAGACAGCTAGAGACGATCCAGGGCTCCGTTGACGACACTCGCCTGGTCCTCTTGCTCGAGCCCGATGTTCAAAACAAAGAGAAGATCATTGACGCCATCGCCAACACCTCGGTCGGAGTCTACGCGCACCAGATCGAGGACATTGACTTCATTACTGGCTGGCTGCGGGAGTACGGAACGGGCGACAGACCCCCCGTTTTCGTGTCGTTCCGAGCTCCGGTCACCATCGAGACCGCCGTGGCAGTAGGCAAACTCGCCGCTACACCGATCATCCCGCAGGAGGCTTTGACGACCGATCCCGAGAAGAACCCCGAGCTGCTCTCGGTGGCAGAGATCTTCATGGCCGGTGTTACTTCCGACAGACCGGATAAGCTCATCGCCACGGTGGTTGTGGATGAACAAGGTGTTGCTCTTGGCTTCGTCTATTCTTCCGTCGAATCCGTCAAGGAAAGTCTGCGGACGGGAACTGGAGTGTACCAGAGCCGCAAGAGGGGCCTCTGGTACAAGGGTGCTACGAGCGGCGCAGTTCAGGAGCTCGTCAAAATCGACAGTGACTGCGACCAAGATTGCTTGAGATTCTTCGTGAGGCAGAAGGGCGCTGGTGAGGCTACTGCTCACCCTGCAACACTCTCGGAAAAGGGAGGGAGGGCTGATTATACAAAACAACAGGCTTCTGCCACCTTGAAACCGCTACATGCTTCGGCCAGTACACTGGTCTTCCCAAGCTGCAGCAGATACTGCAGGCCAGGAAGGAATCGGCGCCGGCGGGATCTTACACTGCCAGACTCTTTTCGGATCCGGCGCTTCTTCGGGCAAAGATTATGGAGGAGGCAGAGGAACTTTGCGACGCCACTGAAAAGCAGGATATTGCCTTTGAGGCGGCTGACCTGATTTACTTTGCTCTCGCAAAGTGCATAGCCGCTGGCGTGTCACTGACGGATGTCGAGCGCAGTCTTGACGCGAAGAGCCTGAAGGTAAAGAGGCGGAAGGGTGACGCTAAAGGCAAGTGGGCCGAGAAAGAGGGACTGCCTGCAACTCCATCTCAGCCTGTGAAAGCACCTGAGCCAGTGAAGATCGATGGCAGAATTGAGATGAGGCGCTTTGACGCAACTACTGCGACTCCCAAAGAACTCGAAGATACCCTCCGTCGTCCTGCACAGAAGAACATGGACATCATGGGAATAGTCACACCTATTATCAACGAGGTCCGGACACGCGGAGACGCTGCTTTGATTGAGTATGCCGCCAAATTCGACAGGGCAGTAGGTCTCAAGTCGGCCGTCATCAAGGCGCCTTACCCAGCAGAGCTCATGCAACTTGACGAGGAAACCATCAAGGCGATTGACATTTCCTTTGAGAACATCCGGAAGTTCCACGAGGGGCAGAAGGAGGATAAGCCCCTTGTCGTCGAGACCATGCCTGGTGTCAAATGCTCGCGCTTCGTGAGAGCAATCGAGCGTGTTGGATGTTACATCCCGGGTGGCACTGCAGTGCTCCCTTCCACAGCGTTGATGCTCGGTGTCCCAGCACTCGTCGCCGGCTGCAAGCAGATCGTGTTCGCCTCGCCACCCCGGCCCGACGGAACTTGCACTCCCGAGATTGTCTATGTCGCCCACAAAGTTGGTGCGGATGCAATCGTGCTTGCAGGAGGCGCACAGGCCGTTGCTGCACTGGCATACGGAACCGAGAGCGTCCCCAAGGTGGACAAGATCCTCGGTCCTGGAAACCAATTCGTCACTGCCGGCAAGATGTTTGTTAGCAACGACACCAGTGCTGGTGTGAGCATCGACATGCCCGCCGGTCCTTCCGAAGTTCTGGTTGTCGCAGACTCGGATGCCAAACCGGCGTTTGTCGCGTCAGACCTGCTCTCGCAGGCAGAGCACGGAGTCGACTCGCAGGTCATCTTGATCGCTGTGGATCTGACCGAAGAACAGCTGAAGGCGATCGAAGACGAGGTCCACGATCAGGCGATGAAGCTGCCCCGCGTGGATATCGTCCGAGGCGCAATTGCCCACTCTGTTACGCTGCAAGCAAAGACAATCGAGGAGGCGATCCGGTTGAGCAATGTGTACGCGCCAGAGCATCTTATCCTGCAGGTCCGCGAGGCCAGCAAGATTGTCGACTTGGTTGAGCACGCAGGAAGTATCTTTGTTGGCGCGTGGACTCCAGAAAGTGTTGGTGACTACAGTGCCGGTGTCAATCACTCGTTGCGTAAGTTTTCCTGGTAGTACTTCGTCTTTGGTGGGGCATTGCTAATTAGGGGATCAATAGCTACTTACGGATACGCCCGGCAATACTCTGGTGTCAACCTGGGAACGTACATCAAGCACGTTACATCGTCGGAGCTGACGGAGGAGGGCCTCAGGAATGTGGGTGCGGCCGTGATGCAGTTGGCGAAGGTTGAGGAGCTGGAGGCCCACAGACGTGCGGTCGAGATCAGGCTCGAGTACGCTGACAGCAAAAAATAAGCGGCTGGTTGAAGTTGTGGATTTATGACTGCTATGTAGACTTTTTCTTCTTGTTTTGCGGATATATTGGTTCCCTTGCATTTCTGGGGTACATTGTATGGAAGTTGTTGCTGTGCGACCTCGGTGTTGACATGCCTCCTGGCGGCGATAAACATAGTTATTTTCACACTTCTTTGAAACTGCCCTGTGCAAGAATCTGAAGCCGCTTGTCGTGCTAGCGGCGGGCATGCATCATTACTACTAGCAGCAAGTGGATAGAGGGCGGCGCGGGTTAGCCACGCTGAGGAGGGGCACCGCTCTGGAAGGCCCCAAAATTCAGCGGCGACATCACTCGACACGAGTTAATCTATCTACATCATGCTGCATGGATTGCCGAGAGAAGCCCTTGCCCGCACAATTTCCGAGCAAGGTACGCATCACGGGATTCCCTGGAAGGGGGATTGTCGCCAGGCAGTGGATGTTTCGTGACACCGGTCAGCGTCAAATCAGGGGCAAGAAGCGGTGGATACGATGGAAGGGGTCTAGAGAGTATCCAGAAGCTGAAGAGTTCATTCGGCGGCATATCAGAGTAGAGTAGGTACTCTACATAGAGCGCATCTTGCTGGTCTTCTTTCTTTCCACCCACACTCTCTCATCTGCGCGCATCTCTCATTTTCTCGGCTCACCCATTTTCTGTCTGACAACCCCCCCGTTGAACGTGGTGGCTGTTGTTGTTGTTGCTACCTATTGTTGCCGTCCATTCATTCATCCATCCATCCATTCATTCATTCATTCCTTCTTTTTTCTTTCCTTTTGCAACGCTCGCAATCAAATCTGGCGCAGATCGATATCTATCCTGCGCTTGCTCGCTCGTCCCACCACCTAACTACGCTCCGAGCACACGGCCGCCAGCACACTTACGTGTACACCCACCCACCATCACCGCTTCCAAACTCCTACACCACTACCACAACATACACGACCCCCATACCCGCCAACTCCGAACTCCGCTCCGTTTCTCGCGACAGAAAATTTCGCGCTCGTTCACTCCAATCGATTCCGCATCCAGCACGCGCAAACGCTCCGATCTAAGCCTCGCAGTTTCTCAGCTTTCTCCCGCTACCGACCGACGGAATGGAGGCCACTACCAGGAACCGACTCCCGACGCTGTTCGAGGTGCTGAGCAGGAGGACCTTCCCCCCGGTCGACCTGTTCTCGTTCTTCATCTACATGAGGGACCACCAGCGATCGCTGGACTATCTCGATTTCTGGTTCGTGACTTGCTCCGCAACAGTTCGCATTGTTGGGCAGGTTGGCTGATTTTTCGCTCGCAGGCTCGATGTCGCACAGCACATGTCGCTCTGCCGCCACTACGTGCGTGAGCTCCGTCGTAGTGTCCTCGTGTCGACGCCGGAGCTTGGACAGGAGAGGGATGTGAGCTCGGGCCAGTACGATTTCGCGGACGAGGACGATAAGGATAGCAACCAGAGACTCTCCGCGTTCCTGAGATCGGCAACCCCGGACCCAAGTATGTCGCAGCAGCGACGATCCACGGGCGACCACCTCGAGACTCCTCCCACTGGCGGCCCCTCGTTCATGTCGTCCTCGGGTAACGACCCGACGACTTCGTCGTCGATCGCCCATACCGTCAATCGTGCCGATGTGCGCGCCTCGGCCGAGAAGATTCTCTACACCTATCTGCTGCGTGGTGCAGAGCGCGAGATCGTTCTCCCCGAGCCGATATTGCAGTCGATACAACACGCGATAGAAATCGAGTTGAGGGATGACCCGGATCTGTTCATGGACGCCAAGGACTATGTGTTCCAAGCGATGGAACGCGATGCTTTCCCCGGCTTTCTCAGATCGAAGGCGCTCGGGAACCTGGTGCCCACCAGTGTGATGTTGCGGTTGGTGATTGGACTGCTAGCGATGTTTGGAGGTTTCTGGGCCGCGTTCTCGCTCATCTTCCTCGACATCCAGCCGAGAGTGACACGGCTTTGGCTCATTCTGCCGTTCCTCATCGGTGTGTACTGTCTGATCGCGAATCAGTACGAGCTGGACCCGATAATGGGCTTGATTGGAGTCAGCGAGTACACCTTCATGGAGTTTTTTGCAGTCCGGGAACCCTACGTCCGCAGACTGTTGGTCAAACGCTCAATCTGGATTCTCATTCTGACGCTTGGAATTGGTGAGTCACCCCGTCACATGCATCCTATCTGTTCCCCGTGCTAACTGAAGCAGTCGTGGCGCTGGTTTGTCTCTACACATTTGTTCCAGGCAAGCGATTATAATATGCTACGCTGGACGGGAAATGGATGTATTTCTCACGAACTATGGGCCTTCTTCTCTTCTACCTTCCTTAGTGTTTCTTTGCCTCTTTTTTATCCTGGCGTTTTCTTTTCTATGGTGGGAATTTTTTTTTTTGTGTTTCTGCAAAGGTGTAATCTGAGGATGCGGGTGCAGTTTAACGTAGTAGTATACCCCCTAGTTGAGTAGTTTCTTGCTTTGCTTTCCGATGTTTCAACTTTCGTCTGTCTGCTAGCCACTGCGCCGCGCCGCGTTTTTTATGATCTTCCCCTCGTCTTGTCTTGTCTTTTATGTATGCAAACAGGCTGTGGGTCTTGGTGGTGAGAGCGGGTTACTGTGATACATACCTCGTACCAGAGAACAAAAGGATTCATGAGGAGTAAGGCATCCAGCTGCGGGTGATGCACGATGATTGGCTGTGAGGAACCAGGAACCTTGATGTGTAGACACGGGCCATTGTGTAACACCGTTGCTCCGCAACGCAGCGAACTCGTCCGCCCGGCGCGTCACCGTCAACAACAACGGCAGGTAGATATCTCAACCGCGTGAAATTCACACAATTCATACATACCACAACAGCTGTCACCCTGCGCGCAACGCTACGTTCATGCCGTGAAACCGCGACTTCTATCAACATATTACAGCCATCAACCGCCGCAGTGGCGTCAACAGCCCTCCTCCCCTCCTACACCGACACCCCCACGAACGTCCTCATCCCCTCCCCCACGCCCAAGTCGCGGCTGAACACCTCCTCGCCGGGCACATCCCTCCGCGGCTCCGGCGGCGGCGGGGGCGGGTTCTGGCGTACAGCCCGCAGCTGCAAGCGCTATGCCGTCGGCGGAGTGCTCTGCATCCTCGTCCTCCTCGGGCTCGGGCTCGGGCTCGGCCTAGGACTGAAAAAGCACACGGAAGCGAGCGGGCCGCCCGGCTGGCGGAGCACGTACTCCCTCCCGCTCGCGACCCTCGCCGCGCGTGTACCCGGCGCCGCGCGGCAGCGGCGCGGGGAACTGGAGCGCTGCGTATCAGAAGGCTGCTAGGCTCGTGGGCGGAATGTCGTTGGCAGAGAAGGTTAATATCACCACCGGCACGGGGTGGCGGATGGGGGCTTGTGTGGGGAATACCGGCCAGGCCGGGGGGTTTCCCGCGTTGTGTTTGCAGGACGGACCGATGGGTGTGAGGTTTGCGGACGCGGTCACGGTGTTTCCGGCGGGGGTCACGGTGGCGGGGACGTGGGATCGCGAACTGATGCAGCGGCGGGGGAAGGCGCTGGGGAGGGAGATGCGCGCCAAGGGCGTTAATGTCATGCTTGGGCCGAGTGTGGTCGGCGGGAAGTTTCCGGCTGGGGGGAGGGGGTGGGAGGGGTTCGGGAGTGATCCGTATTTGGCGGGGCAGGCGGTGGGACGGACCGTTAGGGGTGTCCAGGGAGAGGGCGTCGTCGCTTGCGTTAAACATTTTTTGGCGAATGAACAGGAGACTTTTCGGCAGGCGGCGGAGGGCAGGGCCCAGGGCTGGCCGTTGATCGAGGCGTTGAGTGCGAATGTGGGCGGCAGGGCGTTGAGGGAGATTTATGCTTGGCCGTTTCAGGATGCGGTAAGGGAGGGTGTGGGGAGTGTTATGTGCTCGTATAATCAGGTGGGTTCTTCCGGTCGGTTGGGCGTCATTCGTGCGGTGCTGACTGCGTGGTCGAGATCAATAACTCGTATGGCTGCCAGAATAGCTATCTGCTCAATGGAGTCTTGAAGGAAGAATTCGAGTTCCAGGGATTTGTCGTGAGCGACTGGATCGCTCAACGCAGCGGCGTGGCCAGTGTTCTTGCCGGCCTGTGGGTTCCCTTCCCTCTCTCCATCATTGTTAGTACTGACGGGACTCAGCGACATGTCCATGCCGGGCGACGGGGACTCCTTCTCCGACGGCGCACCCTTTCTTGGCTCCTCTTTAACCCGTGCCGTTCTGAATGGCAGTGTCCCACTAGAACGCCTCGATGACATGGCGCTCCGCATTGTTGCAACCTGGTATCAGATGGGCCAGGACACCAACTACACGGCTCCCAACTTCTCGAGCTGGTTCCGGACCCCCCAGGGGCCACGATATTTTGGTACTGATGATGAAGGGAAGAAGGAGCTAGAGGGGAGGAATCAGTATGCTGATGTCAGAGAGGAGCATCATGAACTCGTCAGGGAGATTGCGGCAGAGGGGATGGTGCTGTTGAAGAATGGTGATGCTACGCTGCCGTTTGGAACTGGGAAGGATGCGAGGAAGGCTATTGTGGTCTTTGGGAGTGGGGCCGCTGGGAATCCAATGGGAATGAATTCGTGCGGCGATCGTGGGTGCAACATCGGCACTCTTGGTAAGCTATACTTTCGATACGAGGGGTGGGAATGTGATGCTGATTGAGTTGATTCAGGCCAGGGCTGGGGATCCGGTAGCGTCGACTACTCAACCTTCAGCAGTCCCTTATCCGCCATCTCTAGCCGTGCAGAGTCGGACCGCACCATGCTCGAATACGTCCAATCAGACGACGACTACAACCTGATCTTGCCCATGGCCTCAAAAACCCCCAACAGCACTTGCATGGTCTTCGTCAGCTCTGACAGCGGCGAAGGCTACCTGTCCGTCGAGGGCCACAAGGGCGACCGCAACGATCTCAAGCTCTGGCATAACGGAGACAAGCTCGTTCGCTCAGTGGCAAGTGCGTGCAAGGACACCATCGTGATCATTCACTCCGTCGGCGCAGTCGACATGGAGGCGTGGATTGAGCACCCGAACGTTACCGCCGTACTTCTCGCGCACCTCCCCGGGCAGGAAGCCGGGAGCTCGCTGGTCGATGTCCTTTGGGGCGACGTTAACCCCTCCGGTCGGCTGCCCTACACGATTGCGAAATCACTCGAAGACTATGGCCCGGCGGCGCAGGTCCTGTACACACCCAACCACCGGATCCCGCAGCAGGACTTTACAGACGGGGTGTATACCGACTACCGGCACTTCGACGCATACAACATCACCCCGCGCTTCGAGTTCGGGTTCGGGCTCGGGTACACGACCTTCAACATTTCCGACGTCACCGTGGAAACGCTGGTGGAGAGCCCGGGGGAGTTCCCGGCGGAACGGACGGACTCGGCCAACACCACCACCCGGATCACGCTCAACTCCACCCTGCCGGACCCCCAGGATCTAGTATTCCCGCAGGGCCTCCGCCGAATCCAGAAGTACATCTACCCGTGGCTGTCCTCTGCCAGCGTCGGCAGCGGCCCGTACCCATACCCAGCCAGCTACTCGACAACGCCACGCCCCCGCGCAAAGGTCTCGCAAAGCACGCTCTACGAGCCCCTACTGCGGGTCACTGCCCGAATCCGGAACACCGGCTCCGTCGCCGGAAAATCCGTAGCCCAGCTATACATCAGCTTCCCTGCCAATGCGGCCACGGCCGAAACGTTTCCTCCGCGTGTGCTGCGAGGGTTCGAGAAGGTCGCGGTCGGCGTGAATGGCACGGAAGTGGCAACGTTCGATCTCACCAGGAGAGATCTGAGTTATTGGGACGAGAACGAAAATTCCTGGAGGCTGCCGGTCGATAAGGATGCACGGTGGGGCGGGTATACGCTCAGGGTCGCGGAGAGTAGTAGGGGGGCTGGGGCGGAGACGGTTGTGGAGTGGGTGGATGTGTAGATACCAGGACGTTTTTTTTTGGGGGGGGGGGGGGGGGGGGGTTTAATGAGTGATGATTCATGAGGGATGGTTTACAGGGGAAATTGAAGTTTTTTTTGGGTTCAATTAATAATTGCTTGTGACCTAAGTAGATCATGGTTGTATTATAGTACACATCTCAAAGGGAAGTTGAAGGGTGATACGCAACTTCCAAGTGATCGGACGAGTGAGTGATCGTTAATGATTGGCGATATTCAATTGAACGGCGAGTGACTGGCAAGAAGGAAGCCAAATGAATGGCAGTTCGAAGGCTGATAGGAGGTAATAATCCCCTAAGCCGAGCAGATGAAATTTTCTATGTCAGAATGAATGAGCCCAAGGGAAGTATGTAGCATAAGTAAAGCCAGGCATCACTAGTGCATCATCCGAATGGATGGATTAACCACTCACTCCGTCCACGTCGCTTCCTTCCACCGCCCAAAACAGCCAAATAACTAAGTACAGCTAAACCAAGTGAAAGATATAATACAAGAAAGACCGCCTCCCCTAGTTCCCCACCCTCTTCTCGAACGCCTCCCTATCCCTCCCCGCCCTTTCTGCATCGAACCCCTCACTCCCCCGAATATTTAGCGAGGACTTAAACACTGGTTGTTCCTCCGGCATCTCTGGTTCCAAGAAGGCAAGCTCGTCTGGCGGTAAGAACTCGCCTAGTTCATTTGGCGGCGGGAGATTGGCGTTGAGCTCCTCCTTCACGCTAGGCCACGTTTCCGGGAAGTCCTTTTCTAACCACTCCTCAAGTTTGAGGAGGCGGGTGCGGTCGAAGGTTGAGTGGAGGGTTAAAAGGCTATTCACGTTAGCGAAGGAGAGAAGTTGGTAGGTGTGGGGGAAACAAACACGTTGTGCCCAGGCTTAAAACCTAAAGTTGCCTCTAAGCTAGCAATAACCTTCAATACCTCATCCCAGCGCTCTAATTTAGCGAGAGCCTCGATGTAGGCGGCCACATTCTCCTGCGTCATCTTCACTCCCTGGCGAATATACCGTGCCCACAGCCCCTGCGCCTTCTTGAGGCCCTTGTCCGACCGTCCACAGGCATTGAATACATGTGAGATGGTGGTATTATCTGGTCCTTCAACACTGCGTGCAATCTCCTCGTATACGAAGAAGGCACGCTCCGTCATCCCGCAGCGGATGTAGGCGTACATCAATGCATTGAGGAGGGTGGTATCAATCTCGACATACGGGTCCATGTTGAGTAGTCTATGGGCGGGGTGGATATTCTCGACAGATCGAGTTTGGCCAATACCGATGAAGGCAGCCGTGTATTCATATTTAGTGGGTTTGCGGTCTTCGGTTCGTGTCATGTGCTCGAGCACTCGGACGGCGGCGACGGGTTTACCAAGCTCGAAGAAGAGGTTCATCATCCGCCCACGGTCCTTGATAGAAGTCTCAGTGAAGACGCGGACTAGTAGCAGGTAGGCTTCCCATGCGTCCTCGTTTGGTGTAGTCACTCGGTGAGTGAATTCGATGATCTTTTGGATCACGGTTTCTCGCTCGGCGGTTGAGAAGAAGCCGACTTCTCGCTTAAGGAGGTCTCTAGCGCCGGCGAAGGCGGCTTCTTCGAGGTGAACGTTAAGCATTGCAACGAGGGTGGCGCAATTGAGATGTATCTTCATCTCGATGAGGTCTTTGTAGAGGGTTATTAGTCGAGGGAGGTTGCAGTCGGGGTATTTTTCTGCTACCACACGCAACAGGTCCTGCGGGATATCGGCCGTGTAGTTTTTGGGCACATCATGGGTGAATTTGAGGCTTTCAAAAACCGTCATTGCACCGTCGTGGTCGCCACGCAAGGTCAAACTCTTGAGCTGTAGTTCGAGTGAGGTTCGATTGGGCTCTATGCCCCGCGCGGAGAAGATGGAAAAGATTTGATCAACCATTTCGTGGTTGTTCAATGATATGGCGGTTTCGAGAAGGGTGTTGATTGTTTCTGCGGATGGTGGCTGACCGCCTTTTCCAGCCCGAGAAGCCATGATGTCGAGAAGCTGGTTCACCTCTTCAGTGCCTTCCGACGTTCTGGCTGCGAATTCCAACACCGTATCCCAAGCTCCCAATCCCATCTTGATGGCAGGGTCCTTCGCATGTCTCGTCAATAGTGTTCCTAATATCTCCTTCCCCCATTCAAACTGTCCGCTGCGTAAACACGCTTTGAGTAAGCTGAGATAAACGCGGATCGTATTGGTCCCTCCATCCGAGAGTACCGCAACCGCCCTGTCATACCACAGCTTCGCATTCTCCAGATCATCCCGCTTGCAGTAGTATACCACAGGATGATAGTAGAGTTGTGCTGCCGCTGCTCCCGTCTCCTTGGCAAGCAAGTCCTCCAACGTCTCCATTAGTTTCTGCTCCTTCCCCTCCTTCCCAAGCCCCTCTAACGTCCTCTCCCATATTTTTCGCCTAGCCCCCTCCTCCAAGCTTCCCGACCACTGCTTCGCAACTTCCACCGCCTCCTCCGGGAATCCCGCGGCATTGAGTGCCACAATATAGCAGTAAACATCATCCCCAGTCGCAACGAAGCCTTCGCTCCCCACCAGATCCTTCCACACCTCCCTCGCCAGTGCTAGCTGCTTCGGACTCTGACCCGGCAGGGTCACCAGCGCTTTCCTCAGCACCGCCGGCTCGAACCTCAGGCCGTGCGTGCGTATGTACTCGTATGCCCTCGCCGCAAGTGTAACATAAGAATCGCGCATGACGCGGGGATAGTAGCTCTCGACGAGTCTCGTGAACGCTACCGCGATCGCCTCGGGAGAGGGCGCCGCACCCAGTTTTTTGTCCAGGTGGTTGACCAGCGCAACTAGCGTCTGCATTCCTGTCACATCTTTCGTTACTTCTGCGCTGCCCTGGAGGAATTTCGGAACGTAGATGGCTCTGCGCTGTTGGTGCTGTGGTGGGAGAGAGGAGGAGGAGGAGGAGGGGAGCTGGGCGGAGGTGGTGGGTGCGAGGCGGTGCGGACAGCGGAGGATGTCACCGAGTAGTGGCCGGCGTGGGAGCTGACGGAGGGGGTTGCGGGGACGCATGGGGAACGTCAATGGCTGATAAGGTTGATCCGGTGGACACTGGTGATGGTTGAATGGTTCTTCGGAGGTGCGGCGGCGACAGCGGCGGTGGTGGGGTGACAGTAGCGATGGTTACCCTGTTGCCCCACCACCTCCGAGAAACCTGGTTCACGAGCCAGGCCAAACGAGTAGTATTCCCGCCGCGCAATGCCGACATCATGACTACAGCTAGGTCTCTCTTCCGTACCTGCGCCTTTCGGGCCTCCGTCGTGCCCATTATCAGACCATCCTACCAATGCATCCGCCACGGCTCCTCCGCGTCATCGACGCGCTGGCTCAACAGGCAGAGCAACGACCACTACAACAAACAGGCAAAGGTCCTACGTCTTCGGTCTCGTGCGGCTTTCAAGCTTCTCGAAATCAATGAAAACTACGGATTATTTAAACCGCGGATGACAGTGGTGGACCTGGTATCCTCTCTCCTTCCCGTCTGTTACCGACACCCCCGAGCTGACACAAACAGGGCTACGCACCAGGCTCATGGAGCGAGGTTTGTCTTCGCCCCCGAGCCCCTCAGCAGACCGCGCAGCATCATAACCTCTGCGGGAAGAACTAGGTGGCGATAGACCGTGTATCACCGGGCGGGCGGGTAGTAGGCCTCGACATCCTCCCGGCGCAACCGCCGAAGGGTGTTTCAACCCTTCAAGGCGACTTTCTCTCACCTTCGGTGCAGTTGATGCTCCGCGACTTCCTCTCTGATCCTGAGCGCGGACGGGCGCGCGCATCAGTAGTGGACAAAGCGTACATCGACATCGAGCGCGAGGAGACAAGCGGCAGCCACGTGGAAAATCCGGAAAAGACAGTTGATGTGGTCCTCAGCGATATGTGGATACCCTGGGAACCGCCGCCAAAAAACTTTCTGCGGTCTCTGACCGAACCTTTTAGGTTGATGAATACCAGCGGGATCCGGTTTAGGGATCATGCCGCCAGCATGGTTTGTCACTCCGGACTTTCAACGATGAGGACGACTGGTTGACTGACAACTGGGGCGGAGATAGGACCTCTGCAATGCGGCACTAATGTTCTGCCTGGATGTCCTTAAGCCAGGCGGCCACTTCGTGTGCAAGTTCTATCAGGGAGCCGAGGATTCAATACTGGAAGCGAAACTAAAGAAACTGTTTACGAAGGTGCATCGCGACAAGCCAGATAGCTCTAGAAAGGTCTGTCCAAGCCGCAAGGTCCTCCCGTAACAATCCGACTGACGAAAATTCAGGAATCTCGGGAGTTGTACTTTGTCGCGCTCGCGTTGAAGAAGAATGTTAGTAAGGCTATGATTGAGGAGAAACGGCCAACAAAACCAGCACAACCGCCACCAAAAGAAGAGGAAGAGTTTTGAGTAGTCCACAGGGCTGGTAGGTAACTAAGGAGGCTGTCCAACAAAGTTGGCGGCTGGGAGGGTGAGCTGTTACAGCGGGTAGTTAGTATGCAGCTAGGCCACCGATGAAAGGCACGGGTCTTGGTTGTACATTCTATCGATAGCATCGGTCCATACAATGCAATAATACATCAATACTCCACAATCAGAAAGTGCATCACTCTCATATGCATATACCCACCAGCTTACTCTAGCCCGCCAATGCTCCACCCATCTCCCAAATCACCCTTACCCAGTCCTGCTTTATGGCTCCGTTTCATAACCCTAGATCTCGATAGTAGCTGCGAGACCACGAAATGATTTACATCCTGCAATCGCGTTAGCATCAGCACTCCAGCCGGACTATCACCATTCAACATACCTCGTCACCCCAATAACTCAAGTGACTAGCAATGCTCGCGATGACACTGATGTCAAACACACCCTCCTGAATCGCAAAGTCTATGCGTCCAGTCGAATTAAGTGCGCGGACTTTATCCTCCTCATTTCTGACTCTAGACTCATCCACGTCTCCATCTGACAAGACACCACTCTTCCGCTGCTTCTGGAACCCGGCGAACAACGTCTCGATCTCAGCATCGAGCATTGTGGGTGGGTGTTTCCCCTCCATCTGGTGTATTCCTGATTTCTTGTCACCGCCGGAAGTGCTAATGGATGTGATGGGCTCAGTGATGCCTAAGCTGCGATTGAGAATCGAGCTCGCGATGCCTGAGTAGACAGAGCTCCACATTGTTGCGACGCTGCGAGTGACACTTTGGCCGATGCCAGAAATCCCGCCGACGATTTGGCCGTTGGAGCTGAAGAGGCCGCGCTTGGTATAGGGGAGGGGTTGGGGCTTGAGTTGGGCCATTGCTTTCGATACCAAGGGCTGCGTGTCGTGTCAGCTTTCTGAAGACGCACAGATGTCAAAGATAGCAACAGACGCACCTCCATGCGGTATGATATTGGGTCTGCAGGGTGAAAAACGTTGAACAGTTGCGCACATTTGGGCGAGGAAACGAGGAAGGGAATCTCAGCCGTGGATGAATGTGGTTTAGGATCGAAGGGCCCATAACTTTCGTCCAGAGGAGAAGTGACGGGATCTCCTCCATGGTTAGGACGTGCACTGATGGTTCGACCTTTGAGCATCTGGAAGAGTCCAACCGGAGATCCCAACGCAAAGAAATTTTCAACACTGCGTTTCAAGGTTTAGTACAGTTCCTTCAGTATTCAACCAAGAGAAACATACGGGAAATCTAGTGACGGTAGCTCATTCTTTGCCAGCACAATCCCAGGATCACCGGGTTGCCGACAGAGAATGTCAAAGATAATTGCCGATCCCAAAGAATGTCCCACAAGGCTGATCTTGCCTTTGAATCCGGGATTGCGCTCCTTGAATAGCGCGTAGATCCGATTGCACTCTGTAAGAACTGTTCGAATGATATGCTCACGATATGTCCCACTTTGATATAGTAAAACGTCCAGTGCGAGGTCCGTCATGAGGTTTCGAACATAAGGAGCACCTTCGACGGTAATATCCTCGAGGGAGGGATACTCCTCCTCATAACCCGAGTCCTTGCTGCTAAGATCTTGCTCTCCACGGTTCTGCCTCAATGACTGCTTGGGGAAGTCAAGTAGATGCCTCCAACCTTTTGTAGGATTAGCAACGAGAAGACATAAATTTCATAGACGCTTCACATACAAACTGGTAGGCATTGTACTCGGCAATTCTTCCGCTTGCTCTCGGCAGTTTCCCCGTTGAGCACCTGCAAATCCGGACTGACAGCGTAGACGCCCTTGAGCGACTTTCGGAAGACGTTGACATCATGCACCTACACTCCTGGTCAGATCTAAACTCATAGATTCACTACTCAGGTAAAACGCACAAAATTCACACTCTCCATCTTCATCGACAGCTTTTGCCCGATTCCATGTGTCACCAATAGTAGATGTTCAATTTCTCTTCCTGGGTCATCAGTTTCGTCATCGTCGCGGTAGTCCTCTTTGATCTCAGCCTCCATCATCTTCTCCTCGGCCTGCTGGTCCACGTAGGAAGACATTTTACGCTCCAACGCCAGTCGGCCAGAAGAGACGCTCATGCGTCGGTCCGGTGCGTCGTCCGGATGCCTTATAGTAGAACTAGTAGACGATGCAGCCGGCGGCATTCGTTGCTGATATTTCTCGTCAACAGAAGGTGCGGACTTATTTTCAGCTACTGGAGCCGCTGGAGCTGCTGGAGCCGTTACAGTAGATTTCGGCTCGGAATATCCTCTGACGAGCTTTATTCCTCCCATGTGAGTACCGGCTGACATGCGCTGCCACACGGTGGCAGCGAGTTTCCCGTAAAAGTCATCTGTAAAGAGCCATGCTGTATTCGGATCGACAAAAACTACGAATGAGTTAAGGTGTGCACCTAACAGTCTCCACGTTTGCTGTTGGGCTTGGGTGGATGAAGTTGAAACGCCATCTTTTGTTGTTGTTGTTGCTACAGGCTTTGCAGGAGCTTCTCCATCAGTGCTTGATTCCGTCGTCTTCGATGGCTTAGCCTCCGGCTGCTCCTTAGTAGCCGCTGCCACCACCGTCCGGAATGGCTTTAAGTTAAGGTAGCCCTCCTCGATTTGCGTAGCCAAATTCTCGTCGCACGGCCTGCCCTCTGTCCGTTATTTTAGCTTCTGTACTTTCCGCACACACCCTCTCGATCTAGATACCTTGATAGAACCACGTCCCGCGCTTAACCTCATACACCGGCCCCTCCCAATAAACCGGTCCCAGCTCTCTCCTCTTGATGTCCACGTCAAAGAGATAATCCTCATTGACGGGGACCTTCACCTCCTTCTCCTGGGATGGCTTCCCAAACCCTCCAAAACTCCCCGTACCCACGCTCGCATCCGTAAATAGCTCGATCGCGGAAGCACGCTTGTACTTCGTACTCTCGGCGAGCTCCTCCTCTTCTGAAAGCTTTTGGAAGGCGGCCTCGATGGCGCGGGAATCGCGAGCGCAGAACGCTACGAACTTCGACGGAGGTTTCGACGGCGGAGTATTCTGGGGTTGGAACGGCTTTCGCTTCGGGACCTGTCACCCCGCACGGGCATGAGTTAGCTCGTGTTCCACGTATGTACGCCAGCGTCACGTATGTATGTAGCTGGGGGAGAGAAACTGACATCCACCGCGTAATACCACCGGACGTTGAGCGGCGGACAGTCCGGCGGATACTCTCTCTGCGATAGCCGATGCAGCGAGGACGTGGCATGATCGTTCGTCGGCTGGTTGGAAGGAAGCGGAGTTGTCGGTCTCGACATCGAGGAGCTTCCTCCTCCTCCCAGTGGTCCCGGCGTAGGTGTCTGTAGCCGTGACGGGGAAGTGTTGCTGGTCGCCATTATTGCTTTCGCAAGTCGTTGTGGTAACTGCCGGTGGACTTTCCGGGCAATATATCGAGCGATGAGGGGCAGGCGGAGCAGCTTGATAGCTGAGGTAGGGGTCTTGCCGTTCAGGGCAGGGGGGCGGTACGCGTATGAAATGTAGGTTCAGAGCTCCTGAAACTTAGAAATTGGGAATTGAAAGGAAAGAACAGCTTGCTTGACGCTATCGTGGTATTACTATAGCAACTACAGCTAGACGATTGATACTACACGGGGGTTCATGGTCCAACAAGCTACTGTCCAATGACGTAGGGAAATCTTGAGCTCCGATGCGGCTCTTTGGTGGAGGGTGCGAGACCATGACTGGCCAATATTCAACTAATGAATTGTTTGCTCACTGCCAAAAAACTAAACGCACATACGAGCAACTGTAATGATTCTAGGATGCCTCCAACGTATCAATCCCGTCTCTTCAAGACAAAAAATAAAACCACCGCTTTTGATACCAATACATTATCGTCATCAGTGCTACGATAGAGAAAAGCAAATGAAAAGCGTGCCCCTAGCTAGACACATCCACATCCGCAACAACAAAGCCTACATATGCTCGTAAGTGGCCATCAAACTGCCCAAGAAGGTGACAACGAGTCTGCTTCTCACAGACACGATATCCTCAGGAACCAGCCTATCGCAAGTTAGCGTCGGAAAATAATTGTAATCGGAGGAGATTGAGAACATACCAGATGGTTGCACCCATCTTCCTTGCAATACTGATACTCAGTTTGGCGTTCATGTAGGCGTCCTCCTCGGTCCTGCCATCATTCACCAATGCATAATCGACATAGCCACTCTTCATGCCGTTCAGCACATCCAGCAAGAAGACTCCAGTGCCCAAGCTCTGGTCCTTGAAACTTCTGACACTGCTTCCACGGCCACCGCGCTTCGCCATTTCGTTTGCCCACTTGAGCATGTAGGAATCGGTGATCTCAGCCATTCCGACCTTCTGCGCCAATCCTTGCAGAGTGCGAGTGATATCCCGTCTCATCAATTGCCAGGTGATGGCAAGGGTGAGAGTACGCTGACCATCGGTGATGTCGGCACCCTGGATACCGACAAGCGAGAAGCGGTTCTGCTTTCCGAGCTCGACAGCGTAGTTAGTGTTCTCGACAGCCTTGAACCGCATCAACTCGCCTCCGTGAGCAGGAGCCTTGTTGACATGCCGCCAGTTGACCGAGCCAGGAATGACTTTGTCGTAGGCTTGAAGCAGGATGGTTCCATCGCGCAGGTCATCGAACAAGGAGTTCACCGAAGGCTGGACATCTAAAGAATTGAGCCACAAGGTGAAGACACGAGCCTCACGTTCGCCCTCCGCGTCGAAATCGTCGATTTCCACTTTCTCCTCCTCGGTCAGGGCATCAAGACCAGGGTGGGTGTTGAAGAGGTTGGCAACAAAAGCCAAGTTAAGCTTGGGATTACCAGCGACGATGGACTTAGGGGTAAGGAACTTGCGGCAGTCGAGTTTGTCGGCGTTCTGGAGGACTTGCTCGGCACGGTCGTGAAGGTCCGGGGTGTTTAGAGGGCCGCGAGAACACAGATCCGGTGCGAGCTGGTTCAAAAGAACAGTGTAGTTCTCACCGTCCGAAACATCTTTGCTAAAGTTGTTCACGCTGCAGAAAATACGGTCAGTCAGGCCCGGTGAGCTCGCCCCCCGCAATTGGCATGCAGTCACTTACGTTCTGTGCCATTTCGCAGCTTTCAAATGGTAGTTGAACCACCGCAGAAGGATCTGCTCCGGAGGCAGCCTCAAGAACTGCTCCAATGTCTCATCCTCGTCCAGCAGCCGGTACAGCTCTGGGTGAAGCTTGATATCGATCTTTCCGAGCAAACCGCGGCGGATAATCTGCCAGATCAACCCAAGGATCAAGTGCTCCCTGACCTCAATCATATCCCCAGAACCAATGTTCACGACCGAACAACCAATCGCCTTCGCCGAGTTGATCACAATGTTGTTGTTCTCCGTCATGTGAAACTGGTTCAGCTTCTTCATGCGAGTACTGGTTCTATTCAATACACGCTCATCGATGGTATCCGGCACAGAGTCGTTGATGAGCTTAGCGAGCACCAGACCGTCCTTGCACTCGTCGAACATCTGGAAGGTATCGGTTGGGAAAGGTAGCCGGTCACCGATATCGGAATCCCCAGCCAGGACGGCATTGATGTGTCTAGTGAACTCGGTCCTTTCGTCCTCGTTGATGGTGTGCGCACTGCTTCCGGTTGCTCCGGACATCTTGATCACACCACCTCCCTTACTCCCAGTTCTCGCATGAGTAACCGCTGGTACAGCCCTCGATGCCGCAGATGTTGGTGCTGACTCGGAGACTCTCAGTTTCGAGATCAACTGTCCCTCGAAACACGCATTAGCTCTCATCCACCCCCTACCACAACTCTCTCAGGGAGGAGGTAACTGACATCGACGAAATCATCCAATTCAACCCTCCTGGAGCTATCCAGCTCCACCTGCTTGAGCGCAGCCCTGACCTCGTCGTACGACTTCCTTTCCAGCTGCTGCACCACCTTGATGGCCGTCGCTTCATCGAGATATCCATTATCCTCCTCGTCGACGCGCTTGAACGTGTCCTGGAGCGCAAAGATCCCGTCCTGTCCGAACTGCGGATACTTCCGGGCGAGCTTTATCACGTTCATCGTTTTCGTTGTTGTATCGTATCGGTGAAGGTTGTTTGGAGGGGTGGAATGAGGGGTTTGTTTGTGCGACGTATGTCTGAGATATCTGAGCGATAGTTAGAGAGGGTGCGAGCTCCAGGAACGAGCTCATATATATAGAATTGTTCCGAAGTGAAGTTAAGCACTTACGTATCACCGCCACAAGGGCTGGGGGCTGGGTCAAGATGTGTGATGGCTTGCTTGCGTGGCCTCTGAAGATGGGGATGTTTTGGTTGATGGAATGTTCGCAGGCGGGAAGCGGAGTTCCCTGGATCCTAGCCAAGCCACCATCTGTTCGGTGACGTTTGCCCCTGTTTGGAGAAGAGCTACTCTAGTTACTCACAGTAAGCAGAGCACAGCTTTGTTCGTACTCGTACACCATCCCTACAGCGGTACCAAAGCTTAGGGCGGCAATGGGTATCTTTCGTTTCCGGTGTCCGTGTTCGACTGTGTTCTATGTAGTCTCTGACTCGCATCTAGAGTAAACCGACATGCAGGCCACGATCACCGTCGCTTCAGCTCGACACAGCTAGCCTCAGAGGGTCCCGTTTCCCTACAGTACCGAGGCATCTAGGCCCTACGCAACTCCAGCGAAAATGGGCCCTGAGAAGGCCAAGAGAAGCCTCGTCACTTGCTGCGCGTGCAAGTGACTCGCCATGATCAGTGGTCTTCATACCCGTGTGGCCATGGGCGTGACCGGATTCACTATGGATAACGTCACCGTGCAGAGAGCCCCCTCCGATCATCAGCTACGTTTCTTGAAATCCCATTGGCTGCGGAGACCTTCATACGCGCCCCACACTCCATCATAACCCTTCACCCCGCCTCACCTCTCGTCTTTCACATCTCCTAAATACTTGGCTATACAGGATGTCCGCAAAAACCACGATCTTGCTATCCAAGAGCAATCTCCCGGCTGATGTCGAGATCATAATCTTCGGCCAACGGTACCACCTCCACAGCGCCGTGCTGCGCTTGTTCTCCGGGTTCTTCGACGGCAGTCTGTCCGAGAATTGGTGGAAGCCCGAAAATACAATCTCCGGGCCGACGTCGATAAGTTACCGGTATGGCTTGTGCCGAGATGAGAGTGGCGACTTGATGCTAGTGCCGGTGGGGCCGGATGTAAGCTCTCCAGAAGACGGAAGACGCGGGAACACCAGTGACTGATACCACTCAAGGTGGTGTTAAACGAGGTCCTCCCTTCAGCACCGGGGATGCCGCCACCGCCCAACGATGAGGAGAAAGCCTACCTCGACCGTGTAGACGCCGAAACCGAGATGGCGCGGTCCTACGATAGTCTCTTCCGGATAATCTACCATGCGCCGATTACCGGCTACCAAACCGACAGCGAATGCGAGAGCCTGCTAGAAGTCGCAGATCTGTACTGCAGTCGTTCCGTCGTTGCCGCGCAGATCGAGCACAAGCTGCTTTCGTCCCCGGACATCGCGCAGGCGCTGGCGCACAGAGCGCTGGAGTTCTTGAATCTCGCGACGAAGATCCGCAGCAAGAAGTTGTTTAAAGACTCGTTTATACATCTTGTGGGGAGGTGGAAGGTTTATAGAGAGGTGCGGGATCTGGACTTGCCGGAGAGCATCACGGTTCTGGCAGAAGAGGAGTACAACCGCATCGGCGAGATGATTTCGGCTGCCTCCAGTGAGATAGACCGGCTCACGGCGGGCTCGGAGGAGTATTCGATGGCATATCCGGTTATCCACCGGATTCTCCGAAGATCCTTCACTGACCCGGGAAATAGCGGGAGCACGAGAGAGGGAGTGATGTACCGGCAAATCAGCAGCCCGACGACGTGGGTGATGAATGAGGAGGAGGAGGAGATACAGGCAGGAATGGATGCCAGGTTTCCTGAGAGGGCGGGCGGGTTGCATGCGTTTTTGGCGAGGATTCCGGAGAAGGTGCAGGGCATCGTTGCCCCGCTGCTCAAGAACAATCTCGTGCTTGGGAAGGGATTGAATTTTCAGCATTTGACCTGTGCTGAGCTGGGAGATGATCGATATCCATGGGACGATAAGGAACTGTGGTAGATAGATTTGGTGGGGAATTTGGTTGGTTGGGTGGACTGATGGAGCAACTTTGACGGTCGAGCGATGTTGTGTCTACAGCTCCAATGTTTTATTCCGAGGAGTGTCGTCTATGTACTTATGATACCTATACTGAGTTACTGCATCAGAGTTGGAATTTACCTGTCCACAGTATCACATACACCTACAGATAGCACTTACCTACACTCATTGCTGTGCATTTTCGAATCCCAAACTGGCCAGCTAAACAGTATACGCAACACTGGCCAGTCTGCCCCCAAATCACGGTTACATCACCATATCTACCACTTCACGTTTGGTACCGGATAGTGAGGTTACCAACCCATCATTCATCCGCCATTCACCATTTGTCCGTTATTCATCATCATCTCAGTATGTCAGTCATCAACGCAAAGAAATCCCAGTACAGAAAGAAAAAAGAAAAAAGCATATGTCAAGCAGACAATCCCCCAAGTCACATTTCAGTGACATAACAGCATATGTAACCTAACAAGATCAACGCAAACGCAAACAAGCCATGATATCCCCGTAAAAATGCTGCAGACCATCCTCCCAAATAAACATAACACCGTAAAGTTCATCTTCCCGTATCCGGACATCCTGTCGGTGAAATCTCCCCAGTCCACCGAGATTTCGTCAGAGCTCCGCTCCGACAGAATAGAGGCTGAGAGCCTACAAGATCCGGACATAGGAAGCATGAAAACAAAAACAGAGAAAAAAAACATAACACCATACTCATCCTCCCATGTCCAGACATCCTGTCGGTGAAGTCTTCGAAGTCCACCGATATTTCGGCAGAGCTCCGCCGAGCACTCCGACACAATAGAGGCAGAAAGAGCCTCGGATATCCGGACATATGAAGAACGAAAAGAAAAAAAAACAGAACAAAACATCACAACAATGGTCCTTCGGGAGGAAACCATCAGACAAATGAGAAGAAAAAAAACAGAAAACATGTAAAATCCCCAATGTTTACTAGAGCTATGTGAAATCAGAAAGGAGATGTCGTAGAGGGCATCGGAAAAGAAATGCCAAGAAGGACAGATCGAATTTTAGGGGGAAGGGGGAAGGGGCACGGGAAGGGAAAAGGGCAAAGGGGAAAGGGGGCAGGAAAGGAAAGTTGAGACTAGGATATATGGGATTAGGTATATTCCCGTCTCTTTTTTTGGGGGGTAGGTGATTAGAACGTCGTCAGCTTATACTCTCCCGAGAGAGAGTTCAAGATACGAAATTGAATCACCCACGCCATAGATCCGCGATTAGCGAGTGGCATCTCCACTCTCGGGACCCAAGAAAAGGTCCGCGAAGCGAGAGACACCACGGGGAGGAACAGCGTTAGTGTTGGTAATCCTGCGGATCGGCGGGGCCAAAGGCCTGGAAGTCCTGAATCCAAGAGCTCCAGAAGCCCCAGACTCCCTCCAACGAGTCGTGGCACCGTAGGACTGAGCAGCAGTATCAGCCCTCCGCTCGGGAAGGAACTCATCTAAATATCGATGTGTTAGAAATTTAAGCCACTATGGGGGGAGAGACCTCGAGGACTTACGAGCGTAGCAGCAGCGGGAACCGTACGTGCATCCTCCATTCACCCATGCCAGGCAAGTCTTAGTTTTCCACTGGCCATGGCGCTGGACAACACGAAGCTCCTGGGCTCCGTGAGCGAACTGGCAAGACTTTCCATACTTGCACTCTCCAACCTCACTCCAGTTGCGGCACATCTCAGTCTTGTAGAGATTGTTGGTCTTCTTATTGGCATGCCGAGGAGTAAGAGGAACACTCTGGCGACCACTTCCACCGGGAACGGATGGATGGAACGCGGCAGCCGATGTGTAAGGCCTAACCGGAGTCCTAGGGGTGTTTGGGGTCGTGGGCGTAGTGGGCGTAGTCGGTTCGAACATAACTCTCCTGCCGGAAGAAGGGGTCCTGGGAGCAACTAATGCGAAGGACTGCCGAGGGGTGGCCGGAGTGGCCGGAGCAGATACGTTTTCCCTCTTGAGAATCTATACGAGAGCAGTCAGTTAGTCGAGAAAGAATTGAAGTTGATGAAAGGATTTAGAATTCCATCGGAATAACTCAAGCAACATTGTTTCCGTGGCACAGAAGAGCCACTAAGGTATGTGAAGAGACTCACCGAATGGGGCTCGGAGGCACCAGCACTGGCATTGTTCATCGCCTGAACGTGAGCAGCATTGTGCATCGCCTGAGCGTGAGCAGCATTGTTCATAGCCTGAACGTGACCGGCATAACCCGCTCCATTGATTCCACTATAGAACAGAATTAGTTCGACTCTTAAGAATAGTTGAGAACGATCTGGACGGCTGCAACATACTTTGATCTAGAAGCAGCGCCAGCATTGTTCATCATCTGAACTTGACTGGCATAACCCGCTCCATTGAATCCACTGTAGAACAGAATTAGTTCGACTCTTAAGAATAGTCGTGAATGATCCGGATGACTGCAACTTACTTTGAACCGGAAGCAGCGCTTGTGGTTCTAGTGAGCATTGGAGGGCCCTGGAGCATTGGAGGGCCCTGGAGCATTGGAGGGCCCTGGAGCATTGGAGGGCCCTGGAGCATTGGAGGGCCCTGGAGCATTGGAGGGCCCTGAGGCATTGGAGGAGCCGCGAGCATTGGAGGAGCCGCGAGACGCCTGTGCTCGACACCTATTTCGCGCATAGTGTTCGTGGCCCAAGGAGAGTGGCACATCAACATGCTCTTGCTGTGCATCTCCAGTCCCAGAGGCGAGAAGAAGATAGGCAGAGGATCCATGGTATCTCCGACATACAAGCCGCAGTTGATACCAACCACACGCTCTCCTACATGCGCCTGCGTCGATAGGTAGATGAAGTTGCGGTTCTCAACGGAGCCGTTGCGAACAAAGTTGCCAGCAATCAGCCGAAGAACCTCCATCTTCATGATGAGGTTGGTCCTCAGGAAGTAGAGGCCCTCGAACCGGTGGTTGCGAACAACGCAAGCCTCACTTCCGAAGAACTCCTGAGGCCTGTCTCCAGCGATAAAGTGGATTGCACCGCCGTCTGGCAAGATGAACAAATGTTCACCAGCGGGCAGATGGAAGTCTGTTGGAGATGTTAGATCGAGCCACAGCCACCGAGGGGGAGAAAGGAAAAACTTACATTCATCTAGCCTCGGAAGAATAGTTTCAAAAGACTGCATCGTCTGCTGGGGGAGATCAAGACGGTACTCATTCTGTTGCTCGAAGCGGTTATATCCGGATCCCGAAGAGTCACCAATGTTGACACAGTTTTCGCCGTCTTTGATGGCAGCCTTGCTGAATCCACTCAAATATTCCTGTTCAAGAAGGACCATAACCATTGAATGGAACATTTATCACGCTCATCACGAGAGAGAGGCAGTAGCGATGTTAATGTCTCGTTGGCTAGAAAACTGAGCGAGTGGAATGCTGTTGACCGATGAGTCTACCTTGACTGATGTGTATCTGACCAGCTATGTGCTAATAGCATTGGATGCAAACCGCATGCTTTAGGAACGACAAGCTGGTCGAGATCATCGTGGATGTCAAGGAGAAACGATCAGTCAGTACGCTCTTCCAGTAGCGACAACGGAAGACATGTCATCCGCCACTGCCATGTCTCTCATGATGGAGCGCATGGTCCCATTCAATGTAAGGTCCAAGTAGTCAGCAAATGTTTTAAATGTTGGAGATGAGCGAAAGCAAAAAGGAACGATTGATACATCATGTCTCATGTGTTGGGGACAGATGATCAATGAGTTCACCATCATACGATCGATTGTCATGGTGGATAACCAGGAAGATAAACAGGAAGGAAGGACAACTTACGGATATAGGTCGAGAGCCGTGACCGCGACGAACAGAGAGGCTAGCTTGCGGCTGGCTGGTGTCGTCCGACTTGACAATCGTTTCCTCGGATTCAAAAGAACCAACGCTCTGGTCGTTAGAACTAGAGAGCGACTCCGAATCGCCGACTCCGTTCCCGCCGATAGCGTTCTCTCCGACAACGTCCTCGCCTTCGACGTTCTCGGGTCTCTTAGAGGCAGCGTAGTGAGACGCCATGTTTTGTATTAAGGGGGGGGGTAATTAGAGATTGGGGAGGCAGGTACTGAAAGGATGGATTTGTAGAGGGGAGGAGTAAAGACAGATGGAGGACGGGGCAGTCAAAGGAATGGGGAATACCAAGTACTCGCAGAAGTACTCGGCAAGGAAGAGGTGAGTGGTGTGGTGGTTGAGAGAAGAGGAGAGTGAGGAGACGGAAACCGGTGGAGGGGGGGACCGTTGTGTGGACCGTAAGGGTTGGCGGTCGTTTGTGCAGGACGGCCCTTGACCTATGACCAAAAGGCCGTCACGACGGGTTGAGCTCCCACGCTGCTGCGGCGCTGAGCATTTCCACCAAATCTAACCGCAAATCCTTCAAGTTTGGCAGACGGCTCTGAAGATGAGTTAAATTGATTTCCCCTGGTTCTCAGAAGCATCGGCCGCAATGCGTTACATTGCGGGTTAATAGGTATTCCGTTGGGTTCTGGATGACATTGTGAGGGAGAAAGAACGGCCAAAAATGAAAATATGAGTGACGGCGTGTATGTTTGGACTCCACGAAAATGTAGAAATGGATGAAAGCACATCAAAATGTGAGCTGCCAAAACAAATTCTGATGCCCTTCGAATCAATTTGAGCTGAGCTGTGAGTCAACCCTATGGAGGAAGAATGAGTTTATGCTGTGATAGAAGTGTCGAATGACAGTTGATGATTATTGCCTGAATCAGTCATGCATGGGGCGATGGATGGAGTGTCATACATATGGTGATGTTACACAAGATTGCCAAGGAAATCTGTAGGGTTTTTGGGACAGTATATGGTCAGGTTCTTCGATGGCGCTGTGTAGAGCGAAGGTCCTGTTGTCCGAGACCGCAGTTATTGGAGGAGGAGTTGCCGTCCGGCGAAAGGAACAGAGAACAGTGTGAATCGACTGCTAAGGCAGTATCTCAAAGAGCAAGATTCGCCGCCGGTGTAGATATTCTTGGTCCTAGTGCTGAACGCAGCGGGTTCGTGCGACAGCTGATTAAGCCTCGAGAGCCCTTCTGTGGAGCGGATGACCGCTGGGTTTTATGTTTCAGTCCCGAAGAGTTCGAAGACCGGATCCTACCGCTTATAGAATCTTGTCATACTCGTAGTCTCGGCAAAAAGTGAAATTACCTGTCGTTCACGTCCGGCTGGTTTTCAGTGCTCCTGATGTAGCATATATGACTCAACTTATCCACCATGATCAAGCAAATGTCTTCGGCTATGTCAAGCAAAAACGAACGGTATATACATAAGCAAGCAAAACTCCCCGCTCTCAATCAACCCCTTACACTTACTGCTGCCATGGCACGGGGAACTTTCGGGTCCACTCAGCAACCTCCTTCCTTAACTCCTCAATCTCGGGGTAGTCAGTCCCATCGCCGAGCTTCTTGAGGTAATCCTTCAACGTCTGCTTGGGACCAAACTTCGAATCTAGCGAGCGGGCGATCTCCACACCGCGGCCGAGGAACTCCGCAACCTGTGCAAAATCCTCCTCGTCCAGACCCCGCGTCGTCATGGCGGGACTTCCCAGTCGCAATCCACTGGGCTTGAGAGCGCTCTTGTCGCCGGGCACAGTGTTCTTGTTGGTGACGATGTTGGCCAGCTCCAGAATGCGCTCTACGCGTGCTCCGTCGATCTTCTTGGGTCGGAGATCGAGCAGGACGAGATGGTTGTCTGTGCCGCCGGAAACAATGTCGTAACCCTCCATGGTTCGGAGCTTGTTGACAAGGGCCTTGGCGTTCTTGAGGACCTGCGACTGATACTCTTTAAACTCGGCTGTCTTTGCCTGACCGAGGGCCACAGCGAGAGCAGTGATGGTGTGGTTGTGGGGACCACCCTGGTGGCCGGGGAAAACGGAGGCATTGATGGGGCCCTCGAGATCGTACGGGACTTCTTCGCCGTTCTTTTTCACGCTGCGGACTCCTTTACGGAAGAAGATCATGGCTCCTCTGGGACCACGCAACGATTTATGGGTCGTTGTCGTGACGATGTCGGCGTCTTTGAAGGGGGATGGAATAACGCCCGCGGCGATCATACCGGAGAGATGTGCGATATCCGCCATCAGGTAGGCGCCGGTCTTCTTGGCAATTGACTTCATGAGGGAGTAGTCGATGAAGCGAGAGTACGCCGTTGCGCCGGCAACGATAACTTTAGGGCGGTACAGGTCGGCGAGCATGGCCAAGTTGTCGTAGTCGATCAATCCCGTTTCGATGTCCAGGCGGTATGGCAAGGTTTCGTAGTACTTCGAGATCATACTAATCTTCTTGGTGGGTGTCTGGTAACCGTGCGAGAGATGGCCACCATGCGGGAGATCGAGTCCCATGATCCGGTCGTGGGGTCCGCACACCGCCGAGTACGCATATAGGTTCGCCGGAGATCCGGAAAGAGGCTGGACGTTGACTCCCCATTCCGCCGGATTCAAATCGAAAGCCTCGAGGGCGCGCTTCTGACAAAGAGTCTCGACAGCATCGATCTGCTGGTTACCGCCGTAGTATCGTGCGCCGGGGTAGCCTTCCGAGTACTTGTTCTGCATCGGCGAGCCCAGAGCATCGAGGACAGATTGTGATGTGAAGTTCTCAGATGCAATGAGGTTGATGCATTCCACCTGACGTTTTTTCTCCTGCAAGGCTTGTGAGTCACGGCCGCAGAATACTAGGGTTTGTATGTGTACGTACGGCTTCGAGGATCTTGGAGACTTCTGGGTCGGCGGTGGTAAGGTGGTCACGTAGGAGCTATAAGAAGTTAAATTTCGCTCTAGAGAACTCCGAAGGCGGAGGAGCTGGGTGGCAAATCACACCTTGTCATGGGCCGCTGGCAGAGTGCCAGCACGACGTACGCGAGAGGTTGAGAAGGCAGCCTTAGAGCGGACCGAAGCGGTACGCTGTCGAAGAACAGTTCTGGCCAACATCGTGGGTGGCTGATTGAGGCTATGGAAGTGGTGGATAGAGGGAGAGCTGGAGAGTTTGTGGAGGTGCTCAAATGGAGGATTGAGGTGGGGAAGTTAATGGGGTCTCAGTTCCTACATATCCCCACACGGGTTCCGGGCAACGGCCCGCCTAAGTGTATCTACCCTGCTAACTTATTACCAACTAGTGTCGCATTCTACGCTACCTATCAAGAAAAGTATGAAGTTGAAAGCTTTTAAAGGTCAAGAAAATCATAGTGCAACACCTACGGGAGCTTCGAAGGTTTCAAGGCATCCTCGGACAAAGAACTCGGGAGGATGATCATGTCCATCTCTCTTGGGATATTCCAAGCCTCCACCTAGCTGTCATCCATCGACACCACTGCCCTGTCCGAATCTAAGAACTTTATTTTACCGTGTGAGATCTTTATTCAAGTGGGGTACCAGTGTGAGTCTCGGCACGCAAGATTCGCCAGACATCAGAGGACGCGCACATGCTACATAAGGCAACCGGCGGGCCAGAGATTCGCGACCTAGGCTTATGTAAGGTTTTTCGTTCCTGCGTTTTCGTTTCCGACGTGGGCGATATCAGCTTCCTATATGCCTATGTGCTTATATTTCTTCTTCCAAAGCTCGTCATTCTTCTCGCCCCTCTCTTTTGCTTCTTCCTCCCATCCAACCTCCGTGACGATGGCCATCAGAACAGCAGCAACCTCGGTTCTTCGTTCCAGATGCGCGATATCGGCTTCCGCGGGGTTCCTACGCTACCATCGCTCCCATTGAATAGCCACACCCTTAGATGGCCTGATCCTCTGCGTAAGTAGTCTGGGTCCCCCTCCAGTGGTCGCTGGTGGGCACCGTGGTGCGGAAATCCGACGGCGACTCGTACTCGATGATGTAGCGTCGAAGTACTACCTATATAGCGGCAGCAACACTCGAAAAGGTGGCCAATTCTCCTGCACTCCACTCGACGCACAAGTCCGGCGCAAACAACCGCGATGCTTCAGCTCCGCAGCTGTGGCGGCCACATATCTCCCGTCCACTCAAAGGTAATCGAGCATTCGCGCATGAGCATTCGACCACTCGACCATTCGAGCTTCCTGATAGGGGCGAGGTGCTGGATATCATGGGTCAAGTAGAGTGCTCTCCCTCCTGTTCATGCAGAAGTTGCTTGGTTGCCTGAAGCAGCGACATAGAGTACAGAGTAGCCTGGAGGTGGCGAGGTAAACAAGGTGTGGTTGTAGCATTTTTCCTCACCGTGGTACGGAAATAGAAGTAGTAGTTGGACTGTTAGAGTCTAGTATCTACTGCAGTTACCGGGCTGCAGGGAGTGCGTCACTGGATTCGTTGCCATGGCAAAGCCTGGATTGGTGGCTGACCCGGCCCACAGAACATCGAGGGGAAGAACAAGTACTGAGTACACACCGTGGCCAGCGAGAAACACGGAGCTGGACGAAAGAAGGAGAAGACAGAGTGTTGGAAAGTGATCGTCCAGCCACCACACCCTCCTCGTTCACCGATAGGCGCCTCTTGTACAACTCCCTCGAAACCAAGGCAAAACAAATTCCACGGACAGTGAATTCGTTGACGTTTTGATAGAGTACGGTAACTATTGGCACCGACCGCTATTTGTCGCAAGTACCTCACCTGTACTCCCGGCCTTGTAGATATTCCCTGCTTTGCCGCGCGCACTCAACCCTCCCCCCTCCCCAATCATCTTATCTGCATATCTACCTTCGTCGGGTCCGCCGGGGGTAATAACCAGTCGCAACACCGCCTCTCTGTTTGCTCTCTGGCCACAACAACAACTGTTTAATGACCTGCCCTCGAACCTCCGAAACCCTCCACAACCTCGAGCCGCGTCCCCCTCTGCCTCGCAACCCCATCGGCCTCACGAGTTCCACGGCTTCCTCCGCCCCTACCGCTTCACTCACACCCACTACGTTCGCTTCTGCACGCGATTGGAGCCGTTTGACCTGCCTCCGAAAAGCCGTGCCCCCTCCCCCGGCTGGCACCACCGCATCCAACAACCAGCAAGTCTCGTTCCAACTCGGCCCCGGACCACCTCCTCGAACCCCGTTCTTTTCAGCACTACTCGTCGTGAGGGCTCTGCAGCCCTCCGTCTCTACCGCCCTTCATCATGACGGGAATTAGCGGTTCGACGCAGGAGCGACCTCCGATGTGAGCTTCACCCCGAGCCTGCGCTACGTACCGAAGCGCACCTCCGGTTGCGCGACAGAACTGACGAGAGACCGCCGGTGGTAAATACAGATTCAAAGCCGTCGGTGTCTCCTTGGCGGTCGCATCCGGTGTCTTCATCGGAATCTCGTTCGTCCTCAAGAAGAAAGGGCTGCTAGCAGCAAACGTCAAAGATGGAAAGGAGGCTGGTGAGGGTTATGGCTACCTGAAGAATGCGTGGTGGTGGACTGGGATGATTTTGAGTATGAATTCTTAACCCGGGGGAGGAGGGAAGAAAAGATTCGGCGCATTCGGCGGGCAACAGAGGAGTTGGGGGATGGCCGGAATGAAGGGAGGAAGAAAGGAAGGAAGGAGGACAGTGCTGACGGAAACTCTATACAGTGATTTTGGGAGAAATCTGCAACTTTGCGGCTTACGCTTTCGTGGATGCACTTTTGGTTACTCCTTTGGGAGCTCTGGTATGCTCTCTCGCGGCGCAAATTACGTCCCGATAAGATTGGTTCTGACATGTGCTGCAGTCGGTAGTAATAACGGCGATATTATCGTCGATATTCCTCAAAGAACGACTGTCGTTTGTCGGAAAGATCGGTTGTTTCATGTGTATAATAGGGGCCATCGTCATCGCCATCAACGCCCCCGCGCAAAGCTCCGTCACGACTATACAAGACATGCAAAAGTTCATCATATCGCCCGGGTTCCTCGTCTACGCCGGGATCATAATCATCGGTTGCATCTGCATCATCATTTGGGTGGCACCTAAATACGGGAATAAGAGCATGATGGTCTACCTGACAGTGTGTTCACTGACCGGAGGTCTGAGGTGAGTCCAAAGCATTTCTCGGCACATGCACCCCATGCTAATGTGTCTCGCTTTCCAGTGTCGTGGCCACGCAAGGTTTAGGTGCCGCGGTAGTTACGCAGATTGGCGGAACACCGCAGTTCAATCAGTGGTTTCTCTACGTATTACTGGTATTCGTGATCGTAACTTTACTAGTCGAGATTATCTATCTCAACGTATGGATTGACCCAATCTCTAGCATACAGCGAGCGCGTAGACTAACTGCGAACAGAAAGCTTTGAATTTGTTCAATGCCGCGTTAGTCACTCCAACATACTACGTGATATTCACATCGGCGACGATCGTAACGTCGGCTATCCTCTTCCGCGGCTTTAAGGGCACTCCGGCATCGATAACCACTGTAGTTATGGGCTTCCTTCAGATTTGTTCCGGCGTCGTCCTCCTGCAACTTTCCAAATCCTCAAAGAACGTTCCGGATACCGAGATCTTCCGTGGAGATTTGGATCAGATCAGAACTGTCGCCGAGCAATCCGAACCCGAGTCCGAGCCTAAAGCCGATGCCATCCGCGGAACGGCAGCCATAATCCGGCGTATTTCGGTGGCCAGGCGTACCGCCGAAGTTGATGAGGCCAGGAAGATCCACGAGGATCGCCAGCGGGATATGCGCACGCCTTTGTCAGCAGGCGAGACAGTGGAATGGGATGGCGTCAAGAGACGAGTGACGTGGACAGGCGAGCACGGCCGCCCCGGCCGAAGAAATACGCTTAGTGGGCAGCATCCGCCGTTGGGCATGGCGAGGATTCCCGATGAGGAGGAGGCACGAGAGGATCATCCTGCCGGCCGGAGACGTAGTATGTCGGTCGACGAAGCTATGAGACAACGCGTGTATGGGCAGGAACCGGAGGGGGAAGAACCCCATCCCGAGAGTTTCTTGGGCAGGGTCAGAGGGCTACTCACCAAGCGGAGCAAGGCAAGCTTGAGAGAGCCTACCGATCTGGCTACTATCGTACCGCATCGGGATCTCCGAGATATCAGTGGCTCCAACCCGATCGTAGGCATGTCTAGTACCCGTCCGAGGGTCTACTCAGACGCGACATTACCCGACAACATACAGTCCTCGGCGGCGTCACAGTCGTCCCCGCACATCAATCATATCACGTTTGCTGGCGATGTGGCGACTGAGATGAAGACGTACGACTTCGCCGCCGCACCCGTCTCCGCACCAGGCTATCAGCGAACAACCAGCAGAGACGGAAGCGAATACCAGTCTGTTCCAAGCGGTAGACTAGCCGTACCGGAACCAAGCACGATCCTGGGAGGCAAGTCTAAGGACAAGGACTCGCTACGACCGGATAGTCGGCAGTCGGCGAGAAGACAGTTTAGTTTCCAGTTCTTACATCGCAACGCGCACGGCCGGAGCGAGAGCCAGGGCAGTGTGGAGTCGGATGGCGGTGGGAGGCACGGCTTGAATTGGAAGCAGAAGTTGCCAGTGGGTGGATCAAAGACGGAAGAGGAGCGGCTGGGCCTCGTTAAGGGTGATAGTGTCAGCACCGGGCAGGAGACCCTGAGGAGTGATAGCCCGAGCTCGGTGGAAAAGGATGGAAGCGTCAATATCGTACCTCGTGACGATGATATCCCGAGCGGGGAATGGAACGAAAAGTGGGGTTCGAGGGGGACATGAGTTTGATGAGATGCGTTTTTAATTTTTTGGGGTGTGAATTTATGACCTACTATTGCTTCTGCGCTCTTCTTTCGTACTAATAGCTAGCGGGAGCCTTTTGGGACAAGAGGGGTTTTTTTGGCTGTGAGGATAGGATCGAGGTTCCTTTTGTTTATACCCTGGGTTTTTTTTCTTTTCTATGCTGGGTTACGATGTATATAAACCAGCCCATGGCAATCGGGCTGAAGGGCTTCGTGATGGCTTATTGTGAGGCCGTAAATTGTGTGGGGCGAAAATATATCGGCGACGTTTTGGAGGAAGAATATCCGCACCAGCGAGTGACATGAACATGATTAATGGCCGCCGGCAGCCATCCATCCATAGCATTGCATATTGCTCTTTCCCTAGGTACCTACCAAACCCACGGCTCTGTATTATATCCGTCTTCATCCTCCGTGTCATCCACCACCGCTTCAGCTAATTCATCCACATCCACATCCACATCACTATCACTGACACTAACACTAACAACCTCCCTCTCCCTTTCCGTCTCAATGAGCCCGACAGTAAGGAACGTTTCCATCCTCGCCTCCGCATCCACCCCATCATCGTCGCCATAGGCGAAAGGCCCAGCCCACGTGCCCGCATCGCTGTCGCACGAGCAGTCGAGCCGGTACATCACCCCGCTGTTGGTCGTTGCGTTCAGCAGGGAGATGGTAGTGGTGTTTTCGAGGTCGAGGTGGTCGAGGTGGTGGTAGTCGAGGGGGTGCTGTGGGGCAGTAAAGAACGGGAGGAGCGCGGAGGGGAAGTGGGTGGGGTCCGGGAGGGCGTGGGCGAGGGGGAGGAGGAGAAGGGGGGGGGAGGGGAGGGGAAAGGGGAGGAGGAGGGGGTGAGGGGATAGTGGTAGCATTCTTAGGCCAGGCCCGGGAGGGGGTGCGTTCTGGAGTACTCTATTCTAAATATTCTCCATTGCCGCGGCGGCGCGGCAAGCTTTCGGGGGTTTAGGAGCGCCGGTGGGCAGGTTGAATGGCGGGTGGCGGACGAGTTGACCATCCCCCGCCCCATACCTCCCCCTTGGTGCCTGCCTGCCTGCCTGGTTGCGTTCGTTCGTTCGTCTTCCGCGCAAGTCGAGCGATCGCCGAGTGCGAGTGATACGTGAGGAATGGAGCAGACCCGAGTGACGGCACGCAAGGGCTACATCTACACACCGGTATGTAGGAGAGGGGACGGTTGGAATGCCGACTCTCGTGGGATCTGCCTTACCCATTGAAGATCCGCAGGTGCGTATGTGTAAGTAATCAATGGGTTCTGCCACACTCCATACATTAGAACCACAGCAGCGTAAAATTTACGTAGTGTAAGCACTGCCTGATATGTACTTCTCAATTCCGTAGGGACTTAGCAGCTCCACTGTACAGTGTATTCCGCTCAATCCGCACAGTCTCCTCTACAGTATTTATTCCGCAGGCCTATGGCACTTCCTGCACTACACGAATGTTGTAAATTCTTGCTTGCGTACAGCACGTCTTACGCACAGTACGTATTTGTGAAATCAAAGAGTTTCTACCGTATGCATACCGGATTCAGTGACTGGAGTATTCTGCTCAGCACGGCATTTCATACCTAGGACTCTTGTCGTGGTTTTACTACAGTTTAGAACTACGCGATTCGCATGACATCGTTTTCTCTGCACTAGGTACGTTGTGCGAATAGGATAGTTCTCTGGTGGTTCTCTGATATTCCGGACAGTGCGTAACATGTTGCATTTGGAAGAACTGCGGTAGTTCTTCCGGCTTTTTAGTAAGCGTACCTTTCACAACACCACGTATAATTTTGCAATACTGTAGAATTGAGACTATAGGGGACAAAAACAAATACCAAATTAAACCTGTATTCTCCAAGATTGCTGGATTCAACTCCCAGCAGTAGCACTACTGGCGATCCCCGGCATCAATCGCACCCCACTTTTTGCCACTGTACATACTCTCTCACTCGGTCGCTGTAGTCACCTCCGCAGTCACTACAGACAGAGACAGGTGCAATAAAAATCGAAGCGACAAGCTGCAATCAGCGCTATTGCATGCTTGGACGCGAGTTGCTTACACAGGCTGCATTCGGCATTCTGGCATTCTGGCATTCTGCTGTGATGTTCGTACTTCGGAATGCAAGGCCGTGCTCGCCACTAGTAGTAGCTATTCTGCTTACCACCACCACCACCACCAGCAAAACTTTAGATTCAATTTTAGGATTGATCTTCATAAAGATGATGTTTAAATTCTATATTTTATCGCCAAAACACCACCACCAGCCACCAGCCACCAGCCACCAGCCACCGATCATAATGTGCGATCTCACGTCCAAGCACCAACACGCCGGGTGATAACGGTGGTCATTGACGAGTAACAGAGATATGACGGATGCCATTATCGCATCATGGGCAATGGCGCTTGATTCGATGGGAATGCGTACAATACATCTATCCATATGCCGGCTTCGTAGGATACATTCGGAAGAAAAGAGGAGAGTAGAAACATTGGGGGCCCGGGAAATATAGTATTTGGAAATCGAAAGCAGGGGGTACAGGTTGAAGTATGTAGGAGTACTATGGGAAAAGAACTTCCGATTACCCAAGTAAGTACTTACTTAGGCTAGAAAGAAATGGTGAAGGCTTTGGTCGGTGTAGGTATAAAAAATAAAACAATATTATGTAGATCGAAAACATGTATCAAGCGCCAGATTCAAAAAAAAAATGTGGGTACATAAAACGCCCCACCACTGCATGCAACGCCGTCAATACAGCCACTCGCAAAACAAAGCAAAAACGCGCACCATCCCGCTCGACTACAGTCATCTGCATGGAGCATCATGATGATCATTCATCGCGGCCCCTCAACTAGGATCCATCTAACCGGCCGAATTTCCCACCAATTTTGGCAAAGAGATTGTTCTTGCACGCCGCTTGCATCATCCCCTCTGGCATCGGGTACGGACTCTGATCCTCTGCCTCGTACCGGTCCGTCACCATCTCGAGCCAATCGTCCTCTGGGAACGAACACTTGCTCGGATCCACTGCAGGCCATCACAGTTAGCAATACATAAAGAATTGTTGGGTGGGTGGGTGGGTGAATTTACCATGCACCATCATATCCTCCATCTCATCGTCGTCATGTGTGGAGACATCGAGTTGCATCGTCATCTGCGTTTCCGCTACACCGCAGTCCAGACTCGGTTTCATCGATGCACTGGCAGTGCCAGTGACGTATGCACTGTCTGAGACTTGCGAGGGAGGGTTCTGTGAGATCGGTGAGGTAGAGTAACTGGGTGCAATAGGAGCGCAAAGATGTGGACCGCCAGGCTTGGAGTGGTAGTGGAACTCTTCGGGGAAGGCCGACAGCTGTGGCTGCGCATTCTCATCAGCCCGCTTAAATGAAGCCGAGAGCAAGGCCGCCGGCGGCGGCGGCGGTGGCGGTGGCACTGGGAAACGTCAGTTATCCACGAGCAAGGCTGTCGGAGACAGACAGACTATCAACTCTTGCATCCGGGCCACCGGTATAATCGTAGATTGGCTCGCCATTCGGCAACAGAATCGAACGTAAATCCTCAGTAGTCTTCGCATCCTTTAAATCCTTGTTTAACAGTTCCATCTGCGAGCTAAAGAATTTGTTTAGTCTGATAGGGCAGCCCGAATGCTTCAAATGCTGATTCAACTTCGCGGCGGCGCCGAATCGTTTACCGCAGCCGCAGAACCAGGGCTTTAGGTGGATACAGCGGACGTGCGCTCTAGTGTTCATTATCAGCATGCTTTCTTGATGCGGGTGGTAGGTTCATACCTGGCGTAATTGATTTCGTCGAAAAAGACGCTACCCAGAGCTACCGATTGTGGGCCTTGCCGGTCCAATCGGAGCTCGCAAATCGGGCAGATGAATTTGTGGATTTCCCTACAGTGCTCCCTAAAGACCTATAAGCAGAAGTCGGGGGAACAGATCCATCCCGGGATGGGAATTCAGAGAAGCACCTACAGGAGACCGACGGCATCTGAGTTTACTTGCCAGCACTGGCGTGCCGAATCCTTCCGATTGAATCCCATGCTGGATTTGGCCTTGTCCAAGACCGGACATCTGTTCTCGACGGGCGTCCCTCTTTCCTGGGCCGAAGCGATCTGCGGAGGGGCAGTGGTATGGGTAGCGGCAGGAACCGCAGCAGGAGGGGCGGCGGCAGGAGCACAAGCACGAGCAGCAGCGCGGGTGCGGGTGCGGGTGCGGGTGCGGGCGCGGGCACGGGCACCGGTACTGGCACGAGTAGAGCCACCAGCAGGAGCGGAATTAGGAGCGGGGGCAGGAATAGGGGGAGTAGGGGGAGTAGCAGATCTGTCCCAAGCACCAAACGTTGACCTCGCCGCAGAATCTTTAGGCCACTCATTGTAGAAGCGTTCCAACGGCTATCGGAAAGGCACAAGTCAGCACAGGCGGCATCAATAGAATCTAGGGATCTGCGTAGAGTGCGACAAAGAGAAATATGAGAAACAGAAGTACCCACTTTCTCGGCCATGGTGTGGAGATTGGGCGGTAAGGCTTTGGGAGGATGGGATCGGAGTTCAGGCTGGGGGCCGTTTGTAAGGACGAAGGAGTAGGACGAGGACGATGGTCCTGCAAGGACGGAGGGCGGAGCAGGCTGGCGGATAGCTGGATAGCTCGATATCTATGAGACGAAAGCTGTAAAAAAAAACAGTCGAAGCTGCCTACGCTATTGAAGTTTAGGTAAGCTGAAGGGGAGCTGGACGTGTGCTGCACTTCCCCTTCCCACCTTTAAAGCTATTGCATCTGTGGGTGGGGGGGGGGGGAGTACGATTTTTTTATATACACATCTCGTTAAGCTGATTCGTTTGTTGATGCGTTGCTGCGTGGAGTCGCCATGAACCCCAACACCCTACCCACTAAAACTGTGACGTAGTGTAACACGAAAATGTGCCGAATGAGTGATATTCCATGATTGTGTCGTCCGGAGCCATTAGGAGACAAATCTCTGGAGGTTTAGAATCTTGCTGGGCATCTGGAAGGCAATCGGCAAGATGGCTGAACGTCGATTTTGAAGTCGAGCTTCGAGATGTTAGGTGTCGGGAATCGGGAGCGGTGGAAGCTTAAGATGTGTACGAAGCGTGGAACGAACGATGACTCTGCTCCGACCGGTACCGTAATCGGCAGCCAAAAGAAGAGGCAAAGAGTTAAAATGCAGTCCAATCCTTCTTTTCCTTCTTCTTCATCTTCTTTCTCCTTCTCGAGGGAAGGTGTGTATCTCTCTATTTAATCTATCCCGTGCTGGAGTGCAGAGCGGAGATGTAGGTACCACACCAACCTCGCAATATCAGTGCGGGGTACGGGCAAGCCACAGAGAATTGCTTTTTGGGATCAATTGACAGCTTTGATTTCGCATCGTTGCCGATCCTGCTGCTTTTGATAGCTGATGCAGCTCGACGGAGCATCCTGAGCTGAACCGAATGTCTTGCTTGGTGCCTGTGTTTCGGTTGTTTGCCGAGCTGGTGTGTTGGGAGCTCGAGGATGCCCGTTGCTCTGAAAAGAGTCTAGAGCCGAGATGTACTCTAGGGTACTATGATGTATCCTTCCTCTCTGGATCGACCGGTGTCTGAATGCCCGGAGTGGAATCTTGATGTTTGTCCACATTCCTCTGGTCGGAGTACTAGACGGCACGCCCGAGGTTCCGACTTACAAACCTTCACCCTCACTTTCGACCTAATCAAAAACATGTCAAAGCTCGCACGGTACATCCGGCAACGATCAGGCGAGTACCGGTACTTACCTAGTACTCTAGCGGTCCTCGATTCCATTGCCCGGTGCCAAATGTCCCAAAGCTCCAGGACTCCACAGTTCGACGACGCCTCTGGACAGCGAGCTCGTCGTTTGTGAAAACTTCCGTCCCTCCCGATGTCCAGCGGTCCAGCCCACGGGGCCCGATTCGAGGATCCGTCAACCTCATCCATCACCCAGGATTTGTATTGGTTGCCGGTCCGGGTCCCTCGGAAGATGTCCGCAAACGATATGATACATACCAGAAAGCGAGCCCCCATTGCCCAAAGACCGATGCCCAGCGATATCCCACAAGTAGGTACCGAAGATACCGCTTCTGCGAGGGTGCCAATGCCTCTCCAGGCCGGAAAGCGGCGGGTCGAGAGAAGGACTCGGGAGAACACACAAGGAGAAGGAGGAGATAGTAGTTGATCGTCTATTCTGTAGATGATGGTCAAGCGACAAGAAGAAGAAGAAGAAGAAACCCCCTCCTCGCTCAGTAGTCTACCCCGCCATGCCCGCCATGTACTAACCACATCCGCTTCCTCCCGCCGATCGGTCCTCCTCCTTCACTTCCAAGTTCCAAGTTCCAAGTTCCCACTTGCCGCCAGCTCCCCCATTGCTCCGCCACACCCGAGTCCGAGTCTCACGCCTCACGCCTCACGTCTCACGCAGAGACTCCAGGGCTGAAAAACACCAGCCGTTTTCCGGTCCCTAATCAAAACGTGTTGGCCCTCCAGAGTCCAGAGTCCAAACATGATATCCGCCCCCCCCCCCACACACACACCCCGCCGAGCCCACATATAATCAGCTAACTATCGACAGCGATGGGACTTGCGATCTCAGATCGGCCCTCTCCCCAATTCCCAACTGTGAGCGCAGAGCGCATTGTGCAGAGTGCAGAGTGCAGAGTGCAGATACATATCCCACCTGGCCTGCCCTGCCGTGCCGTGTCATGTTGGGGTTAATACAGTACCGTATCCCTTCCGGCGGCACCAGCGGCCGTGTTATAATATCACCAGTAGATATAGATATAGATATAGATCCCCTCGGGAGTCGGGAGTCGGGGGTCGGAGCGGTGGTTGCTTCGACTTCAGCTTTAACTTTGTGTATTCCCGGTTACAGTTGAAGTCCCCAGTACTCTATGTATGATACATGGACTCTGGAGTGCAGAAAACAGTTCATCTCAAGTTTCGTCCCAACATGTATGTAGAGTACATACCCCAAACTATCCAACGGCAGGCAGGCAGGCTGCATTGCGGTCAACCGCCTATTGGCCTGTAATTATGGGATGAAAGCGCACGTTCCAGTCACCATGGCCGATGGGACCACACGTCAAACAATAGTGCACACCAGTGGAGTAGGTAGGAGGGCATCCAATAAATAATCGTTATGAAGGCTGTGGGGTAGAGATAAACCGCCCGCGCACAATGTCGATCATGAATTTGCTAAAGCCGCCCATCTACATCTATGATGCACTTCGTCGCCTCTCTCCGCACGCAGCCCTTACTCCACCCGCCAGCCAGCATCCGCAAAAAAAACACTGAGCAAAATGAAATAGGATAAGATTGATCGTCAAAAGTATCACATGCAAAAAACGATAGCCTAGTGAAGGAGACGGAAGAAGGAAAGAGGAAGGAAAGAGGAAGGAAAACTTCATAGCTACATCTTCTTCTCGTTCCTTGTGACATACTTCAGAACTGTCACGAGAGCCCTAGCCGCCTCAACGCGGTCTTCGGGCACCATCAGACTGTAGTACTTCGTCTTGTTCAGATGCAGCTTCTCCCAGCCTCCCTCTTTGATGAACGCATGGTGCGGGTTTGGCATTTTGCCCGTCCTCAGGAATCTCAGGTACGGCTTGCTCACGCGTAGGTGCGAGATCGACACGTGGTGGTGCAGACTGCTGACCATGAACACGTCGTCCCAGTAGCTTCCCTCGACTTTCCCAATCGCACGAAAGCGCACCTTCTTCTCCGTGGCACCTTCTTTCGCCCTCATTTGTGCTATCGATAGCAATGCTGCAATCTCCCTCGTCACGCCAACCACGTCGTGGGCAGCCCCATCATCGCCGACAACAAGGATCCCCTCATCGCCAAGGTCTTCAACTTCTTCCTTCATCTCGCCATCCAGCGGCGTCTCCTCTTTCTCCTTCTCCGGCTTCTTCGCCGAGGAGGAAGATACGGCCCGCTTGGCACGGCGTTCGGCGCGTGCCTTTTCCTTTTCCTCCTTCCTTGCGCGCGCTTCCTCCTCTTCAGGGGTCGGGGGTACTTTGGCGGCGAGTGCTGCCGCCATAAGCTTCTTGCGGCGCTTCTTGATGGCTGCTGCCGGGTCGTTCAAGGCGCGGAAGGCATGTTCGTGGCGGATTTGCATTCCAAGGGCCGGTCCGTCGACAAGACCACTGCGGGCCTCTTGCGAGTCCGTCGGCGTCCAGTGGATGTGGTAGTTCAAGTGAACCGAGAACTTGGAGTGCTGGACATGGAGCTTTGGAGGGGCCCTGGGCGGGCTGAGAAGAGCATTAGCGGCGAGTTTCGGAAGAGAAGCTTAGATACACGAACGGAGAGGGAATGCGGGGGGGAACACTCACTAAACTCTAACACCGTGACCCCAGCATATGGGCTCAACGAAATTCTTGACCAGATCGTCGCGGAAGCGTTCTGGCATAGAAAACTTTTCCTCCTTCTTCCCCTCGGGACTCGGATCGGATTCAGGGGAAGCCCGATCTTTCTTTGCGGTACCGGCAGCTTCCTCAGACGCGGGCCGCTTGCCGTTGTCGTTGCTCGGGGGAGAGGGTGAATCAATGTCCATCATGGATGCCGCCGCCTCGGCTTCCTCCGCCCTCTTTTCCAGCTTCAACTTCTGCTGTTCCGGATCCTCCTCAACTTCCCCGGCCTGCTCAGCATCATAGGCAGCACATTCGTCCGGCATTCCATAGTATGGCGTCACCATCTCGAGCGCCTGGAAGAACTTGTACATGTGGCCCAGCTTTATATCCCTACGGATGCGAGCCATGACCTGATACGCCGTGTCGTTCTCAATCAGGAGTTCCCGTTTGCGCTCGGCCCAGATCTCATCGTCTTCGTCTTTGGGGAGCCATTCCTTCCCGCCCACCAAATCCTCTACGGGGACATCGTACGATACGCTGAGGTTAAGCACGTCTAGGTGTTGCGGCGTCACGTCGGTGGCCCGTTTGATCTTAGCAAAGTAGGTGTAGAAGTTCCTCTCGCCATCAGGGACAGCAAACGTCGATTCTGACGATGACGATGAAGATGATGATGATTCTTGCGAGACTGCCGAGGCCGAGTATTCGGGGAAGGTTAACGGGCCCTTGTATTTGAAGATTTGGCAGATAACTGCGGAACGGGAGCCGTCGCCGACGGGGTATGAAGACCAGCTACCGAACATGGCGGAGGGTTGCCGGAAGGGTGAATTGAGGTGATGGGGGAGTTTTGGTTTGGACTGGAGAGGTAGGCTGGAGGAAGGATGAAGCGGTAGGGGAAGAAGAGGGGGAGGAGCAGTCAAGTATGTTGGTAGCCACTCAATCAATCCCCTCTGCTGCCGATTTGGGTAGGGGGGGAGGGGGTGGGAGGGGGAAAGCGAGAGACTCGGTACCCCGACGATCTGGGAGTGGAGTAGTGGCGGTGGTGTGTGTGGAGAAAGCAAGTGTGGTGTGTGTGTGAGTGAGTTGGTGATTGAAGCGTGTGGACGAAAGCAATGCGAGCTTCAAGAATAGTTGCGCCGCCTGCAGGAATGCAGAGACCGGGGGGGCGAGAGAGGGTGTACTAGTAGTGGATATGATGTATCGGAAGTCGCTCTCCATGCAGGTCTCCCACTTCTCTCCACGTACATGGAGAGCGATGTGAGCGAGCGATGTGAGCGAGTGTCCGACTAGTAGTAGAGACATTGTGGCTGAAGATCTCGAGAAGCAACCAAGAGAGCGTGTGCTCAAAACAAAGCTATGTACCCACCGTATTGTTGGAGGCCAGTGTCTCCCCTCTCCACCTTGCCCTCTCTGCAACTCCTGAGTCAGCAAACGATCGATACAATGAAGGCAGTCAACGGGTTGGCCGTGATGTGGTGGAAAGGAGGGCCTCATACATACGAGGGGAGTTGTGGCGGATCGGCGATCGAATCGGAGCGGGCGGGCGGGCGGGGATTGTGCTGTCGGTTACATAAGCCAGCCATCCAGCCCATCCAAGGCGAGAGTGGCTTGCTGCAGAGCTGCGCGATTCGGGCGGGAACCAACATCAATGGACAGCGGATAACCGATCACGAGCAGAACACATTTGCTGGTGCTCCTTCCCTTCCCTCCATATCACATCCCCAATCCGACAGACGCCCCGCCGATAACTATCGCTCCTGTGCTTCGTTCTTTGCTCCGCAAGACAGATCTTCCCTCGGCTCCACACCGCGTTTTCCGTGACCGTTGGTGCACTTGCAAGCTCGTTTGCTACCGAGCAGCCTTTCCGAGGGCTAACTATCATGCATCTAGTCAAGCCCGCTTGACACACCGCTTTCTGGGACTGGGACCCTTCCGGCAGAGCTTAGCCGCGCGAGTTATCGCTCCCCCGCCATGTGTCATGGTTTGGAATGCTTGGCGTCGTGAGCTCGCTGAAGAACCCCTAGAGTGACTTTATGACGCGGTGCTTTCTGTGGGCTGACCGTCTTCATGGGCCAAGATCCGGCATGGGGTTGTTATCCGGAGTAGCTATGGCCAGGTAGGCTTGACGGGTTCAGTTCGATCATGGTACGTGCTTACCTAGTACTTACTTGGGTTCTTGATAGGGTTGCACGGGAAGGCTGGAGTACCGAAGGCAGCGTAGGAAGCCGTAGCTCGGGACGGAGATGAGCGGCAGCAAGCCAGACGACAGACCCGGCACGAAGCGAGGACGTTTTTTTAGTAGCTGTGAGTCGTGACCTCCAGTTCAGCGGAACCCGTTTTCGGCGCCAGTGTGCTTCCCGCGGCGGGCATCCCCGGCACTACAACTTACGCCGAGTACGAGATGGCGACTCTGTCACTACATAACTATTATTCCACGTCTAACTACCATTGACCTCGCATACGCCTCGCGTGGATGGTTTGGCGCCACGGACAAGCCGTGGAAGTCGGGCCTCTTTGAGTCGAAATTCACCTGTGTCCTACTCCAGCAAGAAACGTCCAACAGGAGGATTGTTATTGCCCTTTCAGAGAGACATCCCCGGAGCAGCTCACACCCGCCCACAGCGCGGGCGGGTAAAAGCACGCAGAGAGACAGCATGCACAGAGACAGCATACCCAGAGATACAAAAATACCTCGAGTCTAGAGTACCTTGGGACTTGGTATGTACATCTACATACTTTCCTATCACAGTGTGCACTGTAGCAGTTGCGACCGGAACTCACCCGGGCCCCGGCAGCTCTTCTCGAGCATCCGGCTTGGTCTAGCTTCTTCTACGTCCGCTATGTCGCAAACCGTTGCGATTTGTTTGCCGAGAAAACCGGGGAACGTTTTTCCGCAGAAAGAATGCGGGGGCTGTAGGTAGTCGGTGCGGGTAGTGCCGAGAAACCCGTCGGCGGACGGATGTTGTGGATACTATGTACCTAGTAGGGTTGCATGTAACAGGTGGTGAGGCGGCGAGGTGGTGAGACGGTGGCCGAAATCGCGGGAGCAAAACACTGCAAATAGATGTAGATACTCTACTGAGGATAGGTATGAGTTGAATTCGACAGGTGTGAACGCTGCTACGGCAGGTACATACTCGGTGCAAACGTGGACGCCGCACATACACATGAGAACCTACCCCTGCAACTGCCCGTCCCACCGAAGCTTGGGCTCGCGAACAGTGAACAGTTTCTCCGAAAACCCGGGCGTTTATAATTCCTGATTGCAACTTGTTTGGCTGAAACTAGTCTTGATTCGCATGGGCTCGCGGCTGCAAGACCTAAGACCTAATAACTCGACAGGTGAATGTTGAAAATATGAGTGTGATAATATTCAGTTGCTTGATTCATTTGCAAAACAGAGCGCATGACCAGCTAGACATACCAGACAGAAGCAGAATAAACAGGATTCTCGAGGCGCATATGACCAATATGACAAATGTGCAATATCTTGGACGAGTGACGACGGTGACTTTTCAACGAGAATCGCAATAGTGAATGCCGGTAGTTACCGAGTGATATCCCATGTGTCTGTCACAATCCTTGCCCATAGCGCCTGTCGTATCCACATACGTGCGTGTAAATTGATGGAGTGGGTACTCAAGTAGGGAAAGTGGCGGCTTTCGTGCGGAAGGTACAACCGGGGGCAATTAATATCTGCGCGGGCGTCACATAGTACGATACATGTTTACTTGCCTATACCTACATCCCAAGTATACCCAGCCAAAAGTGCCGCGTTTACTCTACCACTCCCGCGGCAGCCAGTTTCGATAGTTTCGATAGTTTTGATGGCGGCAGGTTCGTCTGCTCTCGTTCATTGCGATTGTTCTTGCGATCGTCCTCACCGGCGGCAATGACTCAAGCAGGCATTTAGTATCTATCGATTAACTGCCTTCCGAGCCTCCGGGGGCAATCAACACTCCAATATGCAAATGTACAAATGTACCGTATGTAAGCCTGAAGCGTGCAGCTCCTCGCTCGCTGTTGGTTAGTTGCCCTCTACATACGCCCCCCACGCCCCCACACGATCGAACAGCTTTCCCACTCCCTCCGGTAACCGTAGCGGAAAAGCCCCGACGTCCGTCTGCTGGACTTGATCTTGTTCCAATTGCGCACGGAAAGCTGTACACACATATGTCATCGGAGCTCGGGCGTTCTGGATGGCTTTGAAATGGAAAGAAATCTCCGAGTATCTAACCTGGGACACGTCGGTGCGACTGTACGTTACGGTACTGGTTCGTTGAGAGCAGTGGTTCTACATACTGAAATACCTATGGGATCTAGCGTGGAATTCTGTCGTGCATTTCATCGTCAATACAGACTGCTCAAACTCGATTCAACTATGTCTGTACTTACCACGCGATACCGAAATTCCAAAAGCACGCCTTCGGACCTTCTCCCACCGGTACCTATATCTCACTGGTGTTGTCGGCACCGCAAGCGCAGGCGTTCAAATACCTGTAGGTTGTTACCAAGGGCTGAGGTGGCGAAGTGAGCTGACTTTGTTTAGCTGTGCAGTCGTCGTCTGTCGTTGATTGCCGCTGGTTGCCGCCGTGAACATCATGGCATAGCTACCTAGAGCTCCATAAAACGTCCCGCCGAATCCGTGTCAGACAACTTTTGCTCCGGACGCTGCCGAGCCCACGTCACTATGGGATACTGAGTTCCGACCTGTGCGTTGCGGATATGGTAGCGAACGCTGAGAGGGATGTCGATCCCGATAATCGTGGAATGAAGGGGTCCTCCCCACCGAGGAGGAGGGCCCGGCGGAAGGTTGGAGGAGTACAGTACCCTGAGCCACTACTACCAGTATGTTACAGTAAAGAGGACGATTGGCCATGATGTAATGCTGTAGAGTATTAGAAGTGAACTGGTAACTACCGGTAGTAAATGCAGAATTCGCCCATAGTTTTCAAAGGTTTTGTCTTCAGCACCATGTGATACGCCTATCGGCTGTGCGCCTGGCGAGCAGCTTCGAATACAGTACGGTACGTCAGACCGAGATCTAGCAACCGTATGTAGAATCTGCAAGGAGTAACTTCAGTTCCGTGGTATCGGGTGAAGCACAGTCGGGATATGATAATATCTCTTCAGTAGATACAAAGGTGTGATGGTCGGTCTGTAAAGTGCCATCCGAGCAACCGGTCTAAATAATGATCTACGTACCTAGGGCGGTCCAAAAAAGACGTGGAAAATGGGACAAAGGGCCGGTACTCTATTTGATACTATATCAAAGGCACAAAAGTGGGTTTTGGCACAAAGAATAAAGGTAGAATTAGAGTAACAAAGTGCTCGCTTCTCCCCGCTTCCTAACGAGATATTCAATACACGGAGTAGTAGACACGTGAATGAACGTTCAAGCTACTATGATATGCATGTCGCTGTGCATTCACTTTTTTGAATCGAATGAAAGAGAAAGAAAAGACTGCGATAAAGCTCCCAGGCCGTCATACGTGACCGGTTGCTGGGTTTGGTCAATTACTTGCGCGATGCGAGAGAACGAAAGGGCTTTAGTTGGGGTGTTTTCCGCTTACGTAGCTTCAATTATTATATTGCAACTCTATCTTCACACACAAGCTCCATCAAGCACTCCCCCCGATCCCGTACAATCATGACAGAAGACGACGACCGACCTACGATCACCACCACATCTCCGCCTCCTTCGGCAGCGTCCCAATCGTCGAACGAAGGACCGTCCACGCCCGCGTCGCCGTCGCCGTCGATATCCATCACCGGTCCGTCGGCCGACGAAGAAAGCAAGGGGGCGACACCTGAAGCGCCACAGCATGTCGCCTCGCCGCCGCCGTTCGCCATCTCGTTGGCCGATATCACAACCAAGGCGGTGGAATTCTTGTCGACCGCGTCGTCCGAACAGTTAATCGCCGTGTCCATTGGCGGCGTGGCTGTGTTGTACATTGTCCTTGGGAAGCTTGGATTGCTGTTTGTCGGCATCGTCGCCGGCGCGGTCGGACATGCCAGCTTGAGCTTGAAGCATGCAAAGAAGGAGGGAAGCGTGTTCAGTCTAGATCTACACGACTGGTGGGATGCGCGGAAAGCTGCCGCCGGCGAAAACGAAGAGGAGGGGAATGGGGTGGTGGTCACGAAGGTTTGCGCATCTGAAGGTTTTAACCAGTCGGGGGGTAACGCTAATACATCTCCAGACGACGAGAATGGATTTTTCGTCGCTCCCTCCAGAAACAGCAAAAGCAATGGAAGAGTTCGCGGATGCGGTTGTACGAGATTACGTTCGGTATCCTTTTGCGCTCCAACTGCTACTGCTACTATTCACGATTTGCTGACCGGATCTGCAGATGGTGGTATACTCCCATCCTCCCCAACGACGACAATTTTCCCAACTCGGTCCGCAATGTTCTCGTTAGCTCGCTTCTCACAATGTACAATCGCATCGCCGGCAAGCGCGGCGCGGATACGTTCCTATTATTCCTGATGTCGGCGAGTAATACGTTTATTGTCTTCCTCCGCGAGCTGGCTGAAGCGCAGTCATCCACGGTTAGGACCTATCTAGCAAACACTCCCGGATCGGCGCTAGCACAAATGCTTGATCGCGATCTGCAGAAACGAAAGTTGCGTATGGCAGCCGACGATGTGCTGCGGAGTTTCGTCGGCAAAGATGTCCTGCAGTGCGAGCCTGTGCGAGTTTTCCTGACAGAAATATTGGCTGGACTGGTGCTCGAGATGACAGTGGATAAATGTTCACAACCGGATTGGATCAACAACTGGCTTGTCTACCTCCTCGAGGAAGAGACGCAACCAGAGGTTCTCCAGAAGATCGATATTGGCGAAGCCACCGCCGCCGCCAGCCAGAGCAGTCAAATAGACAAGTCGAAGAGGGTCAGCCGGGCAGAGGAGGAGATGTCAAAAGCCTTGGAGGAGGCAAAGGAGATGAACCGGATGATCGTGGAAGAGGAGCGCGAACGGAAGCGACCAAGTGGAGAAATGAGCGACAACGAGCGGGTAAACGGGAACGAGAACAGTGCGGAAGGATATATCGATGAGTACAGTGCAAATGCGGAGGACGGCTGGGGCCCAGTGGAACCCGTGCCTGCACCTACACCAGCTCCACGGTCTCGGCGATCCACCAGAGACTCTTTCACATCAAATGACCAGTTTGGATACAATCCGAATACACTCCACCGAGCTCACATCTCCCTCTCGAATCTTTCCCAGCCTCCAGTTGCCAACCCGTATTCGATGAACCCAAACGAAAAGTCACTACAGGCTAAACCAACAACAGCCGAATATCTGCTGGAGATCGAACCTGCGTCTCCATCGATGCCGGGCTGGGTAGTGGTACGGAAGTTCCCCGACTTCGAGGAACTCCACGAGGTGCTCAAACGTATCGCTGCGATCAGTGGAGCCGACACATTCCGGAGACACCATGCCGAGTTGCCGACCTGGCGTGGAGAAACACTTGGTACGCTACGACTCAACTTGGAGGGATATTTGAATGACGCTCTTCACGAGCGTGGAATGGCAGAATGTGAGGGCATGAAGAGATTTTTGGAGAAAGACGCCAGTGCGACTCCGGGGAAGACTGGTTTCGGCATCGGCAAGGGTTGGCCCAATCCCGCTGCGTTCGCAAAGATGGGCCAGGGAGCACTCAACGTACTGTCCAAAGCGCCCCAGGGAGTCGCGGAGGGGGGAAAGGGCCTGTTTGGTGGGATGAAGAAGGCATTCGCCGTTGCAAATCGGGACGATGGGGGTTCGGCACCACCGGCCAACTTGAAGAGACAGCCGACCGATCCTTTCGGGGAGCTCACGTTCGATTACCCGCAATCACGATCGCGGGCCGCTTCGGTCATGGAAGAACCTCGCAGAAATGGCTATACAGCGCCTTCCTCCCGAGCATCCTCCGTGCACCCATCCGATTCGCGGCGGTCAGCCAGCATCCGTGAGAGGGCAACCAGCTTCCGTGACAGCTCGGGCTACGTTCAGCTCCAGCTCCCCGCCTCGGAGGAAGGCGACAGCATTTCTGTAATGTCTCTTCCTCCGCCTCCATGTGACATGCCCGATGACTTCGACGGCCTCAAGCCCGGCACTCCCTTCCCGCCAATCCCGGAGTCTGATTCGACGTCACCACCACCGGCGCACACACCACCTTCTCCACGTCCACAAGAAAAGAAATCGGTGGAACCCCTAACCACCCAGGAAACGCAGTTCATCGTCGACATCGTCTTTGCCGTCTTGTCCGAGCTATACACGCTTTCATCAGCCTGGACTCTACGGCGCTCGCTTCTGAACGTCGCAAAGTCCATCCTCCTGCGCCCCGGTAACGCATCCCTCGAGAACATCAGGGTCATAATACAAGAGACCGTGATCGACGCCAACACCTCTGACGAGGCGGTCGCCGCGCTCATCCGCCAGATCCGCGAGAACGTCTTTCCCACACCTGAGGAGACTGCCAAGTGGGTTGACAAGGGCTTCAAGGGCGCAGAGCTCAGGGAGAAGGCGAGGAGGCTCCTGATGCAGCGGGGTGTGCCCGAGGCTCTGCGGAGCGTTATGGGCGCCGTTGCCAGCGAGGAGGCGTTGGCGGGTGTGTTCGACGCTCTGCAGATGAACGGGATGGCGAGGGGAGTCGTCGGTGGCGTCATGCTGGAGGGAGTGAGGGGTGTTTGTCAATAGATGCTTACACTTTTTTTGGGAGTTGGTGAATAAGTTACTTGGTATGTCGGCTGTATTGTATGGCTTGCGTGTCTGTGCTTGGTTCTTGGTTCTTGAGTGTTTTGTACATTGCGATTAGCGTCTTTGGGATTCACTTACATTCGTCATACATATCATACCTCTTAAGTACATGGCTAGATAGATGAGGCTCTTTGCTTCCGATTGTTTACGAATTGACGGCAGTGTTTGGGTATCAGAACTAGGACGGGCCGTAACTAGTATTTGCTCGGTGATCGGGCTTTCGTCAGATATGTTGGATGTGTAACTAAAACATACTTTTCATATGTGAGGCGATGCAGTCATTTAGTTCAGCTAGAAACGTGAAAGCATATCTAGACCTCTCATGTACTTTGATGATCACCATGAATTTGAGCTTGTTTGCACCTCCGCCCCAGACGCCGTTTCAGATCACATCACCATCCCGCTTCCCTTTCCAAATACATGACGATAAACGAATGCGTATTGCTTCAAAACGATCTCCATGCCACGAAAGGAACAAAACACCAATTATGCGACCCACTTAGAGACAGAGATCTTCCCCCACTTCAAACACATTCTTAGTTACTGGGCTTAGGGCAAACCAGGTCCCACTTGGGCTCTCCGTCGACCGTCATAACACCCCAGTGCTGTTCGACGTCGTTGTTCTTCTCGGCAGGCTTCCAGGGCTGCGTAGTATGTAGGTTAGCCCAGTTCTAAACGGCTCACGTCAAGTAAAGTCAACTAACCTCATCGAAAGCCTCGAAGACGAAGGTGTTGACACCCCATCCGAGCATGCCGCAGACAGCACTGTACCAGTAGGTCTCGGCGTTGTCCTTGTTGGGAACAGCGTCTTCGAAGTTCTTGCCGCCGGTCGGCCAGTTGGTCTCGCCGACCCAGAAGGGAATATCGATGGTGCCCTTGACGTCCTGGACGTGCTGCAGAGCCTGCATGATGTCGTCGAAGAGCATCTGGGTGGAATTGGTGATCTTGCTGCCTTGCCAGTAGGAAAAGGCGTTGGCGAGGCTGAGGACGTTTTGTTAGGGCCTGAAATAAAGCAGCAGCAGCAAGGAGGACTCACATGATGTCGCTCTGTTTGATAGCAGGGTTCGCAGAGCCATCGGCCATCAAGTTCCAGCTGTCGGCGAATCCCACAGGTGTGTCGAGTCCCAACGTCTTAACCTCACCCTGGACCTTCTTGATCAAGTCCGCCAACTCCTGACCCGTCAATTCCTTGCGGTACAGATGCTCGGAGCCGACGGTGATACCGACGACCTGGTCGGCGTACTCCTTCAGATCCCCGGTAAGGGCGGCGATTTCCTTAAGGAAGTGATCCGGGGGGGTAGCCCAGAGGCCTACGACAGCCGTGGATCCCGTCTCCTTGAGCGCCGGCATCAACGTCTTGAACGCCTCGCATTGCGACGTGGTGTAGATGCGCACGACGGAAGACCCGGTCTTCTCCTTGATCAACTTGAGGTCCGCGACGAAGTCTTCGGTGGTTTTGCAGGTTTCGTCCTAAAAAGCCACGCGTCGTTGTCAGCTAGTCATTCGAGATGAACCATGCCACTCCACTCCACCCCCTCCACACCCTACACGTCACAACCGCTGCTATGTGGATCCCGCCTACGATAACCGATATCTGTAGATTGTACGCGACTGTGGGGGGTTCGGACATTTATCTTGTGGATTCCCAATGCGAATCCGAGAGTTCCAGGTGTACCCTGGGCGTTTGCGGCGATCGAGAACGCCAGAAGCGCGGCTTTGAGGAAGGTAGTGAACGACGGCATAGCGAGCGAAGCAAGTTTATACGCAGACGAAGGGGTAAACTGATGGTCGGGTCGAGATGAAGTAAATGCAAGTAAAAGGAAGGGAAAGGAAAGAGGGAGTTTGGTGGAAGGAACGAAGAGCTGAGACCTCTGTTTAATTACAGGGTCGTTTGTGCTGTGGCGGGTACGTGCTACCACAACAAGTGGTAGCCTAAGAATGTAAGGGTCGGGCGAGAGACTGCGGCTGGTGCTTGCTTACTCACTTACCCAAGTCCATGTTCCAAGGAGCAGTTAATGATCACCACGCATAAAATCGACAATTTAAAAGTAATCATTCACGCCTTGATGCGACATGGTGTTTGGGTTACGGTCGCACGTTATGTCACTCGCGTGATAAGATCAGGTAGATAAGATCGCGTACATCTCCTCTAGGTAAGGGTTCGCCATAGACTCCACAGGCTGTATGCGAAATGAATTGATGTTCTCTTTCTCCCCATCTCCACAGTACATATGATGCCTCATACGAGTACTTTAGAATAGTATTTTAGAATAGGTAGGGTAGCGGCTGAGTTCGAATGTCGGTTGCTAGCTTAGGGCCAATGTGTGTGATTGCGAGTGGAGTACGGTACAAGTACACTCACTTCGTCTCTTTCTTCTTCTCTCCGTGGTCTGTTTCCCTGCCTGTACCCCAAGAGCCAGTGGGATTTCTTGACGATTCAAATAGTAGAAAGGGTGATATATAAATGCCCGGAAGAGTGCGCCGAGCGGCCGGGGAGGGTCGAAAAAGGCAGCGCTCCTCAACATGTCGGAAAGGATTCCCCGTTGCCCACACAGATTTGTCAACTACACTTCTCGCCTTCGAGGAAGGGTTTGAGATACAGTATAAAGCAGCTATCCGCTGCCAACAAAAACTCCAAAGGGCAAACTGTCGGTGGGGAAAGCGGCACCATGTCCAATCACTCGCCCGCCCTCATCCTGGACCGATTGGTGGGGTTTCATATCGTTCACATGTCGCCATAGGTATGTAGTTTACGTGAATTTGATGTGAGGACATATGATGAAGCAGAGTGAAAATCATATCGTCCACATCTTTAGACTTTTTGGACGCAGAACCAACTTACTCGAGCTCGGCGTGGTGGAACGGCGGCGAGTGTGCATCATGAGATGTTGCCGCTCACTACCGCTCACCGTCACGCCCACCACCCTCGCACTGACTTCCACCGCTACGGTATCCCAAAGAGGCGTTTGAAGCCACAGTAATCAATTGAACCAAGCGAAAAATGAAATCTATGTGTAAACGGTAACAAGATTGTCGCAAATGTATGCTTGTGTACAGCACGACTTACTCACAGTACGTATTCTTGAAACTAGAGATTTCCTACCGTATGCATACCGGATTCAGTGACCAGGGAATTCTGCTCAGCACGGCATTTCTTCTGTAGGACTCTTGTCGTCATAGTTTTACTACAGTCTATGAACTTCTTGAGTAGCATGACAACGGTTTCTCTGCACTACGTTGTTGTGCGAATTGGCTAGTTCTATGGTAGTTCTCTGGTATTCCGGACAGTGCGTAATATTTTGTATTCGGAAGAATTGCGGTAGTCCTTCCGGCTTTTTGGTAAGCGTATCTTTACAACACTGCGAAAAATTATTTCGATACTGTAGAATTGAGACTAGGGGGGAAAATAATTCCAAAGTAAATCTGTATTCTCTGAGACTGCTGGATTCAAATCCGAGCGGTAGTACTACTGGAGACCTTCCGCATCAATCGCACCCCACTTTTTGCCACTGTATGTATAATGTACCTTCACCTTCTCTTCGCATCACCCCCATGAAGCACGGCCTCGTTCTACAATAAAACCAGTTTAATTCTAGCTACATGTAGCCTTCATCCGCTTAATCCTCCTGGTAACTAACAGGTCTCTCGGTATACACAGGATCACATCACCATCGTCGTTGTCGTCATTGCCGTCATTTTCGTTGTCGTTGTCTTCGTTATATTCGTTATCTTCGTTATCGTTGTTGTTGTCGTTGTTGTCTTTGTCGTTTTCAGATATAGTCGATCCTCAAATCCACAGGCCTATCAAAATCGGTATGCCACCCTAGATACATGCACACCGCACGACCTCCATCTTACAGCCATATATATCCAAACATCAGTCCCCCAGCATCTCTACGAATACCCTAATAGCCGGCGATTGCATGTATAGATAATCCACTCGAAAACATCGAAGTGAGAGCACTCCCAATTCCCGAAAGATCGGGTCAGTTAATCCACCAAATGTCCTCCTCCTCCTCCATAGAACTAAAGAGACTGGTGGGCACAAGGCCACTCGCGCCGACAGCACCGTCTTCACCAGAGATGAAAGGGAGTTCGTCCAGCTCCATTTTACCGTCATCAAAGATCACTGAAGCCTTGTCAGTCACTATATCTCATCGCTCTGTTCACCAAACATTATTTAGACGTACATTGTGGTGGTTCCGACATTCGATCGTCGTCATGGTTGAGTTCAACACCTTCCCAAGGTATGATCGGGTTTCCAAGCTTGGGTATCGCTAGGTCCAGCTTGTTGACATCCAGGCTTGGATCCTCCAAGTAGTTATACAACACCATAAAGCCCACTGATGATATGGCATCTCCAAGGGCGTCCCCCCCGTCCATCGTTGGCCGTCGATGGGGAAAATAATCGACGTCATTGTATTCGATATTTGAATTCCATGTTGGATACGGGTAACCATCGAATTCATATGCCTCTGTTATCCTGGCGTTGTGCACAAACTCGTTTGCCGGTGGGATCTGCGCATGCGCTGGGGGGAAAATAGTGGGAGGCACGATGCTCGTGCGGCTCGGAATGACATCTGAGGCCGTGAGTGGATAGTCCTCATGTGCATGTTCATCTATCATGTCGCCGGCCTGAAACCCAGAAGCCGGCTGGAAATGTGCAGACTCCGAAGACACGATGGCAGGCGAAATGGTTTCCGTTGGGATCCATGGATGATGTAATGACGGGAGTTGGTGACCATCGGGTATATATTCTCCTGCCACCCTGTCTACCATCCCCAATACTAGCGGGAAATCTGCATGCTTCGAGGAAACAGTAGCGAGTGAAACGGCGTCCGTCAGGCTCCATGGAAGATCCGATTTCGTGAGTGGATTGCCGTTTGATACATGTTCATCCGTTGTTCTGGTGTCGGCTAGAGACCTAGATGCAGATGGTGCGTGCGTATTCTCGGGGAGGATTGTGGCAGGTGAAAAGGTACGCGCAAGGCGCGGTAGGCTCATTTTCACTGGCAGTATTGGTGATCCCCGCTGAAGACCGGTGCTCTCAGTCGTCTGGCCGGGGGTCTCGGCTGGACAGAGAGCCACCTGCTCGAGGTAACGCTTCGACTTTGCCGGTGGGTAGTCCAGACATGACTCCTTGAGTCCTACAACTGATTGTTAACAAGGCCTTCGGAAGCCGGAATTTCTATCCCGTGTGCCATGGTGACACAGTTCGGGGGCTAGGGACACTTACTATCGGTTGGAGGGATATCTCGCAAATCGTACACTTTCCTGCTATCCTTATATAGATGAGATTTGAAATCGCCCTTGCTACGGGACCCTCCCAGATGCTCCACAAGACACGCCATTTCGGGGCTGTGATTGGATTTCATCTTACGAAGGAAGCTTATCTGCTCTTTCTTATAAGAGTGGACCATCTCTAGGTGTTTATTGAACTTGGCGGCGGCGCCGAACCGCTTACCACAGCAGACATACGGAGCTAGGTGTCCAGCTAGGAGATGTGCCCTGAGGTTTTCCAATTCAGCAAAGTCCATCATCAATCGGATTAAGTAGCAACCAACCGCAGCGCTGCGGACCCCTCAAAGCATATGTTTCCCAGGTCCACAGTGTCCACCCATTCCGGTTGCGACTCCAGCCTGTCTTCGCAAAAGGGGCACAAGTCTGAAATGTGCTGCTCACGCAGATGCTTTCTAGTCACCAGGTGATTGTTAGAGCTTAAGATACTAAGTGTGAGTAGACAATATAGCAAGGCCAAGCGCTTACAGCTGCTGCTGCTTCCCGGTAAAGTTAAGGTTTTGACAGATGTGGGTTTTCTTGAGCCGGTTTGTCGCCTTCATCTTCCTATACAATGGGCACGGATACGCATCGTCTTTATCTGCATCGGCAAATCTGCCCTCCCTGGGGCGAGCTGTGATGGGAATGTTTAAGCTAGCCGGCGGTGGGTCCGGAGTTTTGCCTTGTAGGCTATGACCTGGTAAGAAGTCGACATCGCACGGGAAAAAGGCGTTGAATTCGTCGATAATGGACTTGGAAATCTCAGCGTAGTTGCGTCCGCCGGCGCACCCGGGAGACCACGATCCCCCGCTCCAGTAATGGGAGGCCGCAGGCTGCAGAAGTAAGGCTTGCGCGATTCCGCTGTCGCGGCTTTGGCTAATTTGAGCATTGATGTAGGATTGGAAGGGTATCGGAAGCTCAATCATAATTTCGAGAGATTTGTAGGAGTTGAATGTTTCGAATAGGAGGAGATACTAGAAAGGGAACAAACGAACATATGTCGGAAGGATTACCTGTGGAACTATGACAGCAGGCCCCGGTAGTTCATATTTATACATTTGCATTCCACACGATGCACCATGCCCCTGTTTTAGACTCTGGGCCGCCGAGCTCGCTCAATGTGTGGGACTGCACATTTATGGCTTCCACAGCCCCAAAACAGCTGCACTACCCCAGAACAGCTGCACTGCCACTGACGGCTGCATGATCATCATCTTCTTGTGATCATGGAGACACCGCTATCCTTGGAGTTTAAGGTACTGACTGTGCATGTCAGCATCAGGTCGTCCACAACCTTAACACCACATCAAGCCACAAATCAAAGTAAATGTTCTGTGCTAAATAAATAATCTTAAATGTCATTACCCATATTCCGTTGTCCGGTGAGAGAGAGAGAATCAATTTGTTGTTGCATACGGCCATATTATGTAGTAGACTATGGCAACCATTCATTGTCGGGTACACCGTGCTTCGAGGTACACTGTGCACCATTACGTCGCCGAGCTATCAAATCAATCGATGGGATAAGAATGAGCTTCCGGCACATTTTAATGCGGACCTATCCGCTTGTGTAACGATCATACTCCAGCGGCAGCGGGGCTGCCAGTCGACTGCAGTGGTCAAGTGTATATACTCTGCTCCACATTTCGATTCCCCAGAGTCCGCACATTGGCAGGGGTACATGTATCGGAATAAGGAATCGGCACGCCTATTAGTACTCTACACCTCGCCCGTAGAGATCAGGTCCGCAGGGTCTGCCTAGGCAAGCGCTGCAGATGTGGGCGTGGCATGCTCTAAGTAGAGGAGTCATTCGCAAAGAGGACCGAGCACCCGCTGTTTCCCCTCACGACGGACTGGTCTCCGGCCAAGGTAAGTACTCTGCATATTCTCTCCTCCCGAGAAAACGCGCTGGCAAAATATGATTGGCTGCAGAACCACCAAAATGTTGAGGCTGAGTGCGAACATTCTGTTGAATGAGTGATACCTGGTGAATGAAACATGGTACCTAGATCATGTAAGCAAGGTCGCATGAAAACGTTCATGTGGGTGCCCCCACCAACCATCTTCTCAATGCGAACCATTTAGGTCACTTTTCATTCGTCAACCGCATCCTGCCAAAGCTTCCGTTGGGAGAGGGAGAGAAGCGAGTTGTCAAGTTTGATTGGTGGGATTAGATTCGAAGATGTAGACTTCGAGGTAAGTTGGTGGCACAGCTTGCCTTCCCTGTTCTGATATCTAACCACCGTAGCACGGTGCAAAACACGACAAGTTGGACGCCTACGGTCAGTTCGAGGCCGCTAACATCCTCTTCTCCGTAGCTCTGGCCGAGAAACTCGGACCACAGGGTCTTTGCGGTTCTCTGTGCATCCGAAAGTATTGTAACCGGCTTGTAGCGATGTGTCCCGACGGACGAGTTGATTGCGCTGAGTGAGTTAACACCCCATTTGGCCAAGAAACAGAACTGATGTCCACCTTACCAGAGATACAATACCCCCCAGTAATGCAAAAGACACTGCAGCAGGGGGTGGCGACGCATATCATCGCTGCATTCGACCCCAGAATGACCTGCCGGAATGGTGGGTCTCTCGTCGATTGCGGGGTTAAGAAGCCCATGGTGCATGCTGGCGATCCGACCCTGGCCCGAAAGCTGTGGGCCCTTTCGGAGGTCTTTGTCTGAGGGAAGTTTGATATCGATGGATGGCGTCGCCACGAGCGACGAACCATGATCCATATTTCGGTTCTTTTGGTAACCCACGGACAATAGGCTGTAGATCTCTTTGTATCTTTTATAATCAAATCACCCCTTGTACATGATCCCTAGACTTGGATCTTTTGCACAGCAACCGTGAGAGACCGGTCGATGCTCGACTCCCAGCAGCCCACAGGTCACGGTGGAGGCCCTGTACTAAGTCTGTGAATTATTCCATGCGGCGGGTAATTTTCTTCTCACCTCCAACCAACTTTCAGGGCAGAAAGAAAGACCTTGGTATCGTCGCCAAAGATACCTCGGCCTTCTCCCATCACATAGCTCGCATCCATGCGCACGTCGCTCCCCACTGCCGGAATTATGGGTCCACAGAATGCTTGTTCCCACCCGCAGTCGGGATGGCCGGGAAACGCTCGGCACGGCAGGGTGTAACGGAGGGACTTCTTGATCACGGCGGATAGGCGGCCAACGTCGCCCCGGTACCATGAGCTTTGCGTAGACGAAGGGGCCCGGGTGCCTACCGGTTTTGCGAGGGCCCTTTCGCCTATGCCTCTCTAGGCCGAAAAGCGAGTCTAGGGGGGAGAACGCACAAGGAGAAAGGGGAGGTAGAGGTTGATCGTCTATTCTGTAGATGATGATGAGAGAGAGAGAGAGAGGGAGAGGGTGAGAGAGAGAGAGAGAGAGAGAGAGGAGGTCTCTCAAGTTCGCTCCCTCCCTACTGGCTGCCCTTGCCATCCACACTAACTGCATCCGTATCCTCTCGCCGCCGACAGCTCCTCCATCACTTCGCTTCGCCGGTATGTGTGTACTACATACTAGCAGCTCAAGACGAACGCACACACCCAACGTTCCGGCAGGGTCCGATCGGTCCGGTCCGGTCCGATCCAGTCCTAGGGGAAACGCCGGACTTGACGGAGGATCTTCGTGTCCGTCCTGTATCTCTTGTGGACAGGACCGGACCGGACCGTGCCGGACGTTGCACACATCGTGGTGATGGATGTTTCTGAACCGGCCATGAGTACTGAGGGGTCAAACTTTCAAGGCCGGGCTTCCCTTCTCATTCCTCGAGTGCAGAAGGCCGGAGAACTCTGTAATCCTTCTTTACTTGACGGAATCTGGGGGCCTGAGAGAAATTACCCTGTCGTTTATAGGCGCTAGGCACTGCTCGATATTCCTCCGGATCAGCGTATTTCTCACGCCCATCGCGCCCATTGGACGGTCATTACCACCGACGCTTTCCGCCCGGGTCTGGAGTCAGGAGGAGCCCGTTCCTTGGGGGTGGTCTTGGCGATTTCACGGACGAGTCGGTGCATTCTTGAAACCATCACAGATACCCCCCTCTCCCCACCCCAGGGCTGGGAAGAGATTCGGAGAACAATCGTGGTTTACGGCCGCCCACAAGCTATCACTCGGACGAGCACTGCACCTGGCAGTTCCCTTATGTTCCGGAGAAAAACGATGGATCATCAGCCTTATCAACTGATATCACTTCCTACGAAAGGGCAGATCTATCAGCTTTTTACCTCCTATGTATTATGTCATTCCTGGTTTGTAATGTTGGGAGCACACACTGGTGGATGATTAGGTGACCACCCACCCACACACACACCCAACATCACTCGTGCATATAGTATCTTTTCAGCCCGTGAATAGGTAGGTAGGCGAGCTTGTCTACCTACCAGGCTACCACTGGTCGCTTTTGTTTGTGGCCACGGGTGACTGGTCAAGCAGACGTTTTTTCGCAGTTCTGATCTTGTATCCAATTGGGCCTAGCGAAGTACCTATCTTTCGTCCTCTGGAGTCTGGAATCTGGACTCTGGGTATCTCGATACCTATCTCGCGTATTTGGACAGCTTCACCCTCCTGCTTTTGACAGCTCCGGGTCCGGGTCTGGGTGCACCCTGGACGGAGCGTCCGTGGGGCAACATCAACACTTACCATACCTAACGTCCATGCCTTCCCAAGGTCCTCAAACCCGAATTTCATGGCTGGACATCGTTATTGGTCAATCTGTCTTGATGGGTTTCCGGCCGGCCAGATCACCCGGCAAGGTTTGAGGACCTCTACTCTAGAGTAGAGACTCTCTAGTGCCCACAAGCAGATCAGTCCAGCCACGCATTCTATCTAGTTGCGAAGTTACGTTGCAAAGCCGGCGTGATTACCCGAGCGCCCCCAGCCGACGCGGCTACCGGCGCTCGGACCTCGCCAGAAAACAACTCCGAATGCTACGCCGCCTAAACGGGTATTTTCAAATTTCAAGCCTTGTCTCCGGCTCTCCGCCGCCGCCGCCGCCATCAGGCCATGTACATATACCTGATATGTATACAAGAGACTCGTATGTACCGTACGTACGTATGTTCCCGCCGCTTCCGTTCTACATAGGGAGGTAGGGGAGTACCGTGCGTGATACAATGCAAATATCGGTATCCGTTTCAACTTTCAACGGGTTGTCGACTCGCTGTGCGAGAAAGAGAGAGAGAGAGGCTGCGATCGACATTCATCCCCGGGCTCGGGTAGCGGCGCAACCGGTTTACATACGACTGTAGATATTTAGCCAATAGAGTAGAGTAGACAATGTTTTGCGGGGCTCCTGTTTATATAGTCTACCTGAGACTTGAAACGTCGCGCCCCAAGCCGTTTCAGACGACCGCAAGAGGAAAAATGGTCTTCCCGTGTCTTTAACTTCCCCGCTTCATTCATGCCGAACTCTTCAGCCCGCGCTTTGGCCATTTGTCCTTAAGAGTGTGGGGAGGCATGTTTCCCTGTTATTTCTCTCTCTTTCTCTTCCACGGACCACCCCTTCTTCGCGCCGGGAAATCAGATTGCAGGTTTGCGCTCGCCAGTCGAACGACCACAAGGAAGACCTGACCAGCAGAGCTGTAGTTTCGTTTTGTTTCGAGTATGTACCCTCCCTATGTATCTACATACGTTCCAGCGAGAACGAAAAACGAAGAATGCGGTTGTCAGTCAGTTCAGTGCGGTGACCTTGACCGTTTCGAAGACTGCGACTTCCCGACCACATTCTTCAAGTTCCCGACCACACTGCATTCTTCAAGATCGCATTCTTTCCCTGCTTTCGTCGCTAACTTGCACTTGTCGCCTTCGCAGTTCCCCGAGAAATCGGATTCGGCATGCTTTGAAGCAGCTGTCCTTCTCTCTTCTTCTTCTCTCTTCAACATATCTCCTAGCGAGGTCGTTTTCGTTTCTCTTCTATATATTCACTTCGCCTCTTTAAACTTTTCTCGTCTCGACGACGAAGGTGACCGTTGACCGACCAGCCGCTTCCCTAACGGCGACCGTTTTCTCTCTCTCGACGGGGTACATATCGAACGAACGGGCCGATCCTCTCATTCTTGTGTAACATCCGTCCGCCGGTGTGCAAAAATGAAATTCTTACTCGCGCCGCTCCTGCTGCTGGCGACAACTGTCGCGCACGCTCTCCCGCTTCCGATGCATACGATCAAGGACGCGGCGGCCATCATCGCGGAGGCGTTCATCAGCGACAACGATATCGACATGGCGAGCGGTGTCTACAACGTCATCCTGGAGCTGCGACATCAGGATCCCGACGAGCTGGTCGATCCAGATGTCGAAGAACTGGCTAGTTTTCAGCGATTGCATGATGGTCGTCGAGGGTGGGGGTACTCGGAAAAACGCGAGGGGTTCCATCCGTTGCTGTAGGACAGTAGGAGACCAGGTGGGGGCAGGTGAGGTCTTTTCTGTTTGTTTGTTTTTTGCCGGGGAGGTTTCCTGTGCCTGGATACTGTACACGACAGCGGTTTTTTGTATTTTTCGGTATTTTTTTCCTTCGTTCGGGCTTGGATGGAGGTGGCGATTGAAAAGGCGTTCTGGAATGGCGACAACCCGAGTGGTTGCGGAGGTGGATACATACTCTCTCGGATTATCGGTGCAACGGGAGTGCAGGGCCACAGTTGCAGTTGCAATCAAGCAGTACTATATGTACATACATCAAGTACTCTCTTTCGCACCTGGGGCGTCGCAGCTGGGGGTGGAGGTGAGCGTGGTACCCAGGTACATACCGGTAGATATCTGCAGTCCGCCCGACACTTGGCTGCAGAGTCCGACCGGCAAAAGTTCGAGCCGGGCCGCATTCCCGACCATGACCGACCGTTCTTCCACTCGATTGATGGAAAGAAAGCCGTGTCGTCGAAACAAGCTCATGGGGCTTTCGTTCGTTTCTTATCCCACGAGCTTGAGCTCGCACAAGCTAGGTATCGTGCTCTGCACAGCCTCGCCGCACGGCCCCGACACCGACACCGAGTTGACGGGCCTGACCTGGGCAGGCAGCGGGCGGACGGGCAGGCTGTGCTGTGTTCCGCTGTGCTGTGAATCTGTGATCGTCGACCCAGTAGATCCTGCGGTGAGGCTGTGCAAAAATAATGCACGGCCTTAAACTTCCTTTTCATCGTAGGGCTGCGTCTTCATTTCCCTCTGGAAGATGAGTCGTGCTCGCTTGCTTGGCGCCGGCTTTCTGTGGGTTAGTGGCGAATACATGGTCTCCTGTTCGTAAAGATCGTCTCCTGTTCGCAAAGTTTGCATGGCTCCGGCCTGCGGCGCGGTTTTATTTGTTTTATTGTAGGCACTCGCGCATCCAACAATTATGCGAACACCTGAGCGCTTCAGTCATATCAGCCACACACCAGTAACTCGGTCGGCGACAACCACCATCGGCCACTCCAAACTTTCACATGGCCTGAGAGATTCCATGTCCATCTCCTGTTGGCTCCGTTTGATATTTCTATGGTAAGTACGGGTCTTTGTTCGGTTTTTTGTTGCGGCGAAGATTGTTATGTAGCTGAGGAATTGGTGTCGTTTCGTGGTTCTGTGGCTTGTGATTTAGTTAGCGTTGCTCGCATTGTTGTTGGATGAGCGGCTCGCGCGTCCTCGCACTCAGCTCAAGCCCTGCGGCGTAGTCAGCGAGTGATGCCGAGTGGCTGTATGTATAGTAGGTATTGGTGGTCTGAGTGACAGTGCATGAACATCATGGCTGCGCTGCATTGGAGTCTGCAGCTGGCATGTGGAAAACGAATCTCAAAACAGCTGCCGCAATCGACGTTATATTATGTCAGTACCCATCCGTGCCATCCGCTGTCGTGGATTGCAAGATTGTGCAGAACCGAGGTGCGGATACCGGTACCGGTATCGGTGACTTTGAAACCCCCTGGACGCGTTGTTACGGAGGAATTCACGGAGGAATTCCGAAGGCCTTGGGCATGCGTCCGGCATACAGGCCGACGTACTCCAATTACTTGTATGTATGTAGAGTATCTAGAGTACGTGCCTGTGGAGATGATCATCCATAGGCGTTCACTCGCCCCGCTCACATCCATGGCCCTCCGTGAATTTCGGGGTTTCAAGTCCCGCCCTGCCCCATTCTCATGCCTGGCTAATTCCCAGTGACGTACTCGGTGCACGAATCCACGAGTCCACGACGCATCAGCATCATCGCAAGCAATATGTTTCAATCTCTGCACCCTCACCCCATTGCTGTCGCCGAGAGCGGGGAATTTCGACGGCGTTGTTTCTTGCTCGGAGGACGCCGGAACTACCGATATCATAGTGCTCTAGAGACCTAGCTTGGTAGCGAACATGGTTTCTGGAAGCCAGGGCCATAGGTACGGTACCTACCGGTTCTAGCTCCACCATCACCACCACCGTCACATATAGGCAGAATCAAGATTCGATATCATCGTGACGACGAACGTCCTTTGCGCTTGGCATGCCAATCTATGCAATCTTTCCACCGCGCAGCACTCGCGGGGGTTTCCTATCATAGGATGTTGGATGGTGTCAAGAGATCGCGAAGTTGATATCGGTGTGCAAGGGTTTGTTCTTTTGTTTTTGTTGTTGCTGTTGCTGTTGTAGGCGAGCGCGAGACGAACACCAGCGGCGGCAACAGCGTCGCGCTCCGGTCTCTTCTTTTCCCGCCTGAAGGGAAAGTACAACCACAGCCAAACCCAACCCAACCTGACCGCCGGAAGACATACCCCATCCGATCTCGGCGTTGCTTCCATCCCGCTACTCTAGCTGCTAGCGATGCAGTCGACCTCCGGCGAGTCCGGCCCTCCTCCTCCTTCTTCTCCTCCTCCTCGGGGAGTGGTCGAAGCGAGTCTGTAGATAAGTGCTCCAGCTCGCTCGCTTCCTGGCGACGACGACGCGCCGCGGTGGACGACGCACACACGGCGCACGCGAAGCTTCCGGGAGGTGCGGGAAAGGGGAGGGAAGTGGAACATCGTTTATCCCAGCTCCGACCTGCAGACGGGAAAGCAGTCCCCCTCTGCGACGAAGTGCGAGCCGCATCGTAGGAATTAGTTAGGCGGGCAGAGTGGGTCGGATTGATTCGAATTTCGAAGCCTTCCCCTCGTTTATGTGACTTGCAGCTGCATTCCATCATGGTTGGTGGGTTGGGGCCGGTGGAATGGAAGGCGAGATGGCGAGAAGGTGAGAAGGAGGATAGGCTCGGAGATGAACTCGGTGCAACGTCTGAGCCTCGTATGATACGTATGATACCGTAAAGTACATACCATACCGGCGAGTCCTTACCTTTCCGTGTCTTCCTTCCCGCTCAACCCACGCGATCGCGACGGCTGGAGTCTTTTTCTTTCTTTCCTTCTTCTTTGCGGCAGCGGGAGAAGAGGTCTTCGAATTGCGCGCACCAAGCAAACGATGATTCTCGCCGCTCGCTCGCTCCCCCAAAACCTGTTATCGCGGTGTGCGTCCCCCAAGGCTTTTAGCGCTGGGATTGATTGCTGCATCCCCACGCCCGCAACGTTTATCTGGTACCTGAGCTAGGGAGCTCCAGGGCGTGCGATTACCTAGCCAGCGCAAGTGTGCGAAGTCGACTTGCATGGTGGCAGCGCTGCATATCCTGTTCTGTCCTGGCCCCGGGGCTAGGGCATCTTGGTCGCGCGGCCATCTCACCCACACGAGTGACCCCGGGCGGCACAGCGAGAATCGAGAGGGCTAACCGTGTGCTTACCTACCCCCAACTAACAAGCAGAGCGTCACTTGCAGCTGCCAGCCAGAGCTCAGATCCTCTATTTTTGACACCAATTCGATCGGTCTGCAATTTCCCACGGCGCCCAAAGCGGTATGACCTTGCCAGTACCACTCTAGCAGTGAACTCTGCTCTCCATAGAGTCTAGAGTAACTATCATCTCTATCTACTCTAACTACTACCTATACACGCAGCTCGTTGTCACCCCACCCAGCCGACTAGCGCTGGAGGCGGCCTCCCACAGCCAGGTTCGCGTTATGGTGGTGTGGCGGGAAAACTACAGCGCTCCCCAGCCCGCATGGTTACTCCAGTAGCACGGAATTTCCTCTTCGACTTCCCGCATTCTCCATCAACCCACTTGGTATAAAGACGTCCCGCTGACCACTCCGGTCTCGTTTTCCTTTCCTCCTCACCCACAGTCGCTTCGATCAATCATCCCTCGCACTCTCCCGCTTCAAACGCAGTCTTTCGTTTCAAAACATCCGAATACTTAATACACCTTCTCAGTCCCCTCTAAACCCCATACCAAATCCACCAAAATGCGTTACTCTACCATCATCGTTGCCGTCGCTGCGTCGACCGTCTCGGCCTACTCCTACGACAACTCCACTGAGTACACTTCCACCGAGGTTGTGACTTCCTACACCACCTTCTGCGCTGAGCCCACCGAGTACGTCGAGGCCGGCCACACCTACACCGTCACTGAGCCCACCACCTTGACCATCACCGACTGCCCTTGCACTCTGACCAAGACGTGAGTTTTTTCCCTCTTTCCATCAACACCTGAACATTTTCTAACCTCCGTATCAGTTACTCGACCGCTGCTCCCGTCGAGACCCCCGTCGAGACCCCCGTTGAGTCCGAGTACCCCGTCGAGACTCCCGTTGAGACTCCCGTTGAGTCCGAGTACCCCGTCGAGACCCCCGTCGACACTCCCACCTACGTTGTGCCCCCCATGTCCACCGGCACCGGCACTCCCCCCAGCTACGGAAACGAGACCTCGTCTTCCCCCAGCTACGCTCCCTCGACCGCTCCCCCCGCCGCCTCGGCCACCGAAGTCTTCGAAGGTGCTGCCAACCGCGCCACCGTCGCCGGTGGTGCCCTCGCCGGTGTCCTCGGACTCGTCGCCTACCTCCTGTAAATCGCATGACCGTTGTCTCCTCCCGCCAGCTCTCTCGGAGCCGGTAGGCAGGCAGTATGTATTTTTGCTTGAGCGTGCGTCTTTTTGAGTTTGCGGAGTGTAGTTGATGCGATTATGTACGACTTAATTATTTTTCTTTTCATCTTCATGGTACGGGTTGTGCGCACCACTGATTTTTTATTATCTTTTCACGAGAACGATGGGGAGTTTGTGTTGGGACACATTTGGAAATCTGTATTTTATGTGGACGAAACGACGCGGAGTTCTATCGGATGTGGGGATTACTTTATGTGTGTGTGCGCGCGGTATAATGATGTGAGGATTCTGTAATGGGGTGGCGGAGAGGGGAGGGAGGGAGGGAGGGGGAACAATTCACTATTTTGGTTTCCGTGCTATTAATTCGCATCGTGCCTTTGAAGTTTGTGCACGTTTTTTCTTCTTTCCCCAGTGATGTGAGTGATGTGAACAAAAACGTGTCGATTCTATGTACCGACCCTGACGCCCACGGTCTGGCACAGATCGCTTCCTTGCGGTGATCATGAATTGGCGAGAAGCAGCAGCATGCAACGACGACAGACTGCACCGGATAATCTGCCCGGCCACCCGGCTGTGGTCGCTTTTGGATGGCGACACCACCGCGCGGCCATGCCTGCCTGCCTGTCTGTCCGTCTCCACACGACACAACACGGCGTTCTCTCCTGAGTCTTCTCTTCGATCTACACATGCTGTTGTGGTTTGCATGTATGTAAAGCCTTTTCTTTTCATATTTACCCGCTCGCTCGCCATGCGCGTGTGCATAAGTGTTCCTGCTGCAGGAAAAAGGGGCGTGGGTGGGTGGGTGGGTGCCTGAGTGTGGGTGGTGGTGGGTGGTGGTGGCGGCACGCTTGTACTTGCACTGTTGCACTGGCAGTCGTCCTCCCTCCCTCCCTCCCTCCCTCCCTCCCTCCCTCCCTCCCTCCCTCCCTCCCTCCCGAGTCCGTCACACCTCACCACTCGCTCGCTACGGGTGTGCTGATGCAGCGTGCTGATGCGGCTTGTGTGTTTAGCCGAGTGAGTGGCAGGGGAGGACTCAAGGAGGAGCGAGGAGGGAGATTGCTCTTTTTTTTTTTGGCTGCGTGAGGGCAGAAAAGAAAGGAAAGCAAAAGGAAAATTCGATCCGAAGCGCGGCTGACGGGCTGGGCTGACGGGCTGGCTGGCTGATTGATGGTTGTCGTTGTGGTCACGACTCGCGACTGGGGGTGGGGGGGGGGGGTGGGGGGGTGGGGGGGTGGGGGCGAGAGCGAGCGCGAGAGCAACAGACAGAGGGAGAGACAGAGAGACAGGCAGAGACAGGCAGAGAGAGAGACAGACAGAGACAGAGGCAGAGAGAGACAGGCAGAGAGAGAGACAGGCAGAGACAGAGAGAGACAGACATCAGTCGCTCCGAACCGAACACATAAATAAACAAATAAACAAATAAACAAACAAGCCTGCCTGGCTCGCGCGAATCGGGGGGTGTGATGTGATGTGGTGTGAATCAGAGTGATGTGATGATACCAGAGCTCGATGGCTGACTTGTCTGTGATTCCTGGCGACATCTGATCGTAGAGTACCTATTACCGTGGATACACAGCTCGACCAGACAGGAAGCCCCCCCCCCCCCCCCATCTCCCCCACACATACACAAACCCCCATGCACGAAAACTCTTCCCGTCTCTATGTATCTCTATTATTTCCCGTAAGCAGTCAGTAACCAGTGCTCTGTGATGAGTGCGCTCATTACTCGTACGTACTTTGCCTTACTCTAAAGCTACATAGAGTACGCAGGCACACGCTCACATAGGCAGCATATCTCCGATGGATTCATGGATTCATAGATGTGCAAGGCCACGGAGTCGCGGGCGGGGAAGAGGGACGGAGAGACGGAGGGGGGGAAGGCGATTCCATCTGCAGTGCACGATGGGTCTGCGCAGGTACATTTACTTACATATACTAGTACGGACGAACGCAGCAGAAGCAGCAGCAGCAGCGCGAGCGATGTGACGGTACCTGCAGGAAGTCATTCGGACTGGCATGGCGGCCGTCACTTCTGCGCTGCTTGTTGAACCCTTCCGGATGGATCCCCGAGGAGCGAGGGAGCGAGGGAGCGAGGGAGCGAGGGAGGGGGAGAGGGGAACCCCACGACATCACATCCCGTGTTCCTGCTCCGAGTGAGTGAGTGATACAAACGGGATGTATAGCATACGAGCGATATCGAATCTGATATGAGTACAACAGGTAGTAGACCACCCCCACACACTCTCTTCGCTAGGTATGTAGACCACCGTATCTGCAGAAATATGTAGAGTAGATATAATAGCCGTCCACTCGCACCTCCCTACCTCGGCCCCCCGCGATATCCCGCGATACCCTCGCTCCCTCCAGCTCCGTGCGTCGCGCACTCCGATCGCTCGCTCCGCGGACCTTCCGCAAGCTTCCGTGGTACCTAGCTCCCTGCCGGCCGGCCGGCTTCGCTCGGCGGACGCCGTTCGTAAAACATCCGCCCAGCGCCATCCGAGGTGATCCGACAAAGATATCTACTCCACTCTGCACTCTGCAGCAGATCAGGCCAGGGCAAGACAGTTCGAACTTCGGATTCGTACATGCCTACGTCCGGAAGCGAGCCGCGAGAGCGGCAATCTTGATTCTATGTACACAGAGTGTGTGTATGCAGATATACAGGTACTCTAGCGAGATTTCAACGGGTAATATGTAAAGGCACTCTACTATCTGGAGATATTTTTGGCTTTTTCTTTTGAGGGGGGGATTCAGTATATTAATATTACCTCCAGTATAACTACAAGTCCTGTGGAGTGGTGGAGTGGTGAAGGTGGAGTGGTGAAGGTGAAGTGGTGAAGTGTTCGACTTGTCAGACCTGTTCGCAGCTGACTTACCTACTTCCTACCTACCTGGTTTGGCGTGTTCTCCTTGACTCAAACATTGGCCGGCCGGCACTTCTGTGGTGTCATCACTTTATGCGTCGCCGGGATCCAGCTCCAACTCCTGTCAGGCTGTCACCGACACACTACTTAGTAAAGCGGCTGGCAGTCACCGACTCACCGCCTCCGGTCAAAGGTTTTTAAAACCTTGATATTCGCCTTTCTCCATCGCAGTATGTACTACCTAGAATATATCAAGTCTCCAAACGTCTTTCGGAATTAGTGAGTCGTGACGGCCAGCCGAGTGATATTCCGCGGATGCCATCCGGAAATTCTCTCGGCTACGGATTCGAGGCGGCATAATCCCGAGATCTTTGGCTCTCTCGCGACGGAAGTAAACATATGGTAGTCAGCCGCAGTATGTACGGACGGGTGGCTTCCAGCGGCCAGCCTCGATCCGGGAGTTGGCTCGGACGTTGCGGAGGCCTCTGATTCACAGGCGGGGTTCCGGAGTTTGGGGCTCGGGGCTCGAGATGGATGGGAATCGGGATGATCGGTGGCGGGAAGAAGCACTACGTGATAGGCAGTAACCCGATCACCAAGAAGCATCATTTGGCCGCGACTGTGGAAAATGAGAAGAATGAGAAGAATGGCCGCGTATGGCTGCGTATGTAGAGGATGTCGATACCCACCCTCTTCGGCCATGTTACATGGACGTAGCTGGTGATGGCCGTGCCATTGATGATTGGTGTGACTCCCCGCTGTCCGTAGGAAATGTACTCATGTACTATAACCATTGCATGTCCGATGGGGGGCCGTCTGATTTTCTTAGACCCGAGAGGTACATACGAAGCGTGATGGATCATGAATTATGCAGCCCGTTCTCGCTCAAGGTCGGGGTGTGCACGTGAGAGTGATGGGGAGAGAGAGAGAGGGAGAGAGAGAGAGAGGGAATCACTTTGTTTCGCATACCGCCTGTGCAGACTATACCGTTCTTCCCTGCCTGGGCGCGCACAGACTGGATGAGCCTGCTACCGTAGTACCGGTATACGTCGCTCCTCCCGGTGCTGAGCTGTGGCGCTCGCGAAAGCCTGGAGGCTGGGGGAGAAGTTGGGCGGCCAGCGCGCGTCATTCAGGCGCCCCATCCGGGCCACCTCCGATGTTTAAGCGCAGTAGGTATCACAGGAACGCGATATCAATACTTGGATGCACGGCTTTTCTCGATGTCGTGAGTTCACTGACTGTCATTTCTGTTTCTGGGATTTGGTGGTGTAATTTCTTTGTCAATGCTTTATTGTAGATACCTCTGCCGGCCATAACTTTAGGGTTCTATGCTGTATGAACAATCAATCAATCAAAGAGGGTCACTGGTGAAGTGGTACATTTAGCGCGGAAGATGGATGGGTCTTCGATCATTCGCCCAGCAATGGTTCACGGCTGTCAAAAGTATATACCAGCGATCCCTTTTTGTTACATACGGAGACAATATCCTGTAACGATTCCAACCGACTGCCAACCGACTGCCATCACTCGTCGCGCGTCATCCTCATCATCCTCATCATCAACAATTATCGTACTCTGGACGTCTCGTCGTCTCTCCATTGCCGGGCCGGCCTGATCGTTCTCCTCAGCCCATTGTCCGAGCCGGACGATTTTCTTCCCTCCCCCCCTAAACCTCTCCGAATTAAGAGAGATACAAAGGAAACAATGACCGCATTCCACCCTGGGTGTTTCGCTATCGTTTCGATTCCGTCGTAGCCATGGGCTCGAGTGCGTGCCCATGACCTTGCAACTCGCTTCGGGGAGGCCCGGCAGCTTGCATCGAGGAAACACGTAACCAAGAGCGGTACATTCACGACGCTAAGGATCGCCCCCGGCCTGCGCTGTTGTACAACATTTCTTGTCCGTTTTACCAATCATTTACAGCGCCCGCGCCCGTGGGACCGCGTTTCACCCGAAAGCCCTCCAAGAGGTCGTGCATGGCCTCATCCAGCGCATCCGCGAACCCGGCCGCATCGGCATCTACAGCTGATAACGACGATGACGACGCCACCACGACGCGGAAGTAATCGTCCCCTTTCATCTGGCCGGGCGTCGCGACCGGCGACGATCGAGTGGTCGAGGGCGTGGGTGCTAGTGGTTCCGGTGCGAGCTCGGCCGAGAACGGAGAGTCATGTAGGCTGTAGTACTCCTGCTCCTCCTGCTCCTCATCGGCCAGTAGCAGCGACGAATCATCCCCCTCCCCGTCTTCGTAGTGGTGATTCCCACCGAACGGCCTCCGCAGCCTCGCCTCCGCGAGCAGCGGCGACCTCCTCTCGGCCACCACCAGCACCTCCTCGCCCGATCCCTCCGTGCGATCGATCGCGATGTCGTCGATCGCCGCCTGCACCAGCGCCGCGAGCTCGTCCGCCATGCACGCGTACGTCTTCTCGGAACTCGTATCGAGCGGCAGCTGTCGGCGCTTCGACGGGCGGCGGCCGGGATTCGAGACGCTGCGGCGCGTGGTGGCGTTCGAGCGCCCGAGCTGGCTGAAGGTCGGCGATAGTTTGCTTTCGGACGCACGTGATACTGGCGCGGGCGGGGCGGAGTAGCGGGCGGGTCGCAGGGGCGGACACGAGCGGGGTATGGCGGACGACATTGGCGGTGCGATGGTTAGTGTGGCTGCGGGGAGTTTGACTGTTTGAGAAATCCGGGAATATTTTTTTTTCGCACTGCGGGGATCCCAGGGAGGGGAACGGGTTTTTTATATGTCGACGTATAAGGTGGTGGTGGGCGATTGACGGGGCCCGGGCTGGCCATTGACCACGTTGAGGGAACACTGCGCTGTAGAACCATGCAAGAGTTGACAGTTCAGGCGCCCCCCGTTTGCAGGAATGCATTCGTCTTCGTTGGCTGGCCCGCTGTACAGCAGCGACCGGCAGGTTTTTGAGATGGGTTGACATGGCATCAGAGGTATGCACATCTGCTGCACGAACAGCCATTGGTCGGACAAGGTGCTACTGCAGCGCGAAAGGGCTGAGTACTTACGTGAGTGCGATCAAGTGTGGCTGGGGTGAGCTATTTTTGGCACACCAGGCGCTGAACCATTGAGGCTTCTCCCGTTAGAAAGAGCGCGCGAGAAGAGGATCAATAGCACCGTGAGCGGATAGCTGTTCTTTCCGGGCGCATCGAAGAAGTTTAAGAGACTTTCCGGACCGATGTAAGAACATCTCCGAGTGAGAATCAATGATTGCACATGCGAGAACCGCTGATTCTTTGTATTTCTTTTCAAGGCAATGTACATACCTGAATATATACGCCATAGTTATGGAGCATGTGCGGTGGGGCATGGACGCCTGGTAATTTTCCCCGCATGTATGTAGCTTATGTCAGGTCGTCGTCTATTACCAATCTGGCTTTTGTATCTCCGTGCTTCGAGCATCTCCTCAGCCGCGCCGGTGATGTGCCGGTGTTCGTTGGCCTCGATACAGAGGCTGACTAACAAGCTTTAGTCATCCTACTATCGGCGGTGCATCATTGATTGATTGATTGATTATTCATACAGCATGGAACCCTAAGGTTATGGCCGGTAGAGGTATCTACAATACAACATTTTGACAAAGAAATTCCACAACCAAATCCATACAGAAGTGACAGCAAATCCCCTCGTCCTCGCAATATTTTAAATCAGTAGCGCTAATGCTTCGGCGAGCGGGATCGGGGGGGCTGACTCAGTCAGACATAGCACAGTGCGCCGGACTCCACCGGCAAAGGCGACTTACATCCGTGCGAACCTGCCGTGCCGACGACCACGACGAAGAAGCGCAAACTCTTGGCGAAAAGTCCCCGATCAGCTAAGTAAGTACCCACTCTACCGGATATCACTCGAGATCGATCCGCTTTGGCCTCCGGTCGAGGTGGAGTCGCCTTTACCGGTACCGCCGAAGCCGAGCGAGATGAGATCTCTCCTTCCGGGCTCTCTTCATACCGTATTCCGTAGATGCTGGATTTCCTCTCTCACTTTCATCTCCTCGTATGTGGAGATTTTAGGGCATACTTATGTCTTTGTGTCCTGAATCCTCGTATCGATGATCGCCTCAAAAGCCATGAAACGTGCGAAACGGGCTGATCCTTGAGGCCTGAGCCGGGTGTAGTGCTGGGTATATATGTCGGAACCCGACGGACCGCGCTTTGATCCTCTCGCCGCCACCACGACCATGGTACCCACTCCATCCCACGTTTTTGCCGCGCGATGCTTGTTCAACGGCCAAAAGCCATCGACGCTCTCGTCATCAGCGGTTGGTTGGTGGGGGAACGCAGCACGCCTCATCCCTTACATATCTAGGTAGATACACAGTTATATACGGTGGGTCGGTGAGTGTTGATTCGGCTGCGGGCAGGTGAAACGGCCGCAGTGCTGCTGCGCAAGTTCATTGGTACCGTAGACCACCATCACCATGGAGAAACGGTAGAGCCGAAGTCGATGTCGGGACCGCATCTCCATCCAAACCTACATACATATGTACAGTCCACAGACTGGCTTTGAGAAGAAGATCAAAGGAATGGATTAAATGGATAACTGCCGGGATGTCATATGAATCCCTCCCCTCTCACCGCCGGGTTGGATCCTGCACCGCACGGCCCCGCATGGGGGGGGGGGGGGAACGGGGGCGAAGGTGGGATAGGTGGAAAAGAAAGGGCTGATTTCTAGGTTAAATGCCCTCCTCCTCCTTCGAACGTCCGTCATCGCCGGTACGGTGGTGCGTCGCTTGGTCTATGTATGTACTTACAAAGATACGACCATGTTCTGGGAACCTGCTTATGCTGAAACGCGCGGACTGCAAGTATGTAGTGGGATCTACCGGTATACGACAGAAAGAAAAAAGCAGTCGGCGGCGGCGGTGAGATATTTCCGGTTTTCCGCGCACTCGCACTCGCACTCTAACGGTTTGGCGCTTCGTCGTCGCCGTCGTCGTCGTCGCCGTCGTCGTGGGTAAAGGTTGGCATATCTTCCCTTTATGGCCCAGTCGATCGCGCGTAGAAGGCCGAAGGCGGAAGGAAGAAACGTCGCTGATATGTATGATACCTATGATACGTCCGTTCGCCCGCACTCTCTAGGTACATACTCTAGGTACCTACTCTGGGTACATATCACACGCCGACTGACATGTGCGAGCGAGCGCAGTACCAACTCTAGAGTAGAGTAGAGTAGATCAGGCACGAGCGATCGTGATTCGTGATCCATTGGCCCGCAACGCTATGGTTTCGTCGTGATGGTGCGTGTATGTGTGTGCGCGCGTGTGTGTGTGGATGTCGGACCGGCCCGGGGTTCCTGGGGATTCAACCGGCATCGCGACGACGACGACGACGGTCCGTGCGGAAAATTGAATATGTAGCCGTTTAGGATAGATGGATGCCTTGAAACTGCCGTTCTTTGCCGTGCAGCGGATGATATGGGAAGGGGTTTACACCAGAGGAGGATGTGAGAGAGGGAGGTAGGAAGTGGGAAAGGAAGGGAGGAAGGGAGAGGAGGGGCTTGGGAGTGGGTGTTTACCTTGCAAACAGTGTCGAACCCTCCCATTGGATGATATCAGGCCGCCGGTGAAATAAAGTGAACGGGACGGACAATAGCTTAACGGTGCGGTTGCGCTCGTCCCGCACCGATCCCGCTTCCTGGGGCCGCGTAACCCACACTGTGGGATTTCCTGTGTGGCACGGAAGGTTATTACGTTGCATGGTTTCAATTCATTCACATTATTTATATGTAAGCACTTATGTAAAGCTATTAACCGCTCCCAATACTGTGTCGGTACCTTATCAATCCCAAAGAAAAAAACACCAAGAGACAAAGGAAATGGTCATTAAACCACGCCGGAGCAGCATGTCCCCTCAGGCGGGACGGGAGACCGGTCTGTGTCCACTGACACTGCATCTCCCATGCAAAACACACAGAGCTTGTACATATGCAATCGCTCAACCTAAAACATCATCACTCTCACCGCGCGGTCCCGAAGCCAGCATCGCGGACGTGCGCATGCCCCGGTGAGGGCAGATCAAATCCCACGCTCGGTGAAGGAGTTTGCGTGAGTTCGCTCGCGGACTTTCCAATAATCATCTCCTCGCTGTCGTTGCTAGTGGATTTGTTCGGTCCGGTTCCGTAGACGCCCTTGGAGTCGGCAACTCCGAGCTCTTCCAGCCCGAAATTCTGAGCTGTTGCTCTCCTTCGTGTACCGCTGCGTGAGCCGTCGGCCACGTAGCCCTGGCCAGAGGACTGGTAGGCGGATTGGCCAACCGAGCTGAAGATGCGAGGGAAGAGCCTGGAGAACAGCGGCCGCAACGCCGGAATGCAGGTGCATACTACTGCCAGGCAGAGTTCCATGTTGGACCATATGACAACGTCGTCGTACGTCGGGTCGTTCGTGCGGAAGAAGACGCGGTGCAGAGCGTTGAGACGGAGAATCGACATGATGACGACGCTGGAAATGGCCATCAGTTCTGTTTGTAGGTGGGGTGCCATGAAGGAGAGGAAACTTACACTGAGCCGAGTGCGAAGAGGGAAATCAGAATGATACGCCGCTTGACGGAAATCTGCAGACCCCAGAAAATGGGCATAGGTAGGAGGAGAATCCAGAGGTCGGTGGCAGTACTGATTCCGGCGGTGATGAAGTAGAATAAGAACTGGTCGATGCACTTTCCACCAACAATCGAAGGGTCCCAGAAGAAGGCGACGGGCGTGCATTGGAACAGATCGACAATGAAGGTAGAGATTCCCAGCCCTACAGTGAACCACATTGTCGCCCATACCCAGTGATGAAAGGCAGCGTTGATGCTGAGACGCAGATAGAAGAGAAGCAGCGAGGCTTTGGTGAGTGTCAGAACTGGATTATAGAGTAGCTGATTTGCAATAGCCATCTGTGAAGAATGACGTCGTCAGCGCTACATATCTCGGGATTGATAGTAAGTGGCGTGGTGCAGACCTTCTGAGTCGACGTCCATCTCGCTTGCTCGAAGGTGAAGTCCCATACATGATATCCAATGTGGCCGCGCTGGACATCTACATTCCGTGATGTCAGCAATGGAATCGGATGGACAGCCTTGAAGCTAGTTGTGTCGGTACTCACATATTACACTGGTCAAACTGCTTGCCCACAAGCATATCTTTCCACAGCGAAAATATCAGCATCTCTTCGAGCCGAAGCTTCGTGAACTTGGGGCTCAAGCTTACCGCTGCCAAAAATATTGCCCAATCATCTGGACAAGATCGTTAGTAGTCCATCACACAGAGAATTGAGGGTGGGGGAGGGGGAACTGAAGGGACCTACCATTGCCAAAACTGCGCACCACGAATGACCTAGTGTACAGACGACCGAGTACGAAGACCGTCGCAATCACGGTGAAGAACATGATGACTATTATGAACTGCTGCTGTCGATTCGAGTGATCGAGCTCCTCGTACGGAGGCCATTCCACCGGTGCGACTGACATCTTTTCTTGCCGGCTCGAACTCGGGATCAGGACTGCCGTCCGGCGGTGATAACTGAAGACCTATGATAGTGAAGTGTAGAGTCGGTCGTCTTCGAACTGTACTCTAACACTCGCAACCGTGGTGACGGGGCCCGTTTCAACGGGGATGGTAGCTTGGATGATGGTGTGGGGATGGTGAGGTGCTGCAGGGCGTGTCTTTATCATAGATTCCTATGTTAAAGAAAAAAAAGGTTCTGGGTATACTTGGGAAGATGTGTTACGGGGAACTACACCGCCGGGCCGGGGGAGGGGGGGAGGGGTGGTGGGAGATGTGGGAAATTGAGAGAATAAAAGCAAATCTGTAAGACTTCAACCCCTCCGACAGCAGAATCCTTACCGAGAGGGTTCCGTGAAAGCAGGTTTCATGCTAATGCTAAATAAGCGAGTGCGTATGCGGAGCTGAAGAGAGAGGCTATGTATGTGTGTGTGCGAATAGCTGCAGAATGTGAAGAAGCATCGGAATGCTTGCTGTACCTGCTCGATTGCTCCTTGCTGGGAGCCGTGACGGTGGATGTGGCACTTTTGGCTGCCGATGCAGGCACACGGCCTGTGCAAGTGCCAAGAGAGTCACCGTAACCGCTGCCACCCGGTGTCCGGAGTACTATCTGGCTACTAGATAGATGGGCAGTGCGGAGAAGGAGGCTCGTTCGGTGGCAGCGTGGCTGCGTGCGGAGTAGAGTAGAGTGGTAACGGCGGGTGTCTGGAGATCATCCGAACATGCGATAGCGCATCGGGTTGGCCGAAAATCGGTGTATGTAGGTGCTTACTTGGGCACTTGTGACGGCCCGCACGAGAGGCTACGGAATTGACTCCCTGCTGCCCCGATGCTGCCGATCAACCTACACAAACCATCCCCCCAACACCCTCAACCCCGTGGGTCTGTACTCGTCAAACTCTAGTCCGAGCCTCTGACGCTTTACGCACCGAAAATCATCAGATTATCGTGTGGATCACCCAGTGGTTCTTTCCATGATCCCCATGATCTTCACACACCCTTCTCCCACCTAGTTCCGAGGTTTGCATTCGTGTGGGGAGCGCTAGGACAACACCTCCAATCGCAGGTGAGTGAGTTTTTACCCAGCCTGCATGTAAAGTTCTCCACACTAATCAACTACTGCGCACTTGCCCCACTAGCCAAGCATGAAGCGCTTGCACTTGCAGCTTCGGCGTTCGCAACTTTAGAGTACCGGCCCGGTAACTATGGATCCAGGTAGTTACTCTGGCAGTGTGCTCTGTGGCACACGCCGGTCAAGATGAACGTCTGGTGCCCCAGGCAATGGTGTGTCGAGCTTCGAATACCGAACCCCGAGTTCCTGGTTGACATCCTGGGTGCGTTTTCATAGAGTACAGACACACGCACTCGGGTTGCTGGAAGCGGGAAACGTGCAGCCAGTGAGGTCGGTACCGCTGCGACGGAAGGTCAGTCAGCCAGAGGCCCGAGCAGAAGCCATTCATCTCCCCTCTGACTGTCTGACACATTGTACAGCTCACGAAGAGCATGGAAAGTTCCACGGACGCCGAGGGAGCCCCTTCCTTCCTTCCCCTCCCCTCCAACCCCCGGTGAGACACAGTGACCATGGTGCCCTCGAGGCACCCAATCGTCTTCAGCAAGGTCAAAGTTTACCTTCGCGTGGCCCCTTCCCCTGCATAGTACGACGATGGGCGGCGCCGGCCTTCTTCTCAGATCCGGGGTCTAGGTGAATTCTTCTGCGAGAGCAATGGCGAGCGATTGCGATGCACTTCTCCCTTCCCGCCCGTATAGATTATGCCCCTAAGAGGGCTTCATGTGCTGCTGCTGCTGCTGCTGCCGAACGAACGACATTCCGTTCTAGCTCCGCCCACACCGCTACCGACACTTACGCATGCGGATCCATCCATTTCGTTACGCGTAAGCTGAAGAATCCCCCATCCATCCTGCCAAGGAGCAGAGTAACTGCTCTGGCGAGCAGCGTCACACGAGATGACCACGATGTCTCAGTATGCCTACATAATACTACTCTAGGTGCATCTGGTGGCCGGATCGCGAGTTCAGTGGTTCGGTACGTGGCTGAGGAAGGATCTATGATGTGAACACAGAGTGCCAGTTACTACTACTATTACTATTACTACCACTACTACTACTACTACTACTACTACTACTACTACTACTACTACTACTACTACTACTACTACTACTACTACTACTACTACTACTACTACTACTACTAAGTATTACCACTAATAACCCAGTGAGAATTGCTTGGTATGTATTTGCCTACATACAAGCCTCGGAGAACAGACACCGTTTGGTACATTCGGAGAATCTTGAGAATTTCTTCGGTGCAGGCTTTCGTTCATCCCTTCCTTTTAGCCTTCGGTCAGCCTGAGAGTCGTAAAAAATGCCTCTGCTAATAGTCTCAGAGACTGCATTCCTCTCTTATGCAGTTCCTTCCACAGGGTGACGTTTTAGGCAGGAATCTACAAGTAGTTCGATGGTAGTGAGACATTTCTACCGAATGTTCCGTGCGAGTACCTATACTAGAGCAATACATCCATCATAGGATGACCATAGGGGGATCGGGGGGAGAGGGAGGGGGTGGTTGATCGGCTTTCAGAGTTGCGGAATCTGGAGGTCCAGGAGCTCCGAGATCAGAGACATGGGGCAGGCTATGTACCTATAGGTATGTAGCCTACCATAAAAATCCATTCCGTCATGAACTCGGGGTTCTCGGGCCAAATTTCCTTTTACTTCCTCGCGTATCGCAGGACCCTCCTACCTAAGTACCTTCCTACATGCCAAGCCAGGCCACACGTGGAAGAAATACCGGCGCGGAAAGCGTTTAATTGTCATCCGTCCCGGTACTAGAGTAATTATACCTAGAGTATGATGTAGGTAGTACACACATACCCGCCGATTCGCTTCCTACAGTCCTGCTACCGTATTACCTATGTCCGCGTACGGCGGTGCTGTCAATCTGCTTTTTTTTCCTTCCACATCTGCCGTCGCGACTGCTCTGGCCCGTTCCGGACACTCGGTGTAAGTCGCTTCAGCTCTCCCGGCTTTGGTGACGGGATGTACTCTATGCACACATCTACCAAAAACCAGACATTCAGGCAAAAGGCTGAGGAATCACATGCTGAAGAATTTCATGCACGATAGCGTGCCTGAGTACTTACCTATACGAGGAGCAGGAGGAGGAGGAGAGGAGGAGAGTGCGTAAAACACACGTAGAGTAGATATGCCGAATAGGAAGCACTCAGGCAGCGGTTGTGGTTACTTGTAAGGCATGTTTCTTCTATGTAGAGTACCGTATGTATGTGGTAGATATCGCTTCAGTGCAGCGATACCCACTACCATTATTACTAGTATCATGCTCTATAGTATAGGGTCCTGCATTCAATGCACCAGGTACAAATACTCAAGCCACCCGGAGGCAGGACCCCACCTTCCGCAAGAAGCGCCCGGCAACCAGGTACTTAGTTAGGCAGGCTAGGTAGTCCCATATGTACTCTATGTTCTCACCGCTCGGACTTGGGAACTTTGGGGGCTTAATTTTGCAGCAATCAAGCTTCGTCTCCCTCCACCCTCTTTGTCCTCTTCATGTGACGAGATTCCCGGATTGACAGGTCGATACGAGCAGCAAATGAGAGCGCGAGGAGTGGGTGCCACCAGAGGTGTCTTTGTTATGTCTTCCTTTGAAGACAACGCTGATGCATCACGCTCAGTGGTCCGAGAGGTGATCTGATTAGCCTGGAGAAGAAGAAGAAGGAGAAGAATGTGAAGATGATGCAGATGAATTAGAGAGAGCGGAGGTAGAAGCAAAAGTAGAAGTAGAAGCGGAAGCGGGAGCGGAAGAAAACGAAGAAGAAGGAGAAGAAGAAGGAGAAGAAATAGAAAGATCTATCGAACCTCATGCTCTACTAGTAGAACCATGAACTTCACCCTGCATTCTATGCACACGCCACTCGCCCACTTCCCATTCAGAAAAGTTTTTCGAACTATCTACCGCAGCACATGTAGTACCTATATCATCACATCTTAATCATCTCACATCTCGCATCCATGTGTCCCGGGGGCAGTGGGAGTAAAACCGGTGCGGCGCGGCTATAAGCAGATAATAGGCGGCTATGCCGGGTATACGTGCGAATCCAACTGTACTCAAGTTTTTCCGGCGACGGGGCTTCGCACTCGCTATTGAGGGAGCGAGTCAACTCTATATATGGCCGCTGCGAACGCTAACGTAATTGCTAGTTGGTAGCGGAATCTCTCTGTCGCCAAGTGTCGGCTGCGATGCTGTTCGGCCACTGGTCATTGGCCGGCCAACCCCTCGCCGTTCCGTATCTTTCGCGAGTATTGCGGGCCTACATACTGGCAATGGAGTGTCTGTCGCAGTCCCGTATACGGCCTTCGTCTGCGGTTCCCCCACGGAGACATCTCAGGTCGACAAGCTAGGTGCTCCCCCTTCGTGCAGCCATGCCACAGCCTGCATATCACATTCAAGTGTGCGGATGGAAGGTCTGGCAATGGAATATTCCATGCAATTGGAGAAAAGCCATCCGAATCAGCATCAAGCCACGATGCGGCTTGCATCGTACCGCACCGTTACGTAAGATTGAATGTTCGGTAACAGTACTGTATTCTGTCGTACAGACGGCGGCAAGACAGTACGAAACAGCCACAGTCCACATGTCACGAGCACGGAGCGTATTACCGTAACCGAGTGCTCTTTGGCTCTAGGGTAGAAGGTCAAGTCAACCCCTCCCCGTATTCGCTAGGTAGCCACGTTGTGGAGGGCGCTATGCATGCCTGGTACCTACTGGAGGGCCTTGATCTGACCCTCTCCCTCGATTCGTACTACCAGTACCGTACCTCACCAACCTTGTCGTACATACCTGAAGCTCGAAGGTTCGTCTCGTCTCGTCTGCAACCCCTCTGCCTCCAACTCTAGAACCGAGATCCCCAGACGATCACGCCACCCAGGAGGGGGGGGGAGGGGGTTGCCAGTCCACATGCCAGTCCACATCCGCGCACACTCACTCATGTGGAGCCGATAAAACAAAAACACCGAATACGGGCACGGATTTCCGGGGCCACGGGGCGGGCTGTTCAATGTTTCAACTGGGTACGCGAGTACAAACTACAGTTACACCAGATTTCCGGAGTTTCTGAGCTCCGAAATTGTGCCTCTGGAGAGGACTTTTGGTACTATTATGTGTGTATGTACGCACAGGTCCGCCGGTACCTATAATACCAGCCAGAACCACCGAAACTCCGACAGTCGCCGGTAGAGCGGTTTTTTATTCGGCCGGTCAGTCCGTCCGGGCGGGGCGGGACAGGACCGGGGGAGGTTAACTCCCGTCCTCCGCCGATTGCGAGCGGGAAGCAGACCAGACAGCCCGTCTCCGGTCCATCGGTGCTAAGAACTGCGGTCGGTTGCAAGACGGAATCGAATCGAGAATGTGGAGATTGAGGGGATCGTATATACATACCGGTGGTGTTGTTCCCGTCAGATTTTCGGGCAAGCATGCTGTGGAGTCGTGATTGGATATCCTCCGGGTTACTTGGTGTTGCTCGACTACGAAGCAGGAACCCAAAAAGCGGCGGTTAAGGGAAACTACGACTCCGACTATCCGGCAGGCTGCGCAGTCGACTGCGTCCATCCAGTCCGAGTCTTAGTCATATACTGTGTGAAATAATCCGATACCGTCCATACCTCCAAAGTGGGACGGACTACTACCGTATACCATGGAGAACACTGGAGGAGGGGGGGCATGTTTTCCCCGCGATCTGGCGGGCGGGGAGTCCATCCCGTGATCATTCAGCTCAGAAGGCCATTGGCCCATTGTACGAGACCAGACAAGCGGCTTCCAAGCTCATGGTATGTATGCAGCAGTGGCGTGTCAATCGACCTTTTTACTACATGGACTACCTAGTCCCGTGTAACGTTCCTCATGGTCCGATCCGCACATACTTCGATCTGGACTCTTGACGGGACGGACTGCGTCGTTCCAGGCCCATTTACTACCAATGGATGCGGACGAATGTTAAATAGGTAGTCCATCCAGTCTGTCGGTACATATATCAGAACTCCCGGAGAGCGTATGTACATAGGCGACACGGGATCGTAGTAGTACGGTAGGCTGGGTCACTTGGGTTGGCTACTTGGTAGGGAGAGTGGATACATTGTACCACCGTCCAGTCCCAGTCCATGATCCATCAGGCTCACCGGGCTGCCCAGGCGAGCCTGAGGACCTGAGTGGGCCTAGGATGGACTGGCTTTCGTGAACTCACTAATGCAGTCCATACATGAGAGCTGTACAGGCTGGAGCTGTACAGGCTGGAGTCTGGACTATCACGAGCGCTGCTCTCATGCACCGCCTTGGGAATTGCGAAGAAGGACGCAAACTCCCACGTCAAGGTAGGCTCCCCGCACGGCGAAGCCAGTGCAGTTATTCTACATAGGTAGTCCTTTCAGTCCAAACTCTGCTGTTCTGCTGGACGTGGTCGGACTACAGTCCAGAAATTTCTCAACATTTCAGCACCAATCCCGCTTGATTCGGAATTCCCGTTTGCGAGTGCTCAATATTCTAGCACTTCAAGATCCGGCGCATATCTATTATCGAGATTTCACCCTCATGCCACCGTCTAGTTCACCCACGGAGATACTTCAGATAAAAATCAGCAAGTGCCCCCTCGACACCCACATCATCGTGATTCGTTGGGGACTTTGGGGATGAGTAGGCTTGGTAGAGAGAGAGAGAGAGAGAGAGAGAGACAGAGAGACAGAGAGAACATCGATTTATTATCGCATAGCTACGGCCTATGGCGACCCCTTACTGGCCTTTCCTGGCAACCCAGCAATAGGGTTTGGTAGAAAGGTTAAGAAAGAGAGAGATCTTAGAAAGGTTAAGTACTTTATGGTATGCAGTCGATGAGTTTAGCATTCGAGTGCTCCTTTATGGAGGAATCTGAGCACTCTCCTGTATTTGATACCTAGTGCTATTGCTGTAGACCTTGCCGTGTTACCGAGCTGACGTGCAGCACGGATTCCGGCAGAGTCTCTCGGGGTGGATCGTTGCCCCCCCACACCCCCCGCCACCTGTCTGGCATGCCACTCATGGAGGAAGATCCATGGCGTCTGCACCGCGGTGAGACAGCGCTCAGATGCGCTACGTGGGCGCGGTTGTTCGGCAGAGGAGCTGATGATGATGATGGAGATAACGGGGACGAAGAGGAGGAATAGATGTTTGCGGCAAGACGATTTCTTCACGAGTTTGCCGGTTGTTTCTTTTGGCTCCGAAACCTTTTCGAGGGCGCGTTTCCTACTACTGCGCGTTTATATGCTTTGACTCTGCGGGTGGCTTGCGGGTGGCTTGCGTGTCGGATCGTATCATAAGTACAAAGTGCAATAACTACCTTGGAGGCTTCTGCCGGCTGCCCAGTAGTAACCGGTAACCATATGTGAGTGGTTTGGTGATTCCTGCACTGGTCGTCACGCTTGCTGCAGATGTGCCCCTTTCGCGGGTGCGTCTACATGATTACGTCGCCCCTATACTCTAGAGTCTACCATACTATAAAGCGAGCCGTAGTTAGATTTGAAACAAAGCGAGCCTGTAGATGTGGAGCATTAAGGCTCGCCAACTAGCGCATCACCCAGCTACCACTGATCGAGCAGTTCGTATACCAGGCTGACTGCTACCTATTATTACTACCCAACTATCCCGGAAAAACGGTTTGCTGTCTGTCTCGTAGGAAGACCCGCGTCAGAGAGAAGGTGCCGCAGTCTCGCAGAGTTGTTCACTGTACTAGTAGTACCGGTACGCCGTTTGCCTTGGACGACCCATACTGAAGAAAAGCTTGTATGCTATGGGACATGTACAATACATGTGATGATATTCTCTACAAAGACACACGAGCCCCTCGCAGTGCCAGCTACGATGACCGCCGGAGCCGTAACTTGCGCGCGGCAGGCGCATGCATCATGCATAGTACTCTGCTATATACTCTAGTATGTATCTCCAGGTGCGCTACCTTCATGCCATCCATGTAAAATCCGCCGTCGATTAATTTTGTCCGCCTGCAGTCCAGTCATACGTGCCGGCGCCGGTTGATATCGATGCGACGCACCCGGGGCAACCGAAATCTGATCCACCGACCAGTGGGCCATTTAGCTCGACCAAGACGGAACCCCACTTACTACTAGTTACTAGTAGTTGCCCATCTGTATGTGCGTATATACAAATCCCCCTCCCCCACCCCCTCCCCATCTCCCCCAAAAGAACCTCCCTAATATGTTCGTACATATGCAGAGTGATTGCGATCGGGTGAGGCTTAGACATGACAGACCCATCCCCTCCCCTGAGTGTCCACTATCCGAATGATTGATTCGGTCAATGCGACCCCCTACTTGCTACAGACGCGGGTAATTCATCATGCGAGATCTCTCTGTCTGTTCCTGCAGCGAACCCCAGCTTCCTTTCGTGTTCGGGAGCGGCCAATACGGACTCGACTCGAGTCGACGAGAAGCTCTCAGACCTCAAAAATCGGTCGCATGCACTCGTGCGGAGGAGAGATTGGGCCGGTATGTGGGGTATCTTGTGCTCTCGTGCGAACTCTTCTTTGCATGTGGGGCTTTCGGCACCGGAACCTGGGGGCACGCCTCGTTGGGCTGTCGAAGAGAGGCCGCAGCAGCAGCCAGGCAGAGCTGCAGGTAGGCATGATGGTGGTACACTGATTGGATCACGACAATTGCAGTTGCAGTTGCAATTGCAAACCCAAGCAAACCACAAGCAAGATCGCGGGAAGTAAGGCGTGGACAATATGGGGAGGGAAGGGGATGGGGGAGGTTACACTGGGTTTCATGCCGTATGTAATTCTAGATTCTGGGGACTGCGTGAGGCAGAGACGTTCTGCATCTATGATAATTCTCCATGGTGACTAGGTCTATTCTGGTCGGGCAATAACCATCGAGACCAGTGCAGGTCAATGGCGCATTTACTCTACGTGGTGGGGTGACTGCACTGTGTATACCCAGGCACTACGTTTCTTTGCTAGGTTCTTCCATTGCGCGCCGCTTCACGCCTCATTCCGACCCATCGTACCCTGGCTACTCCAGGAGTATATTTGCTTCCCTATTCCCACGTTTTCTCTTACTCAACTACCTCATCCGTTCGTTCGTTCTTCACCTGCTCGGAAGCTTTCCGACTGACACTCGTTCCTCCTCCTCAACCTTCTAATTCTCTCTCACGATGAAGTTCTCCCAATCGGTGTCGGCTGTAGGTCTCTTTGCCGCTCTTGCTTCGGCGGCAGTATTGCCACTGGATGCCAGAGACACATCGGACGTGGTTCTTCCCATTGAGTCCACTGTCCTCACGGAACCCGATGTCGCGGATTACCGCGAGCAGATGGGCTTCGGAGAAGATCTCGATGGTGTCGAGGACCAGGAGGATACCAACGAGAAGCGCTCGTCCTCCACTACCTGCAGGTACATTCCTAGCGATTCCAAATGGCCTTCGGCCTTCGACTGGTCCGTCCTCAAGTTCTTTGTCGGCGGAACCCTCGTCAAGCCCGATCCCATCGGAAAGGTCTGCTTTCCCGGATCTGCATACGACGCCGTCAAGTGCGCCAATGTCACCGCCGAGTTCACCAACTCCGACCTCCAGTGAGTATATCCTGCTTCAATCCATTGTTTCGCACGACATGATACTGATATGCATTTTTCTTCTTCTGTAGCGTTAATCATCCCACATCCATCATGTCTCCCCAATACCAGGGAATGACCTGTCTTCCCGGGGATGGTAGCATCGCCAATGCCACCTGCACCGTTGGTGGTTACCCACTGTACGTGGTGGACGCCAGGAACGCGTGGGATGTTCAGGCTGCGGTCAACTTTGCCCGCAACAAGAATATCCGGTTGGTCATCAAGAATACCGGCCATGACTTCAACGGAAAGTCTTCGGGCTCGCACTCGCTCAGTATCCGCACCCACAAGTTCAAGGACATTGCTGTCATCAAGAACTACAAGAGCAATGGATACAGTGGTATTGCCCTCAAGGCTGGCTCCGGTGTCCAGGGGTTTGAGTTGTATGCTGCTGCCAGCGCTGCGGGCCTCATGGTTGTTGGAGGTGAAGGAATGGTGAGTGCTTACTGTTTCTGTTCTATTCTATTTAGCATGATGCTAATTTTCCGTAGACTGTTGGTTGGGGTGGAGGTTACATCCAGGGAGGAGGACACTCTCCTCTCGGTAGCATCAAGGGTATGGCTGCCGATCATGTTCTTGCTTACGAGGTCGTCCTTGCCAATGGCCGCTTCGTGACCGCCGACCGTGACACCAACTCTGACCTCTTCTGGGTATGTGCCGCTCGCTCTTTCCCGACGCACCGTATCGTTCCTAACAATCCATACAGGCTCTCCGTGGAGGAGGAGGTTCCACCTTCGGTGTCGTCGTCTCCATCACCGTCAAGGCGTACGAAGACATTCCCGTGACCATCTCGACTTTCGATTTCACCGTCTCCGCGGCCGACCAGGCCAAGTACGCCGCTGGTGACTACTCTAACGACGATTTCTGGGCGGTGATCAAGCACCACATGAGCCTGTTCCCCGAGCACGGCGACGCTGGAATCTACACCTACTTCAACATCTTCCCCAGCGCAGTTTCTGGCGCGCAGACCTTCACCATGCTCCCGTACTTCGCCCCGGGCAAGACGGTCGCCGAGGTCACCGCGCTCCTCGCCTCCCTCGTCTCCACCGCCGCCGATCACAACATCACCATCACCCCCAAGACCGTCTTGTACCCTGGTTTCAAGCAGGCGTGGGCCGCCGGCTTCCCCAAGGAGACCGTGGGTCTCTGGAACGTCCAGTCCGGCTCGCGTCTCTTCCCCCGCCAGAACTGGGCCACCGACGCCAGCTTCGACACCACCTTCGCGGCCATCCGCGACGTCGTCGCTAAGTCGTACATGGTCGGCTTCAACATCGCGCCCACGCTCGCGGCCGGCGGCGTCACCGCCGACGAGACTGCCGTCAACCCCGCGTGGAGGAACACCGTGCTTCACGCCATCACCGGCACGCTCTGGGACGCGTCGATCCGCGACTTTGACGTCATCGACCAGTACCGCAGCAACTTCACCAACGGCCCGATGGAGCAGTGGCGCGAGGTCACGCCCGGATCCGGCGCCTACCTCGGCGAGTCCGACACGTACGAGCCCGACTGGCGCCAGGCCTTCTACGGCGACAAGTACGATAAGCTCTACCAGATCAAGCAGAAGTTCGATCCCAAGGGTGTGTTCTTTGCCGAGACCGCTATCGGTTCCGAGGACTGGAAGGCGGGTGACGACAGACTTGGACGTCTGTGCCGCGTCTAAGCTGATCATCTCTCTCGCGCTCTCTCGCTATCTCTCGCACAAACACACACTCTCTTTTGCATAACTTCTATGTGCACCACTTCCCTTTGTCAAGCGCTGCATAACCCATATGTATGTACCGTAACTATACTATAGTACACATCACATCTAGATATTTTTATGTTTCCTGTACATACATATATAGCCCGGATAGTTTTTAGAGGGAGGGGAGGATTAATGCAGTCGATTGTCCAGTACACATTGTGACATTGTTTCCGTGCAATCACAATCACGTCGTGTCACCCGCTTCGAAGCCATAGGTACCGAAGTAAGTGCCATATGGGGGCATGTTTTCGCCATAGTCTAGATAGGCTGCATGCGAAATAAAACAGGAAGATCTTTTTTTTTTCTAGGGGGCATGTAATAAAGTTGGAAGCCTTATGTATGCCCTATAAGCCAGGTCAAAGCTAGAGTACAAACCTTCTATAAGCCAGTGTTAAGCACGTGTAGTTCATAAGGCTCCCGTAAGGGTCATGTCGGTTCATGGTCCCATCAGTATTCGACATAGTCTGGTCCGGACAGGACGGACTACCGAGTTCCGCTTCCGTCCAGTCCAGTCCATGGATTTTGTGGGCTGGAGCCGTGTGTGGACACGGCAGTCGACTGCGGTCCGTCCTGCCCTCGAATTTTTTGGACTACCTACCGTACCGTAGTCCGTTCGAACACCGCTCACAGTCACGGACGGAATGCCAAGGTACATACAGTCCATTCCAGTCCAGTCCAGTCCAGTCCAGTCCAGTCCAGTCCAGTTCGAGGCTCGGGATGGATGGACGGACGGGCTGGGCGGACTGGGCGGACTGGGCGGACTGGGCAGACTGGGCGGACGGACGGACGGACGGACTAGACTATGAAGGATACTGCAGCACTTTCTCCGCTTCCTCCTTGAGCTGCCAGCGTGGTGTTCACTCGGCGAGGAGCAGGGTGGGACGCGGTATAGTGAGTGGGGGAGGGTATGGGAATGGGGGCGGGGGACTGCGGAGCGGGGAAGGAGAGTAGGTTAGGGACATAAGTGGAAGGGGAAGAGCATCGCCAAGTGACAATTATTGCACGAGATAAGGTTTGTTGTAGAAGAAATCATTATGTACTACTTAGGATTTCCAAGAATCCTTACGAGCGTATCCCCTGGACCGTAGCTCGTTTTCCGTCAATGTATCCTTAAAATACGGATTTTCTAGCTCTGACAGTCACTCTAATTAGCCAGCTACCCCGCAACTAATGAGATGGACCTCTTCTCTGTGATCTCCTACCGATGATTATGTTTTCAAGATTTGGTTATGTCCCTTGGTGGGTGAGTGGCGACAAGCTTTTCGGACGATGCGATTTTAACCGATTTTTGGCCATTGATAGCTCACCCATGAGCTCAAATATTGTTCTAAAGTCTCAAGAACCTCGGATTATCTCCGCCTTGCTGTACTATGGGTTCTACGTAATGCTCATTAGTTGGCCTTTCCTGTGGGTGGTCACAGCTCCCTCAACATCGCAGTTTTGGCCGAAAACCCGAATTTTTGAACAGCCGCAACTCATGTAATACCAAATATTCTACATCTTTGACTCCGATAACTGAAAATCATCTGATGAGCCCCAAATGATAAGGGGTTATGGGAAGTATTCCTACAGTTTTGGGATATTTCAGCATATTGTTTTCCGCATCTTGACGGCATTTTTCTCCTTAACTAGCATGGGAACACCTAAATTGACGCCAGAATCAGCACTGGGTACCAGGATATGTGAACTTTGAACAGATCATGTTTGGTTGTAACCATATGGTTGCTGAGTTATAGACCCATTTATGTTCAACAACGGGCCGGATGGCCCAGATACAGCATATCTACGATTCAGCCTCCAGAGGATAAGCCTTTCAAGTTCCAACCTTTCTTTTTCAAAACTCCTCATCATCCTTATGAACCCCTCATGAACTCATAAGGCGTGGCTTCTAGTAGGCGTTGCGGAAGGCTTACGACTCGGAGTCAGGAGTCAGGACTAACATCCACAGCACTGAGCACGCAGGATTGTGGAAGCCTTATTTACGAAAAAAAAAAAGACTTACAGAAAAAATATACAAATATAACCAAAACATATTCTCATGCGGGTTGTGTCCGCTTCGTCCTCATAGTTACAAGGCTGCCATAAGGCGTCTAACTTCATTACATCGCTCTTCCTATGATACCTATAGTAGGTGCTTACTGGAAATATCACTCGAGTCCAATCGGAATACGAACGAGTGACGTGAAAAGTTAAAACGGCTTGTGTGTGTGCACCACACCACCACGATCAAGAATCTAGAGTCTAGGGTCTAGACAGGCCGCCTGCAACGCACAAGCAATCCGCGATTACCTACCCACAACCAAAAAACCAAAAAACCAAAAAACCAAAAAGCAATGCAAGTGCAGGTGCTTTCTCTCGTGGCCATATCGGGTTAGGTATACGCTCGCACTGTCCACGAACGGGTGTGGAATGTCAGGGAAACTTCATATGCAGCGAGTGACCTCACGTGCTCGGCATTCGAATACCAACCTTCCCAGCGGGCAGCTCGTGCCTGATTGCTTGCAGATATTCGTAAAGATTCGTAAAGATTCAGAATATCTACATACTTGTAGTGTAGTGTACAATATGCCCATTTTCCATTGCCCACACATCCCAAAGTTCAAACCAAACGCGTCTCAGTCTGCCCACCAATGCCACCATATGTATCGTACTGGTACATACCCCGAACCGTGCAAACACCGCATCATACATGATACATCCCAAACCAAACCGAAAAGAAAGAGCAAAACGCCAAAAACTCCCACCCACCCGCATCCGCCCTTTCCACCCTCACAGCAACGAGAACCCGCCCGCCGCGACGCCCAGACCCAGAACCAGCGGCCAGACCCTTCCGCCCGTCCCTGCACCTGCGCCTCTCGCTCTGCCTCCCGCAGCACTCTCAAACCTTGTAAGATTCATATTCCCGGTCACGTTGGTACCAGCACTAGCATTCCCCGCAAAGCCCGCAAAGCCCGTGCCGTTGCTGGCGGGATACAGCGGCGCCGGCGGCACGATCAGTCCTGACGGTTGCGATGGCTGCGCCGTTCCAGTCCCTGCGGCTGCGGTTATGCGTGCGCCGTCCAGGGCATCGAAGGTCCGGGTCGGGAAGGGCTCGTCTAGGACTAGTGAGGTCGGCACAGCCACTGCGGTCTCGAAGGTTTCGAAGAGGATTGTTGTTTCTGCCTCTGCTGGGAGGAGGGATGTTGTTGGCGAGATGCTGGCGAGGGATGAGGTGGTGGTTGTGATGGCCAGTCGTAGAGGGGGGAGGGTGGAGGAGCTGGAGGAGGATGATGAGGAGGCGACGGAGGCGGAGGCGGAGACAGGGACGGCAGTACAAATACTCCTCGCCTGATCACAGTACGGAGCTTCCTCCGGACTATCGTAATCACGTATCAGCACGCACTCATCCCTCATGAACCACGAGAACTGACCAACACCCCTCAGCCCCCTCGCCCGCACACTCCTCCGCCGCAAAGTCTTTACACTCCTGCAGCCAGTCACACGTTTCGCCCGCGGGACAACATCCGACCACCCCGCCGATATCCGTGCACACCGATCCTTCCACGCAGGAAACTACTCGCACCCTCATCAGCTCCATTCCCGCTGTTCACCACATATAGAAAGAGGGAACATACTCCCAGCAGCATCGTCACAGCATGGACCACTGGCGCACCCGCTGCCGCAGACCTCGCCGAAGCCGCACACCGCCCGCCGAGCGAGCACGTCTCGGGGAATGAACATTATTCCCGGAATCGCAGCGGTTCCTGATGACGACGCCGACGCCGTCGTGGATACGATGGCGAGTAGTAGGAGCGGTAGATGGCGATGCATTGTGTATGTGTATGTGTGCGTGTACTTGTCTGTGTATGTGTGTGTTTCCGTGTCTGTGTGTGTGTCTGTATCTGTGTATGTGCGTGCTCGGCGAGATGAAATCTGAAATCTGAAATCTGAAAGTTGTGCTCGGCGAGATGTACGAGGCAAGATGTGCGAGACGAGACGGTAGGTAGGAGGTAGGAATGCGCGGACGATAGTCGGGACTCGGTTGATCGCAAAGCAAAAAATATAAAAAGAGATAATGCAACGGTCTTGGACAATGAAAACGGAAACTGGCAATCAATCAATCTGAATCAATCTGAACCGATGTGTGAGATGTGCGAGAAGGCTGCGTAATACCTACCGAGCTCCGAGCTTCAAGATGAGGATTCGCGACTGGGATAGGTGGGTATGGAGATGGAGAACGAGTGAAGTGAAGTGAAGTGAATCCTGTATATCCAGCACAGTGCCAGCCTGTTAATCACGAACACGGTACGGTACAGTACTCTACGCGCAGGAAGAACAAATAAATATCAAAAACGACGAGAGCTCGCTCGAGTCTCGAGAAGAGGGGATAAAAGGGAGTGGACACCTCCGTACAAGTACAAGTAGTACGTACTCCCAGCACCGCATGCTGTCTGCAACCGAAGGTCCGGAGTTTCAAGGGATGTTGGTGTTGATGATGCATCCCCCTACATACCTGGGAGCGATCCTATTGGCCCGGCAACGTGAAGCTGAAGCTGGAGTTGCCTCACCAGTGACCTTCCTAGGTATTCTCCCGCAACCGCCTCGCGAGCCGCGACATTTATCCCGGGCCTCCCAGCCGAAGCCACACACCATTGGCCCGACAGTGGACACACAGCCACCCCGTGAAACAATTGTTTTTTACAGAGCGGGGGCTCGCATTTGTGGGCACTGGGCGTGGCGGTTTCGCGATAATCACAGCTCAAACACCGAAACCTGAAACGTGTAGGTACTAGGTAGGTAGGTAGGTAGGTGCGCCTCCTGACCTTGACCTTGAGCTTGGTGCCAGCCGAGGGTTGGCTCCTACTCTACTTACTCTACGGTATTGGGATAACTGTAGGGAGAATAGAGTGGTTACATATCAAGAGAGAGAGAGAGGGAGAGAGAGAAAGCATGATCCGCAACCGCGTACCGCGTGCCGAATCGTGGAGAAGACGATGGTGGGTGCGTAGGTACTTGAGTAGGTATGCATACCTACGTTTCTTTAACCGTAGGGTACTCTAGGTAGGTGCTATGCAGATGTGCATGGCAACAAAAACAAAGGAGTAGATGTGGATGCCGTGCATGAGCCAATTGGATCGCAATCGCGGGGAGAAGGAGGGTGCGAGTGACGGTGCATGTCGTTAGATGGGTCGTGATATAGATGCATCAATGGGCTTCACGTCCAGCGCCGTGTCGCGATCAATCAATCTCTTCCATACTGTGGGTATTTGGTTCATTCGTTCTGCTATGATAGGTACGAATGCAGCATCTTGAACATATGAATGCCCATCGCATAGGTATCCTCTAGAGCAGCACGACCCAAAACAAAAAACAAACATCAACCGTTTACGCCCTCTGGTCCTTCTCCAAAAACCACTTGACGCCCTCGACGAGATAATCATGATCATCGACCTGCTTAAGGCCGCTAACGACAATGACCGCGGCAACGCCATCGACGCCCCTGATCCTGACCGGGAATCCGCCTCCATGGACCGCGTAGACAGCATCATCAAGCGGGGCCATCTCGCTCAACCTATCGCCGGCGAGTCCCTTCGCGACCATCTTCTCGCGCATGTACAATGTCGAGCATCCGTAGCGCAGCACGGTCGCCGCCTTGCGCGTGAGCCAGCTCTCGGAGTCTAATGTCGAGCCCCCGACGGTAACCGTCGTGAACAGGATCTGACCGGTCGGAAGCGTGATGCGGATCGAAACCGGCGTCTCCGGGAACGCGGAGAGAATTCGCGATCGGATGATGCACCCGAGATCGAACGCGTCCTGCGCGTCGAAGTGCGTGAAGAAGAGCGTTTCGTGCTGCGTGGTCAGCTCGTCGAGCTGGAGCGAGGCACGTCAGTCAGTCGGATTTCGGCTACGGGATTTGGAGGGACGTACAGAAGGCATTATTGTACGGTTTTGGTGGGTGGAATGGGTGGTGCGGTAGGCGGGGTGGGGGATGATGGATCCGCGGTAGCGACGAGATGATGATGTAGGGGAGGAGATGCTGATTGCTGATTGCTGATTGCTGAAGCGTGAATCAGGGTTTGTCACGAAAACAATGGTTGATACATACCCGGCCCCGCACACGATGACGTTTTAAAGCAATCACTCTATGTACCGTAGTTAGCAGAGCCGCGCCGACGGGCCGGCGGGGACGTGCATATTTTTCTGGGTGTGGAGACAAAGATGCTTCTAGCGGCTCGTCACCCGAAAGGAAAGAATCAAGACCGGCCCGAAGACTCCATAAAGTTCACGGAACTCAATCGGAGGCGTGGATGGAAACTGTGACCCGTTCTTTGTTAAGAAAAGTAAAGTTTCCCACGAGGGCTGTGATATGTGACTGTTTACGTGATCAATCCACCTCGCTTGGATCGGTCCGGACTAAACAGCAGCAGCAGCCAGCCCTGGCCGGCCGCCCTGGGCCCTGGTACTTAGCAGCCTCACTTTCGAATCGGCCGCCCACAGCCGATCTCCGCCCGCCAGCCTCCACTTCACGGCCACACTAGTTACACGATCTCCCCAAAAAAATCGACGGGCCCTCCTCAGGACTCGATATCCATCAGACATCCTGTGAGCATGATCGAACGGCTGGGTATATATCTACCTATATATGTGTGTCATTCGCGCGTCGATGCCTCCCCTCGGTCGGATCTCGGAACTCCGATGATCGTTCGTGGTTTGCTGTTCTCCCTCGCATCGATGTGGTGGTCCATTGATGATCCCGGAGACGGAGAGCGTCAATCTATTATCGTATTCGTAAGGGTGGAGACAGAGAGCGTCAAGCTATTGTCGTGTCCGTAATACCGGAGAGAGAGAGAGAATACGGCAATCTATTGTCGTATTTGTGATGGTGGAGACAGAGTCGCAGAGAGCGCCAATCTATTGTCGTATTCGTGATGGTGGAGACAGAGTCGCAGAGAGCGCCAATCTATTGTCGTATTCGTGATGCTAGATGAGTCAGCAGAGTTCCCTCTCTGCGGACGTGAGTCGTAAGTGAGCGATGGCCGCCAGCGATGGCCGCAAGGACAGGCCAGGCCGCTAAGGAAGTTAAAACTTGGAAGTTAGAAGTGGTTGCTGTTGCTCTTTCCAGCCACAGCTACATGCTGCTTCAGCTGTGTGAGTCGCACCGAAATAAAAACACCGAAAAAGCAAGTTCGGCTGCGTGGGATCAGCGGCTTCAGCTGCGTGGGCCCGCACGTGTCGTCACTGTCGTGTCCAATCCACGATCTCCCCCTCCCCCGCAAACCCGCTGTCCACTCACTCACGTCGGAATTCGACGAACCGGTCGCCGCCGCTCACCTACATACGGTACCGCACTGAGTGAGGATGCCCTTTGCGTTGCCTTGCTTTCTTGCTTGCTTTTGAGAATGGCTTGCAAACGCACCACGGTTGGAGAGAAAAAAGAAAGAAAGAAAAGAAAAGAGAAGAGAAGAGTTCTTCCTTCTAGCGCCCGACGCATCTCGATTGTCGACGAGCAGAACTCCGAAGCTCCGTCAGCCGGATACATATGGAATTCCGAGTTGCAGCCGAGTTTTTCTTTCCTCTCCGTGCCGTTCCTCAGGTACCAGCTGCTAGCATCACCGCTTATCCTTCACGGCCGGAAGGAGACAAAGAGCCCTGCGCTTATTCCCGCTCCGTCTCCTACCTCCGTAGTCAGCATCTGCCATCAGCGCGGAGTTCCGGCGGTTGATGAATGCAAATGCAAATCCCCATGTCAGCCACTCCATCACATCATCTTCGGATCGTATCATGACTCCAATCGATCCATCCGCCAGTTCGTCCAGCCAGCCAGACGTCAGACGTGCATTACACGACAGCTTACCCCACCCCCTCCCCCACCCCCTCCTTCCCTCTCAGCTGGAAGCTAGAGTAAGCATGTAGAACATACATACATCCATACATCCATACCAGGGTCCGATCGGCTCAAGATCGTGCCGCTTTCCAACCATGTCCGTCGGACCCCGGGTGATGAAGTCTCCGAAAACGAACGAAGAGAAAACTCCGCGAGAACGAGAGAAAGACGGAAACAAGCGTTTCTTCCCTTCCTTGGCCTGCCGGATCAATAAGCGAAACGCAGTAAAAATTCCCTCGCTCGGAACCAAACATGAGTCTCTGTCGTGTGATGGTGGTGGTGGTGGTGGACGGTGGTGGACGGTGGTGGACGGTGGTGTGTACCTACTACGGTACCGTACTCTAGTGGCAGTAAGGTTAAAAAGCGCAGCCTTCCCATCCCACCACAGGCAGTCAGCCAGCCAGCCTATCACCACCACGACGTGGCTGCAAGCACAAGCACAAGCACTCACTTAATATCGTATCCGCATGGAAATCGACTCACCAAGGCCCCCCCGCCTAATCCTACATACCACCCACATCGCCAACGCAACGAACCACTGCCTGCACGGTCCTGAGTGACACATCACACGTCCCGTGCCGGGGGTTCACTGTGAGTTCAGCTGCACCAAGGATCCGGAGGCTTCTGTAAGATCCGTCTGGAGACAAAATAATAAGAAGCATCCCCCCCCACAATCGATATCCCAATCCATCCATCCAACTCGAGGTCCGCACGTTACATACACTCCCCCGCGAACCATCAGCCCTGTACACCGAAACCACTTCGGCCACATACGAATACATCAACATCCGCACACAAATACAATGCGTCCCTCCACCCTCCTCCTCCTCCCCATCTTCACGTCAGTAGCGTCGGCATCACAAATCGCCGTCCTCCCGCGGGCAGAGAACTACGACCTCCTCGCCCCCGCCGGACAAGTACCAATGCCACAACTGTATGCCCCTCTCATTCCCCCCCTCACCCTCACCCATCCCTCATTCCTAACCTCTCTACCAGAAGAAACAACCACACCCCCGCCTCCCTCCCCTCCTCGGCCGAATCCACGGAGTCCGCAGAGTTCAGCCAGATCCGCACACAGACACAAACACAAACACGCACTCCCGCCCGGCGGCGACGCCGCTCCGGCAAGACGAAGTCGGCGGAGAGGGAGAAGGAGAGCGCCGGCGATAGGAACGAGGGTCTCACCGCACGGCAGGTCGTTGGTGCTGTGGCGGTCGCGGTGTTGGTGGCTGTGTTTTAGCCGTGCTGGGGTGGCATGGGGGGGAACGGGGAGTCTGTTTTTGGTTTTTTGGTTTTTATACCTGGCGTTTGGGCGGGGGGAACGGAGCTTTTGTTTATGGCGTCTTATGGGCTTGGGAATGAATGGACGGACATGGGAATGGGAATGGGAATGGATGAACATAGGTATGATCGGGGGAAATGGCGGGGAGGACGGCGCTGGAGCCTGGATCACTGCGATGCATCATGATCCGGCTGTGGTGTATTATACGCATGTACATTGTGGAGGATTATAGGATGTAAATATTTTCCGCGGGAATGCGCACAAATGGGCCAATCGATCAAGAAAGAAAGTTGATCATTTAATATTTATTTGGTTCATAAGTGAGAATTCGGGTGTGGGTGATTATGGTAATTATACCGAGTACGAAATCCCGTTTATAAGGAACTCGGATATCTAGGACTTTGCCATCCCGCTGTTTAATCTTCCGCCCGTCCGGACCTCTAGTGTGGAGTAAAGTCCAACCGTGATACAACCGCGATCCAACCGTGACCAACTGAAAAGATGGGTGATATCGTATGACGGCTCACGCCCGTCTACTCGTTTATTCGTATGTGTTCGCCTAGCAGGCAACCCCGGCTACATAGACAAACATGCATCTGCCAACCATCCAGCCAGCCAGGCTCCAAGAGATGCACTTACAAGGCAGCCACCAGACTGCCCGCCAGGTTGCTAGATTGCCAGCTAACACCGCCCACCGCCCACCGCCCGAACACTACGAGCCCTCCAGATATCCAGCCGGACATTTAGCCTACAAATCTCCGAACCTACAAACCTCCGAACTTCCGAACCTCCGAGCCGCCTTCACCGCCGGCACCCCCGCCCCCACCATCCGCACGCCCCCGCCCACGCCAACCCCCACCATGCCCACCATCCGAACCCGCGGTGCACCCGTAAAACCCGTAGTTCCGTACGTGCATACGTCACGGCTCATCTTGACTCTCGAGCTCGCACCCAATCAGCACCCAACCGGCAGCTACATAATCGGCACCCAACCGGCAGTTAACCAGCACCCAACTGGTAGCTATCCAGCAGCGGGCACGGAGCACCCACCAGCGGACCCACCGCTCATTCCGGATCTTCCAGAATTTCCAGAATTTCCGAACCTTCCGCACCTTACGGACCCGAACCCCCACGAGCCCCGTACTTCCATACATACATACGTCAGGGCCGCTCTCGAGCTCGTATATACCGAGCCCGCAGTTAACCAGCGCACGGTGCACCTAACCAGCGGACCCACTGCCCCTTCCGGATCTTCCGGATCTTCCAGAACTTTCGGACATTGCGGATCTACCAGATCCACCAGATCTTTGGGATCTTCCATGCCTTCCAAATTTTCCAGAATTTCCAGAACTTCCGAACCTTCCGTACATACGTCACGGCTCATCTCGTTCGCACCCAACCGGCAGGTAACCAGCAGCGCGCACGGAGCACGCACGGAGCACCTGCTTGCGGGCCCACCGCCCATTCGGGACCTTTCAGAACTTACGGGCCCTTGGATTCCGGACCCTCGCGAGTCGTAAGTCCCCGGGTGGGCGGTGGCCAAAGCGCTGAACGTTGCACCCTGCACCCTGTTTGCGCGCGGAGTACTTTGTTTCCCGCTTTGTTTCCCACACTCCCCACTGCTCTGTGTGGCTACTGGCTGTCGGCTCCACGGCTTGCGCCCGCTGGCCGCGAGAGCACCCGCGAGAGCTGGATGTGCGTGGAAACTTCAAACCATATGCTACTACCAAGTATGTGGGTATGTGAGTGATAGCTAATGATGCCCTCACTGCTCGTCACTCGACGGCTCATGAATATCCGTGTCGTTCATTCATCAGTTATCACGCGTCTGCTTACCTATCCTAGACTAGCTCCCATCAGCCTTGGCACTGCCGCAGACTTCTCCATATCCCCATCTTGTATGCAGTACCTTTCTCTTCTCTGAGCAATCCATCTATCTACCATTGTATATCTCCAACAATCCGCCTATCGGTCATTTAAAACTGAAGATCTCTCTCTCTCACGTCTACATGCCCATTTCGATGTCGCTAGTTCTTTCCCTGTTCCTTTATCTTTTTGCATCGTCGCATAAGCAGCCTTTGTGGCTTTTGTGGCTTCTCAGAATTGTCCCTATCTTTTCACCAGAATCAGTCTCTTTAGCCCTCAGCCCTCGGCCTAGGTAGGTAGTCCGGCATTGTCTATCGTTGCATTTTCTATCTAAGGCCTAGCTTCATCTCGTTGTTTCCCTTTAAAAGCAATTTCTTTTCTAGTTTTGCTCGTATCATCACATCAACCAGGTCAAGTTCTTCCCTCAATTTTAACACCGCCGCACGTAACTACGGGCGTGACTGGGTTTTGTGGATGGTCCACCTCTCTCTGTCGTCAATGTTTCCCTCTTTGGGTGCGGGCCGTGCAGTCGAGTATCTTGCTTGCCGGGCAGAGGGCGTATGTATGAGACGGGGTTGCTATTACCCAGTACACTGAGCCAGTGATCTGGACTCTGGAGTCTGGGCTGTGGACTGTGGTGGTGAGTGTGGATTCCCAGGGAAAAAAATGTCCGCCACTATAATCCACACTCCCTACAGCTTAAATCCGGCGAGAATCAAACAAATCGTACTCCATTGAGTTCCGTGTAAACGCCTCCACAGTCAACCCCGCTGGAACACAGCAGGGAAGAACCCAGAAAAAGTCAAAAAGGTCAAAATTGAAAGCCCCACGCGGGGGTCGAACCCGCAGCCTTAAGATTAAGAGTCTTACGCTCTACCGATTGAGCTAGCGAGGCTTTGCTATGTTTGCGCTAGTATTATTAATACATACCCATCTCCATAAAGAGAGTAGTACTTCATTCGCTCTGGTCGATTCAGTGATTGTAATTTGTAAACAGCCTCCACTCTTGAATCTTCAGCCGAAAGCAACACTGAGCAACACCAAGCAATGAGTAACGAGTAACGAGTATGTAGAGCAGTCAATCCGAGCAGTCAAGCCCCACAGTCAAGTGAACACTGAAGTAGAGCAAATAGAGCAAGTAGAATAGGTATGTAGTAGTTATGTACAATCGCTCCTCGCTCCTCCCGAGCCCCTCATCTGTTTCACTTCGCTCCTCCTGATACTCCTCCTGATACTCCTCCTGATGCTCCTGATGTTCCTCCTCCACTTCCCCCTCCACCCAACCGTCTCTAGGTGCCCAGCAATGACCCAGCAAAACAAATCTAGGTACTCAATCTCAGTATGTACTCCTCCCCCGTCCCCGCCCCCTTCCCCCCTCATCCCCGCCCTCTTCCAACATCCATCCTTCCAAAGGCCGGGGCCCAGGGCCGGAGGCAACATTAACCAACCCAACCGTAAACCAAAAAATCTGTATGGAAAAGAAAAGCAACAACCCCCAAGTTCGAGAGAGAGATAGAGAGAGAAGAAAAGGAAGCGGAAACGCAAGGGAAAGAAAAAATCAACAGTCGTAACTCCTGGACCCCAATTTTCAAAGAAAGAAAGAAAAACACCGAACAAAACCGCGCACGCCATGGAGAAAGAAGGAGAAAGGAATGAAGGGGGGAAATAAAACAGTTAGGTACATACTTGGGTGGATTGGTATCACGCAGAGAAAAACGAAAGTTAATGAAACATTGAAGCAAGAACGACCGTCCCGAAAGGGGAAAAAAGAGGACAAAATGAATAACCTGTACACCTGGGATCTCACCGAATCGCATGTGTGTGTGTGTATGTGTGTGTGTGTGCGTATGTGTGTGTGTGTGTGCGCGCGCGCTCCGTCTATACGACGCCTCTGACTGTGCTATCCAGCACTGGCGTCGCGGCCTCCGACTCCCGGAAGCCATCGGGAAGACTCAATGCGATATCGATTCCCTTTCCGTCGCAGATTCCAACCGTGCTCCACCGTTCCTGCCCGACCTTCTCCTCCTCGACGCCGTCCAGCGAGAGCAGCTTCGGTGCTAACCTTCCAACGCTCCCCGGTCCACCCTCCGACGGCTTGACGTCGACGCTCCGGACTCTAACCGGCACCTTGACCGCACCCGCGGCGTCATCCCTGTCCGGGAGTTCCAGACGATACCGCCTGATGCTGCCGCGATCCTCGTCTCCATCTTCCCAGAACTCCTTCTTCCCACCGCATCCCAGGATTCCCGCGCCGCACAGAACACGCTGCCGGATCCACACCCACGCCGACCGTTTCCGCTTGTCGGCGGCCGCATACTCTGCTCTGAGCGATTCGAGGTCCTTCCATGCGATCGTAGTGGGCTCCAATGGGGTGGCCGGGGCGACCATGGTATCCCCTCCGGAAGATGATGTGTGTCTTGGTGGCAGGAACTGAACGGGGGAGAGGGAGTCCGCCGAGTGAGAGAACCCTGTGCTGAACGGGAGGAATTCGCCGTGCACACGGTCGTTGGGGTATTTATGCGTCAACGACTGCTTGATCTCCAGCCGCTTCTGCCGCCGTGCCTCGGTGATTCCCTGCGCCGAATCCCAGCTCCACTGCGGCCACGGTGATTTGCTGCTGGAGGCGGGTGGAGTGAGTACCCCTGATCCCGACGACGAAGGCCGCGCATTGAGTGTCGTCGACGAAGAGATGATGGAGACCTCTGCCGATGTCGATGGGCGGCGCCCACGAGCGAGCCGATTACTGTTGGCAGCGGCGGTCGATGCGGTCGATGCGGATGTGCTCTGACGGGAGAGCATTTTTGGATTCGATGCTGTCGATGCGGATGTGCTCTGACGGGATACCATTTTTGGAGTCTTGGAGTCGGTGCGAGTTAACGGTGGTCGTTCGTTCTCCTTGTTCCTCGAGCTCCGCCTAGATGATCGAGTGGCAGACGCATTGCTATTGCGCCGTGATCGGGGAGGGGGCACAACGCTCTCTCGTCGCTCCTTAACATCCTCCCACGCGTCAATCTTGATCACCGGTTTCGACTCACTCCTCTCCTTGTTCTCGGTGGGCTCCTCCGGGTCCAGTGGCTCGTTGGAGACACTTGCGACGGCGCTCCACCAAGTCGAATTCGAGACACACGATACATTGCTCAGTGTTCTCGCCCTGTTGCAGCTGCGCAGCGTACACGTATCCGGCTTCCTTCCGGTGCCCAAAAATCCACCCCCAGTAGCAGAAACGCATTCGTCGAACGGCAGACCGCCAGGTGAAGACATTCCGATATTCCGTATACGGGGTGACAGGCTATTCGGATCAGGAGAGGTGGTTGAAGACGGAGTTGATGGGGCTGTCGAAGGCGCAATATTGGGAGTGAACGATAGAAAGGTCGACACCGACATAAATGAGCGCGGAGTCTGTGCACGGTCGTCCGCCATGACGGAGAAATTACAGAGGAGAAGTTTGGTCCGGTATTATAAGCTTGGTCCCTCTCCGCGCCCGCTGTGACTAATTAGATTTCACTAGGACGCTCTATTATGCGAATGTTTCCCGTTTCGAACGGACGAAGCCAGCAACGTCACAGGGTTGCAAGGGGCAGTGCTGCGGTCGAACGCTGAGCTCGGGTGCGGAAGCAACGTTTTTTTTCTTTCTGATTGTTTGTGAGGAAGTAAGGCCAAGCACATAAAGCTGACGTTGCTCACGCAGTGGTCGAGGCGCGGGGCAAGCGGCAATTGCGGAAGCTGTCCGGCTTGGAGTGGATCGTGGGTAGTGGTGGAGGTGGAGGTGGTGGTGGTGGAGGTAATTGTGGTGGTGGTGGTGGTGGTGGTGGTGGTGGTGGTGGTGGTTGTGGTGGCGGTGATGATAGTGGTGGTGGTTAGGGGTTGATTGGTTGACGATGCCTGAGCCCGCAGGACTTTGTAGATGAAGCGTTGACAGCAGGAACAGCGGAGTGCGAGGCGGGAGGGGGAGAGCAAACAAAGGTGGGGAAGAAGAAGGGGAGCCGTCCTTTAGTATCGTCCCCGCTCCCCAGAATTTGGAAATACTAGAGGATGTCAGTCTCGTCCATCCACTCCGTATCTGCCCCCGGGCCGGATCGAGTTGTCAGGAAGCGGCGTAGCGGCGGGCGAGCGGTTTTACCGAGTGCAGTAGAAGAGCAGCAGAAGCACGCTTGGGTTGGGAGGGGGGGGAGGGGGGTTTGAACTTTGGGGGGGTCCCGGTCCAGGGAGGAGCGGTGCTCAATGCTCATGTATCTCTGAGACCTAGAACGCTGTGTCTCGACTCTCCAAACTTCGCTGTGAGCGCCGTCCGTTTTAGCCCACAGCCACGCCCAACGAAACAAGCGGTTCAACACCATGTGGACGGACTCACGGAACTACATACCAGTACTAACTAGCAGACAATACCCTTCTACTTCTTCTTCTTCTTCTTCTTCTTCTTCTTCTTCTTCTTCTTCTTCTTCTTCTTCTCCTCTCTATATATCTCTCCTCTTTGATCTTCAAGGCTTCTGCACGAGCGAGACGAGATTAAAGACGCAGCGGCGAGGGGTTTTTTTCTCGAAAGCAGTCCCGACATGCACAAGAGCGTAGGTATGTAGGCAGGCCCGACTGCAAGCAACTGCAACTGCAGTTCAAACCTCACGATGCTGCCCTTTGCGCTCGCTGATCACCGACTCGCGCATGCACACACAAACACACACTAGAGAACCCAAGCCACTTTCGGTCCGGGTCTGGAAACTCAGAGCACAAGAGGGCGTTAGTTAGCTGCGGGGGGGGGGGGGGGGGGGGGCGGCGGCGAGAGTCCGCGGTGGTGGTGGTGGGTGGAGTGACCTAGAGCACCCAGAGTACCCAGAGTACCCAGAGTACCCAGAGTACCTGCCTTGCTTGACCGACCGCTTCTCCTCTGTCTCAACTCGAGCCCTTTTTCGTTCCTTTTGTTTGCTGCTTCTGCTGCTGGGAGAGGGGGATGGGGCCGTACTGGACTGGACTGGATTGGCTTCGATCCGCGGGACTTGCCTTTGCCTCTCGCGTTTTGCGGCTTGTGCGGATCGAGTTAAACCGGGGGGTGGTTCACGCGTGTAGATAGATAGATAGGCGAGAGGCCGAAGCCGAAGCCGAAGCCGAAGCCGTGGCCGTGGTCTTGGTCGTGGTCGTTGTTTGGTGGAGAGGAGGAGACGAGATCTGGGTCGACCGCGGGTTGGAAGGACGAGCTGAGCATGAACGCCGTTGGGTGAGCGGGAGAGGAGGGGCGGAGGAGGAGGAGAAGGGCGAGGGCGGAGATTGCAGAAACGGCAGGACAGTTATCTATCAAAGTGCTTTTGCAGCAGCATCAGCAGCAGCTCCTCGTTCTCTTGTTTCTTTTTCTTCGTCCTCCATTCTATTCCCATTTGCTTCACGGGACACTCCATCTATGCATATCTCGATACATGACCAACCACTTTATCACCTGCCCCCCCTCGTAGGTTCGCACTGCTCTGTGTGCTCTGTGTCACCCGTTTCCGTCGTCGACCCTCCTCGTGGACCTCTCTCATGCAACACGAACATGCAAGGGCGGACAGGCCGCGTGAACTGAACGGACCAGTGCTGCATCCATCTGCATGTGAACCCTTCCCCCTCTGCAGCAGCAAGCAGCAAGCAGCAAGCAGCAAGCAACCAAGCAAGCAACCAAGCAATCAATATCTACACCGTTAGTTTGCAGAGTTAACCGACAGCCTGCAGAATTTCAGCAAACTCTTCTCGAGGGGGGGGGGTTTCATCTGGCAAGCACTCGCGTCGAGTTGGTGTTTGTTCCCGCCACCGTCGCCGTCCGCGTCCCTGTCCGCGTCCCTCCCAACTCCAACAGCAGATCGCCAGGTGTACGCCCGACCAACCGGCAAACAGGCAGGCACAGCAAGAAAGAAAGAAAAGAAAGAAAACCCCCCCATCGGCTGTGGGCGTCGGCTTACTATTGCTGGAGCCTCCCGCATGATTCCTGGACATCGAACCCACCCCACCCCACCCACCGCAATCGCTATCCTGGTGGAATCTGGATAAATCCATCCATCGATTCTTCGGATCTATCCGAAGAGAGAGCAGCAGGAAAAAAAAACTGCTGTCGTGCACGCACGCAATGTTCCGCCAGTTAGAAGTAAGCTTAAAGGTGGACTGCATACTTGTATGTAGAGTAGGTAGAGTACGAGTAGAGGCGAGTGCGAGTGCATACATATGGTATGGTGATGAGCACGCCTGCGCCTGCGGACTGCTCACCGCCACTACATACGGCTCCACGAGAACTACGAGAACATCTGAGGCGGGGTATGTACCGGTGTTGGAGTATCTACATAGAGAATCGCGTTCGCTCGTTGGGTGTCATATGTACTCTGCTCATGTAGATACTCTACGGTACTAGTCGGTTATGTACTCGTTAGTAACGACTCGGCGTTCACCTCGCGATGTCCATAGTGTGGAGAGGGGAGGGGGGGTGCTTGGCGGTCATGGTCACTGGACCTGGTAAAAGTATCTTCCGTACGATGTTGCATCTCCATCTCCAGCGTGCAGTGGGGTCGCAGACCCGCAGACTTGCAGACTGCCAGGATGGGCCTCGGCACTTTGAAGGGCGACTGGACGTTGGGCGCGACGAAGCAAGGAACCCAGCCGCCCGCCCAACAGCAGCTCACCCTCCGATTATGTAAAGTGCGACCATCAGATTATGTTCTTGAGAGAGAGAACCGTCCGTCAGCGAAGATTTTCACTTTCACTTTCACATGCTCGCGAGTCATGCTTGCGAGTTGCAAGTCGATCCTGACTGAGGCTGACTTCTCACTCCTGCTCCCTAGACGTTCGACTCGACTCGAAGGTCGAGAGTCGACGGAGTGTTCAGGTGACATGTGCGATGTATCATGTAACATGATGTATGATGTCGGCGGCGCCGCGGCGGTGAACGCAAGTTACGCAATCGACGCAACCAATCAACGCAACCAACCAGCGTAACTAACGCAGCCTTGCATTCCACAGCCCCTCCCATCCCCCCTCCTCCCCCGCGCAGGAGCTCGATCGCCCAGTCAGTGACTCCATAGCCCCTCCGTCATGCCATGACATCCCACCGAGAATCCTAATCACAGCCCGCCTACCGTATGCCTTCCTTCTCGTCCCATACGGTAGAGTACGTTTCGAATGGCAGGGGACCAGGGAAGGAACCGCCTTATGCATCATGAAACGTGAAACGTGATGTCGTCGTCGTCGTCGTCGTCGGCCTGCGGCACGAGCTCGGCAGTTCGAAGAATGTGGCACTTGGAGTCTTGGGCTGGCGGGCCACGGCTATGGCTGCATTGGCTGGTGCGATCATGGTGCAATACATACAATCTAAATAGGGAGGTTCTGCAGATTCCACGCACCACAACTACAACTATCAGGGGGTATCAGAGGGGTTTAGCTAATTGTTGAAAAGTGGGAGGTTCTGCACCGCGAACTAGAACCACAACTACAACTAGAACTACTGTTGGGACTACAAAACACGCAATAAAACTATGGAGTGGTGGCGCGGCCGTGCACAACTGAGCGATACCGCAAGAGACAAGCGTTGGAGACAGCGACATGGTTTGCACCCTGTCTTTGGCGCTTTCATCCAATCAGCGTGTTTGTTATGATCCAGAATAAATCGAGCTAACTCGCGCTACTGACGAACTTCAGTAGTTGTTGGTAGCGTCGATGACCCCGGCCCACACGACAGCTAGCCTGATGACCTTCCTCAATCAAGTAGGACCCATGTCCGTTGCTGTGGGTGATAGTTGTAGTTGTAGTTCGCGGAGGGGTTGCAGAACCTCCCTAATAGCACTAGGCGCCGTGGCCTTGCGACGCCTGCGACATCTTCGCCACTTTGTAAAGTATCATACCGGTAGGTAGTCTACAAAGTACCCAGGTACTGGTATGTAGACAGACAGGCAGGAGAGTGGTCTGCGGAGATGGCGATACTCAAAGTATAGGTACTCTACAACAGATATCACGGCTTTGACGGGCGCAAATCGCGATGCAATGGCGGGGCGGCGGGATGGCGGGGCGGCGGGATGGCGGCGGCGGCTCCGCCCTCTTCTGAGCCCTCTTCTGAGACTCGACTCGACGGATGAATCCGCGCGCGAGCGAGCGGTGAAGTGTGCGGTCCCAAATTCCAAGTTCCAATCCACATAAGCCACATGAAGCCACAAATAAGCCACATCTCCACAGCTCAACATCTCCACATAACTAGAGTATAGTAGAGTATCGATTCACCCGGTACTAGGTAGAACAGCCTGAACACCCGCGAAACTACAAGTCTACTCAGGTATGTAAAAGAAAGAGAAAGAAAGAGAGAAAAACACCCCCCGATGCTCCCCCCGATTCTCCCTCCAATCCTGTTGGACATTTGGTATTGGGCAACTGTCCACACACGTCGTATGTATCGTACTACTCCACAGTAGAAAACGTCTGCGAATTTAAATTTGTGCGGCCCCGGCCCCGGTACGGCAGAGTAGGTGGGTAGAGTATTTGATCGCCGGCTTACATACGTACATCATACATAGAGTACTTGGTACAGTGATTACAGTGCTGCACCCGGCACCGCCGCACCGCCGCCGCCGCACCGCCGCACCAGGCGTTGGGCGGCCCAGCAGCCTAGCATCCTTCCTTCTTCTTTCCTTCCTCCTTGATATACTCTACATATCATATCGCTCATCTCATCCCCAAGCCTCAAGGCTCACACCCACACTGCGGCGAGCATCGAGCATCAAATTGAAAATTCTAGCAACGCGTGCGCCGGGCGCAGGCATATGTATGATAGAGTACAGAGCAACATGGTAGTAGAGTGCACACCACCCGCACCCGCCTTCCCCTGCGCAGGGAAAAAACGTTATCACGGCTGATCGGTCGGCAGGGGGAAGGGGCCGGCGGTGTTTGATATATACCCAGGTGGGTAGTAGGTACCTAGTAGGGTAGTAGGTGGTACTGGTACATATGAGATCCACATATGGGTTTGA